GAGTGGGTGTTTGGCCAGAGGCATGTGGTGTCATGGGAAAGAACGGGGAGTGCGGAACCCGCGCCCCTAGCCCCGGGCTGATCCTGAACTCCAAATATTCTTGGCTGGAATTTGGCTCCTGTCGTTGGAGGCATCAAATGCGCATTCGTGTTCTCTTTCCCTTTTTTCCCCATGGAGGACGATGAGGTCGTTCCTTGAAGGACCGTTGGTTGGAGAGGTGGGCTGATCTTTGACGAGCGTGTGTGAAAGGTCTTGGCTGGATAGGAAGGCCTCGAACAGCGTCTGGGACAAGACGAAGTTGCTACCATCATGCGCAAGCGGTTTCCTGTCTCTCCGCCCGTATTCGCGGCCGATACGCTGCTCGCGATCCCCACAAATACTCGCCGACCCCTCGGCATCACCCCGTACTCCTGCTGCGTCTTCAGCTCAAGTAGCTCAACTTCTCTCTGCCGCTTCCTCAGTTACCCTCTGCATCGCTGCTCTCTCGGCTGTCATTTTCTCGACCGTTGCTTCCAGCTCTTCGTATTTTACTCACAGGGGCTCCATATCATTAGCAGGACCCGTGATCGCCAAACCAACACCGCCTACTGTAGCTAGGCTTAAAGCTCGTGTGATACAGTATCATCGTGTTCGAGGTGCCACCTCCCTCGGCGTTTGGTGTTGGGGTCTGGGTACAGAGTTACCCCCAGGAACGGTCGACGAAGGAAATCCAGCATATACTAGGCATGAACAGAGCGTGTGCGCAAGGACACACAATCCCTCGGGAGGTCCGCACGTGGACCCCCATCCGCATACCCCTCACACAAATAATGCTCAGATCGGTATCGTAACTAAGCATCACCTAATCATCACAAAACAGACCCACAATCACTATTATGATACTTGACAAGACATCTTCAACAAAACTAACCACGCATTCCTTTCCATCGGATTATTCACGAAACAGGGTAAGCAAAAAGCGAACCTCGAGGTGAGAAAACTGAGCGTGTCCTTCCCCTATAATCCGAGCACTACAGGCCGCGGGCATCATGTTTGGCCAAGGCAACGATCTACAGCAGTAGTAGGCTTCACCTCCATCCATATGGAATTCTTCTTGACAGGTGTCCTAACTGCCTGCCCAGAAAAGAAGGCGGCCTCAAGCCCTATGATCGACGCATATGGAGGTCACGTACGCCCGCAACGCTCAGGTCAACAAAAATATGTCTTAACCTCACCACTTAAGTAGACAGCGTTTCTTAGGATACTCGACACCTCCTCCCCCCCGCCATGGAAAAAGTCGATCTTCTCTCTCTCGATCAATATACCGCCTAATCTACAGAGCCGTTCGTGGCAACACACGTGGCACACATGTATATGTTGAGCCTGCGACTGGGAGCGCTTACCTAAGGTGCCGAACTGCGCTGTCATGAACGCGAGAACAGCCCCCTTCTTGAGGGTAACCTGCCGCTGGGCCTTTGCAATGAGAATATCCCTGATCCCTTGCAGCCGCGCATCCTCCGAATACAGCGCGTTAAGCTGAACAGCAGCAGGCACACGGAGCGGTTATTGTTCACCCGTGCAGAACACAGAAACAAGTCAAGAGACCACTCCCCCCTCTTTAAGACGGATCTCGGAGGGGACGCCTCATACGTAGCTCATGTGTTTCAAGCTGTGCTAGGCAACGGCCACTTGTGCCTTGCAGAAAGAGATACCACCCCCGCCATACATCGGTTAGGCTCGTAATCCAACGCGAAAAATCAACCAATAAACCTACCAACCGGTTCCAGGGATCGATTCCTCTACAACACAGAGAAGCATCTTTCCACGACGTTTACATCCTCGCACCGGGATGCGAACGACCGGTGGCTCAATCTTTTGTATCTTCCAGACTCAAGACCTGCGATGCCGATCCGAGACCAGCAGCTTTTTGTGTCACCTATGTATGCATACCTGTTGACGAAGCGCGGACACCTTGAGATCGATTAACTGGTCGTCCTTGCGCAGCGCGCGTGCGATCTCGTCACTCACTCCGGGCCCGGATGGGTTCAAGAGGACCATTCGCCCCTGTTACAGAGTACGAAACGCGCGTTGTCATATTGTCGGGAACACTCGCTGAATCCAAGGTAGTAGACACGGCCGAGGATAAGATCTGTATAAGGATCCAGCACCGACCTCGAACCTGAACACAAAGAACATGCGACCACCAAGAGGGACCCGGGTCTGTCACAGCACGGAGAAAAAATGTGTACCGCCGAGGTTTGAGCATCAAAGGGCGGGCGCTGCCTCTTCAACTCAGTAGCAAACAACCACACCAAACGGTTCACAGGGAACAACATCTCGTCGACGCCACTACTGACATGCCAATGACATGCCAATGACACGCCAATGCGTACAGTACCTTGTCAGCGGTGAACACCAAGCCGTCTTCGACCAAGGCGTTTAGCCAACCGTCCGCGAGCATCGGATCGAGTGTCGTCGTCACTTTCTCTGGGTTACCTTTCCGGTACATCTGTGAGAGCACCAGGTGCGGTGTGCCAGCAGAGGCGGGGGGTTGCAGCGGCAGAGATCTTTTGAGCTCAGATTACAACTTTTTTACGGCAGTTGGCGACCATGAAGAACTACTAACGCTTGGCCGAAAGTATCAGTCGGGACATCCCTGTCGTGGCCTTCAAGGGACTCCTCCGCAACTCGCGTCAGCGAGAAAACTGTTGGTTAACCGTTTCACCAAACGGCCCTGCATGTGCTTCGCGAATACGTCGCTGAACGTGCAGAGCTGAGCTCGAGGAAGAAAAATGCCCGGGGTCAGCTGCACACTTGCCGATGGCCACCACCACCACCACTACCACGAGACCTCCCAGCTGATGTCTCACCTTGGCGCAAAGTTCGTCCAAGCTATCCCTTGTTAGGGTCACTCGCCCGGCTTGGACGACCTCTGCCTGGATGAGCGTGTAGACCTCCGGTTCGGGTACTTCCGTGGCATGGTGATCGCCGCCCCCGCTGCTCAAGACACGAATACGCGATCTGCCCCCCAGAGAGACGAGCAGGCCGCGTGTGGCGATGTCGGCCATGGAAGTGCACGCCGCGACCTTGTTGCCATCGGCGTTCGCGACGTCTACGCCTGTAAGGCTTTTTTCCGGCAAGGGTGTTGGATGACGGCAGAGCAGCGGACGGGGTGACATCCATGCAAAATAGTAAGATATGCAGCATCCGACAAACTGTTGTAGTCCAACATATTTGGAATCGTGTAGAGGTGCACCAATGGATAGGGAAAACGCCTATCACCGGCAACCGGAGAGCCTCCGTTTACCCTTCACGAGAAGTACTGTACGCATGTTAGACTATGCATACCGCTTGTAATGTCTGCTCATTTTCCGCGGCGGAACAATCTGGCTGGGAGTGGACGGATCACGCTCCTTCTTTCCTTCTCGGCCGTATGCCTATGTCTGTGCAAACGTTGATACTGCTGTATGGAAAGGCGCAAGACGCGAGACGAGGCGAGCTTCGCGCACGTAGATAGGATGAGCGGCAGCGGAAGGTCACCATAAAACAGCGGAGATGTGCAATGTATACCCGTCATGATGTCTGCAGCAGGCGGGGAGGGGGCGGGCGAACAGCTGAGTTGGCGCTCACACTTGCGCACGCACCAGCCAACGTGTGGAGTGGACTCGGAATAATAGCACACCATCCTGGTCCTCAAGCTCAAAACAACAACTCACCTCTTGTCCCGGGCCATGAGCTCACTCACGAACTCCCGGACCGTCGTATCCAATGACACACTGACATCGGTTAGCCCGGCCAATCCTGGAAGGGGCAACGGGACGGTCATGGCTCCTCCCTCAACCGTCAGCCTGGTTGTCGTTATCGCCTCCGCACGAGACGAGAACTCCCGAGCTGCACACGGGAGGCCCCGAGCTACCGCTGGCATTGGATCTCTCCGAAAGCTGGGACAAGGCGGGACCGCCGGGGCGAGGATGCTCTTGCTGGGCAAGCCGGAGCAAAACCGGACGGCGATGTTCGAACTGCCGCTGCTGCTGCTGCTGCTACTTTGCAGTCGACGGACGAAGGCGGAGCAATTCATGGCGGCAGCCCTTGATGGCGCTCTCGAACACATGCAATCAGCGATCGACTATTGCACGCCACGGGTCAGTTGTTGCCGGGGGCGGTTGCGTTCGCCAGGGCTGCTTCTGGAATCAATGGGAAGTCAGCCGACAACCGGCAGCATGATGAAGCAATCGTGACTCCGCAGATTAGAACGTAACGGATTCGTGAGATACCTACAGCAGTATATTCCATCCAACGAGCCTCTTCCAGGACAGCCCCCCGAGCTGCGAGAGCCAGCTCTCCGCTTGACCAGCTACAACTACAGACAAGCACACACACCCGACCTACCCACATACCACGCCACGATGCGGGAAGACCAGATCGTGAATGGCGTAAACTTTTTGGTCCATCCCAAGGCGAAGACCGCTCCACTCTCTCAAAGAATCAGCTTTCTCGAGAACAAGGTTTGAAAATCGCTCGATGCGCAGCAGCGTTCAACAACACGTGCTGAATGCCTTTCAAGTAGGGAAAGCGAGTGATGCATGCAGACGGCACTCGATCCTCAGCAGACACGAGATATTTTCCCCCATCCGTCGCGGCGTTCGTGTCCATCCTTCCAACCATAGGGATTGACCGCTGAGGAGATATCTGCGGCTCTTTCTCGAGCGGAGGGGGGCGAGGACAGCAATGGGTGAGGTTCCCATGTGGAGCAGTACAAGTAACTGATGCACCCATCCATGTAGACACAAGGCTCCTTTTCATAGGTGTTGATATGCATACCTCTTTCCGAAACTGCTGCTGGAAACAGATATCTGTGGAGAGAGGCAAAGCCCGTATCGACGTCTACTTGCTGGCAGACAATTAGTATCAGAATAGACACGATAAGATACGGAGTGTCTACTGCTGTTGTAGACTTTTATACCACCCATCCGTTTTGAATGTTCCAGTTCAACTTCACACCGTCATGTCGTGGACATGCGTACGATGAAGCCGTGTGCGTATTTACTTGTTCTAGTTCAAGCCCCTCAAGGCGATGTGTGTAGCTCTCTGCTAGACTCGGCAAGTTAACCAGGACGCAAGTTCTAGTTCCTGTTTCAATTGCGAAAACCTATCGCAATGCCTAATTTTCTCGTGGTCTGTCTGTCTGTCCCATCTTTTGCATGTAACGGGTTTTGAGTCGGACCCACTCGTGTTGGGTACATCCAAAGCAAGTGGGTATTGTCTGCTGAATGGACGAAAATTCAAAACTGTTTCTGGTAAATCGATCCCCACGTAAACAGATCTGCGACCGCGGGAGGGAACTCTGGACTGTCGTCGACATCAGCATCATCGTCAGGATCCTCCGCCTTTCCGGCAGAAGCCTCCATCCCCTTATGGAGACAAGTGGCCGTCCCGGGAGTGCTTGCCATGGGAGCTGTCGGCGCCCTGGGCACCTACTACGCAGCCTCACGATCAGAGGGTGGCGGGCCAAGCCAAAGCGGCGCTTCTAGCCAAGCGGCGGCCGCAGCGGCGGGAAGAATACCGAACTCGGCAGGCGCGACAGAAGCCACGACCTACGGAGGCGTGGGGCGCTCCGAACCGAGAGGGGCCGACGCAGCGGCGGAGAACTCTGCCTACGCCGAGCGTGCCTACGAGCAGGGTAGACTGACTCGTTCGGAGACCCTTGAGGACGGGATGGCGTTCCTCCCGTTCGACGGCAGCGAACAAGCACCACCAGGAACATCTCCGGGCGAGTCTCCGCTAGCGGGAGAGTTCCGCCGCCTCACCGAGACGATGGAGCAGCAGACGGGTCACCTCGTGGAAGCGGTGGAGGCGATGAAGGCGCTCGCGTCTCGCGCGGAGCAGGACAGCAGCAGCCTCCTGGCGGCGCGGGTCGGCAGCCACACCTCGGAGCTCAGAGCCGAGCTCGGCACCATCAAGCAGCTGCTCTTGCTGCAGGCTGGGGTGGAGGGCGGTGGTGCAGGCACGAAGAGCATGCGCGCCATTTCTTCCGTCGGAGCGGCCGATGCAGGGGAAGCGAGTAGGAAAGCAACAACCGATCAGAGTGATATGAGTGCCGGTGTCATAGGGGCCGGGGGCGGCGGCGAGGGCGCGGGAAGTAGAAGTGCGGAGGGCTTGAAAGGGGGAGCAGACGAGCAGGCGAACGGTGCGAGTGTTTCAGGCGGGCTGCCGGTGAGGGACCCGGAGGAGGACATGGCTCAAGAAGGTGCGCGCACGTGCTTGCCTCTGCGTTCTAATTATAGCTTCGGCCTGTGAAGGCAGGAGACTTGTTGAATTGTTTAGTGCTGTGTGTTGTGCGTAGCCGCCACGCGCGCTCAATAGTGAGACGGGCCGGTGTTTTCGCGAGAGACGGTCGACAGAACCTTCCCTCGTACATCTACGGAACGAAGACTAGGTACAACGCCTGTGCCACACCTCTCCTTTCCGTCTCATGTCCGAAGTAGTCGGATTTGTGAAGGTATGTTCTGCCGGTAGCGCCGTTATTCAGATCCGTCCAGGGTAAGTGGCGCTAGAGATTACCAGTGCCCGCTTGTTTGTTTGCGTACACGAGTCGACAACACTTTTCCATACCGCCCGACCGTTTTCTCCAACAGCGGCGGACAAAGCAGCCGCGGAGGCGGCGGCCCTGGCGGCGACGGAAGGCAGGAAGGCCACTGCTCGAGCCGCCCTCGCCGCTCTTGTGGCGGACAACTCAGCCCAGGCCGCCAAGGACGGGATGGCCATGCTTCGGATGCTGGTCGCGAACCTCGTTAACCAGCCGAACGTGCCGCGGTACCGCCGCATCGCCACTAGGTACGCCTCCTGACAACGTGCATGCAGAAAAAGTGATAAGAAACTTTTTACAACAGTCCGCACAAAGAACATGCACGGGCGTAACCGAGCCTTTTGGGTCCGCCCGCGCTTTTCCGCCTTGCCTTGTGTCTTCGGCTGGCTACGGTTTCGCTCCCACCAATGGCAAGCATTTGTCACTTTGTGGTGGAAGAGGTTTGCTGCTGAAATTCCAGGGGAAGCTACTGCCGTATCGAGACTCTCTGCTGTTCGTGCCAGAGAAACGCTGAAACTCTCGTGATGCTGACTCACCCCTCCCCCGCCCCGCCCACCGCGCCCGGTCTTATTTTGCTTGTGTTTTTCTGATTGGCAGCAACGACAACTTCAAGAAGAGGTTGTTGCCGTTGGAGGGCCACAGGGCGATGATGGAGGCCGTCGGCTTCAAGCCCAAGGGTAGCCTTTGGGAGTGGACGTGGCACGAGGACAGGTGAGCCGTTACCTTACTGCTCAAGGCGATTATCAAAGCCAACGGCCGGAGCGGCGTCTGGGTGTTTGATGCGACGTGTGTGCTGAGAACGTGTTGTTTTTTCGAGAACATGCATGCGGCAGTACTATAGAGCCTTCCTTTCAAACGCGATTCCCTGCAAGACGGAAAACGGTACACTGAATACCACTGTAGCTCGGCGCTCATGTCTCTCCCTTAAAATATTCATCACCTTTTAAACTCACACCTTTTGAACATATTTTTACACGCTCGCATCTCTCTCCAAAGTGTTGCAAGTGCGTCGCTACAGTCTAGGACGTTTCTTAAAATAGCTCCACGTCCCTGCCCATTGTCGTCGGTCCCCGAACCCGATCAGCACCCCGTCCGCATCAAGCAACAACAAGGCCGTCCTGGAAGACATCGTCAAGGCGATCGATGCCGTCGCCAGGCCGAACGGCCCGCCCCTTTCCACCGCATCAGCAGCAACTGTTGTTCCTCCCGCCGCGACTGTCGCCGCCCCAGCCGCCGCTTCCGCCGCCGCCGCTCTTACACCTCCAGCGCCGCCGCCGGCGACAAACGTGACTGCCGGATGGAGCACGAGATCGTCGGGGGACCACGGGGGTGGGGGCACCGCCGTGTCGGAGGCGAACGGCGGCGCTCGTGGTAGCAGTAGACCTTCGCTGGTCTCTGACTCAGGGGCGGTGGGTGCGGCGGGCGATGGTGATGCCGTCAAGGGCAGCGACGGAAGACCCTCGAGTCGTGGTGGTGGTGGGTCGGCGCCTGCCCTGGGGACACGGAATGATGTTCTTGCGGCAGCTGCCCAAGTCAACGGGGTTGGTGGGGACGCGGGTGGGGCATCATCGCGCATCGCTCAAGGCGATGAGGCCCCGAGCGCCGCAGAGCCGGTGGCGGCGGCGGCGGCGGAATCCCGGGGAAAGGGCACGGTGGGTACGAAGGAAAACGACCTGGTAGTGGAGGCTGTTGAGGCGACCGAGCGGGGAGCACCCCCCGCATCGATAGCAGAGGTGGGGTTAAAGCGAGGGAACAGGGTGTGGGATTTCGGTGGCCGTACAGCGCAGTACTGTTTCTTATCGACGGGCGCGCCTTGCCTGTTTCTCGGACACGTGTGTGTTACGATCAATCGTTCCACATTGTGAAACAAACACTGCTGTCGGTGACGGCTACGTCTGATCGAACCCCGTTCCATGCGTTTCAAAGCTGCCCGACCTGAACATATCCACGCCCATTACTCTCCTTCTCATTAAGTCAGGACCACAGTCCCTTGGTAGTAGAGCGTTCGACTTCAAGTGCCAAGTGCCGCCCGTGGGCGCTGGTTGAGCGCCAGGTTCTCCTCATCCAGCCTCTTGAGTTACCGCCATCACATGTAGTATGCCGTCGTCTACATGCGAACTCGGGACTGCTGTTCCGCAACAGGTGGCCGCAGCAATCCAGCGGGGTGATGAGCCACCAGGGATACGGGTTGTTGAAGACCGTCTCTCCGACAGTGCGCCGTCTTTCGCTGTGTCGTCACGGCCCTCTCCTCCGAAGCCCTGGGAAGTACTGTCATCGCCGGAGGATGCAAATGGTGACGGGATAGAGGGTAGGGTCGGAACGGGGGGAGCCCATGGGTACCGCGGTCACGGGGAGGAGAGGTCGCGGCCGCAACACGCCGTTTCTATCGGACCGTGAGATTTATATGTGGTATCGCGTTCATGAGGCAGAAGTGCGCAACACCGCAGCTTTGCGGGGTCCGGACATTTGGTCCGGACATTTGAAAGGTAGAGTCAGCCAGTGCAAAATATGTTAACGTCGCTGTTGTGTTGTGTTGCTCTTGTCCATGTGTTGATGTCGAGATAGATAATATTGGAACCTTGTCCCCTCGCCCCCTCTCTCACTGGTGGAATGCAATGCACTTCTATTCTAGCAGTAGCTTGCAACAGCCCTGGCGTAACTTCGGCATGTCTTACTTGTAGCTGCCCGGTGATGTTCAACGTCGGTGTCGGGGCGGCAACAAACTGCACCCGACCGGGCGTCACAGGGTCAAGTTAAGTTCGAATCGGGCCTTACCATCTTATCATCGCCATCACAACGGTGAACGGTGCCGCGGGTTGAACGTGCTTCGTTGAATTTTTCTACGGCTGTGCGGCGTTTGGCGAGTAAATTTACAATTCACACGCCGCTAATCAAGCGGGCGGGGAACAGCAGTATAGCATTCGTTTTCGGTTGAGCTGGGTTGACCATGCTCGGTTTATGCACCACGAACATTTTTTGGGTTGAAGTCTCTGTCTTTGGATTCAAAGGATAAAATTGAGATGACAACAGCCGCGGGCGGTCGCGCGGTAGCGTCGAATTGTCTTCATTTTAGAATGAGTCCGCTTTGATCGATGTTCTTCGTCGGAGGTGGAATTTCAACGCCATCGTGTTCTATTGTGGTTTTAAGGCAGCAATACGAACAAGTCCCGTCATACGAACGGGAAAAAACGACCTATTTTATTGTAGTGCACCGCGGTCCGCAGACAAAGTGGTCGCGGCTTTCGTTGCAAGCAGGCCTCGCTGCGCGTCCGCTACGCGGAAGAACGCGGCGGAATCCACACAAAAGGGTACACGAGAGATACATCGAATAGGGCAGCAGTGCACGGGAGGCCCGTGAAGAAGCACCGAAACGAGTAATATTGTAGCTCTACACGTTCACACGACGGGTTATCCCACGAGTGAACCGAGGTGCGTTTGCGAGTTCCTGGAACATCGGCAGTCCGGCTATGGACGCAACTTGCCCTTGTTTCGAACATCCTGCTGACAAAAAAATGATGACACCACCGGGCGTCTGATGAGACCGATCGTTTTTTTTTCTTCCCGGTTTTAGCACCGTGTATCACATCTCACAACTCATGCGGTTCTTTCTGCTTGCACGTCCCACATCCCACGTGCGTGGTAGGATCGAGGATCGAGGTTCCACCTCTCGCTCCGTTCTCACTTTTTTTTCAACTCACACGCAAAGAAATCCTGCAGCACATGTGACCTCTCATCAACACACGAGCTCGCACGGCCCAAGATCATGCGGTGGCAAAGCAATCCGGTGGTAAGCGATGGCGACGACCTCGCTTACTTCGCCAGGAAAAAACGAAAGGAACATCACGACTCTGCTCTGGAAGTAAAGCAAACCTGTCCCGCAGACAAGATCAAAATCGGTCCATTTTGGCTATTTAGGTTTTTGGAGAACCTTGTTATCGATACCATGTGAACCAAAACCAAGAGCCTCAACGAAGCACATCACACCCTCAACAAACAGCTCACCACTCGAATTGCCCACTGGCCCGCCCAACGGGAGAGCAAAACCGACTCACCGTACACTTGCAACTCTTGTCACACATCGTTTTTTTGTTTTCATCAGGTCGTGACCAAAGCTAGACGAAAATATCACCCGTCAAAGGGACCAAGGACGGCGACACAGTCAACACGGGCGCACTCTAAAAACAAGGAATCCCTTGTGGTGTGCGAAATTGAAACCGTCTACATGGCGCCGCGTTGCCAAAAGGGTGCTACATGTACGCCAGGTATCGCCCACGGAACCCGGTGGAGAAAGGCTTAGGCTGTACTTGTACTTCACTTGGAACGACCTCTCGCATCGAGACATCCCTAAGTGTGAGCGTCAATAAACCCAATATCCTCACGGATTGTGACAGCAAGCAATTACCCATGTGAGCCAGAAAAGGATTGAGATGGGGAAGGGGATATGGGGGGGGGGAGGGGGGGGTATAAGGCACGGGAAAAATATCAGACTCACGAACTCAAACACATCGGATTGCTACGGCCGCTGCACCCTTGAGCGCCTCCAAAATACTGCTGCAACTATGCTACGCTCAGGACACTGGCCCACCAATGGCATAGGTTGTGCCAAGGCAACATCTATTAGAAAACGCTTCTTCCACGGACGGCCGATCAAAAGTCTAGGCATCAGGAGAAGGGTTGCCCTCGTGGATGCTCCCCATAATATCTGGGCCTCCTGCGGCACCTCTATCGTCCCAGCTCCCCGCACCCCTACCCCCCATCGATCGTGGAGGGGTCGGCAAGTGCTGCTGCTGCTGCTGCATCGCCTGCTGTAGCAACGAGGGCCGAGACCCCCAACTCCCGACCTCCCCGCCTCTCCCCCAAGAACCGCTTTCCACTCCGAGACCCATGCCGGGGATATCGCTGCGAGGAGGTCGAGGCGGCATCGGTGATTGGTGGCCTTGGCTCTGCTGTGAGTGCTGCGGTAGGCCCACGAAGTTCGACTGAGCCACTCCGCCCCCACCGCCCGTGGAGTGACCTCTCGCAGGATATAAGGGCCGACTGGAGCTCGATCCTCCGGCAGGGGACATCTGGAGGTTTGAGAATTGTCCAACAGTCGACAGGCGCGTTCGCAAAACATTGCATTTTAAAAGGCCGAAATCAAGCTTCAAGAAAAGGAGAGAAAGCGAAACAGCGCCATTACCCACACTCCTGCATGGGAGCCACAGCTATGACGAAAATGGTCTAGACAAGAGGGAGGTAAAAGGGCGGCAAGCACGTGGTAAAGTACGACACCCCAGAAGGATGAAGGATGTTCGCAACACCTCATGCACTCAGTTCAATGAACGTAACTCCAACGGGTCAGATGCACGCACACAGCAGCGCACATGAATTATTTGGAGCTCCTTGCGGTGGAACCGGACCCAGCAAGTAATTTCCATCTCGGCGCGACACACACACACAGCAGTGTGTGCGTTTAGTGTGTGTGTTTAAGCCCCAGTTGGACAGCAGTGTACGTATGTACACGCCTATGAACTACCAGTACATTATTCTCACCGGCGGGGGTGGTTGCGTAAACGATCCCGACGAGCCCCCCTGCTGCTGAAGAGTGTCGACAAAATAAAACTCCGACGACCCCGAGCTGCCCCTTCTCCGAAGCGCCCGTGTGCTATTAGAGCCCCCCCACGCCGAGCCTCCTCCCGTCCCCATGGCCCCTTGGTCCGGAATGCCTTCCATGGTAGGCCTCGACATCCACCGCTCCCCTGACGGGATCCCCGCACCGCCGCCGCCACCACCACCGCCTCCGCCGCCTCCGATGGCGTACGAAGATTCAGTAAGTTGTTGGTGAGGCGCTGGGGAGGGAGGTTGCTCTGGTGGTCTCCCTGCCGCGACGGATCCGAAGGGCGTTCGACTTCTCTGCTGCTGTGGCTGCTGCTGCTGCTGTTGCCCCTGGAGCTGTTGCTGGTACTGCATCAACTGCTGGCTGAGCAGGCTCCCGGACTGGTTTTGAAAACAGCAACAGGCATCGTAGATATGTATATTATGTTACAAGCGGTGAACCACAATGTGAACACGAGCCCATTCGGAAAATAACTTTGGGGGGCAGGCGAACAAGACAATGGCTAGCGTGTGCAAGAGAAGGGGGGTGACATTCAGCCACCCCGCACACCGCGCATCAGCCCACAGGCATCAAACAAGTCATCTTATGATAGGTCTCAACACCGCCGGGTCTTCACTACGTCACTTTCAGCGAAGGTGAGCGCGGGGGGCGTCAAGCATCAAACATGGCATGATCAACTAACCCATTTTGGCCTGCCCAAGAGTTAATGCACCAGCAAGACACGGTTCGGCCAATGCGGTCGGTAGCCATCGCTCTTGACTCTCGGACGCCAACAGACGAAACGAAGGAAATCATCACCTGAGGCAGCTGCTGCCGCATCGTGCCGGGCGAGTCGCGGTGGATCAAGTCCCCCTCGTCACGCGGGCTCGCGGGCCCCGCCGCGGAGACCCCGGCCGCAGGCGACACCCCCTTCGACGTGCCGTTCAAAGACCGCTTGTGGACGCCTTCGGCATCGTCTACCCCCTCTCCGCCCATCCAATCTAGCGAGCTGCTGAGAGGTGGGCCGCCACCTCCAGGGGGTAATCGTCCGTCATCGAGCTGGAACGCGAACGGCACCCCTTCGCCCGCCATGTCGGGGTCCGTAGCCGCGCCTCGCCGATTGTCTTGGCGGTGCCCGCGTTGCGCGGCGTGTCTAGCCTGTCGAGCACTTCCAGCGAGATCTTCCGAACCGGCCCCAGATACGTGTCGGATCCAGGTGTCCCCGCCACCGCCGCCACCGCCGCCGCCGCCGCCTACGCTGCTATCATGCAGGTGCATGTCGTTCGGGTTCGATACGTGGCCAAGCTCCTGTTGGGCGCTGCTCGGAAAATCCGGGGGTGGCCTAAATTTAGAGACAACAAGGGGCGTCACAAAAAAAACAGCAACACAGGCCAAGAGAGCGTTTGGCATCAAACATCAGAGAGAGAGAGAGAGAGAGGTTCAAGACTATGTCACACAACGACTACGCTGCTGCAACAAACTCAACAGCATGTCTCCTTCCCACAAACAAACAAAAACAACTCCCACTAACCTTCCAAACAAAGGACTCGTCGACTGAGCTCGCGGCCCGGCGCCAGACAAGGGCTGGCCGTGCCCGATCCCTCGGCCAGCTCGGACCCAAGGGACGTTAGCCTGCGGCGCGTTGCTTCGAAAGGCAGACGGCGGGCCCGGCCCCAAGAGCGTGCCGCGGGCCAGTGGCGAATAGCCCGGAGGCCCGGCCGTCAACGCCGAGACCGATGAGGACGATTGCTGCATCGGGTATTGGGAAGCTTGCGGGCCGAAGCGCCCGCCGCCTCCCGCTGAGGTATGCCCACCGACGCCCCCGCCGGAGATATAGTACTGCAGCGTCGCCCCCTGGCTCTGGTCCATGCTCAGCGCGCGTCCTCCTCGCTCGTGTCCCCTGAGGCCCTCGCCTTGCTGGTGGTAGTTGCCGAAGCTGCTGCCGGGCTGGGCCCTGCCGCCGGGGGCGATGTCTGAGACTCGCCGCCGGTTAAGACGCAAAGAGCCGGCCCCCGCGTGGCTAGAGCTATGCGCTACGGGGGGGCTTTGCTTGTACGTTGGTTCGTACCGCAACCCGGGGCGCTGAAGGGCGTACCCGAAATCGCTAGCGACGAAGTTCCCCGAAGCGCCGCCGCCCATGCTGAAACTCGCCGCGCTGTAGCTGTAGGCCTCCGCCCGTCCGCTGTCCACCTCCGCATCGTCATCGCCGGTTTGTGGGGGAGGGTAAGATGTCCCGGCTCCTCCCCGCGCGGTGTAGCCCATCGACCTAGCCAGCAGGTCGTGCCCGCTTCCACCGCCCCCACCCCCACCCCCGCCGGGCGAGACTCGGCTGAACGCGCTGTGCGGCCCCATCCCGCCGCCGCCGCCGCTTCCCGCCGGGACATCGATCGGTCGAGACATGGAGCTGAGGCCGTAGTCTTCGCCGCCGCGAGACCCTTGGGGCGTGTGCGCGATCTGCATGGCCATCAAGCCGCAGTCCCCGCTGCCCGTGCGGGCGTGGTGCAACGGGCTCGCGTGGTACGGGGCGTGGTTTCCCATTCCCATGGAAACAGGAGTCGCGGGGCCGGACATGGACGACAGGCCTCTCGACTGCTGCGACGAGGAGGCCCCAGGTATCGCCATTGCCATCCCTCTCCTTTGTTCCCGTTGCTGCTTCTCTTGCTGCTGCTGCTGCTGCTGGCGCTGCTGCTGTTGCTGGAAGGTCGGCAGACGGCGGCCGAAGCGCGGCGCGGGTTTAACGAGAGACTTTGGGGCCATTTGGCATGTTGACCGATTAGGCAAAACGACACCAAAATTAACTACCAAAACCACACATCCAACCCCCAACAGTTGTGCCTTTCCCGCCAACTCCCTTGACGATAACCACGACCTTAGCTCGAGCTATGCGGAATTCGTACGCTCACTTGCTGCCGTATTCGTTGCTGACGCTTGCGTTCGGCCTCCCGCTGATCCTTCTGGTACTGCAGATGCATCGCCTGCCTATGGCGGGTATATCTATCGGTGACCAGCGGGTCGTCGGCAATGGTCAAGGCTCCCAGGTCCCGTGGGTGGGGCTGTCCGGTGATGAAGGGGTGCGACGCAGCCTGCAAGGCGTCGTGAGGTGCAGGGGCACAAGGGAGAGGCACGAAAGAGGCGGGCGGATATGTCCAGTCAATCGTCAAGCCGGGCGTCTCAGCGGCGGCACAATGAAAACGAAGGTTCCGCCGCACACAAAAGGTGGAAAACGGGATTCCTTAAACCCCGGTGCTGTTACTGTACATCGCAAACCAAGAACCGACGCCTGTGAATACCGGCAAACCAGGTTGACACCGGATACGTTATCGCGCGGAGCGGCAAAAGAATATCATGAAAGCTATAGGCGAACACACCGATTGTGGCCAGCGTGCACGATCCCTCTCACTCTCACCAGCAGACTATTTCGCTCCCAACGTCCGCGCCATTGCCACTGCGACAGACAGGGAGGAAGCACACCGCAACCACTGCCTGGCTGCATGCATACCTGCTTGGGTGTCCATCGCTTCCATGGGTTGGGGTTGAGCAGCCCAATCACGAAGTGTGTGAATACTCTTCGCGCCTCCTTTTCCTGGGCGGCCTCGGGCGAATTGCCGCCGCCCGCGCTCCTGCGGTTGGCCCCCGGCAACGGGTAGGCCTGGACGATGTCCGGGATGTTGCTGTGCTTGAAGTACTTCTTCAGTTGGGGCACCGCCGTGCCCGTGTCTCTCGCGTACTCTTGGGGCGTTTTCAAAACGTGCCTACAAGGGTAATTGACGCCAGGCAACGGAGAGGTGCGGGGGCAGGCATGTTTCTATGAGACCTTTGAGGATTCTTGACGCTATAAAAAAAAGTCGCTCTTCGTGATGCTACATGTACACGTGACGCAAAGACAACTGTGTATCCTGCTCTTTGGATGGCCCACAGTAGAAACCATCATGCCCGAGCGTTGCCGCATGAACGGATCGAGTGCACGCTATATACACGTCGTCATGCAGCCTGTCAAGACAGGTTGAGATGCCCTTGGAAGACAGCTTGAGATGTCGTAACATATTTCTGAATACAACCGCATCGATTTGCCCGAGGAAGGATCGTCTCGTCTCACCTATAACCTCGCCTCTGGCTTGCCACCCTCTGCCTGCCGCCTTCGCCCGCGTCTCGTTCGGGACTAACAGCCATGTCCGCACCACTTCTCCACCCTTTCGATTTCCCCTCACCCCCCCCCCTACCGCCTCCCTCGCTAGCCTGCACTTTCACCTGCCGGTAGAAAGCGTAGGCAGTCGGCGCAGAGCACACAATCAGAAAACAAACATGATCTGCTTCTAAAACAGCGGCATGCGTATATAGTATAGGACGGTGGAGCTGAGGGCTCGATTAACTTGCTTGAAAATACGCAACACATTCCACACAGCTGAAGGTGAGGAGGCAGTGGCTTCGCTTCAGGGCATTTCCCACCAATTCCAGCTTCAAAGGACATTTATGAACACTAAGGGGCGCCACAACGCCCAGGAAGGCCAACACGCCCCTCAAACACGCGGAAGAGCTGGAGTTTTTGACACAAACCTCCATTACCTTGAACAACACTAGTAAAAAAGTGACTTTACTCCTCCCGGAACAAGCCAACAACACAACACGACATCAAACTCTTGGCTTAACATCGTACCTTGTACGGCAACAATGGGAGAGGACAGTGGCCGTCGTCGTCCAGCCAGTAGAAAGTTTAAAACGGGCAACGCTCCAATGACTAAAACGTCGGCGAACAAAACGTATGTTACCTTCTTGAAGAACTTCATACGTTACCTTCTTGAAGAACTTCAAGGTATCCTTCCCGTTTTCCAGCATAAAGTCCGGCAGGCTCCCCGTCATCTCCACTATGCGGCATATCTGGTTGTGGTCAGACACGCCAGGAAATATCGGCAGCCCCAGGAACAATTCCACGGAAATGCAACCTAGCGACCAGATGTCGATGGCCCCGTCATACGGCAGGCCAAGTAGAACCTGGCATACCAAACCAAATCAAACCAAACCAAACGGTGCGGGGGGAGCACGCGAGAGGGGATAGATAGTTTGGAACCAAGATCGAGTAGCGGATGACCTACGCGCGGAGAAAGTACGATACGAGGCGACCATCGCGTTTATGGTCGACTGAGCACGTGGTGTCTTTGGTATCAAAGAAACAAACGACTTGATACCTGAGAGCTGCAGCGTTCAACAAGATCCAACTTCACTTGGAAAGGTGCGCGTTGCTCCTCTCGTTGCTGTCTAACCGAACGGTGAACATGGGGGCAAAAACACAAATCTCTGATACACACGTGAAATTCGCGCGCACATAGGCGAATCTTCGACAATTCACGGAGAATTTTCATGATCCATGTTCACCAAGACAGCGCAGTACTTTAGGCTTCAGCCCCGATTGCTGCAGGGTGCCGCGTGGTATGCACTCCTGCAGCGGATCAACATCTCTACAAGCGAACACGGATGGACAATGAACAATCGGCACTACTGCGCTATCGAATATTATCACACTCGGGATGCCGGGGACACGCCAACTGTATGCCACGGTTGTGTCTCGGGCAGCGCCAACGGACGGCTGTAAAAACCACTAATTACTTCAACAATAATACACCATGCACAGAACCCCCCCCCCACGACCCACAGCTCACCTCTGGCGAACGGTAGAAACGGCTCTGAATATAGCTATACATTGTCTGTCCCTCGAAGCACGCGCTGCCGAAATCGATAACCTTTAACCGGTTCGCGCCGCCCGACGGGCCAGAAGCAGCACCTCCGGCACCTCCACTGCCGCCCCCTCCTCTCCCCCCTCTAGCCGCATCGTCCTCCCCACCCGGGGTCTTGTTCATGAGCAACACGTTTTCGGGCTTGAGGTCGCAGTGGATCACGTTTGCCTGCTCCAAGGCTTGGAGTGCCTACAGCATCAAAGGGGAAGCAGCGCAGGAGCGGCGTTGTCGTCGTCAAAATTTGGCATCAGAGAAGAACGCAGCGGTGGGAGGATTCCTCGTGTAAGTTTCCTTCCAGGTCGGCGAGCCTCCGTGTGCGCAAGTATTGACACGACGGTCGCCGCGACCGTGCTCAAGAAAATCGTGCCAGCAGCATCTTTTAAACGAAATTGCACGGGCTCGCACGCGGGGTAGTATGTAAACGTGTCCCGGCGGTATATGTAGCGGGTTAATGTACACGTGGAGCATCCTCCGTACTAGCGTGCTATTGTAATATAATAAGTGTAAGTACCATAGCGCCTGGAGTCCACTTTCAAGTCATGCTGGCTAGTCGCCACCATGACCCAAACAAAACGGGCGGAAGCGGCCTCTCAACTAAACACGAAGTAGGATGCAGCCTGTCACCTCGAGTATCTGCTTGATGAAGTGCCGGATGAGCGGCAGCGGTAGCCCTCGGAACTGGTTCTGCTTCAGGAGCTCGTAGAGGTTGATGCTCAAGAGCTCGAACACCAGGCACAGGTGGTTCTTGAACTGGAAGCAGTCTTTGAGCCGCACGATGTTCTTGGTGTCGTTCGGGTCGTAAGTCTCGTTAAGCTGCGAAAGGTTCGGTAGCCGAGTGGGGCGTGTACAGAGGATTTTTGAGTTGGCGTCGAGTTGCGTTTGGTGACAAAACGGAGCCCGCAACAAGCAGCAGAGAGAGAACGGGGGAGCAAACATAAAAAAAATGCCACCTCCATCGCACACTCGGATGCTTGCTTCATCACGGCCCCACGTGGCGCCCCAAATGCACAAAGGTATGGGCTGTTTTACATGTCTCGACAACAGCAGCAGTACTTGTACATGACGAAGTGAAGTAGATACCAGTGGCAATCAAGGTCAATGAATATTCACGACGACGCCGGTTAGCCGTTACCACCTTGTGTACAGAGAGACATTGCAGGCAGCCATGGATAAAAATCCTTGCGGCGCGTGTGTACCATATGTCCCAAAACGCAAAAAACAACGCATGTATCCATCTACATGTCTCCCTCCCTCACCAGCTTGGCAACTTGAATCTCCAGCATGGCCTGATTCTGGTAGGCCGGCTTGTTCTTGACCACCTTGATGGCCACGATGTCCTTGGTGGCATGGTCCTGGCACCGAAACACCTGCCCGAACGTGCCCTGCCCAAGAAGATCCAGAACCGAGTAGTTCGTACCGGTCCCGGGGACTTCCAGGATATCGTTCACCCGCGCGATGAAGTTGAACTCCGCGTTGTCCATGCCGTCGTTGCCAGCCGGCTCGCTCGGCACTGTCAAGACTCGCCTGGGCACGTTCGGGGTGAAGCGGAACGAAGGATTCCGGTTCGAGTACGTCGCGCACATGTCCCTCGTGAGGGCCAGCGCGGGGCGCGGGCGCCTGCTGATGGGCCCGCTCGCCGGCCTTCTGGCTGCCGCCGTGCCCCGCCTCCTGCTGTCGCTATTGTTGGTGCCTACAACGCTGGTGAGGGTCCCTGGCGGGGAGCCGCGTCCTTCGTCGCCGTACTGCCGCCGATCCTCTTCTCGCGTCCCCCAAGCGCGGAAAGCCAAGGCATACAGCGTAGCGGTGGGGCCGGAGAGGCCACGGATGCCCGCACCTCGCGAGGACGGGCGTCTAGTGCCCTGCCGGGTACACGCAGAAGCGCGCACAGCGACACCATGTTCGGAGAGAAGGAGGAATGAGAAAATACACGCCGAGATTGAGCGGCGGAATGACTATGCATCAGAATATGAGTAAGTCGATGCGCCGTGTGGTGTGTGCGTGCCTCTGTCGTGTGTCGGAGATATTGTAGCGAATAGCGAAAGGGTCGCCACGTATGCACAGGAGGCGAGCTCATTAACCGTGCTGCTGCAAGACGACGGGCATCAGAGGTGGGCTACTACCAAGGCATCGGGATATGCCAGCTCACATCGCCAGGGTGGGCGGGTGGATGTTTGAGATCTTGCCTTCCAGCTCTTCCCAGAGGGTGAAAATGTGACATGCGGTGTGTAATAACTTTGCTATTGAACATGACTTTCATCTGCCCTCCATCTCCCGTTCTGTCCCCTGTGGATCACCTGGTGCTTGAGCGAATCGAGCTCACACCTCGGAACGGCTACCCAATCCATCGACAGAGAGAACAATTGCAAATCGATGAGCGTAGCACCCTACGGTATATTACCTCCCTCCTAACGGAGGTGACAGACCTAGTCTACAGGAGTACCTCTGGATCACGCGAGGAAAAGGTAACACCCAACCCGCTGCAGCAGCAGTTCAACTACAGCAGTACTTGTTCAATCCATGAGCTTTGCCTCTCTATAGGACGCATACTATTACCTGTTCCGATGTCGTCGACGTCTCCTCCCGGACGACATTCCTCCTCGATGGAGTCTCGCCCTGATCTACTCCGCCCTCCATCCTGTGCTCCTTGCCTTGCTTGCCTTCCCTCTGCTGCTGATTCGCCTTGTCCTTGCGAAACGTTCTGTGCGGGCGTCCCTCAAAACCTCGCTCTTCGCAAGTGTACCTAACCTCTCTCGCTTCCGTTACTTCTCAAAGCCCGCTCGCAAGGCCTCCTCCCGCAGCGGCTGAAGCCAGGTCTTGATCAAAGGGCGAGTCTGGTGTGGCAGCAGCAGCGACCAAGGGGCACAAGCTGTAGGCACCGGCGGCCGCGTTTGCAAGTAGTTTTTTTGGGTTCGCCGGCGCTGCAGCGTAGCGATGGACCCGCCCCTCCCCGTCTCCCTAAACGCTCGCCCACACACACAGCACACGCAAGCACGCCTGATTCCGAGTGTTCCTCTCCCTATCGTAGTAGCAAACGATGCATTAGGGATCGACGGTGAGGGTGGGTGAGGTTTGTTTGTCGAAAAGTCGAGAGGGAGGGGATGGCATCGAGCAGATGCAAGCGGGGATGATTTCAAGTCATTAGGCAATCCTCCCCGAGGAAAAAGCACGGCGAAAGGTGTTCCACACGAGATGATCCACTTTCAAGTTTCTGTTACAGCAATACAGAGGAGGCACGGGACCATCGTGAAAAGGGAGTTGACCATCGAACCGGCTCTGTCTCACGCGCTGTGCGACCAGCAGGGCGATTGGCTGTGGGCTTGGGGCGCCTTGTGTGGGTATTGGAGCCCTGTGGAAAGAGAAAGGTGAGGCCATCAATGGTGTAAGGAGAGCGCTATAACATGTCCCCTCGTCATACAGCATTGGGCAAACCAGCAGCAATCGACCCTACAATAGAGCGCATAGATAGGGCGAGTGCGACTTCCTTTCTTCCATTGGTTCGACTGGTTGGCCCGTCCGTCTAGCGGTAGACGCACATGTCGTCGGAAGATGGCTCCTCTATTGGCAGTGGCGCTACGCCAAGAGAGAGCATGCGCATTCCGTACAGCAGGAGCGAAGTCATCACGACATCAAAGGCGTGAGTGAGTGTATCTGCCCTCTCCGCTCCCTATTCTCAACATGAGCTCTCTCTCACTCGATCACACAAACGCATACATGTTGGAGCCGAGTTTTTATTCCACTTTCACCGCCCTTGTCTTGGGGACACACTGACACTCTACGTTGTCTTGGCTGTCTGAACAGCAGGCCAGCTGCTGGCGACGGTGTTAGGCAAAGTCGACAGCGTGTGTGTCACGCCCGAAACATTCTCGAGAGGGTTTTGATTTCAGCGGCGACATGCGGCGCCCACCCACAACAGCAGCAGCAGCAAACGGCACCACCGCCGTCCCGACGAGCACCACCACAACTGCTGCCGCCCTCGACCCAGCAGCACGACCTCCACGAGTCCTCAAGCGCGGGCGGTGTGGCACGCGGAGGCATGTGCTGGCTTCGTTCGCCGCCGGCAGCCTGCTGCTGTCCAAGTGTGCGGTAGAAGGGTTTCATGCCCACCACGTGCTTCCCGCGAGCAGAACACGCGGAGGCACGCGCAATGCCCCCCCTACTACTACCCGCGCAACGCGGCTGCCCGACCAGGCGTCCACCGGGACGACGGTGGTCGAGGGCGAACAGGTAGACGCCAGCGCGGTGCTGGACGATCTCGCCCGCGTGGACGTGGAGGGGTGGGAGGGCCACGAGCACGGCTTCGACTGGTACCTGGAGAAGGCCAGGCGAGGGATGATTTCCAGCAACTCGGGCTTTGCGCCGCTGCGCATGAATTTCTGGAGGCCGACTGAGGCCGCGGAGGAGCTCAGCTCGTGGGACATGATATACATCATCCTGCGCAACCTGGGGCAGATGGTAGGGCTGCCCTCCGTGGACAACGCCCCGGTGGCGAAGATCGACAAGTATACCGGGAGCTGGTTAACCTTCCTTCAGAAGGTCTCCAACGGGCGACTGGAGGACCTCGCCGGCGGGCCGCTGTTCCTGATGCTGGAGAAATATTTCCTGGCCGAAGGTGAAAAGCGAGGGTTTAAGGCACCATGATTGCTGCTGCTCAGCTGCTGCTGCTGATGGGTGTGGTGTGTTCCATATTTACCCCATAGCATAGTAGTCGTTGTCGCAATGCCTTGCTGCTGCTTGTATTTTCTTCTGGAAGCCTTTCGCTCATGTCAACCTGTAGACTAGAGGTTGCACTTCGTAGTGAAGAATTTTCGGAACTTTCGGCGTCCACCTGGGAAATCTTTGTTCCCGACTGCTTCAAGCAAACGAGGATCGCAGGATCGCGCTTTGCACGGCAGCCCTCGCCTGCCATCGCAGCTTGTGTTTGTTTGGTGTTTCCGGCACACTTTGTCACCGGGCCGTGCGCACAGGAGGACGGTTCTTGTTGAACCTCTTGCTGAACACCGTAACACCAAACAGCGGAATATTCGTACTAGAAGGCGGAGTTGACGATACCCTCGAACCGACACGTACATTCTTTGTACGTACGCCAGCCTTATCGTGGATTTTCGCCTGCCGTCGCGCTTTGGGGAGGGGGGCAAACCGCGGTCCTGGATTGGTTGTGTTAGATTTTATTTTGCTTCCACCAGCGCGACGTAGATACGTACAGACCACCTTTGAGCTGTTCGGGCGCCTTTGGGCGGGATTTTCCTGCCCAACAATTTTCCGGGCACCCGCCCTGTTCGAAGTGTACAACAACTTGCTTTTCCTAGGTACACATGCTCACGTATCTGTCCCAAGGGTTTTCACCCGCCCTCTCCGCCCTTTGTATAGTCTAGAGGGTCAACGACTGCGTGCTGTATGGTCGCGGAGAGTCAATTGATTTATTTTTTTCTGACGGAAACATTTTAAACATCACAAGTTCGTTGTCCGTCCTGACTGCTGTAGATCTCAATCTCTCATGATACATATCATAGAGGAGTAGCATATCATACCAGTAGCGTCCCTCTTGTCGGCACACCACTATAATGACAACCGAGCTACACACGAGGGTGTCCACCTATCGCCCGTTATCTGTTTCATCTCAGAGCTATATGATATGTATACGATCCAGGATCAAGAAGAATTCCTCCCGAGGGCTTTTCTCTATTGTAGTTTTTGGTATCTCTTCAAGGATTGAGCGGCGCGCTGTTCATGGCAAAGTCTTGTAGGGTGTACCGCTGTTGTCACGACCAGCTCTCTACTCTGTAGCCACAGCAGTCAATGTCAAGTCCAACCCTTGACAGCAGTCCAAATGTGTGATTGGATGATGTTGAGGTGCATGCCTAACCCTGACCACTTCCGCCTCTTCCGCAACCGCAATGGCACCGTCGTTTGTTCGGTTTTATCCGTAGCCTGTCTACGTTGAAATTTGTTGCTGTTCCTGTTCCAGTGAGTCGTGATGATCGCTTGTGTTGTGTGCTCACGCTGTCCTAAAATATTATCGGGTGTTATCCCATCCCACACGGCACCGTGTTAGTTTGCCTCGCCGGTTTACCCTTGTATAGTTTTCGGTCTCGCACACAGCAGTAACCTATCTGTATTGGTTCGGCGGTGTTTGACCAGTCCGAACAAACTAACACAACCTGCTCTCCTTTCAACCGCCGGAGCCACACCGGGTAAATAAATTAATTTTGTTGGGCTGCAGCGTCATATGATATGGCCGCCTGTTCGGACTTGTGTGTGGGCAGAGAACGGCGGCAAGCATGTGTAGCGTTAAAAATAAAAATAAAACGTAGACTAGCGATCCAAGGGGTCGGTTTTATCACTCAAGTGCTGGACCTGGAAGGCAGCGGGCATGTAACTTACGACTTATCCTCTCTCTTCGCGTGATTCTCTCGTGTTCTTCCGCCGATACCCTTTGACGCAGGTCCTGTGTACAAGCTGGCGTTCGGGCCACGGTCGTTCATCGTGGTTTCGGACCCTGTCATGGCGAAGCACGTTCTCAAGTCCAGTGTGGGGGACTACGACAAGGGGGTGCTTGCAACGGTAAGTGTTTATTCCCAGGGGATACCGTTTTATTTTTTTGTTGGCCGATGTGTTTGATGGTTGCAAGAACTTTTGCACGGTTTGGCCTCATGAAGTGGGGTAGCAGATGTACCCTGTTGGCTCGGCGTTGTATGTATGGCCCTGCTGGCGGTTGAAGCCGTCGCCAGCACACCTGCATGTGTCCAACATTTCGAGTTATCCTGGTGTATATCTATCGCGACCCGTCTGCAGGAGAGTTATTTATCCTTAGTTCGAGGTGTCGGTGCCTTGCGTTTGCTGTGCTGTGCTGTCGGTGCTGTGCTGCTGGAGAACCGCCGGAGGCGTACTCGAGCGGGGTTCGGTGCTGATGTACTGCAGTTGTCCGCGCTGAGAGGTTGTACTTTCGTGATCATCTTGGCATGCTTGTTTTCCTTCATTTTCCTGGGTTACAAGAGCAGTCCTTACATCTTGGAAAAGTTCGGTGAGACTGGAGTTCTTACCTGCCAGGTTCTCAAGCGGTACAACCGCGTATTCTTGTTTCACCGCATGCACTTATTCACTACGCATCGTATCACCTTCTGTACCTCCACCCCGCCTCCCAAATAGATCCTGCAGCCGATCATGGGCAAGGGGCTGATCCCCGCAGACCCAGAGACGTGGAAGGTCCGTCGGCGAGCGATTGTGCCGGGTTTCCACAAGGCGTGGTTGAATCGCATGATGCGGCTCTTCGCCGAGTGTGCCGACACGCTGGTGGTTGAGGCCGAGGCGGCGGCTCGAACGGGGCAGGTGCTTGACATGGAGGAGAAGTTCTGCTCCCTGTCCCTCGACATCATCGGGCGGGCGGTTTTCAACTATGAGTTTGACTCCGTCAGCAAGGAGTCCCCGGTGATCAAGGCTGTCTACCGCGTGCTGCGGGAGGCGGAGCACCGGTCGAGCTCCTTCATCCCTTACTGGAAGGTGGGTGGGACACGATGATAGCAAGTGTGGGAGGGGGGAGCAGTTGGCGTTAGGAAACCGCAAGAGCCCGCGCCTGATACTGCTATAGCGGGGTTGAACGAATGTTTTACCTGTCGTGCTTGCCGCTTCACGCGCTTGTCCGCAGCTGATGTTAGCCATCGTTTCCTACTTGCCGGTTGCTCATGCCGAGCCACCAGCATGCGCACGACCCCGATGAAAGTTGGAGCAGGGCAAAATATCCATACCATCTTCCCATGTTAGTCACGTTGCCGTTGTAGCCTTGTTGTGTCGTTGGCAGCCTGCTTTGTCTCTGCTTTTTCACGTTTTACCACTACCCCGACAAGGCAGACTTGCCTGTACCGAAAGCCATTTATTTTAAAACGCATCGGTTTGTGCCGTGATATCAACCACCCCACCCGTTGTTGCTCCCGCCATCCTTTCCTGCTGTACCTCCCGTACTTGGTTCGTTGACAGCTCCCATTCGCGAACAAGTGGATCGCTAGCCAAGTGGAGTTCGCCCGAGACATTGGGCTTTTGAACACGGTGTTGGACAAGCTTATCCAGAGAGCGCTCGACACGCAGGAGACGGCTGACGTGGAGGAGCTGGAAAGGCGAGACCTCGACGCGGTCGAGGACCCGAGCCTGCTCCGCTTCCTGATCGACATGCGCGGCGAGGACACGACGAGCAAGCAGCTCCGCGACGACCTCATGACGATGCTGATCGCCGGCCACGAGACCACTGCCGCCATGCTCACGTGGACGCTCTTCAACCTGGCGCAGAACCCGGAATACTTGGCGAAGATGCACGCGGAGATCGACGAGTGCATGGGGCCGGACGGTAGCCACATGCCCACCTTCGACGACCTGCCGGGCCTGCTGTACACGCGATTGGCTCTCGTGGAGGCGCTTCGGCTCTACCCGGAGCCGCCTGTGATCATCCGGCGGGCCTTGAAGGAGACGGAGCTGCCGCAGGGGGGGGCTGACGGCCCCGTTAAGCTCGTGAAAGGCACGGACGTGTTCATCTCCACGTGGAACCTTCACCGCAGCAAGGAGCTGTGGGACCGCCCGGCGGAGTACATGCCGGAACGGTTCCTCTCGGAGTTCCGCAACGAGGGCGTTGTTGGCTGGAAGGGCTTCACCCCCAAGATGGGGGCCGGGCTGTACCCCAGCGAGATCGACGCCGACTTCGCCTTCTTGCCGTTTGGAGGAGGCACCCGCAAGTGCGTGGGAGACCAGTTTGCCATGATGGAGGCCACGGTGTCCCTGGCAATGATGCTCAAGAAGCTGGACTTTACGTTGGTCGGTACGCCCGAAGACGTGGGGATGGTCACCGGCGCTACCATCCACACCAAGAACGGCCTCAAGATGACGGTGTCTTTGCGAGAACCGTCGTCTGCGGGGCCGGCGGTGAATGGCCATGCTGCCGCCGTCAACGGCCACAGTAGTACCGGCATCAACGGTGAAGGGATTAACGGCGTAAACGGCGCAAAGTTAGACGCGGCGGTGGCGGCTGCGAAGGCGGCGTCCAAGGCGGCGACGGACGCGGTCGGGAATGCAATGCCGGGGGACAGCAGTGCAAGTGTCGGCGAGGGAAAATGCCCGATGCACGTGACGACTGCTTCTTTAGAAGAGGGAGGGCTCCCATAGTTTTGAAAGCTTCGCCTGGGGAGAAATAAAGAGGGCTTCAACCGTGCCAGTCGTGGGTCGTTGCCTTGTCGTTGCCCTCGGGCGAGAGGGGTTGGTGTTGGAATGAAAGACGTTTTCATTGTGTGACGGACACATCCAACATCAGTCCACAGATTGCCCTTGGTTGTTTGGGTATTGCGGCGGCAGTGTGGGAGGAGGCCCATGTTTTCGTCGCAGAGCTTCTCCTCCCTCTTCCAGACCAGGCCGCCCCCCCCGCGCTGTATCCCCTAGGTCGTTTCGGTACAGTATTATCGCCGAAATGGTAGAGAAGCGAACAGTAGGGTGTGGGGAAGCTGCGATAGGGGGGGTGCACAGGTGCCACTGGAAGAGTCAAGTCTGATTCGAGTAAATTGACGGCTGCTCGGCTCAAACTTCCGTGCTCTGTTATACCAAAGTTAGCATATGTGGTGATAGCTTTGCGGAATTGCTCGCGAGATGCCGCAGACGGTTTGACGACACAAGTCGATGTTAGCGCGGGTATTGTTATCTCTGCTATCGAGGGGATGGCTTTTGTCTTTATCTCGCCTACTTTTTTCAGCGGGATGACTTTTACCTGCATTGAATGACGTGTGATGCAGCGCAGGCGGCGTTGCGGGGTTTTCGTGCACAACGGTGAGTTGTCGGTTCATGTCTTGAGTGATTTGAATCCTATGGCTGCCGCTTTGGTGCTGACGATGGGAGGGTGGTGGTGTTTTTTTACACGGCGCAGCTGTAGGGGCGAGTAAAAACAATCACCTCCGAGTGTCGATTGACCAACCTTAAGGCCGGTGTTCAATATTGGTTCGAAGCTGTTGTCGTTCCTTGTTATCCTTCAAGTGTTTAATTGGCGGGATCGATCGATGACCACTGCTGTTCGAGCGGAAGAAAGAAAATGAGGTATGTATCTCTGTTTTGTTGCGAGCAGTATCGAGGTGGTCTCAATTGGTCCCGTCTTGTGTATCATGTCCTTAAAGCAAGTGTGTGTGGTCGAGGTTTGTATGTGTCCAGTAGGATCGATCGATTGAGGGGGGGCGCACCCGGTGCTCTGCTCCACCAGTATAGTAAAAACGCGCGAGTTCTTGCTGTTTCGTCGCCACAGGGGGGCAAAACCATCCGCGGTTCGCTTCTCTCAAGGGAAAGCCGTTTCTCTCGTAGACCATGCTCTGGGAACTTTCATCTACGAGTAGGCTTAGCTTCCGTAAAGGGTTTTCCTACGTTCAAAGCGATTTAAGAACAACGGCGATCGGTGCCGCCGCCGATTTCTCTCAGGGCATATGTGGACGCGCTTGAAAGAAACAAACTACATACGATAGTGCACTCCTGTGAAGTTGTGTATATTGGCCCGGGGACCCTGCCTCGTCCTGAGCTCGCTTTCCTTTTTCCCCACTCCCCCGCCGCGCGAGAGAGAGAGAGGGATCTGGTAAGAATGAATGCCAACGTTATTTGTTGCAACAGCAACTGAAAATTGGAAACGACGTTTAGGGCAATCTGGTGCGGAGCCTGAGCGTTCACCCAAACGCCACGTTATCGTTATCGTTGTTAGGCCCCATCGGTAGTGGTGGTGGGTGGCGCCTTCATGCTTCATGCAACGGCGACAGTGGAAAAAAAATTCCACAACAATCGCCTGAGCCCCTGGAAATCTTGCAGCGATTTCGGTAAAGGTTTGAGATTATATTTATTTTCCTTTTTGGTATTTTTTTAGGACGAAACACACACGAAAAAAAATCGCTAATTTTTTTGCGGATGCTACAAAACCCTATCAACGATGAGAACGTACCAACGACACCTGTTGCTACATGTTGTCTTTCGTTCCGGTCTCCGCTAAGGACCTTCTCCGTACGGTCCAACTGACGCGGATGCTAACGTGGTCACCAGCCGACTACCCAAAGAGTGGCACACCTTCCTATGCATACGCATAGAACGAGAAACTAAAACTGACCCAGGAACAATCCTCCAAACGCGGTAATAGCATGTCAAACAACAATAACTAACTGGGAGACGATCGAACCCGGCCAAAAAAGGAAAAAAAATGAAGCAAGAAGCAGGAAGCAGCAAGGCCCCATCCAACGAAAAAAGAAACACATCTATGGAAGGAGCAGTCTCGACCGCCAGTCTACTCGCAGCCTCAGGATCGCTTAGATGGAGAAGAGAAATCAACAATATCCCTCGAGGCAAACCTAAACAGCTACAGCGGCACTACTCCCAGAGGCTTCAACTGGCTCGTTTTTCGCAGCCTCTCCTCCCCCCGTCTGCTCCGTTCCTGGCAAAACTCGCTTCTTCACTCGCATCGGCAGTCCATTTCGGGTGTGAATCGTGGCCCCCGTGTAGAACCCCACCTCTTCCGGCTTGATCATCAGCTCGAACTCGAACCGGCGGGTGAGCATGGCCAGGCTCACAACGCTCTCCATCATGGCAAACTGATCTCCCACGCACTTCCTCTGGCCGCCTGGGCGTACAAACGAGAGAGAGAACACCGCTGATTTAGGGTGTGGTGTTATCTTGTATGATACAACACCGTGCATTTTAGGTACCCTGGACGCACCAGGTGGGGTCACACACGAGTACGGAAGGCCACGAAGTTGTTCCTTTTATCTAAAAGAATTCAAATTACGTATGCATACCAACGTTACACCGTTAGTCCCTAACCCATGTCCCCAAGCATGAACCAACTACATGAAGGTCCTGTTGAGCACACCTACACACACAGGCACATCCCCAAACACTTTCACCCAAACGGCACAACACAAGGCTTGCCCACAAGGATGCTGCAATACACGGAGAGGCAAATGACACCCTCTCTCACCTCCGAATGGAAGGTAGGCGAAGTCGGATGCAATCTCGTTGGGGTACAGCTTCCCCTCCAACAAGTCGGGGTTGAACCCCGCCCAGCCCTCCACCCCCTTGTTCTGGAACGGCCTCTCGAAACGTTCAGGGTCGAACTTGTTGGGGTTTTCCCAGAAGTCCTCGGAGCGGTGAAGGTTATAGATGGCCAGGAAAAGGTCAACGCCGCGCGTGATCTTTGGTCGGTGGCCGTCGCCAGATCCGGGCGGAAGCTCATCTGACTCCAAGGCTCGGCGGATGAGCAAGGGCGGCTCGGGGTACATGCGGAGGGACTCCGCGGCCATGTACCGGATGTACTTGAGCGACCTACCCTCGTCAGAGGAGAGGCGCGCGCGCGGGGGGGGGTTGTCGAGTGCAGAAAAAGCGAGGTGTGACGAAACAAGCTACAATATTATAGGACATAGGATGAATCACGACTGGAACGGGATGGTGGCATTAATTAATCCTCACGCGAACAACAAGCGGTACAGACGTCATGCGCACGCCCGATGTACAACACTGCATACAAGTGCGCGGCGGTCAAGTCGTTTGATTTCAGGGCAGACAGACTAAAGTCATGCAGTCATCGCCAACAACGCAGGCAGGCTGTTGGCCCTTTCCCCCCCACAGACGACGCGCGGAACGTAGAGTGTACGGCGACGGTACAAAATACTGGTATAGTAGACTCACCATACTACAGGGGCAAGAAAAACCAAGACAATTGGGCAAGGATGCATTTATTCCTCCTCACTTGATGTCGTCGAGTGTAGGGACCCTGTCACCAATGACGCGATCCACTTCCTCCTGCGCCTTGCGGACAACCTCCGGGTTCTGCGCCATCTCAAAGAGTGCCCAAGTTAAGACGGCCGCGGTGGTCTCGTGGCCGGCGATCAGCATCGTCATGAGGTCATCTCTTAGCTGAGAGTCCGTGGCATCCTCCCCACGAAGGTCAACCAGGAAGCGGAGCATGCTCGGGTCTGAGACCTGACCGTGGCAAGGGTTTATCACGTTACATCACAGACAAGATCGCTCACATTAGTGCCACTCAAGTCAGCGCCGTGCGCCTACCTACCGCGGAGGGAAACAAACTTGTGAGTCACGCAAAACGCACTCGAGCACCCAAGTAGGCGTAGCGGACATGGACGGATCGTGAACAGGACCGTAGTTGAAACTGCTGTGAGGTGTGTATGTCGGAGCGCGGGATCCACGGGCACATTCAACGTGCAGGAAGGACCGATCGCTAGAAGTCTTCCGAGAAACTCGGGAGACCACTGATGGATACACGGATCCCCATCCACATGCCAATTGCTGGGCGGACCACTGTTGACACAACCCTGCTCACCCTCTAACTGGACCCTCTGTCCATGCCCAAGAATCAGCCGAGAGAACGACGACGGAAAAACTAGCAAGCTTGAAGCTTGACGCCATGAACGTTTGGTTTTTTCGCGCGACAAGCCACGAGGTACACATACGGTACGGCGATGTCCACTTTCAAAACACCATACACCGTTTAGGCGACCCCCCCAACACCCGCATACGCCAACAAACACCAAACATACCGGTATTACCCCGCCCCTGCCCTACCCCTGCTCCGTTCGAGATGACAACGATGGAAGACATTCTGTGCGTTTTCGTCCCATCTATTCTGGCGGCCGTCTACTTGTACATACCTTTTGGTGAATATTTAACGCATCAGCCAGGGCTACACTTGCCTGGCGGGAAAGCAACACAACGAAGCAACACTTGGTCGTTACAGCATCATCATCCTGCTGCTACGCCTCACCTTGTCGTAGTTTCTAGCCTGCAGGTCCTCCAAGTCAGCCTTGTCCTCCGAGCTCTTGGCCCGAGCGATGAGATCAGTGAGCACGGTGTTGAGGATCTTGAGGTCGCTGTTGAACTTGCGAAGACGCGGCACCAGCTGCAACAGAGGGAGCGGGATCGCGTCGAACGGCGAACGGCGAACACAGGTACGGTACGCGACGAAAAGGAGGCGGCGGCGAGACACAAGAGGCGAGGGACGACGGGCGGTCAATGTTGTGCTCAAGGCACGCCCTGGGACGGCAACGGCAGAAACGCGCGCTTACAGATTTATGTGTACCCTAACAGCGCGAAATTTGTGACGAGTTGAGGCCGACGCAACGTTCGAGTTGTTGGAACAAGCGTCAACTTGAGGTAAGGTATGCATGCTAAACGTGAAATCTGCACAATCTCAGTAGCCGATCATAGACAGAAAATCGCTTGTCATTGTCATTCTTCGCATGCTTGATCATGCTACGCTCGGCGAAAGCGCAAGAATGATGACGTGATGAATGGGCGCGAGAGGAAACAACTTGCATGTGTTTCGGCAGCCAGCACAGGCTAAACCTACCGCGATTCCTACCCAACACGAAAATCTGCCGTAAAGTTAGTCAAGAGTACCTGGTTGGCCAAGGGTAATTCCCAGTACGGTATAGGCGAGGTTGACCGGTGCTCTGTCTCTTTGAGCACGCTGTAGACGGACTGGATGACGGGCGACTCCTTCGTAACCGAGCCGAACTCGTAGTTAAATATGGCTTTCCCGATGATATCCAACGACACACTTTGTCCGGGGTTAAAAGCAATCAAGGGCCAAGAGCAGGCGCGGGGGCAAACGAACTTTTGAGATGAGCGACACACACGTTCGTTGAAACGGGGGCATTGGTTGCTTTTCCAGTTGGATTAAGGCGCTTCCGACAGTAGGTCGAGTCGGGAGAAACTGTTGTACTAGCTGTTGCCAGGAGCGGGGAGAGCGTACGAAGCAGACGTGTATAGTGCAGCGTCAAGCCCCCAAACAACTCCATACCAAGCGTCAACACACAAAAACGTTCTACCAACGATCAGCCCACCTAGCTGTTGCCTACAGGCTGTGCCTACACACGCCATGCTGCCCTACAAAACGCCTTGGCGCGCTTTTTCTTGGTCAGAGTCCGAGAACAATTCGCATATTTTTCTTCTAGCCTTTTAGGGCCATCTTGATGTTGTACAATTTTACACCCTGGACAAGACTGCTGTAAATATCAAGTGCGCACGTACATGTAGGCTACATGAGATCGTCAACATTTTCATCTGCACCGTACTGATCCTTTGGTTCACGAAAGACAAGCGCACCAATCGTCATGGCACCACTTCGAGCGTGTGCTCCATTGCGATATATCGGGGCGTGACAGTTGTGTTAGGCATGGGTGCTGTGTGTGGGAAGATGTTCGTGGCGGCGTGGAATCCAAATCGTTTTTCTTGGCCCGGGCAATCGGGCCGCATCGCCAGGCGAAAAAGCCAAACCGGATTTCACATCGCCACGATGCTCTCGCCAAATACAGCACCCATGTCCAACACAACTATCACGCCCAGAGACACCACAATGGAGCACACGCTCGAAGTGGTGCGATGGCGATCGACGTCCTAGGTTTCGAGAACTAATGTGGTGCTGTGCTCACATTGCTGGCAGTTGCACGCGGCGGTAAAAAAAACGAAACATGCGCGACAGAGCAATACATAGCCTCGTCACACCACAGAGAGTCCAGCGGCATCCAGCCCAGATGCTGTCGCCCGCTGTGCGTGTGCGTCGCCTGTTATGCGTACGCTGTCTGCTGTGCGTGTGTTGTCTGCTCTGTGGTGTCGCCCGCAGTCCCGCAGTGCGTGTGTTCTCTGCTGCAATTCGCTGACGGTGTGCTCCGAAAAAAATAAAGTGCATCTGCCTACCCCTGTAGTATAAAATCAGGTCGAATAAATACGCCACAACTGCTTCGGTGTTGTGCCGATCGCAACAGACAACACCGACGCAGCAACCACCGCGGAATAAAGTAAAGCGAAGCGAGTGCGGTGTTGGTCGATAATTTTACCTGCAGAAATGGGATTCCATCTCGATCTGATCGTCGCGCTGCGCCACGTCCTCCAGCTTCCCGATGAGAACGTTGTTGCAATCGCCGAAAACGCCAATCTGCGTAGCCCGCGACCGTCGTAAGGGATTGTGTCAGGGAACCAGGCGCACGAATAAGCTGTATATTCTATTCTAGGGCACCGACGACGGTTTGCTGTTGGTTGCTGTGCATGGTTGCACGCGAACAGCTTCTTCTTGCACGCGAAAACACGGAAGCTGGTAGCAGCCAGTGCTTCCCCCAACACCACACCACCAACCACGGAAGTTATCAGCAGCAGTAAACAATAATGCCAAGCAGAGGTGCCGGTCGCCCCGGTGGTCTAGTTGGTACCCTCGAAACCTTCTAGAGGTCAGGTTAGGGGTTCGAATCCCGGCGTAAGCGAGCTTTTCTTGCAAAGTGAGTTTTTCTCTCGCTTCCGCTCCTGGCCTAGTGGATAGCGCTAGTTCGTGTGTACACAGAGGGAAGAGAGTGCTGAACTCTTCTCGCATTAAAAATCGAAGGCAAAGTACAGCAGGAGGGGAGGGTACAGAGGGGCCCTTCTGTGTGACCACGGGTTGGAATAAATGGCACTAGTGCTGTGAGCGCTGATTTGAAGTGAAGACAAAAAAAAAGCAGAGATCGTCACCTCCGTAACCTCAAACCCTCTCTCACCATCGCGTTTAGCCACGCTTTGTGGAAGCCCGGCACGATCGCCCGGCGCCGTACTTTCCACGTTGCGGGATCGGCGGGGATGAGACCCTTCCCCATGACGGGTTCCAGGATCTCTGCCAAGATTCCCTTATCATATGCCTTAGCGTTATCGCGCAAGACATGTCGGATCATCACCGGGTCGGAGAGGACGATGAAGGACTTGGGGCCAAAGCAGAGCTTGTACGCTGGCCCGAACTGTCGTCAGAGGACGCAACGTACGCAAGGGTAGCAGGAGTGAGTAGGATTCGTCTACTGAAATAAACTCGCGTAAATTTCATACAGTACTAGCGCTGCTGTGCAAGGTTCCACGTTAAGTGGAGCGAGCGTGAGAAGGAACGCAAACGGTGGCTGGCTCAACAGCACGACGCGATGCCTCACAGGCAGGAAGAAGCCGCTTTAGACGTGGGTGCATACATCGCTCAATACACTGCTCAGGTCAAGTGCAGCAGTCCGGCTATTCTACAGTGAACGCCGCGGTGTCGCACGGTGTGTTCGTTGAATCAGTGAAACCTTTAAGCTCGAGCTCGGGGCTAGCACATGGGTGCACAGTGCACAGTTAGGTTTCTGCCATTGAATTAGTTCATTGCATTCAACCGCACAAAAACAGCATCAAAAGAAGGATACGAATCATGAGACTGTAAATATGTTAATCTGCAACGTAGTGCTGTAGGGTCGCACCATCTCGTAGTACTTCTGAAGGCCGACGAATGTATTCCCTGTGACCATCGAGTCCAGCTCCCCCTCCGCAACCGGGCAGCCATCCAAAGAGGGCTCATCGCCATAGATCTGAGAGATACGGCAGGGATTAATTACAACGCGCGTAAACATCGGCAACAGAAGTTTGGTCGGCGAAAGGTAGACTCGCTCGTGCTCGAGGTTGCCATTTCTCATGGTGCACGCGTACGAGACGATTCTCCACGCTTATTCGATACAGTATCCTGCAACAGAGGATGGACATCTCACTCACCATCCGGGTGCTTGTCTCCTCAACGACAAAGCAAACCTTGCAGGAGCTCGGAAGGACATACGGATTGAGCTACAAGGTAACAGCATCTTGTCAACTTTCACTACCGCGAAACAATACGAGGAGTATAAATACGGCAGGCTAGCTAATAAACCCTGCCCGTTGCTTAAGTCTGGGGATTGTGTCTGTGAAGGTTGAAGCAAATTACAGCTCCATCATGACTTCAGTGCCTTGCAACATGCTGAGTACATGCTACAGCAGTTTGAAGTTCATTTCATCGGCGGAAACAGCACGCGATAACACACAACAGCGGTATCAGCCGACACGACGCTATGTATGTATTCAGCAACCTCTACGCAACTGTTGCTGCTGCTGTGTGTAGTCATGTCTATTGATTACACTGATGTTTCGCATGATGCGTCCTGCAATACACTACCAATGCTGAGAGGTTTGGCTCATGCTCTCGTGGGTTGTGAACAAGCCGCCGGCTTCCAATCTTCCAATGCAGCCGTCTCGTTCACACTTGCGTGCAAAAACAAGTACGACAGGGCCAGGGAAATGGTTTGCATGCAGGGGTTGTACCTCACAGCAGTACAAGTAAATAGCTGTTCGCGCAGTCCCTATGTAATTCATGCTGCAAATTACATCTTCGGAGGGGTTCGTTGACGCTGCCAGGGCGGGAATTACGCAAGCCGTCACCGCTAACCCGGCCGACCTCTCTCTCCCCGAGGAAGGACTTTGTGCCCGCCGGGATCGCTGGAAACGCCGCGCACCCCATGGCAGAAGGCACGGTGCAGCTTGCGGCGGGCATCTATTGTAGCATAGCGCCAGGGAAGAACATGGTGGTACATGTTGCATACATATCGTCACATTTCGTTATTACACACAGGGTTTCAAGGGCGGCGTTTGCAGCGATCCCGGCGGGCACAAAGTCCTTCGTCGGGGAGAGAGAGATCGGCCGGGTTGGCTTGCATGATCCCCGCTCTGGCAGCGTCAACGAACCCCTCTCCGGAGAGGCGATTTCAGCAGTCAGTGTCCGCGGGGCCCACGACGGTTGCAGTTTACATCGAGCAGATACATTTGTGTGCATTCCTCAAAACGCGTATGCATACCAGTAGTTCAGTTCAAGTCAAAGCGCAGCGGCGTTGGTCTCGCCTGTTCTATGTTGGTGCGGAATATGTTGGCGGCGTCTCCGAACGTGCACGGCGACTGCCCTGGCTCGCCGAGCTCGAAGAGAGGCAGCTTCCACACGTTGGCCCACACCCACTTGCCGATGGGATTTCCTTCAAACACCTCCATGGTGCACCCCCCAGCACGAGCACCAGCCCTCGGCGATTGCTTCCTCACTTGGTTTGGTCGCAAATTGCTGGAAGCTGGTGCCGTGGAGGCCAGGGAGAGCGATCGTCATGCACAGAGAGGGATATGTTTGTCAAGCTGTGACGCCCGACCAGGCAGGTCAGGTGTGATCCTCTGCCTGCTGTAGCCACTGCAGTGCTACAGATCGCATCTCTGGCCCGCGGCATGACCGGACCCGCTCTCTCCCACATGGTGTTCATGAAGATTGGTGCTCCAAGCAGGTAGGCTACTGTACTCGACGCAGTCATCCTACCCTTCAAGCTTCATTGCGTCGCCGACTACTCACTTGCAGGGGTAAACGAAGAAGCGCGGGGTGCGAAGGCATTGTTCCCGGTGACCAACAAGGACAAGACGCACAGGGCGCGCCTCATGATGATGTATGAAGCTGTCACGGAGCCAGCACTGACCAGAGGAGTCCGGATCTCTTCCGGCAATTTCCCCCAGTGCAACCAGCAGCACGAGGAGAAGCAGCTCTCACACCCCCACACGCAATTAACCTACCTCGATGGCTCCCTCTCTGTACCTCGCTCTCTCTGTGTCCTTCTCATTCCATTGGAAAGCACCAGAGGACCAAGAGGCACCTTTTACTTTTCCTTACCTTTTCCTACGTTTTCAATCACGGAACCCCCGTTGGCCTACCCACCCCCGCTTTTCCCCCTGCCTGGTGGTACTGCTGTCTGTACCCAGTACCATGCACCAGCAGAGAGGGTGTTTGTCCAGTTCGTTCCAGCGAGGTGTGCGTTTGGACGTTGCCTCGTCAACGTGAGCGAAGTGCGAGACACACATCTTAGGGAGTAGGGGTGACTCGAAATAAACTCTCCAGTGTCCAGTACACACGAGTTCCAAGGAGTGGAGGGAGAGAAAGCAGAGATAGCCCCTGACAACACACCGGTCTTTCTTTCGGTCGACCACAGCATGACAACCAAAACTCGGGATCGGGGGCAAGGGGAAGAGATGGAGAGCTTGATGTTCCCGGGCGATGCCACGTCCCCGACGCCTTCTTTCGGTTTGTGGGACGAGATCGAGGTAAGCGGCAAGAGGGGAGAGCCGAGCATTTGCCTACGTGGAGTGACGTAAAGATTACTGCTGTAGGTCGTGAGGAGTTGTGAAGGCTGCTGTTGCTGCGGGTCTGGTCTGTGAAGATCGAATGTCAACAAGAACGGACGTTTCTAGCCTCAACCTTGATGGTGCAGGCAATACAAGCTGCCTCTCGAGATAGACCTGACAAACCTAAGCGGAGCCTGCTGACTCTTGCGTCAGTTCCGTGGTCGATGCTCGAGCCCACGTCGGACGGGAGCAGCTAGATAGATCGTTAGCGCTTTTCCGGTAAAAGAAGAAAAAACTGGTTCGAACCTGGACTGGAGTTTATTTCCTCCCCCTGTGGGCGTCTGCTGTGTTTGTTCGTTTGTTCTCCTCCTAAAATCGGTGTTGTTGTCGTTGTCGGTACCGGTGTTGCCGGAGCAGGACAACGGCAAGTTCAGCAGCTTGAAGAGGAAGCACGACGACACGCTGAGCGACGAGCTTCTCACCATGCTCAAGGTAAAAAAGATACATCCGGCGTAGGATTGGCTACACTGTTTATTTCCTCTCTCATCGTTTGCGATCTGGCTCTCGGTTGGTTTGTGCCAAATCTCGTCTCTTGTTCGAACACACAACACAGAGCCTTGACCTTGCGAGAAATTCCGGAAGAGATCTCATCAATGACGAGCAGACGCAGTTTGGTGACATTCTTCTGTAAGCAGCTAGGAATGGCATCGACTGGCGTGGGGCGATGGGCAGCATGAAGCGAACAGCAGAACCATATTGTCAGCATGTGTGCATATGCGTAGTAGTTGTGAAAAATCGCTGCTACTCTCCGACCGCAAAAGTCTGCTCTCTGCCGGTTCCTCCACCAAGACGAAATACTTGCTGACCGGTAGGTCGCGTGGTCGCCAAACAAGCAAGTCAAGATACAGATAGATGCGCACAAAGGCTACCATTGCACAGCTCTGCTGCTTGTACCCCGGTGGACAGAGAGCCACACAGAGCCAAGAGGTTGCCGCAACTATCGGGGGTTCATAGCCTATTCTCCGTCCTTGACGTGTGATCGGTTGTTGTTGTTGTTGTTGTTGTTGTCTTCACATTTAAAACCGTTCCGTTCTCTCTGCCAGTGCCTTCTTCTGTCGGTACTAGTCTACACTTGACGGGATCATTTCCCGTGGTCACAGGCTAACTTACCCAAAAAAGGTACCCGAAAACAAAATGGACCCGAAGGATCAGCAAGCCAATAAAAGTGAACTACAGATAGTCTAGGCCACTCCGCTCGCCTCTCTGCACTCTATGCGAGGTAACCCTAGATTTTTGCGGGCTCTCGGGCTAACGTACAAGTTACCTCGGTGCTTGCCTTTTGTCCCAGCGAGTTGTCTTGTCCCGGAGCGGTGCGGCCCTCCAGCTCTGGACCCTCTCCTTTCCCTTCTCTGGTGCATACCCCCACGGTGGTCACCGTGTTCTCTTCTGCTGCATGGCCCCGGTGTCCAAGCCGGGGCGTCTGGATTCAGTCTCATTTCCAGCTACCCAAGTCGGCTAGGTCGCGAGCTACCCCGATCTTGCGACAGCGGTAGTTCCCGGCCGCCAAACGCAGGATCCCCTTCTGATCAGTGCTAGGGACTGTGTGTCCGTCATTGTTGGGTGGTGTTTCGAGCTCTAAGTCCACTGACGGACCTCGGCCCACCCCAGCAGGGAGGGGGGCAGGCCGGGGGAAGGTAATATCGTGGTCATGTGATATTTTTCTGAAGGCATATGCTCACAGATCCTGTTCTGGAGCAGCCAACGTACGTGTGGCGGAAAGCGGGTACAGCCTAGCAGCGGGTAAATATGCAGTACATACTTAGTCTTTCTGAGTGTGTATTTACTTTACAACCAGCATTCGTGATACCTCTCGCTGCTGCTGTCCTTGGGAAATGTCCGCCGGAGATGTCCTGTTGTACTTGCTTTCGCTCTTGTACCCCGCTAAACGACACACTGGTTGCGCTGGCTTCGTACGCTACCCTTCCAAATAATAACGTAACATTCATTGTACTCTACATCTAACCTATGCATACACATGGTGGCCCGCCTCCTACATGGCAGTACCATGTACTTCAAGTACTTCGTACAGTAGCAACTATAGCGGTGGCACGAAAGGAACAAGGGTTGCCGCCAAGTGTGCATCGGCGATGGTATCCACACTACAGTATTGGAGCACAATACATACAAGTACGCAACGAAAGGCAAGCCTTGAAGGGTATATTGCGGATATATCCATGTGTATTGTAGAGGGGATCGATCATCCTGGACAGATGCGGGGAGATGTATCATCATTATCATTATCATCTGTCACCTCCACGTTCCTCCCCCTTCTGGAGGGCTACTATTGTTTGCTACAATGTAGACAATTAAGGCTCCCGGGGGGCTTAATGATAACGGGATCCCGATCGGCCAGCGGCGATTTTCTTCACTCATTGCAACCTTCACCTTCTGGACGTGTTTTCACGGGTGCCCTCGTTCGCCATGCCATATGCATAAGAAGTTCCACAACTTCGCACAAGTCTGTCTTTTGTTGTCCTCCACCATTGTAGACGGGTGGTGGGGTTTGAACTTTTGAATTGGGGCTACTTGCTGTAGCCAGGCATGTCGTCGACGCCAATGTGAAAGGTGAAAGAGGTAAATGGTCCCGGATGCGCCTTGGGGATATGAAACCTTTGTAGACGTCACCTCCACAGCAGCAATGCCGAACGAGTTGAACACCACCTTGCCCCCCCCCCCCGCCCCCCCCCCCCCCGGGCGTCTAAATAACGTGGGTCGTCGTGTCTTGTGTCACGTGTGTGTATTTCGTTGTGCTTGCGCAGGACGCGGGCTTGGAGAATATGGCGTTGGAAGTAGGCACCGTGCAGGGGGGACAGATCGCGGCACTGCAGGATGGAAAGGACGGAGGACTAGGTAAACATTTGCTGTCTAGTCTAGAGAGTGGAGTATTGTGTCGTTGTTTTGTATTGTGCTGCGGCGCGGGGAAACCTTTTTGTTTGAGCTGTGGCAGCTTTCTTTTTGTTTGTCGTCCAATGAGGGTGAAGCTGCTGCAATAGACACTCCCCGCATCTTGTGTATGGTTGTCCATGTAGTTCGCCCCCATGAAGTGCGTCCCACGTTCAGGTTCCAGTGTCAAAAAGTGGTCACGGGATGGGCGTGCGGCCAGCCTCGCGCTGTTGCTGCCGCACATGACGCGAGTTTTGTGAACCAGCACCTAGGGAACACTCCACTGGTATATTGCTCCTGTGTTTCTGTGTGTGTTTGTGCGCGTGGCCTATGCAAGTTGTTACGCGTACCATACGGGACCGCATGATGCATGATATCATATGATATGATCTGATATAATATGATTGCCGTACTGGCACGAGAGTTTCGGTCGGCAGCAGCGGCAGCAGCAGCAGCAGCAGCAGCAACCAACCGCCCACACCTTCACGCTCCCTCCCCCCATATGTGTTTCCGCGTGTGTATGTACTCTGCACAGGATCTGCAGCGAAAATGTTGCGGCCCTTCGCTGCAGCAGGCGACGCCACCTCCCCGGTAGCCATGACAGCGTCGGCCATCTTCTCGCCGAACCCGAGGGGAACAGCGCCCCCGCTCGACTCCCCCCTCCTCCTCAAGCGATCCCTGGGCTCCCCTGCCCCCCCGATGTCCATGACGGCTTCCGCGATCTTCTCGCCAAACCCTAGGGGGCACCGGGTTGGCGTTGGCGGGGGGGCGCTGTCGCACCTCACGGAATCTCCCGCGGCGATCAAGGGCACTGACCTGAGGCAGGCCGCCTCTGCGGAGTCCGACTCGCCTCCAAAGTCTAAATCCAAGAAATCGCGGCGAACACTCCCCCCAGCGACAGCCGCACCACCAACGAGAGATATTCCGCCGCCGGAACCGGTCCCACCCCCTCCGGCGGGCCGCACTCGGCGAGCATGCACCCACTACGGCGCGGATGCGCCATCTGACACGTGAGTATGGAGCGTGGAGCAAACGACGCAACTGCTGTTGGCGTCGGAAGCTGTCTTTCAGGTCACGCGCGTGGAATTTTTTTTCTTACGTACATATGCATACGTGTTTTTTAATGTTTTTGGATGTTTTTTCCTGTCAGGGCGCTGCAAACGAAGAGGACGAAGAAGCCGGAGGCCAAGCCTAACAAGGGCCTCCGACATTTTAGCGTCAAGGTCAGTCAGCCGGTCACTTCCGCAGGCAGCCACCATCAAAGAACACCATGATGTTCGTGGGAAGCTTACAGTACATGTCAGCACAACTTGTTGTGCCACGTGTTCTTCTTATTTGGGCGCACCGCATGTGGGGAGGTAGTTTGACAAGCCTTTTACGGGGGTAGGGTAGAGATGCTTTGAGATCCCCTGTTGGAGCGTGTATGGGTCTGAACGGCGACGTGGGAACACAGGTACGTACAATAGTGAAGACGCGGTGTTAGGGGTAACGACCAGCTGAGTTGTATTTCATGCAAACACCTGTTACTCTTCTTGTGTGTACGACCAAAGACTTTGGTTTGACAACAGTTGTAATTCTGCACCCGGGTGAGCAAGCCATCTTCGTCCCTCGTGACATCCTTCCCACTTGTTGGTCAAGGTTTGTCGGAAGGTGGAGGAGAAGGGAACCACGACGTACAACGAGGTGGCCGACGAGCTGGTGCAGGAACTCGCGGCGGAGGGAAAGCTCGGAACGGGCAAGGAACCCCACTACGACGACAAGAACATTCGGCGAAGAGTATACGACGCCCTGAATGTGCTCATGGCCATCGACATCATCTCCAAAGATCGCAAGGAGATCAAGTGAGCCTAGACACCGGGTTACTGCTACCGTATACTTCCATATGTTTTGCGGCGGCTCGGGGCGGCGTTGTTTTGTCCATCAAAGTTGCCGTTCGTGCGGCGGATGCATGTAGGTATGTATGTATGTATCGGCCTTTTTGTGACAGTGGTGGCGTCTATTTCCGCATGGGGTTCGATGCCAAGTTGTGTATTTTTGGAGCACTTTTTCGAAGCACCATGAAGATGGGGACAGTTTTTTTTTTTTACGGTTCTGCGCCCTCTTGGGTGCGTAGCAATACGCTCCTCGCCCTGCAGTACCCCGATCACCGGTCGTTGTTTCGGTACTCGGCCCAGCCAGGCTTCGGGCCTTGTCTCTCACGTGTTTCCAGTAGGAACAGCGTAGAAAAGTGGGTAAAGAGTTGACAGTTGTGCATTTTCGCTGCTGTTATCGTGACACAACTGTTTTCTCGCGCTACAACACCTACGGGCGGCGGCGGACGGAACGCAGGTGGAAGGGATTGCCGGAAAATTCCTCTCGATCAGGACTGAGGGCTCTCCAGCAAGAGAAGCAGGATCGCGAGCGCTCGCTGGACGCAAAGAAGAGTCAGCTGGCGGATCTTTTGGTACAGCAGATCTCCTTCCGAAACCTGGCCCGCAGGAATCGTTCTCGCGCCGCCGCAAGGGCGGCCGCTGCTGCTGCCGCGGCCGCTGCTGGGAACGGGGCGGAGTGCGCGGAAGAGCAAGATGCCGAAGAGGTTGCGGCGTCAAAGGTGAAGGCTTGTTGTGTGGCGTTGTGTTTTCTAGCTGGAGATACGTTTTTTAACGTGTTCACGTTCATGGTTGCTGTTTCGCTTGGGCGGCGGGCGAGGCGTTCAAACGCGAGGCCAAATGCTGCTCGATCGCAGTTTACGAAGATGTGTATCTTCCCCCACTGACTCGCAACACGAGTCTCTCACAACGTTGCATGGAGAGCCACCGTTTCCCACGATGCTGTACGCAAGCGTCACAATGCAGCAGCCTGAACGATGTGTAGAGCCGATGGCAGTGGTGTGCGAGGTCGCCTTGATTTCGGAAACGGTAGATACTGTCCGGGCCAACCGGGCGTTCCTTTTTCGTGTCCATGCCCAGTGTCGTCTCATGGGCTGAAATGATTATCCCACGACACGGCTTTCAAAGTACTGCAGCACAATGTGGTCCCCGTTTCGTCGTGTTTTCGGGCTGATTATTCCCCGGGCACCTGCTTGCTTACAACGTTTGTGTCGCTGGTGTGGCGCGTAACCCCGTGATCGACGGGGCAGATCTTCGTTCCCTTTATCGTGGTGAGCTCCAGTCATGACACCGTCATCCAGTGCGAGATGGCCGAGAACCGCGAAGACGTGTTTTTCAACTTCAGGTGAGATTCTTCAAAACCAAGGTGTCCCTTCCACACGAGCAAACACGCTAAAAATAGGTTGAGCATGTTGGTTCGCAGCTTGCCTATTATAGAGGGTCGGGCGCCACCCCAGGCTGCTGTTGCAAACTGCGCCCCTGTGTGCCGGCGTGCTCAAGAGATACCGCCTGCGTCCACTTTCCGTTGAAAGTTCACTTCGTGTAGTCGTGGATCGCACGAGTCTCTCCTCGGGGCCGAGCGCTACAAACACGGACCTTTCCCGCTCGGGTATTCACAAGAGATTTTCCCGCCCTTGCAACACGCCAGGATATTTGGAAAATGTTCATGCCTCCGACGATGTCCCCATGACCATGTTCGGTTCGTTGCGTTGTCACCGTTCATGCCATGCTAGCCACGAGTTCCAGATTGCGGACGACAACGAGATACTCAAGCGCCTGGGCATGCACAAGTGTCGGAAGCAGGTATTTGATTTGTGCACGTCTCTGCGTTCGCGGTTTGTGCGGCCGTCGTACTGGGTGTGGTGTATAAGAAACGGCACGAGTCGCCACGGACGTTGTGATTCTGAGGGAAATCGCTTTGTTTACGCCTGGATGCCTTTGGTGTGGCCTAACACACGACCGGGTATCGGCCTACCGCGGGCTTCTCCCTGTTTGTTTGTCAGGACCTTCCGGTGCTGCTGGCTCGGGAGCTCATACCGCGGGTACCACCCGAGGTGTACAGCCGTGACGATGCTGAAGGCTCTCCTTCGTCTTCTTCCACCCCCTCGTCTCCTACCTCCTCCTGCTCCGATTACTCCCCGACGTAGTCACGGTCACGTCAAGTTCAGCTGCCCGCGATATTCGTATACACTACGCTTGCCTATCCTGCAACTGGCCAGAGTTTTTCAGTGTACGACTTTGTAGCCATGTGCAAGGTGTGCGTGAGGGTCGAAAGGCTGGGGCGGGCGAAAAGGGTGCGCGTTCGCAGCGTGTGACGTTTGTGTCAACGTTGTCGTCGACACTTGTGTAGGGCTTTGCCTTCGATGTAATGGTGTCGTTTGTCAATGTGTGTTGTTATCGGGGACGCTTACGCGAGGAGCTCAAGTTTTTACCGTCCATCTTGCTTTCTCTTCCCTTGAGTTCGCCATCGTTTCGTTGACGGCTCGTGTAGTATCCAATCGGATTGAGGAAAATAAATGGGACGGATCCCCAGGTCTGGATTTCAACCTCCTGGTTGTATGTGGGCGCGCTAATTTATTACTATGTCATGTTTCGTGTTTTACACCGTTGTGGTTAATGTTTTCTATATGTAAGAGTTAGAACTATGTTGTTCCGAGTGTCAGGCTCACGGGAATCGGCCACCGCGCCCGGGTTTGTTTTCTCTAGAGCGTTGGGCAACGCGTGGCAGGGGTAAGGCTCAGCCCACCATCCATGTAGGAGACATGAACGTTCATATGAATGCCAAATTACACCACCAACGAACGTCTTGCGTTGATGGAGAAGCTTCTGCTGCGACGATATGTGTGTGTCCTGTGTTTTTGTCCCATCTAGTCTGGGCGCCAGTCTACACCTGTTGGGTATACGTTTGGCGTACCAGCGTCACACAGGAGGAAGGTTAAACACTCGGGAGTTTTTTGTTCTCCACCTGTCCGCTGCACGGTTATAGTGTGTCTGGCAGGGTTTTTTGGGCGGACTCCTTTGAGATGAGAGTGGCCGCTTTCTACGTCGTTTCTGTTTTGCTGTGTGTGTGAACGGGGGGGGTTCACGGAACTAGATCCTAAGGGCAGGTCGCCTAGACGAGCGCCAAGAGGCCTCTGCTGTTGTAGGGGGTCCTCTGTATATCGACCCCACCAACGGAAAATTCGATATTTCTCGGTAGTCTACATGTAGATCGCGATCGGTGCTGGTTGGGTTGGACTTGTCGTGTAAATATATATTTTGCAAGCGTGCAGATACTGTAGGTTACCCGCAGAGGAACAACACCAGATGGATGCGTACACCTTGTGTTTCTTGCTGACTGAGTGGAATAAAGGTATTTCAACACTTCATGGGCACGGAAGGCCAACGTCGCGAATATCTGTGCGGGTCGGGTCGGGGTGCCAAACAACCTGACGAGTGATGGCATCGTCGCAGATTTTTGGCCGTCTCCTACATTAGATATTCGAAAAACATCTAGTCAGAGATTTGCGGCCGCTCCACGAGCTGCCCTATGTAGGCGCTTCGAAGACTGTTGGGCTAGTCTATCGATTGAACGCAAGCCCTGACTCATTACTGCACTCACCCGCGCGGCCTGCGTTGCCGTGTCTTCCTTGGTGACGTGTAACACTTACGCAATATCTGCGAAGTATCTGCTAGGATACTCCTCTGAAGCCGTGCATGGTCGCGTCACTTTAGACTCAGCAGTTCGGTTGCTGATGGAGGCAAAAACACTGTCAAATTCAGCTAGCGCCACAAATAAGTTGTTCCAATTCCCTCCACGTCAACAACGAAAGCACGCGATTGGGAAGTGCGGCCTCCATGCCCGCCCGAAAGGCGGCGGCCTGTGAAGCATATTCCGAGGCTCGTAACCTGGCCAAACGGGCGCGATATTCGCCGAGATTTTGATTGGTCACGCGACGATCAAGACCTGGCGAGCACCATCCAAAATGTAGCAGGAACGAAAAGGGGAGGACGACGGGGGATTGGGTGTTATTTGTAGCAACCGCTAATAATTATTGCTGGGAGATGTGGGCATACATGCGTTTTACACGCCTTGATGAGTCATGGTTTGAAGCCTACTACACTATACAGTGGTCTGCCTACGTTTCGTTCTGTCTGGCGAAAACGCCATCGCCGAGTACCCAAGATACAACTCTCATCGAATTTCCATCCGCAAGAGAGAGGTGCTAACGACTTCCATCTTATGCATTCCAACTATTTGGCTCCAAAAAAACATGACGAACCACGATTACAAGAAAATACAACCAGGGTCTTCGTTGACTGCTACTACATACTATGGATACGCTCACAGATCGAAATATGTGCCGGCACGCTCGTAAAGTCGTCTTTGTGGTAGCGTTGAGAAAGTTTGAACGGTTCGAGAGGGAGTGATCCGGTGTCGCTATTCAACCAACCCTTGCCGCCAGTTCTCACCTCCGTGAACGAGTTCCTCCGTGGAATTCCCGCTCGACAGCGGAGCAACGAATCTTGCATCCGCGAGCACTTCGTCCATTTCTTCTTGCTTCAAGCCCGCTTCCTCCAGGTGGCTGAGGGCCGAAAGCACCCCGTCTATTATATATTTTGGCGGTGCTTCTTTTGTGGCGTTCGAACACAATCCCGTCCCCGGAGAACCTGCAAGCGTCCTGGTCACTCCCGGTGCATTTTCGGTGGCCGCTGAGGGACATTCGCCGTTTGAAACGAGCATCCACCACTGTGAGGAGAGATGTGATAAAGGCAACGGCACCCCTGTCCGAACGGCAACTCCGACGATGAAACCAAAAGATCGGTAGAGCGAAATCCTTTCGGGGTCCATGCACACCGGTGACAGTCCTCGAGACGTGAAATATGGATTAGGTACCGTGTCGCGAACATGGTCCCTGGGTGGGGTGTTCGCAGCAAAAGCGACACCGTCGACGTTGTTATCGTTGTTGACTGGCGCAGTGGGGTCAGAAGCACCCAAAGATGCTTCATCCGCGGGTGATGAAGGAGAGCGCACGAACATCGATATCGGCGACGAGCACACGTCTTCGCACACCTATGATAGTATTGTTGTTGCGGTAGGGGGTGAAAGGGTGAACGACGGGGGTGCTCAGCGAGTAGGTCGAGAAAAAAACATAGCCTTAACCTGACCCTACATTCATGACAACAAATACAACAGTAACGACAACATCATCAGCAATAACCAACCACAAACATCGATTGCAACCAAGACTTTCTAGTCTATGTTACCACCATGTTCTGCATTATCCGACGGGTTGGGTTATTGTTCACCTGCCAAAACACGCCTCGGTACAGTGCCCGTGCATCCGACATCTGAAGACAATCGCGGTTGCCACTTTCGCCATCCGCCAACTTGGAAGCGTCGACGAGCTCAACTGAAAATGCCAGCGGTCCCTCCGACAGCACGTGCTTGCCCCTGTTGGGCACCAACGGGCATGGCCCCGAACCGCAAGGGACAGGGTGGTCAACAATCGAGTTTGAAGGCACAACCTCAAGAGACTAAGTGACTCGGGCGCACGACGGATCCCCATTGGCGACCGGTACAATACCGCTGGGGAGCCGCGGTTGGTTGAGAGGAGAAAAACGACTCTTCTGAAATGCTCTCGAGTAAGATGATCGATAGCTCTTGACCAAATTGAACACGAACAAGTTACAGCTCGACGGCGCACCTTCCGGGGGTCGGAGGCACTAAGAATATATACGTGGACGTGGCTTGCGCCCCTCGCCCCTCTACGATAGAAAAGTGAACGATGTTCGGTGTCCCCCTAGCGTTGAGTATCTATCCCGTCTAGATGATTTCCGAGCGTATATCTCCTAAGTTCAGAACAAGGTGTACGCTACAAGGAACGCGTCCAAACCTGTGTGAGAGGTGTCTGGCGACCTGACCGAAGACGGACTTCTCCACTTCCCTTCTCGTTTCGCCCCAAGATAGTGGGCAGGGCTTAGCTGCATTCAAACGGTTGGCCGGGAATCTCGGCAGGGATTTGACACCGATTAACGGTATTGTGAACGCCGGCGCGCCATTTCCCAATTCAACCTCTGATGATGCCGTTGTTATTGGCCGAATTGCGCTTGAGACAAGTGACATGTGGTTACAGCGAACGCACAGAGACGGAATTTACGCGCGTCAGCCCCGCATACAACTCGAAACACGCGTGCTACACTCTTCACTGCCAAGCTCAGGCAGGCAAGGTCTGGAGGCTGGTTATCGTAACGAACCGACCACGAACGCAATTGATCACGACTACATAAACCCCTTCAAGTGTGGAAGCCTCACTCACTTGTCCAGAAGTTCAAGCTTGGTCGTTTTGAAAATGAGGTGCCTGAACTTGTGTATCAACGTACCAAGTGGCCCACGGCCACCTTGCGTAGTGCTTATGAGTGGCAGGAGAGGGAAAACCAGGTCGTCTACGTACAGCAAGAGGGCCGCCCGCGCCCAAATTTCAGCGGCGGCTACTGGATCCGTGCCAGGAAACAGTTCAGTCGATGACGGTAGCTTTTCGAGGACGTTGAAGGGCAGGTCCAGCGGAGTCGCAACTTCCATCGTGTCGGCCAATTTGGTGAGATGGCGACCAAGTTCCTCGTCCATTTTGGGCGTCCACCTCGACAGTACATTTCGGGCTTCATCTGTGCGGAGAAAGTCATCGACAACAGCGACCTCACCGGCCGTCTCGTGTTGGCCTGTGCTATCGCGGTCATCATCGACGTTAGTGGTCGTGCCCAGGCGTTCGACCGAGTCTGTTGGCGTCGTGTGACGGCTGATGACGTAGTCCTCGGGACGACTAGCGATCTGACGCACGGTGCAGCGAGACCAGGCTGTAATCTTGCTCCCGCTTTTCCCAACAAAGCGTTGGTGTGAGGGGCTCCACACGGTTGCAGATGTTGCGGCTGGTGTGTTGTTGCCGGTGAAGCCTCTACCGGCATCTCCATGTCGGTTGTCGGGCAGGTCCGAACCCCACGCTCGGGACCCCCTACTCAAACCAGGAGTGCATGCCGAGGCCGATGAGGTCGCCTCTACCGCAACCCAAAGAGCGTGGCGTGTTGCCCCTAAAACGGTGGCCTCCCCTTCCGCCGATAGGACGCGGTCTCCTACTCCGAGACCGAACAAATCTCGGCGAGCTTGCTCGGAGGTATCTAAGCGTACCGGCGCCCACGGCCGCACGGACGCTACGGACCTTCCATGCTCCCCCCGTGACCACCGGAGCAGGCGCGACCGGATGTCGTCCATCAAATCGGCCCTGGCCGGGCTGGGAGCTAATTGGCCTTGGTCGTTCAGGGTTTCGAGCACCTGAAGGGCCTTTGCCGCTCTCCGGACCACGCACTCCGCCGAAAACGTTCCATATAGCACATTCGAGTAGGTGCATGAAACATTCATTCCGCCCCCAACGCGGGTAGGGCCTCCTCCGTTCTTATCGCCGGCAGCACTCCAAGAAAAAGGGACAGGAGGTGGTGAGGAGTTTTCTTCCGGAGGTATGAAGGTGAGTTGATCGTTCCTGTTGTCGGGAAGGAAGAATAAGCGTGAGGGCGTCATCTGTATGTCGTTTTGCGCCGAGACGGACATTATGCCTTCCCCTGTTGCGTAATTACTGGCATACGGTTTTCGACGTTGCGCGCACTATCAGCGTCATGTTCTCACGCAAGGAATTTTTCGCTCGCTAGGGCAACAAAACATCGTACTATCGACCGTTCACCTGTTGTACATGGAAAACGCCGGGAACAGCGTGCCCTCGAGACCCTGCACTGCCATACCGAGGTCACGGCCGTTGCGGGCGAATCGGAGGGTGCCCAAGTCCATATTCAGTATTGTCTCGATGGTATCTCCTTCCCGGAAGAGGTCGCCATAAGACCGAACCTAACGACAAGACGTTTTCAATGTAAACGCTCAGTCCATCTGGATAAAAAACCACACAACATGCAAAGGTCCAAAAATTGCAAAAGGCGTCAAGAAACAAACACCAAACACACCTTGCCCTTGTTGTGCCAGATTGCTTTGTTCGCCAAGTACCCCCATCCCGATCTGTCCGAGCCGACATAGTTGTTGAGTGCCGACGCCGACGAAACCACTCCGACGAACACGTTCTTCGAGACGCACCTGAAATGGACACGGTGACGATTCGGTGACCCACGTTTTACGTTTCCGTACTTGATATGCTGACCTCTGCTGACCTCTTGTTGGAGGCCGACCACAGCCGTAAACGTCTTCGGTGTGGTAAGAGCAACGAACCAGGGCGAAATACTTTGAAGACATCATTCGACTCTAGACTAAGAAAACCTGCCTGTCGATACGAACTTTCCAGCGGTGCGACCCGCACGTGAATCCCCGAGTTGCTCGAACCGCGCTCCATTTCTTACGGCCGGTGTTAGTCACGGTAAGGTTGGAGTTAGTCAACCCAAGATTTGGCCCGCAGCCCTCCGCATCGAGCATGAACGGGACCTCTGGCGGGGTCGCTACGTTCACGGCAGCCACGATGGCCCCATTCGCTCTTCCCAGCACAAACTCCTCCGATGTGCTACAAAACCGGCCCCGATCACCCGTTGATGGCCACTTGAACTCATCTCCGTCCACACTATGCTTGTTCACGTATCTGCCCCCGGCAGACGGGCTGCGATTTGTCCCTGCCACTGCCCGCGTAGAGGACGTGCAACAACGACTTTCGTCGGTGAATACGGTAGTGCATCCCTCGGAGCACGTCGAAGTTCCACCCCCGTCTCCACCATGGCTGCCATCTATGCCCGTCAGAGCGCTTGCACCGTCCGCAACATCAGCTCCCAGTGGATCGGAACTCGATCCCCCGGTACCCGTAGAGTTTGCACCGACGGTGGCTGCCGCTGGGAAGCATGAGCGCTCATCGTCGGAAAATTCTGCAGCCACCGATGGAGATGCCCTTGAGGGGCATGTCTTGCGGCGCTCTAGTCGGAAGGAGTAGCGCGTGTCGGCTGCGAGGCCGTGAACTGTGAGGCACCCCCGACTGTCGAGGTCAAGGGCAGCCACATGAAACGGCTCCGAACCCCACAATCCGGAAGCACTCACCTGCCGATTGACGCAACGAACGGTGTACACTTCACAAGGTTGTTACAGCGCCCAGAATAGAACAAGGGGGAGTCACGCGCTGGAAATAAAGGAGTCGCGCCCATTATTCGTGAACTTACCAGGAGAACCATGCTTGGACCTTCATCTCTTCGTCGGTTGGTGGCGCGTTTGAGCTTAGAGCGAAGCGTTTGTGCCAGGTCAGAAGCCCTGGGCGCCTTACCAAACGCCACTGGAAGGGCCACTCCGTCGCCACCGACCCAAACCTGTAGCTCTGGCTCGCCACCGGTCTCAAACCAATCTCCCCAGCTCACCGTTACAGATGTTGCTGACACAGCCTCGACGAGAAGCGAGTTGTGATGAGCAGGGGTGAGGGCCCCCGAAAAGGGCGGAGTGTGCAAGCCTGATGGCAAGGACGTCTCACTCTCCGCTGTCCCCATCCCCCTTCCTCTGCCTGCCGCCCGAGAGTTTGTGTCCGGAGCTATCTCAAAGCCATCACCCCCCCCTTCGGCACCGGCAAACAAGCCCGTGGTCACGTCCCAGGTGTCGGCGCCATTTTGACCGGTGTGAACCCAATCCCCAGGAGATGGCGGCTTATCGGCACCAACCTTCGTTTTCTCCAGATCCCACCCTTCTTCTCGCGGCCGATTTTTACCGTTGACGATCGATCGCCGAAGTCCCCACTGAGCAAGCAGCTCTAGCTCGCTCTGAAGCAGAGACGACGACGGACCTGGCGCACTGATTTGGCTCCGAAGGCGTGATGAGAACGCTCGAGCCAGCGCGAGCTCTTGCGGTGGTAGTGTATATCCGTCTCCCTCGGGCGAGCCCAAACACGTCTCCGTCGTTTCATGGGAGGCGTTCGAAGAAGCCATGCTGCCGGGGAATATCCGCTTTGCCGGCCGAGAAAGGGTGAGCATGTTAGAGCAGAGCGTGTACGCCAGAGTTTGCAGAGACTCGTCCAGGTTGTTGCTGTTTGCCGTGCGAAGGACAGCCCCAAAAGCCTGAGGTGACCGTGCCGAGGGCACCTCCGGCAGCAACAAGTTTGCGTCGTCGCTGATGTTTTCGTTTTCCGCACTTGTCGTCCTGATACGCTCAGTCGAAGGGTCTCTTCCATCACGAGGTGCATAAGAGGGACCGTCCATTGTGCTTCCCGCACTCTCCAACTTCAGCATCGTATCCAGTACCCATAGTGCCCACGAAAAGTTGGAACGAAAAGCAAGCAGTTCACTTACGCTTGTGCCCCGACCCCGTCCCGCGTTTAGCTCTTCGGTGGGTAGTTTGTCGGCGCCCGTGGACCCGACGTTTTTGAGGACCGGGCCGGTTTCAAATGTCGAAATTGCTTCGTGAATGAAGAGTGTCAAGAGACGAATCAAGGAAGGCATTCTTGCGTTTCTGGCAACGTCGGAACTTCGTGAACTTGAAGGTGTTGGGTCATCTTTGGTCCACTTCTCCGACAACCGCTTTGCCGACGTCCAAGCTTTCCATTCATCCCGAGGTTTAACCGAAGCAACAAGAAGCTCGATCAGAGACCGCATCGACATGAAGTAGGACCTGGGAGTGACGTTAAATCGTCAACGAAAGGGGCGGCTACTGCATCAACTCTTGTCTTATTAACTGTGTTGATGGACGCAACAGTACGTCAAATAGTTTTCGCCATTTACGAGATGTTTAAACTTTATGTTGCTCAAGTCCACCCCAGCAACGGCCAAAGTGCAAACTTCTGGAGGCTCAACAGTCGCACTAAAGCCATACGCCAACTCTTACGCCCACACTTACCCTGGAAGTTGCCCAATCGCGTCGGTAACATTTGCCAACTTGAAACAAACGCCAGGTGGACAGTCTTTTGTGGATCCGTTACACCCAGTGACGCCGGTAGTGCCTTTTCCAGCTGCTGCTGATTTATCTATCGACAGTACATCCCCCGTATGCTTCGATCGTGATGGTACGTACCTGGGCGCAAGCACAGAAAACTCACGGTTAACCAGGCGATATCGCGGGTACCCAAGGGTCTCGGCACAGCAGTTCGGCGTTCTCGCACAGGAGTTCGGGAATAAAAATGTCAGAACGAAACTATTTTCGATTTTTGCGCAGGGGTCGGAGTTTTCGCGCAGGAGTGCGACAAATCCGGGAAACCCCCAGTTCGGGGTTGAGGTTGCGTGCCGCCACGAGTTCCGGGACGCGTCGTGAGCTGTGCTGTGACGGTTCTGTTGCAGCGCTTTAACTCCGTTATTTTTTGGGCGGGTTTCCATTGCTTATTTTGTGCATGACACGTTGCCGATGCACACGTAGCAATGAGGAAGTAACAAAAACAAATAGCACACCAACACACGCATCTCACCCTATAACCTGACGATAAATAAGATAGGCAACGACAGTGGTATTACGTACGCTGCCGGAGATGGAACGGCAGAGGGAAACACTCCCGCCACGAAGAAGCTGGAACGCAAATTATATCATCAAAAGCCGGCAACTACACGTCGTGGGACTTTCTTGCACACTGCGCCGCAAACAAATCGACTTTCAACCGCGCCTGTCGCCACTAAATAGCTACTCGTGGCGGCGTTCCAAGCAACCAAGCCGCTACGAACTAGAATTGGACAGTAAGAACACCCACCGATTTCTTCTGATCTATCTACGAGTAACAGCCACTCACTGTGATCTGATTCAGTATCACCCAGTCGGGAGTTGTCGCATAGGAAGGGGTGCGTAGAAAATATCGTGACCCTGTGCAACCCTGTGCCATCCATCGCTTGCAAATTTGTGGTATTCGCCGACCGAACCGGATGTATCGATACACAGGAACAGAATTGTATACCTACCATATCACCAGAATCCTGCGTACTCACGTGCGATGTTGTAAGAGAACAAGTCAAACCAACTCGGGAACTCACCACGTTGCAAACACTTTCGTGAGGTCCACAATGCTCCTCTGGCTTTCCTCAACTGCCAGCATCTGAAGTATTCCGTCTACCACCTCCATTGCCGCCCCTGCGCCCCCCCACCCGCCCCTCCAAGAGTCACGAACAGGCGACGGGCTGGCCATCTCCTCTCGAACACTGACGTCGCCAGGCCCGTTCGCCCAAAGCAACGATGGAAATCTGGCAGCTATGACGTACGAGTGGCACCGGGGTATCCACGTGCCAGTTGCTGCCGATATATGCGAAAACAGGTTGACAACTGCTGCACGAGCGAGGAGGATGGACAGGGCCGTTTCGAGAACACGGCTAAGGGATGGGAGGTCACGTTCGTCCGTTATCATGGCCACCCGTTTTATTCCGTAAGATGTACTTCGAAGCCCGTCGACCATCGCTTGACCGTCCTCCGCAAGGAATGGAGGCGCGGTTGGAGATGAGGCCGATTTTATTGCAGTCCGCCCGGCTTCCGTCACCGTGCCCGGCGTGATACTTGCGCGTCCATATGAACTAGGTTGAAAAACTGCAGTTGCTGGGGACGCGCCGATGTTGCGAGCAAGGAAGCCTCTCCTAACCGCACTGAGGCACGCCAAAACAACGGAAAGTGCGGGTGGTGAGGCAGAACACAGACAAATACAACGGCAGGCAAGAAGCTGCAGTGGATCCTACCACCAAGTGCAGGGACAAAGCATATTTCGAGCACGGTTTGTCCAGTAGCATTGTTTGTTCAAAGTGTAAAATGATGATGATGAGGATTTTGACGACAGGCACGCGATCGCCGTGCTTCAGGGACAGGAGCCGTCACCTGTACATATCGTGCCACCGACGATCACCAGATTCTTCGTTGTTTCGAACTGCGTTTTCGTGCGCCTGCCGCTCCACTCCCGCGGCATCCGATGCAAACGCGAAGCCGCCGGTGTCTGCATCTCCGTCGTCACTCTCCCCTGCGTCGTTGTATTCGTCACCAATACCTGGTAGACAGGGAAGATGTTGGGCCATGGTTAAAGCACGTACGAACTGCACCAACCCATGCTTGCCGTCTTCATCTAAGCGATGTATACCTCATACCGCTTGGATACAGTCCTAATTGTTGAATGGAGTCTTCGAAACTCTCACTCTTGACTGTTCCACGCTCCTCACTTGTGCTTATGGGTCGACTTTGGACTAGCAGCTGTTGCGTGTACCATAGTGCCAAATGCTTCCACCTGAGTTTCCGCCGTTGGAGTCTTCCTCGCAAGACTCCATGGTTCCCATCTCTTCCTCCATTTTGGTGTTTTCGATTTCAAGTCGATCGATGATCCATGCTGTAGCAGCGCTCTCACTCATGACCGGGCCTATGGCAGGGCGCAACGGGGGCACGGCAGAAATTAAGTATTTCTCCCGATGTTAATGTGTGGTGACTTCGCGATAGATCGTCACCAAGCCCAAGTCAAACGTCATGGACGGGAGCGGGTGGGTGACGCTTCCGTCTGATATGTACCATCACTTACCAGGTTTTCCCGCCGCTCTGATCGCCCACTCGACTGGGAAACCCATCGCGATCAAATTTTCCACCAATGCCTGCCTCTCGATCTGTAATTGGGAAACGTCCTCGCCCTCCCGTTCTTGCCCGTCTTCGCCACTGGTGGAAAAAGCCTGGCCATCGCCGGTTCCAACTGCTACATTTGTACCTCGAACTCTTCCCAAGGAGACCTCACGATGGTGCTCATCGCCGTTATCAGCGTTTTCGGCGTCTTCACCATCGATACCTCGCACCGGAAGCTGACAAGACCTCGCACTGTCGGCCGAGTTGGGACGTGTTGCATCGTTGGCTGCCAAGGCTTCCGAGACTGGCTGGAGCGATGAACCGCCGTCACGTATTGGAGGGAACAAGAATGGAGCGTGTCCAAAGTTGAAGTGGGCTCCCTGACCCACGTTCATTGAGGCTGCAGGGTACAGCCCGCCCATTGCGAACCCAGCGAACGCCACCCCAAGATCGCGTCCGTTCAAGCTGCGTACGCGAAAAGCAATTCGAACAGGCGAAATAATGCTTTGTGTTCCATGTGCAATAACTCTGATGTTGGGTGTGTGTGAAATGAAATGAACAAGATGAACATGACTCCGGCAAAGGGCTTGTGCAGGGCATAGCCAAAGCTGTGGCATCTACTCCCTGCCAAACGTCATCTGCACTTCAGTCTGAGGCTACACGAAGCTTCGTTACTACACCATTCTGTCTTGCATTCCTCTGCATTTATCCCCTACCTGAAACGCATTTCCTGAAGGCCGGTGTCCAAGAGCACACCAACCACATCGCCCGCTCGCCATCGCTCGCCGTACGGGGCTGAGGACACACACCATCGCTTTTGGCGGAACCCATCAAATGCCCACGAATGCATGTGGTCTCCAACACCCTGGCCTCTGGTGGGGCTGCACTGAAAGAGTGGCCCTGCCCACCCCAACTGCATGAGGCCTCCGGTCAGGAGGGTCACCTCATAGTACCACCTCCCCCCAGTCGATCTCAAGCCCACCCCGACGTGAGATAAGCGGATGGTGGGAAAATGAGAAGAAGCACTTACACGGTTGCCCTCGATCACCTCGACCAGTGCGTCGCCGCCCATCACCTGCAAGGTCGGACGGGACACACTGGGCCCAAAGCTGTCGGCCTTTCTTCCTTTCATGCCACGAGGTGATTGGTGCCGTGGCTGATGCCCTCGTTCGTCGCGTTTCCCCAAGCAAAGCCTGTTCCACACAATATGACATGCTGATTCTAGCTCACAGAGCAGGGAGTTGTCGCTTGCTAGTCTTTGGTCGTGGAGAGATAAGAGGACAGCGGAGAAATCGCTACGTCGCCCGAAAGCGACAGCGTCATCCGAACCCAACGCAAGAACAACGGCCGACGCCAGCGTTGATCCACCGAGAGCCATGAGCGGTCGTATAACTTTGGTCCGAAGAGCTGCACCGGCCTGGTCAACGTGGCTGAGTTGTACAGCTAAAGCTCGGATGAGTCGGCACCGGAGGTGCGCCTCGACGACGTTGAGTCCGATCTGGTTGGATATATCCCCACGTGGTTCGTTTTCGTCATCGTTGGTGTAAGCTACCCTTGCCCTCGATGTTATTGGCGAACCGAGAAAGGTGAGGATGGATGGTAAGGCCTTTTGAAAGAAGAACGGCGTCACTATCTCGGTTGCCTCTGCGTGGAAAGAAATCTGCAGAGACCGAACAGCTAGCATCAGCCCACTGTTGCTCCCAGCTTCATGAGATGTCCCTCGGCAAGATGGGTTGTTGCTGAAGACTTCCTCAATACAATCTCTGTATCGGTCATCGACAGCCACGAACACCACGCCGTCCTGCAGCGTTGGTCGCTCGCTCTCGTTACCCTTCATCCACCCGACGACAGTGCCACAGCACGCGCTTTTCACCGCTTCCTCGCCTAGGAGTGGAGTTTCGGCTGACATGCAGACGTTGCCAAGCGTTTCATGTAGCAACCCTTTGACGTTTTCGCCCAAGTGTGCCCCATCCCACGCTTGTTTTGGCGGGCAACCAGCCTGTGCGGTGTGTGGTAAAAGCACTACCCTGGCGCCGACGTAAAGCCCTTCAATGTGACCACCTCCGAGGTAAGCCGCAGCTGCTGCAGCGCCAAGCCACGTTGACGAGCGGTCGTCCCTGTTCGCATCAACCTGTAGTTCCCTCTCAGCCGAGTTCGACAGACCAGCAAACTCCCCCTTGGCAAAGGTGGCAAGCCCGTCCGTCAACGCCGCAAAGACATGCTCTCGCCACCGGTCTGGCACCTCCTTTACAAGTGACCTAAGCAGTAGTACGATTTCTGATACTATGGATGAGTCTTGCCGTAGTTCTCCGTTTGGAACGTCTCTGCCAGCGATCAGGACGCGATCGCTCCGATGGCAGTGGATTAAGGGCATCAGCATCCCGTCAAGCGACCCGCATAGACGGTTGACAATCGCACGGTCACTGAAGTCTTTCGCGGAGGAGCGAGAAGGGGGGGGGCTGCCTGGCAGAGCCTTTGGTGTCACTCTCTCGCAGTCCGCACGCTCGCCAAACGCTTGGCTCGGAATACACAACAGCGGGCGGAGCAAGCGCACAATTGCCCTTCTGACGTGATGTCCAGCGACTGACTCGAGATCGAACCAAAGGAAAAGCCATCGCGGTGTTGATAGCATGGCAGCAACCCGCAGGGAGCGGGTGGTCAGTTCTTCGGCAAGGGCAACAAGACGGGCGACGTAGCTCTCGGCTGCACGCTGGGAGTTCTCTCGCTGTGATGGCACGCCAATGTTTGCCATTCGGCGAGCTCGCTCCGGGGAAACCTCTCTCGGGTGCCAATGAAGATCAAACACGGTGGGTGCGTTTTCCCCCTGGTCGCGTTCAGAACGTCGATTGTTTTTCGTTGGCAAACACTGATGTCGGCCTCCAAGTGCGCCTTCACCTTGCTTCGACGATTGGTCCGATGGAGGTCTTGATTTTGTCGTGCAACTAGCCTGACTGGAACAAATCACTCGAGTCGCAACCACCCTTCCGTTGAAAGTGATCTTAACATTTGCGGAGGAAAGTGTACCACCGCTGGAAGTACTAGCACCACTGAGTGAAGAACCGGCCGCGCCGCCCCCTCTGGTATTCGAGTATGCGCTACAAGTGACATGCGTCCATTGTCCTGAAGGAAGAGGACACTCGGAGAACAAGCTCTCTTTTTCGAACTCCTCCCCCATCGAGCTTTCACCGCTTTCAGCACTCTTGTGTTCCTCATCTTGTCCGTCCGCAGTTGAATATCCAGGCGTTGGAGCAAGGGTGCAAGCACGGCCTCTTCCGTCCAAGCCCTCGCCCTGAGTCGAGTTCCCTCTGTCCAAGTTTTTTTGGTGGTCTCTCCTCTCCGCGGCCATCTCAATGTACACCCTGGGCACGTCGTCATCGGGCGTACCCGTTTTGTCGCGTGGCAAGGGCCGACTCAAAAAGATTCCTAGGGAGCTTCCAGGTATTCCGATGCAGGTCTTGACTTGCGAGGACGCCTTGCGGAGGTGGGTGACAAGCGTCCTCCTCGAGCCGCAGTCCAGTGCATCGCTTCGTGTGCTCGAACAACGTTCTCCTCGAGACTTGTCGAAACCTTTGCCCGGATGCTGAATAGTGGTGCAACTCGGCCCCCAAACCCAGAAGCTCAACCCACACCCATCATTCCCATCTTCTTCACGCAGATCAGTGCATAATCCAGTCACGGGAAGTGGAACTGACACCGGGCCAGAGACGAGCCGCACAGCTCCGGTGGCCGCAAGCGCCTCTTCTTCATCCCGCCTTTTCTGTTGCAGTTTCTCCAAACATCCTCGAGCACGCGACAATTCGTCATATACAAGCACCAGTGTCGCCTGAATAGCCGTCCATGGCCCGCCACCCTCCTTCGGGCTTGACGCGGGGCGCGGGTGGTGTAGAGATGAGGCACCGCCGTGCTTGTGCGTCGCCCACGAGAACGACGACGAGCATAGCCGCATGGTGACAACGCTCAAAGCTCGCCACGCGGCATGATGAACTGTTCTCTTCATGCTATCTGGGTTGCTCGTGTGATGTGCGAGAGCGTCCCCTTGGCCGCTCAGAATGGATCCCAAAACGGAAATGGCCGCAACAACCGCCGAAATTGATCCCTGATCTGGATCGAGAGAGGGCTTCAACTCGCTTGCGTCGACAGAGGATATTGAAGGACACGAGGAAGCTCGGACTGACCGCCCTTGTTTGTCATTTCTCGCCGATTTAGCGGGTACTACCACAGCTGGGCGAGGGGGAGCCGACCCTGACTCTCCGTTCGCTAAGCGGTTGTCAAGCTGTTGCGCGAAGCTCGTCGGAATAGAATAGTGTAGCAGATGTGGAGTCATCATCATGGCTAGGGTCCGCAGAAGGGAGAGAAATACCAACAAAGATGTGGAGCTTCTCGTTTTGCCCCCCTCTTTTGACTGAGTCCCAGAATGCTGTTGCCTAACCTCGTAGACCACATGACGAAACAAATCGAAGAACGCCGACCGTACACTGACAATGGCGACATTCCCTCCTGCCCCGATGCCGTCGAAAAGGGAAGGCTTGTCAACTCCGCCGCCAACGATGCCCAGGGAACGTGCAAGCCTAGCTTTAATTTGCTGCCGAGCTGACGGGATGCGAACTTGGTTGACAATAAAATGAACGAGCCGCAGGCATGAAGCACGCACCTGCCGGTGCAAATCGGCAACAGCCATCGAGGAGTATCGCACAGGCAGGCTATCAGCTCTACGAAAGCGTCAACAACACTACATGAAGGTACGTTTCGATCAGGAACTTATGGCGGTGGGTACTCGGGAGTTGGGGGAACCGGTGTGCGACATCTTACCTTTGCCCTCAGTTCGTGCAAACGCATCCTGGCCTCTATTGCCCAATGAGGGATCGGGTTTGTCGCGAAAACAACCAATGATTCTAGACTGGTGCTTCCTGGCGGGTGTGATGACTTCTGCTCCACCATTGCGGCTGATAGAGCTTCTTTCACGCGCCCTTGAGTCATGTGCTGCACAATGAGCACAAGATCAGCGGCCGAGCCTTCATCAGGCGGATGGTGGAGCCCTCTGGGACTGGCGCTTGAGTTTCTCCGGGCATCGGTAGCCCACCTACGCAAAGGGTAGCATCATACATGCGTGTAACCATATGCATATGATTTCCCTGCGATGAACGTCCGGGATTTCATAGTACCAGCAGTCAGTGAAAGAGTCCATGGCATGCGCGGTGAACGACAGGCAGAGCCTCTTGTCTTGCAGCCTAAGTCGTCTTCTCCAAAACAGGTCGTAGAGTTCGATGATACCAGCAAAAACTTCTTCGCATGCTGTAGAGTATGACAGTATATATTTTGCCCTCTTGATTACACTCGGGGGTTTAGTCGGATAAATGGTATAGCTCAAACCATATACTGTATCAATTCAAAGCCAAAATAGCGTGTTTTCTACCACCGGGTTGCTGCACAGAGCGCCGGTGGCAAGATCTCACCTCCTCAATGCTTGGGACAACTCTCGGCGAGTTTGCCGGTCGTCGCTGGGTAAGCGACTAGCAGAACGCTCTCGGCGGTATATCGGCGCTTTACTTTGGAACGTTCTCCTGTGGTAGCACCAAACGACGGTTGCTGAATACGTTGGTAGAAAAGCGAAAGGCCCATCTCCAAATTCACACGGCACTGGGATCGGACAAAAGGGGGGTCAACAATGAAAATTTCATGTTGGGGAACTGTCCATCCCTAGTGACGTGGCTACATCTTTCCTGGGGCCCGGTGTGAGTTCGAGCAGGAGCATGCGGTTAGCACCAGCAAAACGTTGACAAATAGCCCGTCCACCAGGGTGACAAACTCACGAATCTTTAATCTTCACAACATGCGATCAGTTACCGTTCGCGTGGGCATGACGTAGTAGGTGGGTGTGGTTTCAAGTGTTTGGTCGCGAACACGCCAATGTTATTTCCACGACATGTGAAACTCTCCACTCCGCCCACTACCGAACAATACTGGCAACGAGACTATGCATAGCTGTGGCGTACTGACCAGCGGGTACGGCTGGTTGCACCTTGCTGGTAAGACTCACCGCGCAAGGTCGATCGAAGGTAGGCGGGTGGAGTATTTGAGAAGAAGGCGGCAGTTGCGGACAATGTTTGTAAGCGTTTCGGCCGTCTGTTGTAGACCGGTAGCAGCCGCTTTTTCTCGGGTTTCAGCGCTACCTTGGTCGTTCCGTCCCGCGCCGCCTTCCTCATTCTGGTGGTCGCGTTTGTCAGAGGAAAACTCTAAGTCAGGGTGTTTGTCCCCCTTCAGCGAATCGGCAAGTCCTGCCAGCACCTCGCGCACTTCGGCAGCCGCCGAAGCTATCAGCTTCAGTGCCCGAGGAGGAGAACTCGCACGATCAAGCCTACACCTGCACGGGACAAAGTGGGTGAGGGAGTGAGCTGTTGTATCCAAAATACCCACAACCCTCTCACGACCAGCTTGGAGGGCTCAGTAGAAGTGGCGTCATGTTGGATTGGCCAACAATATCCAGGTATGCGCTATATATAGTCTTTAGTCTGGAACGAGGACATTCACCCTAATGCCGACGTGCTGTAGCTGTCACCTCTAAATTATTCTCTCACCTGGCAAACGTAGCAGCTTCGGTCACTACCCCGTTGCTCTTGATGATCACTGCTACGAGAGCCCGAGTAGCCGCGTCCACGTCGGACGGGAGTGCTCTAGATCGCCGCCGTCGGTGGCTGCCTTCACTGTCCTGTTGATCAGGTACGGGGTGAGAACTGAGCGACTGGTAACTGCCCCAGCCTTGCCCCTGTGTGGCCAATGACGTTGCGTGTAAGACGGGCAGCTGGGGGGCCGGTGGGACCGTCATCCACTGGTACAGGGACAATGCCGCGCCCTGCCCACAGAGCAGGTCGTTCAGGAAACCCTGGAGGGGGTGGGAGGGGGGGGGCAACCAAAGGAAGTGCACAGGTCAGAGGAGCTCGATTCAACGTCTTCGAAGAACACACGTGTTCGGTGGCCAAATAGTGCTTACTTGAGCAAATTGGGGCGGACAGCAGCTTTAGCTTTAACACAACCGTGAAAGCAACTCGCGGAACGTTTAGTGAACGGAGAAACAAGCCTCATGTCACCATCATCCTCATGCGTTCCGCGCCGAGGCAATCACTTCACCTCTGCGCGAGCGTCGTCTACGATACTATCTAGTTGTCGCCCAGGAGCTCCGCCGGTTCTTCCCCCGTTCTCTTCTGCCTCTACCCCCGCCCCGCCCCCCGTAGGCCCTCGGCCGCCCCCTGTAGATCCTCGGTTTGCATGGCAAGGCAAACCGTGCGGAGAGACACGGGCGTCGATGGGGTTCAGAGCGGCGTTGTCGTTACTAGCCCGGCGGCGCCCTCGAGCTAAGCTGTTCTGAGGATGGAGTTTACTCGGTGTCGGGTTGGGTGTGGTCGGCTTGAGCGTTGCGCATCCGCACGATTCTTTTGTGACCCCTTCTTGCAATTCCATCACCTGGTGGAACGGCGCATCCCAGGTATGGAGGAAGGGTTGGGTGTCATTTATTGGTGCAATTGGTCGCAACTATTTATTGCACACCTTTCGTTTTGCCCTAAGTCTGTCGGTAGTATTACCTTAAGAGCTTGAGTGAAGACGGGGCTATCCAGTTGCGAGGGACTGTCCTTGGTGTGTTGATCCGACCAGCTAAACGTCTCGCGTCCAAAGGCTAAAAATGGCGACGATGCCAGCAACATCTCCACGAGCTCCTCACTGTCATCTTCGCCCCAGTCACGCTCCCGGTCACAGCCAGTTTCGTGGGAACGACGTAAAACAGGCTGTCGCGTTTTGATTGAGTTCACGTCTATCAAGCTACACACGAGGTCTGACGAGAGCTGGGCGAGGGCCTCCTCGAGTTGAGCCGACCAGTCCGATGGTGAAGGTTCCTCCCTGACTGGTGTAGCGTCCCCTTCCGTGGAAATACGGAGGCCGTTGAAACGGTCCACGGCACCCATTAGCGGCAGAACCAACGGCAACAGCGCAGCTGCCCGGGTCAGGCGGTCTTCTCCTTCCGTCGGGAGGGAGGTTATGGAGATGCAGAGTGCAGGGACGAGTGCCACAAAGGAATTCTTCAAGACGCCGTCAGATCGACTACCATGAGCACCGCGGGTCGTTTGGTCCCACTCCGTGAGCAATCTCGAAAAAATATGCTGGCTCTCTTTGAGTAGACGTGAGGCGTGGCTAAGTGACAATCCACGAGCAGCGGCTCTTCTCTCGACACCAACGTCTGCGTCACCCCAGTAGGCTGTCACATGTTCCTGAAGCACTAGGAGCAGGCGCGAGTACGGACACCTAATCACCCCTGAGCTTCCGAAACGATGTTCGTTGTCCGTCCGACTTTGATGGCGTGGTCGTTCGAGGTTTTCGAAGACGGCCTTTTCTGAGACGGCGCTTCCCCCCCACAATCTCTTCTGAAGGTCGTCGGCGCAGTAAGAAAGCATCGATTGCATCACAGCGTCGAGCTTTGTGGCATCGAAGTCCTCAGCAGCTTCCCCGATTGCCGTTCTATTGTCCTCCTGCTCGTTGTCTTCCGACCGCTGGTGGTCGAAGGCCCCGGATACGATGGCAGATACGTAGTTATCCCGAGCAAGACCTTCCACCGCGAGCCGTATCATCAAGGTGTTCGATCTAGGGGCCCGGTACACCCGCTGCTGCAACCTCGCAGGGGATTGCCTATCTTTTCCTTTGTCGTCGAGAGGCTGTTGGGTGCGCTCGGGGGAGACAGGGCCCGCCGTCTTGAGTGTTATCACAACGTCTTGCAGCAATTGCACTCGTGCAAGGTTGGACCGGAAAAATACGCTGAAGCCAATCCGAAACGCTTCCGCGGCCTCGACCTACAAAATGTCGCGTAGCGTGGCATGTTTCGTCCTTCATTGGTACTTGAGTCTCGGGGAGTCTCAGTTGATGGCCTGTACTCTGTTGTCATTTTCATGGTTCGTACGTTTGACTTAGGTTTGTCTCTTGAATACCCAAAAAGTCCAACAAGCGTTGCCAGCTATGCTGTGAACATGGATGTTACTTCGGCAGGATGCCATACGCTTTCTATTCCGGGACATTAAGCATTCCGTTTTTATTCCGTTCGGCAGCATAAAAAGGGAGAAGATGCGAACATGAAATCCGGCTCACTTGAACAGCTTGAGCCTTGGCGGTCGTCTCTGGGTCTTGTTGAGTGACTTCGTCTTCCAAGAGAGTCTGTAGCTCGGCATGAAGCTCTCCAATCACACCATTCAGGTCTTCGACACTTTCACTACTACCTCGACACCCTTTCTGGCCTAGCGTAGTACCTCCGTCGCCCGCACAGCTCGTCTCTTTCGGCCCAAAGCCGTCTTCGTCTTGAGCCCCCCAGTCGTTGTGTTTCGTCTGAAAATCGTTGTCCTTGACGTTGCCCCCGTTGTCCCCGGTTTGAACTTTGCGCGATGGATTGAAGAAGCTGTTCCCTCGGCAAGCGCGTCGCATGGCGGCGACACGGACGAATTGGAACAAGTTGACCTTGAGCAAGCTCAGGGTTCCGCGCAATACCTCCATTTGCACCGATCGGGACGCCATGACACACTCGGTTGTTTCTGGCGTCAGATCCGCTCCCTGCATTCTCGCCTGCTTGTCAAAGGGTTCAGCCGTTGGCACACTCCCGGTGACCAGCTTTCCACATCCCTCGGGGCCGATGTTGTTAGGATCACTTCGGGGGTTTCCTGTGCTTTTCCCCATGGGAACTCCAGCAGAATCAACCGTGTCAGCCGCAGCGGGCTCACGAGCTGGAGAAGCAGGCATCGGACTCTTCCTCTCGCGGACGACTCTGATGAGGTCAAGGAACGAGCGAAACGCCTGCCACGAGGTATCGACGCAGAAGGGAGCAATTGGCGACCGCGTCCTAGACACGATGGCTTCTTGGCTCTCATGCAGATTTCCTACCGAGCACATTGGGGCGTGCTTTGAAGAATCCTGCTCATCATTCGGAATGTCATCTTCTCGTGTCGTCTGGAATTGCTGCCGATTCGCGCTTGACGTCGTTGATACCTCTTGATCGTGGTTTGAGCTCACCAAGGCCACCGTTCTTGCCTCACGCACCCTCTTTCGAATCCGCTTGCCGACTCTCACTGCCTGTCGCAAGCTGCGATCGACTTCGGTAGTGGTGTCCTTCGGAATGTGAGGTATGGCCAATCGCTCGAAATGACGCAGGAGCGCCACTATCATCTCAATCCGACCCACCTTGAACGTTGGAATTGGAGGCGGCACAAAGACGTGGTCAGGAACATGCGAAACAGTATGGACAAACGGGAATTGAACGCATCACCGAAACAACAAGTTATCCGGCCTATCCCGCGACGCGCCTTCCATACTGACCGGTTGGGAAGGATCGTCCGGAATATCTAGCCCTGTGCCCTCCAACAACTCGCTTGTAGAGGGTCCTCTCCGTTCAGCCTCATTGTAAGGACTGGGGGAAGATGGATCATGGCGTGTGACAGGCCTCAGCTTGGCAAGCACCACACCAAACTCCCCTCCCTCGCTTAGGCGTACAGCTCGGGGCTCCTGCACCGATTTTTCAGATCATTCGCAGAGCAGTTGTACGGTCAGTCATGGTCCAGGGAAACCACACAATTCAGCTAGTTCTAGCGTTCTAGCGCTGACCTTGCCGATGGCCAGGTTGTTTCTGACTCGTAACTTAGGGTACGCTCGGGCGGTAGACGGACAGCCTGGTGATGCTGATGCTCACCTCCACCCCATCGCCGATAACTAGACGGGGGATGGAAGCCTCGACTGCAGTCACTCCGTCCCCCTCGCTAGGGCTGTGGCCTCGACTGCTGCCACCTCCCTCGGTTGCACTTCTGTGCGGTAGCCGAAACTTGCGGTCTAGCCCCCACTTGAACACGCGCCCATCAACGGTAACCGCCGCACTGTAGGTCCGTCCTCCCGTGGCGGAGCGAATCCGACCCCCGGCAGGTGTTGCGAAGAAGGCAACTCGTGTAGGGGTATGGCGAGGTCCTATGCGGCGGGACCGACATTCGGAAAACCATCAGGCTAGCGATGAGTGCAGCGACCGAGGCAGGAAAAAAAATAGGTATTGTACGATGTGAAGGAAAATGAACCCGTTGTTCCGTGGGGAGGGTGAAAAGGCACACCTTTGTACTTCTCTGACACGGCATCCTGCCCTAAACTGTCACCCTGCGTTCCAAAGTCGGCTCTTATGATTGGCCTTTGTTGCCCACCTGCGCCTGTTGAAAAGTACAACCCGAGCCTGCCAGCAGCGTCGTACCTGCGTCCTCGTGGCCTAGTTGTCCATAGCGCCCCGAGCCCCATGTGAACAATGTACCGTCGTGTGTGACCGCCATGCAATGATCCCATCCGGATGTGATAGCTTTCACAGTCGCAGAACCCAGGGAACCAGTGCAAACCCTTGTAGGCGGAACGCCGCCGCGCTTGCCGAGCGTCCCATCCGCAACGGCAGCAGAAGCCGCTGCTGCGGAAATGCCAAGAACTGCCGTTGGTGCATCTCCGTCGCGTCCATGGCTGTAGCTACCACCGAAGCTGAAAAGTTCACCGCGGCGAGTGAGTGCTAACGAATGCCCCCAGCCCCCTGCCATCATGGACACTGGAAAGTTCTTGAGGCCATCTATTGACCGGGGGCAGATCTTCGGCGACATGAAGCAATTTCGACCGAGATCCGTTAAAGATTATCAAAGGCGAGCGCATAACGGGGACGCAGAGGGATTGTTCACTGCTTAACCTGTTGGTCCATTTTGGCTGCAATCAAAGAAACAACAACAGAATGTGTTGAAACTGTCGTTCAATGATAACGAACATCTCGCATGGATCTAGACACCGTTCAATGTGCATGTTCCGCCTGTATTGGTCAACCGCGACTTGTCAGCGACACAACACAATCATGCCAAGCGCTCACCGCGTCCGAACAAAGAGGATCTGTGTCACCGCACTGGCCGCAGTCGTTCTTTCCCCAAGCGTAGGACGTTCCGGTAGAGCAAACAGCCAAGGAGTGCGACACTCCGCAGAACACTGCCTCGATCTCGATTCCCTGGAGCGCTTCAATATGGCAGGCGGACGACCGATCTCGGGTGTCGCCGAGACCGAGTCTTCCGTTGGACCCATTTCCCCACGAAAACACCTTTATATTCGTCATAGTGGGTTATCGTTAGAAGATTTTGCCCGCGACTTGGCATAACAAAATGGGTCCACTTTGCTCTTGACTCGTGTGTCTTGTCGGTCAGGCTTATCGTTGTCATGTTGCCGCGTTGGGATTAATACACCTCAATGTTGACACTCGACAGCTATGTATTTGTTGTACTCGAAAAATGGCACAGTCATTATCCTGGGTCTCTCACCTGGCCAGTCTCAAGTAAAGCAAGAGTGTGCTCCTGCCCGCAAGCAACATCTGTCACATTTGGTTTGTGGGCCAGAACTTGCCATACGGTGGGCATGGCGGCAGAACCGGTACTAGCGCAGCCGGCCCAACCATTTTGAGCGGCATCGGATGAGCCATACGTGCAATCTCCAGCACTTAAATCAGAAGCCGCATCGCCCTGAGCCGCTGACCTCGAGCCGTGGACATCTCGGAATCGATCCATCACAAAAAAAGGTTGTCTCGTGGTTGCCGCAATCGTTCTTCCGTCTTGCCCCCCCCATGTAAGAAGCTCCCCCTCAGTGGTGAGTGCTACGTGACAGTAGTCTGTGGCGTCCACCTATACGGTGGGAGGAACACCGGTGACGTATCGTATTGAAAGGTGGAAAAGTGTGCAGGAGAGCATCTACGGAAGCTGCCCATTCCATTTCTCATGCTGAACTCATATTATAGTGTCAACACGCTATTAACACTTGGTTCCAGTACACTGCAAGGCTGCAAAGCTGGTTATTGCCAAACTCTAGATTGTCCAACAGAACGTGTACGGAGACTTAAAAGTCAAGCAGGCATGTGGCGAGTAACTAAGGACGCCTGTGACCTGAGGACAAGCACAAGCATTCTACAACGCTTGTAGTGGTGTTTGCTCGCCTTCATCAAGTCTATTTCCTCCAAAGCTGATGGTATTGGCGATCCCCGTGAAAAGCAGTGACCAGGGCATCTTCTGTCCGCTGGTGACTCCGTTTCCTGCACCACAAGGTTAAAACAGAATTACCCCGTAATAACTTCAAGAGGTGGTTTAGGTGCCCGCATGTTGGACACGTGTCATTCCACTGGCTTGACGTACGCGCCACATGCGGTTGTCATGTGTCAGCAGTCTGTACGAATATATGGGCGACGTGTATGGCAGCCACACGAGTGTGTTACAGACAAAGCCAACAAGGCTCAACTTTCCACCGGGGGCACGTGCAACAAGTTTGACCACAGATGAAGGTTTCCCTTAGCTTTCTCTTCAGTAAGATTCCGTGCGTCAACTACATCAGTGAAAACCGTCCGATCGTGCCAACTGCCCATCCTGACGCACAAGTACATGGATGTTTCCAAAATACGTCAAAAAGGTGCTGACAGCATAGCATCTCTGGCTATCATGTCATGTTACCTGGTCCAGAAGAGAAAACTTCCCGGCTTCACAAATGTGATTGTCTGAAAACACCAGCTCGCCGGGCACCTCAGAATCAGATCCATCCAGCATGGAAGGTTGGGTCTTCTCTAGTTCCTGAGGTTGCACATCCGCCATACGAATCGATCACAGAACAAAAGGACGCACATAAATTCCCAACCCACCCGCTTGTCGCTTTCTTTCCTTGTTATCAATGTTGTTGATGATGCTATTTTCTTGAACTATGCAGCCCTTTCCTTATCCAACATGTCCCCTTCCGTTCGCTTAAACGAAACAAAACGAATCGATGTGGCAACGAGCCCGCCAACAAAAATGATGCCAAAATAAAAACGTTCAGAGAGAAAGCCCCACCACTTCAGAAAATATGTAAATTCAGAGAAAGAGCATGGCGTTAGAATTTGGAATTGGCAACGCAGCTTGTCTCGGGCAACCGTGCTGGTCCTCTAAGAGATCCTCGGTATCTTCTTGAAGGTGGTGTAGAGAGCACAGACGAGATGAAGATTCGCAAACAACCAATCAATACCTGTGTGCAATAGAGTACGCGTGCATTTATTCTTTTTGTATCCTTACGACGATGGTTTTGTCAAGAAGACAGCGGTATGCAGAGACGGACAACCATTGGCTAACACTCAATCTAATGTAGCTTCGCACATTGCGTCATACGTACAGCGTTCGATGCCACACGCATCATCTGCGGTGCACGGATCAGCGGCAGATGGTGATGATGATGATGTTTGTCGAGAAAAAAAATAAATGTTTCCGTCCAAACGCGGCTGAATAATCTATCGCGGGGCACGTGGCAGAGGTGTGGCCCGAACCTCTCGTTGGCAGGCTTGTCCTGGCCTCGAATGGGTAATCTTGTATCTAGATTGGACGGCGGGGCTTCAATTTGATGGCAAGTAGGCAACGATACGCTCAAATATGTCGAGTTCGGAGGTAACTACAATGGATTGATGTGTTCCAACGAGAACGAAGTCAACAATAATCATGCGTTCGCGCGTAAAAACAATACTCGAAATAGCAACTGTCCGTAGGCGGGGGAACATCCCCCGCGGGGAGGGTGGCAGCGGTGTGCCTCGAACCTCTCGTTGGCAGGTTAAGTAGAGAGACGCACAGTCATTCCAGCGTCAAACGGGCTGTGCATCCTGTTGTAAATTGGACGGGGCTTCAATTTGATGGCCGGTAGGCAACGCTAGCCCCAAAATTGATCGAGATCGGAGCAATTTGGCCGGGAGTGCTCGTGTTTCGTGCTTGAGACGACCGATCACCGACACAGCCAAACGTTAACGCCGGAGGTACAACTTGCTGTCTGCAGTAGTGTAGGACGGCTGATGGGGTGATTTCTCGCGCCTCGGGGGTTTGGGTCTAAAAGGTGCGTGGTTCGGATCTCCCGACTGAAAGTGAGCAGACAATCAGACAATCATTGTTTTGTGAGACCTCTGGACTAGACCGTAACAGTCTCTTAGAGGAAAACATATTCGCTCAGGACAATTCAACGAAACGCTGAGAACCGTATACACGCCAGTACCTTGAGGTGGTGTCCCACGGCTAAAATTGGCATCCCCTTGTCCGTAGCTGTCGAAGAAAAGAGAAGTCTGACGACCCGAAGGCAGTGAGCAAGGGAACCTTGCTTGACCGCGAGGCCTATCGCTGCTGCAAGAACATCTCCTTGCTGTGTGCTCGACAGCTCCTCGCGGAGCAACCCCTCTGCAGAGGACATCATCGCGTCAACAACTCCTCCAGGGCTAGCCCCGGTGGGCAGTCCGGCGAGTACTGTTTCTGTAGGTTCTATCGGCGGCTGCGGCCCAGAGCACTTCCCAGTAGGTAAGAGCGGCGATAAGGATAGCACCGGCGTCTCGTTGATTATCGAGGGCACCTGTCTCATCAACTTCAAAATACCTCGCGTGTTTCCCTGCCGTTTTAAAGATTTCAATAGACGGAGAAAGAACTCTTTGCCGATGCGAGCGCTAAGGTTAGGGCCGTCAAGTCTGCGTGTAGGGGGCGTGCTCGGCTCGGGTAACCGGCCAGTGGCGGTCCATATGAGATCAACGGGAAAGAGATCACACGGCAGGTCCGACCTCCTCCTCACGCCCGAAGGCGAGACGGTTGAGAACTCCTGCAATCGCGTGTCATCCATGGATCCTATGCCCTGAAGCCGATCATCGTTCCAGCACCCTCCCAAACACGCCAAGCCCGGTAGAGCAAGTCTTCCGCAATGAATGCATGCGTTACTTGTACGGCAAGACTCCTTTCGGCGCGTTGTCGGCAGGATATCCGACGAGCAAGGTGCGAAGTTGGTCTCAAAGGGCATATTGCCCAGATGTAGGAAGGCCGACTGTAGAACAGAAAAAACGCCCCTATTGATTGCAGCACTAAGGATCGCGTATACCGGAGTAGAGTTGTTCCATCGTGTGCACTGATGTTCGCAGTCCAAGCAAACAAGCAGACTTGTGACGCGGGCAAGACGCGGCGGAAACGCCGGAACCATTTTGGTTCCGCCGCGCATAAAAAAAAAGTCTGCTTGCTTGTAGCAGTTACAATATACGTCATAGTGGAAGCGTCATGTAGACAAACCCGACGCGCCGCGATCCCCAGTGGTACCGGATATACAGCAATAGTCCAGACAACGCACTTCGACAACAAGGGTCCCTCATCGAACGAACAAGGGGTGATGAATTTCTAGGGTGGACCTGGAGGCGGGGTAACTGGTGCCGTTTCGCGATCTGTGGTTCCTGACCTAATGACTGGGAAGCGTCGAAATGTACGTGCCAGGTACGACAGCAGTAGTGCCATAGACCGTAGACCGTGTTGGGTGGCCATACGGCCAAAGGTGTTTGGCACGCTGTTGGAGAGAAATACCCGGACAGCTCCATTGGACGTTATGCTACGACGAGGTCATACAGCTGTACTGCTGTAGAGAGTATTGTGGACAGGTTGTAGACGCTAGAGGACAAACCGAGTCTACCTTTGCTACGTAATAGCACACGTACCTACACCTACGATAGCACACGTACCTATAGCAACGAGTTATCAAGTTGCCACGTTGGAGGAACTTCACGTATACAAAACTGTAGTTGCTACCAGATACCAATAAAAAACAACAGACACATTTTGGTAAAGTTTTCGCACCAGATTCAATCGAAGCTGTTAAAAAAGGCCCCTTGTGGTTAACTTGCACCACACCACATCACCGCTTACACCATGCTATTGCCCTGGCAGCAAGTCTTAGACATGTTTTATTACCGACGCACAGGTATGGCACAGTCATTTTCTCAGAGATGCACTGGAAGGTTATTGACATTGCTCTTGGACGGCGACGTCCTCAACACGTTTCTCGGCATCCTGTGTAACTCCAAGATTGGATTCTTTCTCCTCCTCGGGGGCACACCCATCGACTCCAGGGCAACTAGTCTTGTCATCTGGGTCATCACACGGCGGACGATGCTGGTGGTGCGTCTCTAGCTCTTGTCCTGAATCGGGCATCGCCAATGCACCATCTGGAGCAAAGCCTCTGCCCGGCTGGTCGGGATCTGGAGGCCAGGGCAGCGCTTCCTCCTCGGCGCGCAGACTCGTGAGCACAGGCTCACCGCCGAATAGCACTCGCACGTTCCATGGTATGACCGATGTCCAAAGATTTATCGACTCGGCGATCGCGATTGTATACTCTGCTAGTTCTAACCTCGTCTCGTACTGACGGACGCAATGCTCGCGTGAAAACGCTGAGACAGGAATCGGCGGAGCAACTCGGGTGTCACCCTGTGCTTCTTCCGTGCAGACGCTGGCACATTCGACCGCGGGCTGCTCGTCTATTTCTGAACAGAAGGCCTGTGGTAAAGTAAAAGAGAGATGTATGTTTCGGCACATCGTGAAGACGTTAGGTGAGGAAAAAAGGTGGACCCTAAGTCTGTGACCAACTGGCAGTCGACATCACCTCTTGCGTGTACCAATCGAAGTAGCAGTGGTCATCGCTGTTGGTGTCAGGACATGGGGGTCTATGTGAGCTACATATTAGGTTTGATGAGGCCTTGCCGTGCCAATGCCCGAGATATTGTCAAGATTGCCATCCCCGAATGTCATGATCGTGCTCGGCGCTATGTCTGGTTGTCTTGATGTCCTGACACTGAGAGGCCTCACTCAACTTCAATTTGTCATGTCTTCTCGGTTTCTATCATTTGCGATCACCCTTGGTATTCCGATTGTATGCACGTCGGTTTCCCGTGGCGTGTACTGTGGACCCGCTGCTGTTGCTCACCTTGAGTAGACTCCTCCGCCTGTGGATCATGCTCATAATCTCGACAACACCACAAGCTGTTGTCCACAACAGGTTGAGCCTCGACACCGTGGCTACATAATGTCCGATTGTGAAATCCCCACGGATTTGCTTCCTGAACCTGCGTGATAGCCACACAATGTGCAAGGGTAGAAGGCCCATCGTGTTGCAACAACCCCGACCTTTGGAGCAAGCGAGTATTTCAGGCGGGTCCCACCAAAGGGGGGAAGAGTCAGAAATTGGTGTTTATGGAGTTGGAAGAAGGAGGTATTTGTATTGTACGGCGATTAAACTGGGAGCTTCTGGTGGGTCGTTGTCCCTGCTCAGGCACGTCAGCGGGTCCATACCTTTCCCGCTCGTTCTCCGGGCACCCTAGTAGCACACTCGCGGAGTCAACCAGCTCTTGGGCTTCTTGGAAACATTCGCCCAAATGTGCTGGACTTTCGTCGTCTGTGACAACAGCGAAGAAATTGCCGTCCAAGGCCTTCTCGATCTCTTTGGACCCATTGATCAAACGCGCAATGTCCACCTACAAGCGCCGGCGGTTGTGAATAGATGAAACGGAAGGGGATGATTAGATTCTGAGGATTTAACTGCGGCAGTAGTGCCACTTCACGCGCATGTCCGTATAAGAGCAAAATCATTATCCGGGAAGATTCGAAGGCCGCGGAATCGGTGGCGAAGGACCGGGGTTGGAAGAGAAAGGTCTAGAACGTAATGTTGTTCAACTCACACTTTTTCTATTCAACCATAACAGGGAATATGCGCAGGTCATACCTTTTCCCAATCCATATCCACGGGGACGTCATCCCCTGAGATTCGGCTCTGATGTCTTTTGTCGCGACGGTGTTTCCTCTTCGTTGTATCATCTTCCTGTCTGGGATCACCCTTCCCCCCAATCCGGTTCCCATTAATTCTTCCGGTGCATGGGCTAGGGCGCACCATGGAATGCTTGCTGGCACCTTCCGCGTAAAACTCTGAACCTGGATCCCAAGTTCTCTCCCGTCTTGACCGATCTGAGTACCCCCTGCGAGCATCGGCATTGGCAGTGAGAAAAATATCAACCGGTAAATCGTGGTGTGTGTCAAAGCAGAAAAAACGTCACTGCTGAAACGGTGTATGACTTCTTTCGTTGGAATCTTGGACATGCGAAATGTATTCATCGATTGCAAACGAGGTACACAGAAGAGGAAAACGCATAATTATCACGTGCACGATTGCCGTCCCAATACAACTCCCCGACCAACACACCTGCCCGACTCTCAATTTCTACGACGCGAGAATTACTCATGTTGCTCTGAAGTGATTCGCAAACTACACCAAGCATTTCCAGATTGTCAAAGTTGTCAACGTACCTGAAAACTCGTTTTCTGTGGTTCACGCGCTGGGAACTGCTTGCATACAGGCTGTTTTCCATGTCCTCAAGAGGACCACCCGTGTCTGTCGTTCCTCGTGGAAGCTTCGGCTTTCCCCCACCACTATCTCCGGCATCGATAGGGCCGGGACCTGTGCTTGGATCTCCCGGTGTCGCATCCCATTCGTGCTCCCCTTCGGCTTCCGTCGTAGCGTTCACCGGGGCTGTCGCTGATGTTTTGCGGGGTTTACCTCTCGGCCGAGTCTGTCTAGAAGCTGCGGATGCTTCAGGCCAAACGGACCTCTTGTACACCAGATCTGAGGAAGGGGAGCACAAACGTGCCCATAGCACCGTGACACCGGGTCCATTTTGTACGTGCAGATCGCGCGATTGCTCATCGCTCCGGTGGCCTTGCTCGTGTTCTCGTGCCTGGTTGGCGGACGAAACATTACTTGCTGCGACGGCGTTGGCGGTACTTTCCCGCGGCACCCGGGTTCCGCAAGCGGTGGCAGGTCGCCGCGGAGGAGTTTGGAGATTCTTGGAGATCTCTGCAGCGGCTGAACGGGGCCTCGCCACAAAATCGCCACGAAGAGTCTGGGAACTGGTGGGTGAGCAAGAGATCTCGGCCCAGGCACGCTGTTGTGTCCCTAGACCGACACGTCCCGAGGTCTGAAACAACGTGTCAGTGCGCGGCTCAGTGGTGGGCGTTGGCCAGGGACGGTTGGCGGAATACTCCGTCCTTGCCGGCGTCGACTGAGCGCTAGGTCTCTGCCTGGTTTCAAGAGGGAAGGGGTCGTTGCTGTACGTGGAGAAGACGCTATGTAAGGGTGTACCTGGTGCTTGGGCCGCTAAGATGCGCCTGGCGCGGGGACTGATTGCGTCCATGAACCCTTTCCGTCGATGTGCTGGGGCCGTACGTGGCCTCCGCTCCGCCCCCTTCTTCCCGTTCCCTTTCTCGTGGATCGGCACACCCCTCCGACCTTCTTGCGCAGCTGACGTGGCGCCTAGGCTTCCGCCGTGGGTCTCAGCTTTCCCCTCCGACGCTGACCTGACGGGTGGGCGGTGATCTCGCGGAATGAACGGCTTCCAGGGTTCCTGAGCAATGTGCTTCCCGCCGGGCCTCCATGGGCACACGACCTTTCGCCGGTCTGCTGCGTTCTCGGCAATCAACTCCTTCCGACGCCTCTCCATGCGTTTCAGACCTTCCGGGTCCTGCCGCCAGCTATTGGGCAGCACCTCAGTGCCTTTTCCAAAATCACCCATCATCTTGATTGTTCACGTGAGCAGAGAAGGGAGCGGCTTTACACTGATGCAGCAGAGGCATGTGATCTCAATGACATCGCTATACTTACGCTTCTCGTCGATGGTTGAGATATCTTGGATAAGGTAAGCTAGTCGACAAGAAATTTGGGTGACAACTGGCGACGCTGAGGTATGTTGACGGACTCGTGACGAAAGCTGGATTTCATGTTTATCCCTCGTCGTATGGCTTTCATACGCCATCTCAAAAATACGTATACTTCTTGTTCCGGTATCGTACCTGCTCGGCCTCATCTTCCTCCAAAGCGGCGATCTCTTTGAGCAAGGCCTTGTCCTTGCCTTTGATTTGAGCCTGAGGCACTCAGCATCAAGCGAGACGCTCGAGGAAGTCATTCCAACTGCTGTTTGTCAGTGCGTGCGTTGCATTTCGTGCTATCCTTGCGGCCGATCGGAAAATTCATTAGTCACATTCGATAACAAAAGCGTCAGTCAGGCCCTTTCTTGGTGTAAGTTCCACGCCAGCAGTGGAAACTGCTGTCCACTAGACTTTAGTTTTCGATCTCAAAAAGGGAATTCTCCGTGCACAATTTCGGACGCCTTGGATACCACGCGAAGCTCACATATTTCCCCCCAGTGAAAAGTATGCAATACCTTGAGACTATGAGCAAACTTTTGTCGAAGCTGCTCGGGCCGCTCCGCTGGCTGTAGTACAGCCGAGCTCTCCCCAGTAGCGCTACCGTTCCGTCCGCCCGCTCTTTTCGTTTGTCGGTAAATCCCCATTCCCGTGCTTGTCACGGCTTCTTCCGAGATCTCGACGAGAATGGCGGGGTCGGTCTTCTTAAGTACCTTCTGGAGAGCTTTGTCTTTCTTGGCAATAGCGCTAGCGATGTCGCTGTGCGCAGCCCGATACCGCCGAATAGCCTTGTATCGATACCTGCCAAGAGAAGGAGAAAAGCCGCCGTGGTTCGTCATGGGGAAATGATACCCTCATGTCGCTTGCTTGTCGTTTAAGCCGCACCTGTGATGTTTGGAGTATATACAGCCAAGCTGGCTGCATTCATCTTAGTCATAACGCCAGCGTGAATGCATTCGAGCTACAGTAGTTGCATCAACGGGATCTCGGTCTAGATTCTAGAGCAGTCGACAGAAATGGTGATGCTGTTCACGTATTGTGGACTCCATTCGAGTTGTTGCGATTGTGTTCAATTCTGGAAAGCGTGCGCTCCTCACGTGCAGGCCCGTTCGTTCTGCGCATCTGTACGGTGAAGCTCGTTTGAGACTGGCGCTCCCTTTTCCAGAATGACCTTGCCGTCTGTGTTGTAAGCTCCGGGATAGTGGTAGTCCTCCGTAATAAACTCTAGCTTCGTTTGACCCTGTATATAATAGGACGACGAAACGTATACGGTCAAACCGCGCTCATTGAGGGGAAGATTAAAGACTGGTTTCCACCTAACCCCCGGCACAGTTAATCCGTTGCAAACCACACCCTCGCGCAAGCGCGGTAACCTGTGAGCTCAACGGCAACCATGCTGTACTGTAATTCTTCATCTACCGATCCTCTACTGCTGCTCGGAAAGCGTGGTGCATAGTCTACACCTGCAAGCATTGCTCGGAAAAAACGTGCCCACATACAAACGTTGCCAAAGCCATGATAGGTTCACCGCCAAATCGTGCCTTTAACGCCTTCGTGAGAGCTCTGTTGAGCTCGTCTTGTCTGCCGTCGATCTCTGCCGTGAAGTGTCTCGAATACGCGTAGGCTTCCCTCCGCGCTTCGATGCTGTCCCCAAGCCGCTTGCTTGGAAGGTGTTTCCCCAGGCGATCTTCGTAAACTTTGCGGTACCACGGGAGTCTCGCCTTCTCTTCTTCCGTCTTCTCTGGCGTCACCTGGAGAACGGAATATGGGAGGACAACCAAGCCGTGTTTCCTGTGCGAGTGTTCACGTAAGGGCTATCACAACACCAGACGAGCGACGCACAGGAGGGCACTCAAGCCCTCGCTCCACCTGAAAAAGATGGTTCCATCGATTTTTCTTCATAGCTTACTTTCACAATCATTTTCCCGTCCTTTCCTAGCATTTGCCCGTGAACGTTGTAGCCGTGCTTCTTCTTGAAGAAAGCCGGGTCAGAAAACTTTTCCAGCAGGTACAAGATATGCTTGTCGAGGACGCGCTCTCTTTCGAACAGGTTTGACTGGAAGCCTCTGGAGTTTCTTTGGGCCACCATTCTCGCCATGAAAGGACGCCTGCGAAAATCAACGACAACACGATAGCAGTGAATCACCAACGGTTCGAAGTAGCAGCAGTTGATGGGTTGCGATCCGTGCATGGATACTTCTGTTGTAGCACCCTATCAACTGGCTGTAGTCAGAAGGCGACACCTCCTGAAGGAAGCACAAACATACGCTATTTACTGTGTCTACTGCACATCCCTCCTCTCACGTGTCATTTTCCTCGGCAGCTCTTTTCTCCTTCTGGGTGCGATACGGCACGATCTTCTTGAAAGGTTTTGGTGCCGGCCCCAGAGGCCCTCGCTTTGTTGCCTGTTCCCCAGGCCCAGCATTCCAGGGCCGGTGTGAAAGCGAACGCTTCCTTCTCGCTTGCCGATCGACGTACCCATCAACATAGAAGCCGAGCCCTTTGTCACCGGTTTTGAAGACGTATCCGTCCTTAGCGCCAGTGAAGCAACTGGATGAGACGAACACCCCCTCATCCTTAGGGTTGGCCCAGTCAGAATCTTCGGTTTCCTCCGCGTCTTGGGATTCCTTCATGTCTTGGGTGGATCCTTCGTCCTGGTTTTGCGGACATGTTACAGAAGTTGCATTCTCTTGTTTTTCTTCTTCGTGGTCAGTGAGAGTTGGACCGCCCTCTTCCTGTTCCTCGATTTCCACGTCCGATACGGCGTTTAGCTCTGCCTGCCTGAGGCTCGCCTCGGGGTTGGCGCTTAGTGCCTCCGATGTCACGTTCGCCAGAACCAACGGCGGTGGTGATGCCCCGATCTCCCCCATTTCGGCAACTGCACACGACTCAATCTTACCGTCTACAAACCCATCTGCAGTCTCGCACGCCCCCATGTGTTTGTCAATGTCTGCCGTTGTTTGTCGAGGAACTTCACCGTCGCACGGCTCGTTTTCTCCGATATGATCAGCTTTTGATTCATCGACGTTGTTCTTCTTCGATGGATTTTCCGCGCTCTCGTCCAAGGCCGCCTTATCGCCACCAACCCCCGACATTGGAGTGGGGAATCCTTCTTGTGAGCACGTACGAGTAATTCCTAGTGGTTGGGTAGCAGCAGCGGCTGCCATCAGCTCAGCACTGGAACCTGGTACTGGCCGCGTTGTGTTTTCCCCAAGTTGGCATTCTCCGGCGCCAGCACACCCCTCTTCATCCTTGTGTGCATCTAGGGTAGCAACGTGAATCTGGGGTAGCAAAGTGTCTTGAGTGGCCGGCTCCTCCTCTGGCTTGGCCGAGGCATCGCTGGTGGTGCTGTCCAATTGCGCCGCATGCTGCCCTTTCGGATCCGCGAGTGTCGATGCCTCCGCAGCTGCTTCCACTGCAAGTGTCAGCGGTACGTCGGGTGTCGTCTTTATACTTCCCGAAGAACGGCTTTGCACACTTTCACCGTCTGCCGGCAGGCGGGCCATAGAGTTCAGGGCGATCATGGCTGAAGTCTAGCAGCGGTAAAGTAACGCAACCGCAGCCTGACCGCTGTTCGAGCACGTTGAGAGCAATATCAGATTGAGACTCTCCTCTGGTTTGAGGCTTCCCTGGTGCCACTGCTGTCGACAGTCATGCCCTATCATCAGTCACCGTCTTCCAAAAGATAATATACAGACATTAGTCGTTGAATTGGGGAGCTTCACGCTGGCCTCCTAGATCGCTGGAGCAAATATTCATGAGTGTTCGTGCCATTTGCAGCCATTTGGTGCATGATGCAGATCCCCGATCCCAAAAAAAACGAAACGAAAAAAAAAGGTGAACCCCTTGCCCCTCGTGGTTTACGCCTCCGTTCCCTTTTCTGCCTCCTCCGTCCCTGATCCCTGATTGCACTTGGTCTGCCAACACGTGTTTCGTCCGCGTTGGCTCGCATCACACATAAATTTTGAGGTGGGCACACAACCTGCGGTAGCAAGGTGCCGACTCCCTAGCCGTTGCATTTCGCTGGATTTTGGAGCGCCCATGGCCGCCGACGGCACCACTGCTGCGGAGCTATTTGAAAAGGGTCGGCTGTCGGAGACACTGGCTGCCTACAGCAAGGAGGATGGTGATCAGTATTCGCCGCAGAAGGCCGTGTATACGGCATGCAACAGAGCGACCGCCAAGCTTGGACTTGAGATGTTTCGAGCATGCATCCGAGATCTGGACGATGCAATCAGAATAGATCAATACGCTCTCCGAGCTTATCTACTGAAAGGTGCGAAAGTCAGATGAGATGTATGATGTATGCATACTGCTGTTCTCGCAGAGGAACTCTGCGCAAGGAACGGACTTTAGTTGCGCTGAAACTCGATTCTCTGTCCCGCATGTACTGCTGTATGCATAACACCTTTGTTCGCAGTTTCTTTTCTAACTATCCTTCAACCTTGCTTCTCTCACTGAACAGCTCCAAACCGGGATCGCACAGACACAAGCATTCCTCCTCAGGTAGATTTTGGTCTGAGTTTTTGAAAATTGCAATATTGACTCTCGGGATCAACCCCCGTGATTTCTCAGCGATGCAGCCTGCACGTGGTACGCAAACACATTGCATGCTGTCGTGCTGTCCCCCGCAGAAGCCTTGGCAGGGTGTTTCTATGAACTAGTCTAAACATGTTGGATAAAGCATGCAATCGAGGATTTTGGATTAGGGTTAGGGTAAGGGTCTGCATACCCCCCTCCCTACAATGTATTATATTTCCTTACAACTTCAATTTTCTCGCGAAGTCCTGTCCCCGCGCGTTGCCCTCTAGCATACACTGCTGTAGCTGCTCCCAATTCAATCTTATCCCTCCTGGTAACACGCCCGCAGCCCATGCCTACAAGCAGTAGGATGCTCATTGTTTTGTGCATGCTGTGTAATTTTGGGGCGCGTTTTCCGGCCTAACGGCATCGTGGCGAATCCAGGGCAAATTCAGTACTCCTCGATTGCCTTCAAGTTTCGGAGAGTTGGCACTCCCGTGCCATAAGCGATAAAACGTCGAAAACATGTTTCGAATACGTTCTCGTACAGGTCTCGGAGATATCGTATGCATATGAGGGTGCGTTGTTTGTTTGCTTCCTGCCTGCGGAACATCGACCTCCTGCGTGAGGATTGCTTCCAAACAAGCGGTGCCTACAGAGCGACCCGTGGCGTTCAACCTTTCCTGTAGACAAGTAAATAGGTTCTGTCGCAGTGATTCTATTTTACAATGCAGTTCTACAATACAAGTGGCGCTAGATGGCACTCTCGGGGGTTCACTGCTCATGAATTGACGATGTCAGTGTCCAATCCAGTAGAAGTCCGTTGAATGTAGTCATCTTCACACGGAGGAAGTCCAGGTCGCACAAGTATGCATAAGTATGCATACAGCGGTAGAATTCTATGCTGTGTTCTACTGCTGTCTCGGGCTGTGATTCCCCTGTGTGGGAGTGTGAAGTTGACACATATAGCCGGAAGGCACAATGATCGTAAAGCACAAACAAACCACGCTTTGACCTTACTGCACATCGAGGCAAGCGAGAACCGCTTCCCTCAAGTGTTGTCTCTAGCAAGGCACGTGGATTTTCCCACGGGTTATATTATCCACAGTAACCACAACCGAAAGGCTTAGTCTGATGTCCAGAACAGGCAGGCTGAGAACGCACGGACTGCAGCTCTCGTATTTGACATTTCTGATGACGTCTTGTCCCATTCGGTCAACACTGAGGATGAGCACCGTACGATGCGCATCACTCTTGCATTTGGACACATTCCATCCCTTACCCGTGATACCCTTTTCGTGTGAAAAAATTCTTTAAACTATGCAATATTGGGCGCACACACCACACGGCATGACGACAGACCAAGCCTTTCGGGGCTTAGGTAAGCCCGATCAAGCTCGCGAGGCCTTGGAGGCAGGCATTGAGGCTGGGAAGGAAGGAGGAGACGTGGTGCTTTACGTGCAACTGGTCGAGTCCCTCAGACAACTCAACGCCTCGCCTACCCCTGGAAGACCCACCGCTCAAGACGGGGAAGGCTCGACAACGCCGACACACGCGCCATCAGCCACGGCCCCTCCTGCAAACTGCGGCAACCTTGGCGCCAAGGGCTCATCGCCTCGAGAGCAAGAGGAACCATCACCCAAGGATGGTGACGGCCTCAAGGATTCCGGTGCCGATGACGGAGAGGGGACGGCAACACCAGCAGATGCCGACGGTGGTGGGAAGGGGGGAGGAGAGGCTATCGGCGAGGAGGTAGACGGAGGCGGCGACGACAACGGCAGCGCAGGTACTGCCGGCACCACGGGGATCGACGAGAGCGCCGCGGGGGGGAAACCGGGCGGCAAGAAGAAGAAAAAGAAAAAGAAGAAGAGCAAGACCGCCAAGACCAAGTGGGAAGGGGAAGAGGATGCGTCGGGCAAGCGCTTGACGCTGACAGCGAACAAGGAGGGAGGCGGAGGCGTGGTGGTCGAGGGGCTGCCGGGGGTCCTTGCGGCCAGCGACATTAGCCCGGTGCTTCTGGAGGCAGCGAGAGCGCAGCTGTGCCATGCCGTCGGAGACCCAGACGTTGACAACCTGATCGCTCTAGGATACCTCCAGGTGCTGTGCTGTGTCGTCGGCTTTAGGGGTGTATGGGGTCGGATAAGTGTGTTGCTGTGTAGCCGTAGTGATTTTGGGGTAGGTCTCTGCAATGATGGCGCTAGCTATTCTAGCGCTTTCCTACGTGAATCGTGGTACATGTACAGCTGATGGTTTTGTTGAGACTACCAATCCGGTGCGTGCGTCATGTGTATCATTCCTCGTGCAACCTGGAGACACACGTTGCGTTGCATCACATACAACCCCTCCCCCCCCCGTCGGCTATGGGAGCAGGTCAACACCGGCAACTACCGTAAAGCCGTCGAGCTGTTCCGTGGGCTGCTGTCCATTCGACCAGGTCTTGTGGGTGCCCACCTGGGTCTTGGTAGTGCCCTGGCTCTGCTGGGAGGCATGGAGCACGCCGTAGCATCGTTCAGCGCCGCAATCGAGGTGAGACCCATGTAACTCGTGTACGTGAAATGTGGGAGCCCCTTGTTGATTGGATGCCCTGGTAGCGTTGGCAAGCTATTCCGGCGTTCCATCTTTGTTTTCACGGAAGCACCCCAGGACCCGCCACTGGGAAACAGGTGGAGAGAACGGAAGCTTGACTAATGCCTTGCTGGGCGTCCAACTGCGTGGAAATTGATGTTACCACAATAGGTGGACCTTCCGTTGTAGGGTGTCATTACCGGGGAATAGAATATGCGCTGGTCCTACGCAGTTCGCACCATGTAACCGGTCGGTGTTTTGACGGGCGCTGCTGTATGTACGGTGCAGGCCGACCCACTTGAGCCGGACTGCTGGAAGCGACGAGGACAAACGCGGGCGGCTCTCGGACACGCGGTGGGGGCCCTGAGTGACCTCGATCGAGCGGTAGAGCTTTTCAACGGCAGGGATCCCGATGTTTTGCATCAGCGCGGCATGGTGTACCACAAGGTAGGCCCTGCCTGCACTTTGGACTGTGCGTTACTGAGGTGTTGCCGGCAAAGTCGGTCGTGAAATAATATTTGTATCGAGGGGTGAAACTATTAGGCTTTTAGGGTACCACCTTCTTCAGCAGAGGCCGACGAGAGATGAAGTGCAATTTTTGAAGGTTGTTCTCCATCGAAAGTCTTCGGAGTCATGCAATTGTTTTAGCTATCCTGTTGGTGATGTGCTTACAATCACCATGATCATGCTACCGCTGCCTGATATATTCCTACCTCAACGACGTCTACTCATTTCGTTGTCATTCCCTCCCCCTCATTCGGTTTCAGTTGCGGTACTTCAGCCGAGCCGTATCAGACTTTAGCGAGGTGGTCAAGTCGAGCGTCGACTCCAAAACCGATTGGAACATGATGGCTTTGTGTCGGGGGCAGCTTGGGGAGCCGGAAGCCGCGGAGGAAGCGTACCGACAAGCGCTTGCGATCGACCCTTCTTTCAAGGTATCCGTTGCTTGCAGTCATGTTGGACCGTTGGGTTGTTTCTAGGCCACCGCTCGACGAAACGTTCGCAAGCGTGATTCTGAAGCCCTCGCCGAAGAGTAGGAGCATGGGTGTAAGGTGTTGGGGGAGAGATGCACAACTCTTATCTCTACCTGCTTTTGTTGTGGTTGAAGGCCCGAATTTGGTCCAAACTTTGCTCTCGTTGCGTCTAGAGTTGCCAGCATTCAATACCCAGGAAAGCACGCTATTAGTGTTACCAGCTTCCCGGAGAGCTACAGTATGTATTGTGGCACTGGTCAACGTCTTCCGTACCCACACGGTGTTTCCCGTCTCCTGGGTGACCTTCCTCTCCAGGAAGCTTGGACCAACCTTGGCTCCCTGCTCAGAGACTGGGGCAAGGGGGAGAAGGCGTTGGGGGCATTCGACAACGCTCTTTCGCTCGATACGGCCTATGTACACGCGTACCATCTCCGAGGTTTGTGCAAGCACGGGATGGGGGACCACAAAGGCGCGCAGGCGGATTTCATGAGGGGGTTGTTTTACGACGGCCAGGTTAGTGCTTATTGTGTGAAATTACATTGCGGCCACGCTACGAAGTAGCAAACTAATCAAGAGACATTGGCGCCAAGCTACTACCGCTTTCTGGCGGTGGTCGGAGAATAGGCGCGCGCGTATGTGTACGTGCGTGCTTACGTGTTGGGTGGTATAGTGCCAGTGTTGACGGTGTGCGAGGCCTGAAGAATGTGTGGTTCTGGAATCGTTTTTCTCGGTCGTACTTCTCGTCATCTGCCCACAATCTTTGTCCTCAAGTTTGGGTCCATTTGGCGTTCTTTAGAACGCCTCCTGGTTGCAATACGCAGTGTCGGGGGTTGAACGCCCTACATGTAACCCCGACGCCTTCTGTTGCGATTTTTTATTTTTTATTTCCCATGCTGACTAAAACGCGACGAAGGACGAGCACTGCCGCTACATGGCTGCGCTGTGCATGCATGCCCGAGGGCAGCTGGAAGAGGCCGCTCGCTGCTACGACGCGCTCCTGTCGCTCAAGCCTGGGCACCAGGCATGGTACACGAGAGAGTGCTGCGTCTACCTGTGGTCCAACATTCGGCGGCCGTGGCGAGAGTTTTCGCCAGACGCTGAGTTGGATCCGGAGTTCAAGGTTAGTGGGTGGCCGGATGGGGGTGGAAGGTTGGGGGTTGGGCGAGGAAATTATGGATGTTGTGGGAACCGCGCTTTGTTTCTCGGGGGAGCTCGGTCAGAGTTGGTCATGGTTTGTTCTCAAGGTATTCAATTGGCGTCAGAACTAACATTGCTTGGGTCTTTCTGTACCAACGGCAGGCTCCTTCCTCTCCCTCGAGAGCAGCTGTGAGCCTGTGGCGAAACCAACAGGCTCTGACCCGTACATACCGACCATTTTTCTCAACCCTAATTCAGGAGGCGTGGTGCAAACGACACGATCCGATGACCCTGCGGCACTACACGCGGCATCGCAAACCCACCGGCGCGCAAGCCCGTGTCACTCTCGCGGAGGTGAGGACCACACCCCCAGCCAAGCCGCTGTCGTCGCCGGACGATAAGACCGACACCATCAAGACGGCGGCCGCCAATTTCGCGAAGCCGGACGTCGTCGAGAGCGTCCTCCGAGCCGCGGCTCCGATCGGCCCCGGGATTCAGCTCAGATGTCCGGGATTTCTGTCCAATTCCCGCCAACACCGCATGTTCGGGCTGGCGTCTCTGGAGCTGGCTCAGCTGGTGCGGAGGCACTGGGATAGCGTGAAGGCGGGGGGAACCGGTGCGATCGTGCCGGATGCGGGATCTTCGCGATCTGTGGCCGGCAAGCTGCCCGCGGGCGGCGGGGGTGTCGGGGGGCACCCCGTGGGGTACAGAGACTTGTTCGACGTGGCTGTCCGGTGGAGGCAGCTGTCTGAGCCGAACGATCCTGTGTGGTGGATAGACCGACTCACAACCGGCGCATTCAAAGAAGGGTTTGGTCTCCAGACCCCGATGGTCAACGGGCAGTTGAAGGTGAGGTTTACTTATGGGCATCAAGTCAGCGTGCATGTTCCACAGCATTGGTTTCGCGCTCGAGCGTACTTAAATTTTTCTTCTCCAGTACAGCAGTGGTGGAAAATGTGGAAATGTGGAAAAAGGGGACGTTGCTACTTGGGTTACTACTTTAGCCTGCCATGACGAAGAATGGGCGTTGTATTGAACACCGACCTGCCTCCTCGAGCTGCTCATCAAGCGCGGTTGTCCTTGCCCGGAATATGGGCTCATGCCGTGCTTTCACAAGGTGTGCCTAAAGCTCTTGCTTCCCTCCTTGGCCCTCTACTTATTTTGCTCCCCTCCCCCCGGCAACAGGTGGTGCGGTACTACCCATACTATCCAATGGCCCTCGATCTCATGAAGAGCTTGATGTGCGAGCAGAGCTCGCTTAGCGAGGAGACGAAGGCAGCCATCAGCCACCCAGACGCTGGACTCGCCGAGCTTTACGAAGCTATCGGGCACGACCACTGGGTGGTCACCCCTTGCCAGCGCTCGAGTCTTGGACCCGGCAGCGAGGGGCGGATCATGGAGGGGTGAGACTGGTTTGGCGATGCGATAGTATTGCATCGGGCTGCGGGCATAATTTTTCTGTTGAACGTGCTCTACTTGAGCTTCGGACGTGTGTCCCCCAGCTCGCACATTCGTGTGTTTTGGTTTTAAGCTGTTGAACGGTGTTTAAATAGTGGTTCAAGTTGAGATTCGGCACTCGTCGATCCTGTCAAGTACGTGCGTTTCGTACACTGCGCACACCTTGCCAAGACACAAGTGAAACTCGAATCAGCTACACGTGCAAGCTCTATACAAGTATCGCTCGCCTAGATCACGACCAACACATTAGGTTTCAGATTCACAGTTTGAACCGCAACCGCGTGTCCCGAAAAAACTTGACAAAGCTTTTCTTTCCATCCTATATACAATGTCCAGGACCCGCTTAACCATCGTTGCCAACAACCCGGAGGGTTTCGAGTTCACGATACGAACACCAGGGACACCGGAGCGGTGGCGTCAATACGAAGACGAGCTGTGCGCGGTCTGGGGAAAGCTCACCGCCGCGTTCTGCGAAGGCGATTCCCCTGCTGCAGACTGCCGAGGGGAAGAGGGGGAAGCCAACAACAGGGAAGACGTCGTGTGCGACCTGATCTTGACCATGTTTTACTACTGGGTTAACTTTGGCCCCCTTAGCCGCGGCAGCGCGGCGTGCGGGTACATCGTTCTGTCGGGGCTTATGGCAGCGGCGGGTTGGCGGCTGACCGAGCCCCTCCCCGTGAACGTGCAAATGGACTGGGAGGCAATCCTCAGACCAAATCCCGAGGAATTCATCAAGAAGGCAGGCCCGTGGCTAAGGCGAACGCGTAGGCGAGAAGACGTGCTGGAGGGCGTGCAACCGGTGCCAGCCGCGTTTCCGACTCCTCTGGAAGCGATCAAGGCCCTCAACGGTCTGTAGACGGGGGAGGGTGTTTGTCGTTTTGTCCGGGAAAATGATGTTGTTCTGTAGACTAGTGGTTGTGTGTACCGTACGCGTGGAATCTGGCTTGTTAATTCTATTGTTAGTGGATAAAAAATGGATCGTACACCCAACACGAACAACACCCCAGGCTCACATCTACTGCAGGGGTTTGGCTAAACCTGAAAGCACAGCACCTCTAAATGTTCGAAGGCAACCTTATGCTGCTACAGCAGTACTGCGGGAGGACTGCGTGAATCATTGCCTCAAAAGGCTTGCAACATGGCGGTCATACTACGCAGTGAAAGGAGCAGCAGTTTACCCTCTCGATATGGCAGTGGCTGCGCCTTGTCTTTGCACGTGGCAACGAACAAAGGCGAGAGAAAAAAAAAACTAAAAAAGCATCCCGAACGTGCCGACGTTCAGGTGCTAAAAACGCGACCACGCTGCTCTAGAAGGATGCTACGGTCGAGATGCATCTACAAAGTCTACACACAACACACGTTTTCTAATCTTCACTTCAAACGTACGACACGTCAACTTTACCCCCGGCAACGCCTTTCGGGAGGCTTGGAGGAGAGTCGCCCTCCCCAGCCCCCTGGACATCCTCATCTCCTCTGCCGGTGGCTTCTCCGAGACCGCTCTTCAAGTTTTCAAGGCTATCCTTTGCCCTCTTCTTCATGTCTTTGGCCGCTTTGCCCATGCCTGCTAGCATCTCCGATGCCGAGTCCTCCTCTTCCTCGTCTGCTGTGACAAACCCATCCGTCGTCTGGGCGAAATTGAAGACGGGCGAGGTTGACGGCATGTGTTGGAATTCCGCGGCGAGATACTTCGAAGACAAAACGGTATGCGCAAGTAAACTGTGCGGCGAAGCAGTACGGACAGAGCGATACTTGGATGACAAGCAATCGAAATACGAGTAACGGTCATTTCAGATAGTGAGCCAGACGTGCCAGGAACTCGGGGTACAGAGCGTTGTCTCCAGCCCACGCGGCCCACACAGTTGATGGCAACGTGCAAGCTTTCGGCATTCTGTCTGTCTAGAGGGGGGGGGAGGGGGGGTACTCATCGTCGTGCATGCCGTAGTCGTTAGACCGTTGACCTCGCATCCCTACAAGGCCGGGACGGAGCACGCCGGGTTCTCACCGGACCAAGTTCTCACATCACCAAGCACGAAGCATCGTGAGGTATTCGGCGAGTCGCACGAAGGGTGCGCTGCATCCTGCTACTGTAAGGGTGTTCGGCATCTTGTGCTTCCTTGCGTATGGATGACTGCTGCGTGTGTCTTAAATTTCCTGGTGCTTTCACTTCCAGAGACAGTTGTAAGCACTGTAACTGCCTCGAGGGTGCTTGGCCCATTTAACACAACGCGGTGCGATCATCCCCTTTGCGCGGAGTGAGGGTTCTCGACCCCGCCCAACACAATCTACTCCACCACCATGATTGTTACCGCCGAACAAAAAAAACATTGGGAAACAAAATAGAAGCGGTAACCTGGTTGCCGAGCTCACGAAGTGATCGGCTTGTTTTACAACGTCGTTGCCAAGTGACGAACACCCAACCCCGATGACAAACACCGAGGGGGGGGCGGGGAGTCTACAATATTGCCACCACACAATTGTTGCGGCACACCAGTGTCATCAGAGTTGACTTGTACGAACAAGACAAATGGCGGGAGGATCACAATGACTGTCGTTTTGGGTTCATCACTATTCGAAGGAGGAGGTGACGCTATCTGTTCTTGTTAATTATTGTCTTCACCTCGTCCACCTCTTCCTCCGCAGCCGCATCGCCCTCCTTGTTTCCGCCACTCGCCACCTGCATGGGGACAGGCGAAGCAACATCAAGCACCACGGAAGAAGCGGCAAATGAGGCGTCGGGCACGCGGGTATTGCCATGAACTTTTGTTGGGCCGTCTCACGCCCAACACGCGTGATGACCCATCTTTGCCCAGGCAGGCCAACCACTAGGTTGGAAACAACCAAAGGTTGGGACACAACGCCAATGACACAAACACACAAAAACGAAAACATTGCACTCGACACGCCACATGCGACCTGAAGAAACAATTTCATGCAGGTAGACGATCATCGTGTTCGCATCACACCAGCGAGGTCAATACAGTCCAACGCCACAAGTCTTGACAAGAAAGAAATGAGTCTACAGGCTTGCACGGTTAACCCTGACGTGAAATATATTCAGGTTTTGGTTAAAAAACAGCATCCAGCACTAACAGGCATCGAAGAACAAAGGCCACCCTCGATAACACGGAATTTAAGGTCTGTGGTCACCTCTGCATCTCCCCCTCCGTTGTCGTTGTCATCGTCCTTGTCCTTGGCGTCTTTCGTGGCAGCCACAGCAGACAAGCCGTCGGCTACCCCTCCCCCTTCTTCTCCCGAGCTTTTCCTGTCCTTGCGGGCCTTCGTGAAGGCTTTCGCGAACGCGACCACCTTCTTGATGCCATACACTCCAGCAGTAGCGATCTAGTAGGAAGAGCACAGCGGTCGATCGTGGTCCAAATCGAGGAGATGAGGACGTCAGCAGATGGTAGCATGATCAATGTAGCGGGTGCGGCAACTTCTTCGTTCGTATCGCGTACGCCGTGGGTCCTCCGCCGATATATTACCAGGTGCATGATATCCATGGAATACACCCTGCTCGTATATGCAGTGTGTGTTGTGTTGATAGATATGCGGGCTGAGGGTACACTACAGCTTGCAGCATTTGCAATCCTGATGCTCTCATGGCTCTCGAGGCCTTTTTCTGCGGTTTCTCCGCCCCACCTGCCAATGTTTCGTCGTTCACCCCGTGGAGCACATTGGGGGCCACCACAGTGATCATCTTCGTTTTCTTCGCAGCTTCACTGCGCCGCAGACCAGCATAATCCATACCGTACCAAGTAAACGCTCCAATAGACTACTTGTAGAAGTTCAAATCTTCCCGACAACAATTCTTTCCAGAGAGAGAGAGAGAGACCATACGGGTCATACCTATGTCAACTCAAGTCACCCATGGGTGGGGTCACACGAACGATGCACATGCCCCTGCAATACTTCTGCTGCGGCTGCGATGGTGTGCTCACAAGTAGAGTTTCCACGGCGCACTTGCATTGTACAGCAGGTAACACGCAACATCAGTCCCCACGGGCATGCGCGCGAAGACGAGCACACGAGCGGTTGGGGCAGACGTTATGGGCGCTTGGAGTTCTCTTGCACAACTGCCACTCACCACGACAACCTTGGCCAGCATGATCCCAATATCCTCGGCCGTGTCCTCCTCCATGTCGAGCGCCTCCGCGGACACCGTCTCCAGCTGCTGGTCTACTTGCTCATCCAGGACCTGTTCCACCGTCTCTTGGGCAGCTTCAACAGCCTCATCGGCCTTCTCCTCTGCCTTGTTCTTCCTTTTCTCCTCTGCCTCCCTGCACCGACGAAGAACGCGACCTGAGCACATAAACAACCTCTCACTAGCAATGTATGATACCCCTGCGGTGCTCGTGTCGGGGTTGCATGTTGTGTCGGATGGTCAACTACTCAACGACAAGGACGCATGCCCGCATGCGGTTGACACGCGGCCGGCGGCGTGACTATCCTTCACACACAGGATCATCAGGAGGTTCCTTCCTCGCCTACAGCAGCCCCAACAGCAATCGACCCCACGAGACGAACTAACATGCGTGTACTGCTTCCCGTCTAGTAGGATGTCCGTGGGGCATTTGGGTGCGCTGCCCACTGCACACCTCTTGATCGCCTTCCAGTCGCGGATGGGCCTGTTCCTTCCGCCAGGTTGCATCACCGCCAGGGTGGAGGATCGCGAAGAAGAGGCTCGCCCCGTTGCCCAGTTGTTGGCGTCTACGACCGCATGTTGGCTCAAAAGAAGGGCAGAGCAAAACAATGCGCGAGGCACGCGCGGGTAGCTGGTGGAGCGCATCTTGTGCGGTGACAAGCTTTCGATCGTGCTCACAAACTGCAGTGCTCCTGTGTTTGTGTAATGGGTACAAGTAGCTCAAACCCAGGGGGTTCAACGGTTGGGGAACCACATGGGATGCTCGTTGTGCTTTGTTTCTTCCGCCGGGTCCCGAAGATTTTTTGACGAAAACTTGGAAATTTGAAGTCTAAGTGTGCACAGCAGTGCGCGCAATGACCGATTACCTTCCCAAGCAATGAATATCAACCAAGCTCCCACCTCTGGAAGGGGAAGGGATCAGGGTTGATAAAATTTTCCTCCTCTCGCAAGAAAGTAGCAGAAATTGTCGGCCCTCGCCGGCATTCCACTAATTTCTACCACAATTTTCCTTCGAGCTTACATATCGTACCATCCATCCATGCAGTTGGACGTCAACCTGGACGCTGGACGCACCAGCCGCGTTCACACAGGGGTGCCAACGGAGCGGGAAGGAAGCCACCACAGGAGTACTGGCAATGATAGCCTGATCCAGATGTTGACACGTGCTGCGGCTTCGAGCCCTCACTCAATACAGAGAATGTCTTATGGATGTACTGGCTGTGGGTGTTTGTGTTTCTTACTGAAGAGGGCTGGCACTTCGAGGACATCTATTCGCCCATTTCGCATTTCTTCGACGCCAGATCAAAAGCTTTTGTACTCCGAAATAAGAGTACTAATCCTTCTTGGAATAATATTAGTGGCCGCAAGCTGCTGAAACAAGAAAAATCCCTGAGCATTAGACTTTGGACACATACATGAATGTTTGCGTGCGTCACCGACCACAAAAAAAAATAACAGGTACTGAACTGCAGCATCCGGTGGTTTGCCATATCATACCAACGCAGCTACGACCTGCACGACAATCCCGATCACTATAGAAAACGGAACCATTCCCACAGGCTGGGGCACCACCAGCAGGGCACCATACTGCGGTTCCAGACAACAGGAGCAACAGCATAAAACCCAAACCCTTGGTGGCAAAGCCATCTACACTACACTAACACTGTAATCCTTCAACACGACAACGCGCGTGTAAGCGTTGTCGGGCCCCAGGCCTCCTTTTCGCAACAGGATGATAACTACTGTAAGCATGATATTACCAAAGTATTACCAAAGTTCAAGCCAAAGTCTCCGGTCTACATACAATTAACAGCAAGGCACATTCGTAGACACCTCTGTCCTCTGTCTGCTGGATCGCCTCTACGAAGTGAAGCAGTGTGCTGTCGTGGGTACAACACGGGACGAGCGAGACGAGACGCCCTCTCACTGCCGCCGCAAATAAAACAAACAACACTTATTATTTACCGCTGATTAAGCACCTGACACCCTTTTCCTGCTACACCTGACCTGTCCCCCCCGCATCACGTCAAGCGCCCAGATCTGAGCTTCTACCTCCCGCTCCCCCACCGCAAGAACATGCCGAAACCCTCAACGTTCCTACTTTTGGTCAATATCTGTGGGCCTCTGCTAATTATATGCCATGGCACAACAGCAGTCTCGAGGGCGCTGTCGTGCCTCCGTCGAGAGATTACCGACACTAACGCTATAGCGTCCGCATCTGTCGTCTCTCACTCCGTCTGCTTGCCATGGCAACAAAACTCGAGCGCCACCTGTCAGCTAATCTCGACTATCGTACTGCAACCTGCCGTGTTTAGGGAAGTGCGCCAGAGGTCCAACGCTCGGCCACCTTGTCGTCTAGCTCTCCCCAAAGCTGCAGCAATCTGTCTGCGGTATCTGCCTTGCTGCTGCCGATAGGGAGTTCCGCCTGCACCTGGAAGCGAGAGGCCACCGTTTGGTCGATTCAAGCAGAGCAGTTTCGGCACGGGAAGGCATAGAGAAACGGATGTAGATCGTGAGGGTGCGCATAGGCAAAAACCGTACGATGTGCGAAACACCGTATCGTACCTTCGACCACAGAAAAGTCAAGAATATGGCGAGTGGAGGATGCTCAATAATACCTCCACCCACTACAAAGACTTCAACACGTCCCGTTCGGCTGTGGTAATGGGTATGTCTCGAACGGTAGTAGTCTTTCTGTGTTCGTATATACTTTTCCTAACACAGCGACGAGCAGGTTTCGAAGCCTGGCATGAACGACTACTGAGTGCATCGGGCGGCGGCCCGTCAACGACAACTCTAAGCGCTACGCAGGGGCCAACAATACAAAGACGAACAACCAAGCGGCCGTGGAGGACTGACTCACTCTTGTCCGATTGGCTCTGCAAAACGCCACGAACCCAGGCGACGGCCCGGGGCTCTTCGGTGCTGCCGGTGCTGGCGCCTTGCGTTTCTTGCTAGCTGCGGAGCTCCCCCCCCCCCCGTTGGCGTCGGCCGCCCCCGATGTCTTGGGTGGGAAGAAGTTTGTGATGGGACTCTTAGACTCGCCGTTCGCCTTGCTGGGCGTGGTTGACTGCGGTGCCGCATGAGTTCCGCGCAGACGTAGCGGGAGGCAAGGAACGTAAGAAAAATCGAGCAAGCAACAATACGCAAACACACCATGCCAAATGACAAACGACAGTGAGACGAGACGAAAGCCTCGATTGTTTGCGCCCGCCGCCCCCATATCCGAGGCAAATAGCGCGGTATTCTTGAAAACCATTCTGCGCCTTCGCTCTCGTTGAATTGGGATGGCAATCTGATACTCGTGAACGTTCACTCGCCCGAAGTTGTCACCATGAGGCCACAAACGCTTCTGCCTTCAGGAAATAACGGCCGTGTACCAGCACTGCTGTCTGCAGCACACAACCAACCAATCGATAATTCGCACCTTGCGTTTCTTTGCCGAATGTGACTCCGAACCACCGCTCTTCCGTTTCGCCGACAACGCAGAGAGGACCGCCACCTGTTAGGCCCGCCCGCGTTAACGCACAGACAAAACCCACCCACATCCACCAGCGGAAACGCAAACATGCACCAGCCGCGTCAGAGAAGGCTCAAACGTCACCCAGAGTCAAGCAGCAGGTTTGGCCGAGCAACAAACATAGGGTAGCAGGGTAGCAGGGAAGGCCACACATACCATACCGTACCGTACCCTATACTTCCGTGAGACGGGAAGAAGAGAACACGTGTGCGTCTCCAGAAATACGCGAAAACAGAAACGCACGTACGATATGCAAAGCAATGACTGTAGGAATGACTGAGTGCAAAAGAATGACTGATATGCAAAGGATGACTACTGTAGTGTACACTGCTCTACATGTACGTACCTCTTCGGGCACGTTCCCCTGGTAGACAGGCATGCTCAGGTACTTTTTCCCAGCGTCCAAAACCTTCCACTTCGACCCGCGAGACGCCTTCTCTCCCAGCACCCTGCAGCGAAAAACCGAGGGGGGACAAGGGGTATTGTAAGAATAGTATCATCGCCGGAGCAAGGAAGGGATGGAGACGTAACATACAGCCTGCCGACGATACCATCCTAAAGCTATAAAGCTACAGCTCTACCGTGGCACATGTAAAGTGAACTCCATGTACAAATCGCCCACAACACTTGGGGGTATCTCTCGGTGATGCTTGCTCCTTCCATGCCCCTTCCATTGAAGAAACAACGAACGCTACTTCAAACACGACCGTTCATTTACACAATAATAGTGTATCGCTCTCACCCGATCGCCTTGTTGATCGACACTTGGGTGAAGGCTGGGTGCTTCTTCTGGAAGATCTGCAGCATATCGTCCTTGGAAGTCAACTCTGCAGTGTAGCGCCGTCAAGATAAAAGCATCAAGAGTTTTTGGTATCAGCACAAGCATCGGGGTGGGGGTTTATCACTCTACAGCAAGGAATTCCATGACAACAAGCCATTAAATTAAGCCTTTAGCCGCGTGTCTTGAGACACTCCTACCGTACAAGTGCAGATGCAAACCGTGCTCCCCTCCATTTCGGTTCCAAACGCTCGAGGTCTCACTCGACACACCGAGCGGAGATACCACAAAAGCCAGACTGACTGGAGCAGCAGTAGCACGCGACACGCGCACGAAACACGACCCGTCATTCACACGCTCTCCTGTCTGCCGGACAAGGACAAACAGAACAACTCGACCCAGCACCAGTCGCAGCATCAACCAACGTCAAGACACCCCGAGATTCTCACTCCAACCCACCTCCCTTCTCGATCAGCCGCACCAACTCCGGGAACAGCGTCTTCGGAACCTCGAGCCCCGGCTTCCCCACCGACTTGGTCGGCGTCCGCTTGGCCTTGGTGCCGGAGGAATTGGCAGGCGACTTGTCGACCGCGTTACTCGTGGAAGAAGAAGCCTTGGGGCTCTTGACCCCGCCTTTTCCCGCATCAACCTTCCCCTTCCCGTCCGAAGAGGTCGTGTCCGCCTTCTTACCCGCGACGGCGTTGCCCTTCCCTTTCCCCCCCCCGCCACCGCTCTTCTTGGCGTCCCCGTTGGCAGCGGCGGCGGGAGTTCCAGAACTAGCGGCGCTTGTTTTCTTGCCGCCGCCGCCGTTTCCGGTGTTGCCAGGCACCGCCGCCTTCGACGCCACGGCCTTCTTCTGGCCACCTCCCCCGGGAGATGCGGACTTCTTACCCCCTACTCCTGGAGACTTGCGGCCTCCTGCTCCTGCCCCTGCCACCCCTTCTGCTGACTTCTTTACGGCGTTCTTGGTGTTGAGGCCGGTCGTGCCGATCCCGTTGGAGGCGCAGGACTCGAGGAGGCTCCTCACGTTCGGGTTGTCCAGGGAAACCGTTCCGGATTTGATTGCTTCCGCGATCATCTGATGCCGCAGCAAGGCGAAATTGCACAAGGAACCAATGAAACAAATATGGGGTTCTGGTTCATAGCTAGTAGTTCTCTAGAGGGCGTTGAGACCAAGACCACCAAGCATGCACTTCATACTTTCTCAAACAACTTTCACCGGACAAAACTAACATGCAAAACTTTTTCACCGGAGGCCAAGCCCCAGCAGCAGCAGCAGCAGCAGCAGCAGCAGCCAGACGATGGCGGTCTCAGAACCGCAAGTACAAACCTCCAGGCCTTGCCTCTCCAATCGGTGATATGCTGTTGTACAGTACTATTAAAAATTCTCCCCCGGACACGTTCGACCACAAGGCGGGACTGTTTTACTTATCAAGTACAAAGTAGCATATTAGTAGTTAATCCACCACAGCTATTTAACACCGTCATGTTCACCTCCAAGTTCCGCTTGTTGCTCTCGGCCTCCGCCAACTCTCTCTCTGCCGTACCGAGCATGTTGTCCGCAGCCCGGATGCGAAGCTGAAAAACAACACAAAAAAAAGAGAGCCCAAAAAAAGGCGGCCGTCGGATCTAGAAAACGCCAATCGCCCAACAATCACCGGCAACAGCCACGGGAATTAGCGAAACAAACTACAAGAGTGTTGTGTTGTGTATGCGCATAGACTGCACATGGTGTTTTCGTCGTTCATTGGAATTAGTACACTGAGATGGCTGCACCGAGTGTTTCGTGCGCAAAAAAGCGACGACAGCGGGCGTTTTTCGCATCGGGGTTGAGGAGAGGGGATCAATCAATCAGTAACGAACCCAAATCGTGGGTTGGGTATGTTCACCTCGACAGAGGACAAGGAGAGAAAGAACTACGCACACTTTCCTTTCCAAGTGTGGGAGAAGAGGTGCCAGACAGAGGTCTGGAGATCAGAAAATGTTCGAGCTGTGCAAACAACATCATCAACCGCCGATACGAAAAACGCCGAACCACAAAAGTAGGCTCCGAGATCATGACACTGTACCACATTCATCAGCAAACCACCCCCACACCACTTCGCTGTGCCAAAAATCTCGACAAGCAAAGCACCGCCCCAAGCTCAGTGAGGTGAGGGTGAGAGAGGGGTGTGATGCGAGCGTGCACCTTGAATTCTTCGTCTTCCCTTGCCGCGGCGGCCTCGTCCTTCTCCAGCGCCCCGCGGTCCTCCATCTCCCTCTTGGCTTCCTTCTTCATGCGGTCTTGCAGATCCTGCACGGCAACACAACACATACAGTATACACATGCAATGAAACCACGGCACCCCCAACTAAGCTAAGCAGAAAGAAAAAAAAGAACGAGAATCGATACCGTTGATCTTGGTTCTACAGTAAGACCAAGACCAGACAGGCCGAAAAGAACAAAACGCCTGCTTTTCTTTTCATTCTTCATGGCACAAGAGTAAAACACAGAGAAAATCCGTGTACTAGACAAAAACAAACTGCTGCACAGAGTACCCGATCGCTGTTTAAGAAGCTTAAACGTCAACATGTCAATATCGGGTAGAGGCTCAGTTCGTTATTTCGCTACATCACTTCGTCGCCACCGCCGAGAATAGACTAACGGATTAGAAGCTACCGCTGAGCTACAAGCCGTGTTTTTCAACTCCAATTTCTTGTTTTGCGGAGAAAAATCGGAAAAATTGAGCGTGTTAGTTTGACCAGATTTGCACATGCCGCAGGCAACGGAGTAGCCACCGAAACAGGTACTAGAACAAGGCAAAAAGAGGTACACAACACCGATCAACCCGGTCACGGACGAACAATAGATAGCGGAGGGACTCTGGCTGGCGGAATACGCCAAGACCCCAAACAGACAAGACCCAAGAGGAGGCAAGAGGCAAGACCCAAAAGGAGGCAAGAGACAGGCAAGAGGCAAGAGGCAAGAGGGACCCATCGCCGTGAAAGCAACATCTCACCTGCAGATACTTCTCCGAGGACTTCATGAGCTGCTCGCAGTGCTTCCCTAAAGCGGTCTCGGATAGCGAACGCAGGTAGTAGTCGAAAGTGAAGCGGGGGGAGGCCAAGATGCACGCCCGCACCTTGCGCCAGTTGCCCCACCCGCACCTGCCGGTATGTGCCACAATGACGTCACCAACCGCCGTGAGAAAACAACTCCCTGCAAAGAAAAACTTTCATTTCAACGCACCCCCTTCGACGGTGGTATTTTCTCGAACAGGCAAGTCGTTCAGTGATTAGATTATGTGCATACTTTCCACAAAGTAAAGGAAATGAAAACAAGAAGCACAGTGGGGGCGGGGGCGCGGGGGCGGGGGGCAGGCACAGATATGCACGAAACCGCACGTATCGTAACAAGACTTCGCAATGGGTACCTTTGCCGGCTAGAGATGGTAAGAGTGATCGAAAAAGACAAAAACACCGAAAGCAAGACTACAAAAAAGACTCCTAAAAATACTGCTTCATGAGCCGTAGGGGCTGAAGGGCCCGTGTCGTCGGCTGTCTGTCTGTCTGTCTACATGTACTACAGCCGGCGTCACAGAGAGAACAAGGGGTCTCCATACGACCAACACTTGTGACTTGACTGACTTGACTGACACTCACAAGTGCGTGAGGCATAGCAGGTAGCGGTCTTCGTCCTTTGTCCACTCGCGCTGCAGCTGCATTCCTGCCGTTCCGGCCCCGCCCTGTCTCTGATTGATGCGCACCTCCATGTTCCTCCAGGGGTCGTCGACTGCCTCCATGAGCTCGTTGGTCACCATCATGATCCTGTTCAACTGTGGCGATTGCACATTGCAAACATACAACAACCACAGGAAAAGCAGCAGGATCAAAACACAAGCAAGGCGTGTGTGGGTAGCAACTAGCGGCGGCGGAGAGAGGCTCTTAAACAGCGCGCGAAAGATAACAGGTACCGAGATGACGAGCTAGCTTTGCAATGCATGGCATACGACATTACCGGCATGTTCGTGGCAGGCGATCCATCGGGTCGCCAACTTGTCGGCAAGCCCTTACGACTATTGCAGCACCAACGCCGATCGATTAAGCGCCAACCGACGCCGAGCTCATCCATCAGTGCTTGCTTTCAATAGATTTGCACCAACGATGACTCTAACTTCTCGGCAAAAGTGCACCGCTTCTTTGGTCTGCGTTCCTGTGCTCCTCCATGTTAGCGTTGAGTGTTGAGTGGTGGGAAATGCTAGCGGTAGGGCACGCTACGGATGGGTCGGTTTCGGCGCCTCACCTCGTTGAGCCTCTTCTCCTTGGTCTCTACGCGTGTCTTAATGCGTCTCCACGCCTCCTCCGAGAAGGTCTTTGGTCCTTGCCTCCAGAACACCTCTCCGTACCGCACCACCTCTTCCGCCGGCTTGCCCACCTTGGCAAGGACAGCAGTACAACACAACACAACACAAAAATGTCACAGCGGTACAACCAAGCATAAGAACTGCTGAGTAGATGCGTCGGGGGTACAGTGCATACGGCTTGGACGGGGGGTATATCACTATTAATACTGTACCGCATCGAAAGGGAGGATCCTCCAGGGGCCTCGAGATGAACAAAGGGCACACAAGACCGTAGGAGCTTGCAAGCCCGATCCGTGACAGCACGGACACCAACATACCAACATACCAACATACCAACATACCAACATGCAGAGTCGGAAGTGCGATCGAAGGTCAAAGGTCGCACGTGAACCGCCCGGCAGCAGGGAAATCGCTCTGCACCAACCAGGCGTGGTTGACTGCTGTTTCCGTGGATCGCCTGACATATATCAATGAAATAAATCAACAATCTGCAGCACCTCAGGCATTAGCCTCGCGTGACACAAGTCCGCCCCAGCCCCGCTGCAGCAATTGAACGGGAACGGGTGCGATTTATTTCCCTCCCCCTACTTGCCCCTCACTATTTTCTCGCTTCTCTCCCTCTCTTATTTTCTCCCTCTTCCCTTCTCCTGCCTGTGCCCCTCCTCTCTCACCATGGTCGCCACAAGCTCGAGGCGGTCCCTCCCGTACACCGCCATCCCGTCGATGAAGCTGTAGTAGTGCCCTCTGGTCCAGCCCGGGAAGCCTTGAGCGATCAGCTCCGCTCGCTCCTTCACCTTGTCCGCCGACAGCAGCATGCTCGCGATGTCAGCCCCGTCCACCGGTATCTTCGTTCCCCGGTCCTGGATTGGATCGGATTGGATGCATGGGTAAGGGTAAGCGGACCACAGACAAAACAGACCAAACGGGCACGGCAGCGGTAGAGGTACAGTAGAGGTGGCGTCAGCTTGGGCGCGGGCGGAGCCAAATTAATGGGTGGGGTGGGGTGGGGTGCGTCAACGGTCGCGAGGCGAGGTGCCTACGCAGAGCAAAGCCCTGAGCTGCATGTGTCACGGGCGGACCTTCGGAGTGTACGGCAGTGTATTCATGCAGTAGGCTACAGTTTCAGACTTGGCTGAGCACGAGCGATTGGGACGGGAAGTTGAGGCATGGTACATACATTAATGTAGTGACAGCATCCGCATCGTTTCTTATACAAGGGCCGGGAGGTCGGGACACCCGACAACACACCTGCTACCTGCTAGCTCCTTCGGTGCACAGGACAGATACATGGCCTGCAAGAAAGGCAAGGTCCAAGGAAGGTACAGCATGTACAACAGTAGCGATATTCGAAACCTGTTACCCTGCGTTCACCAAATCACCACAAAATCGGTTTCATAGGACGGCACACAAGACCGACCTTGAGAGCTTTGAAGTTGTCTTGGAGCTCGTCCTGCAGCTCCACTATCCTTGCGCGGTCGAACATCTGGTGGTCCTTCATCTTTGGCATCTCCAGCTCTTTCGGCATCTTCAGCACCATCTTCTTGGGCTCTGTTCCATGTTGGCATGTCATGTCATGTCATGGTACAAACGCGTACGAGCATCGATTAAACGGGGCAGGATAACTAGTTTTACGGGAAAACGCTTTGGTGGAAAGACACCTTCGGCAACAGCATAACAGCATGATCCAAGCAATAACAAAAAAGCCACCACAAGGAGCACAAATATTCGTGGCAAACATCCAAAACAGGATGGACCGGGAGAAACACGGCACGCCTTACCGACTCGGGGAGGCGGTGGTGCGTACGCCTTGACTGTGGCCGGTTTCCGCTCTCTTCGGCCGATGTCGATGAACCCGGCCCGCATTTGGTCCCTCAGCTTTCGGTCGCCGTAGTTGATGCCCTCGAAATTCTTTTGTATGAGAGAGTGCAAGCAGGAGGGGGCCAAGCGGAGCGGGGGGGGCAGCCGGGCGCCCACGAGACGCGCAGAGGTTAGCCAGGTCCAACCCGACGCAGGGGCCACCTGGACGACAAGTAGTGACGCTACCTTCGCCTGAACCGCTTGCAACGCCGTAAAGTTACAGAGGCATTGGCTGGCCGACCCGGTGACCCTCGCTGACCCTCAAACCCAGGCGATGCAGCCATGTCATGGTTGACAGGTTGACAAGAGGAGCAGGACCTCAAAAACACACCCCGCGCCACGCCACGCCACGCCACGCCACGCCACGTCATACAGAGGGAGGGAAGAATGAGGAATCGCCGACACGTTTTGCAACGACTTCCTGATATACGCCGAACAATATCGCTTCGCAGTCGATGTTCTTTCGAAGTGCTGCTGTAGTGACGCTGACGCTGAGATACCGTAGGCGTGTGTTGATCGCGAAATACGGTCTCCTAACCGATTTCCCGTCATCGTCATCATCATCATCAAACCCTCACCGCATGCGGCAGCATGCGCTACCTACCGACTGGGTACCGAATCATTGCCCATGCCAACCAACCGTACCTGCACACCCGTGCCGTCGTCGAAGCTGAAGTCCAGCATGTCCCCCTTTTCTGCGACGTTGAGCTTGGACTGCATATCCTTGGTCTTCTTAGCCCCCCTCTCAAGCACCGCATCCAGGTCTTGGTCGGACATGACAGTGTCCTTGCATCGGAACACTGCATCTGCTCCGAACCTGTGTGCCAGTAGACAAACCAGCACGCAGATTAACACCCCCACGGTCGACCAAACGGTCAGGACAGTCGGGAATCTTTTGAGTGATGGTGTTCGCAAGATGTTCAAAGGAGTATGCATAGCACGCCGCACGATAACAACCCCGTTCCTCCCTTAGCTGTACCATGTAGTCTTGGTCATCGTCAGGCACCACACCGCACTCGAAATTTATGATAATAACACCAAATATACCTACCGGCTTCACAAATTCATCCATTATCGATCCCGCCACTGTCCAATGCAAGAAAACAAGCGACGCGCGTTGTGTGAATCTTGACTACTCATACTGGTATGTCATACGGTAAGCGGCGAGAAAACCAATCCTCACAAACAAGATCTTGCTTTCACCATTGGGATGTCTTCCTGGGCCAATTCCTTCCTTTTGTATTGTATTCTTGTTTTCTTCTGACAAGGGAAAGACACCAGGGTTGCTTCGATCGCACAGCGGTAGGGCACCACACAACGCTTGGCTGCCATGTTTTTGTCAATATTAGTGGCAGCCCGTGGCAAAAAACCAGTGCGTTACAGTATGGCAGATCACGCCTGGACTTGTCTCTTTTCCTGAACGACGTTGACAAAAACCAGGTCCACTTCACTGCACCTGATGGCTGCGAGCATCTCGTCCTTCTCTAGCTTTTTCTCCCCCTGCAGCATCCCTCGCTGAACAACCATCGCGTCCAGCTTGAGCTTCTGCTGTGCGCGCTCGACCACCTTCTCCTCGATGGTGTCCTCCGTCACAAGCCGGTACACCTAGAAGTACAAGTAGACATACACAAGAGTGATGCGGGTGTGTTTGCAAAGCAAAATAATATCATACAAGAGGAGCGAAGAAGCCGCCCATCGGCAGGATATCGAATGACGAATTAAATAAAGCAAAATCGGCGGGAGAGAGATGCAAGCCTTCGTCTCCGCATCAAAACGGTGCCATAAAAACAAGCACGTTATGACATGTTTGTTTCACAGTTTGTTTCACAGCATGTGGCAACGTCACACCATCGTTTTGAAACGCAAAACAGCAGGTGTCTGTCATCAAGGAGCACGTGAACGCGGCGAACACGTACAAGGACTACAAAGACGAAAACACAAACATGTTTCTGCGGCAAAATCCCGTGGAACTATATTAAGGGTCCACCCTTCTGCCTGGTATCTATCTGCCTTCGAAATTACGAAATAAGTCAGTACCTGTACTGGATGCACAACACACAAACGAAACCCAACCAAGACAAGACAGGACGAGCAGTAGCCTCTCACTCTAACACACACCTTGACAGTCTTGGTCTGTCCAATCCGGTGACATCGGTCTTGCGCCTGGAGATCAGCCTAAAAAAAAACACATGAGGGAAGGGGGGGGGTCACTAAACACCCGAAGGATTGACCACTAATTGTATAACTTGCGGTATTTGACCCAAGTCTGACTCTGACTCAACAACTGAAGCTATTATAGTGTTAGTAAATGTTTGATGTACGCCGAAGAGGGGAAGACACGAAAATACGACATGCATAGAGCGTTGAACTATCAACAGGACACGAGTATTACGCAATGCGATAAGCGTGAATAAACCACCTTGTCATGCCTCGTCACGTTTCGCCTTTCCTCTCAGAGGCAGCAGACGGTTAAGGAACACTCCCTTCAACCGAAAAACGTGGAACTGGAAAAAACAAACAAACTTTAAGGCCACCACAGCAGTGCCAAAAAATTCACACAAAGTCAAAGGCCAGTTCGTTCCTCCCCCCCGCAAACGTCCGTGTCTACATGCAGCATCTGTTTATCGCGTGATCCCACCCCACGTTCGCACAACGGCAATCAGTCACCTATTACTAGTCCATCAGTCCATATTACCTGAGGGTTCCAGTCGCTGTCGTATAGGATGCACGTGTCGGCACTCTGGAGATTGATGCCGAGGCCCCCCGCCCTCGTGGAAAGCAGGAAGATGAACTTCTCCGACCCCTGAAAGAAAGTGTAGCCGAGTCAGGTCCATCAGGTTCATCGATCGATCGAGTGGAGTCAGTGAGTCAAGCGACATCGAGTCGAGCGATACATTTTGTATGGAGTCTCCACACTTGTGAGCATCCAACAACTACCACAGTCCAACACGGCGGGCTTTAAATGCGGGGCACTGCGTACGCCGCCACCGCCACCACTGCTGCGGCGGCAGCAGCAACTAGAGCTACGAATTCGTGAAAGACAGCAACCTATTGCCAGCACTGCAAGAGCGATCACAACGACAATCACCGACCTGGTTGGCCCCACCTGGAACTCTCGCCTCGTCTCTGTATGCATAAAATGTACCAAAAGTGGCCATTTCCCTTGGGTGAGGATTAGGGGGAAAACAGGCATAAACAAACTCCCGGCGTTATTTACCCGACCAAAAGAGACAGTAGACACGAATGCCTACCAGCATACCACCTACTGACATCATTTCACAACAACGGTGGTAATTGCCTCCGAAAATCAAGGCAAGGCGGGCTTACCGGTGCGTTGTACTCTTCGATGAGGTCCTGCCTGGTGTCGTGAGGAGTGTTCCCATCGATACGGCAGTACTTGTACTCTGACACCACATCAAACCAAAGGAAACCAAACGGAAGCAATGGGGCACATCACGTAAGGCACAGGGTGAGAGGCACCAGCGAACAAAACAGAAAATGGGGGCATGCGGAGGTTAAGGCTACAGGGGAAGCAGGTGGATTGTGAAACAGCAAGAATTCCGCGATGAACACGTGTGCACGTGCGGGGCTACAGCACATGGTGCTTCTATGTGTTATAGCTCAGTCAGTACGTTGAACTACAAGTGTTGCTCGGGGAAGGAGGTAGGGTTACACCCGCTTTAAAAAAACAGAACATATGCAGAGCAGTGTGGGCACGAGTACAAACTGAAGCGCAGCAGTCCTTGGAACTACAGGGGTCAAGTTTCCAAGGCGAAGAACTCTCGAAACTGCAAGAGGCAGAAAACAACAGCGAATTTCAAGTACGTCACTGTCTAGTTGCACGTTGAAGACAAACACCTGTCACAAGAAATCTATGACAAAAAACAAATCACATCACGTGGGTTGATTATTGGGGTGGAAATATATAAGGTGAGAAAAAGTTATCGCTGGTCAAGGAGACAGCGACTGCTTGGCGCAGACGATTCGAGGGTTGGGCTCCATAGGCTAAGTTCGTTCGGTTTGGACTGGCGTCTGTCTCACCCCTCATGTGCATCAAGTCCTCCAGGATGTCCATCATGCGGGTCATCTGGCTGAAAACCAAGACGCGGTGCCCTGCCGCCTTGAGCCTAGTAAGAAGCTTGTCCAGCAGGATCATCTAACACAACAACGAACAATCCACCGATGCAAGCCATGGGCCGACCCCGTTCCGCAAATCACAGTGTATAGACACGATCAAAACCGAATGAGCATGAGCATGCATGCAGACAAGATGAAAGGGACGGCATGGACACTAGCTAACCTGGCATTGACTCACGGTCCAACTAAAGGTGCCTTGCAAAATTGAACTCGGACAGAGCGGTTGCGGGGGATGGGGATTTTCAAACAATAAACCGAACCGCTGAGTCGACCAATAAGCGCTTGGTGTGCTCATGTGATCGCAGCAAAACCTGCAATCCCGGGATAACTTCCACCGTCCCCTCTACACCCCCGTCTCTATCTCTATATCTACATCTATATCTATATCCATCACCTTCCCGCAGTTCTCCACTAGGTGCTCTCCCATGGGGTCCAGATTTCGGTCCTCCGTGTTTGGGAAGAGGTACGGGTGGTTGCAGCACTTCCTGAGCTGCATCACGATGTTGAGGATGGCCGTGCGGCCGGCGCTGGTGCCGTTGATGGTGTCGATGTCTCGCATTAGCACGCCCTTGTACACCTTCCTCTGGACCTCCGACATGCCTGACACGACACGACGCGACGCGGGTGCGGGGCGGTGTGTGTTAGTGGTTTGGTCTGGAGTGGCGGGGTAATCATGCGACGTGTCACGTGATGACGCGACATGAGCAGGATGGAGACGAAATCTTAGACGAGACTTTGGGCGTCCGCCTGGACCAAAGTAACTCCACCGGAGGAGATGAGATGATGCGGTACAGCTGTACAGGCGCTCTGCTGGGTGCTTCTGCACTGCAACGTGTCGGCAAGTGACTGTGGTTGCTGCGTGCATCGCCCACCCAGGCTTTTCCCATCAGATAGATGACTCACTAGTGAAAAGGATCGTCTCTTCCTTGGGGGGCAAAGACTTCTCCACCTCCTTCTTCAGTCTGCGAAGCATGAAGGGCCTGCAGAACGGTACAACAGGAGGGCACGTGACAAGTCACGAAAGGAGCAGACGAGAGTCAGACAAGAGTAGCAACTCTCGTCCGCTGGACGCAATGCCACACAGAGATCGTGGACAGATCGCGCTGCTGCTTCAATGTCCAACACCAGCTTTAACGAGCACAATTGTCAACCGTTGAACAGGTTGCTATTTACTACTGCAATGCACGTCTTCCGCACACAACAGGAGGTTGGCTCACGCACGCACAACACAAACACATCGCATCGCAGCCACCGTGCAATTGTTCTTCTTGTTCGCACCTGAGAATCTTGTGCAGCTGCTTGATCATGTTCTGTTTCTTGTCGGCGTCGTCGACGTTGAGGTCGAACACCTTGCTGAACGCCTCAGAGTCTTGGAACACCGTCGGCAGCAGGAAGTTTAGCAGTGCCCACAGCTCGTGCAGATTGTTCTGGAAGTCCAACGGGACCAAGGAGACAAAGTACCCAAATAAACAACAACGAAAAACGAAGGGGTTACACAAACCAACACCACAAAAACATAACGTACATCACATGGATGGCCATACCGCGTGTTTTGACCATTTTTCCGTGGACTTTGCGGAACACGCGAGGGCGTTCCACTACTCCGTCCTACCAACCACAAAGGAGCGTCTTCATTGATAGCATACCACGTGCAGTGTCACGCATCCACTACCACGCTAGCACTACTGTCGTCCTCATTGCACAGCTACTACTGTGCTGGAAAAGTTCGAGGCAACGAGAGTAGCGTACCTGCAAAGGAGTTCCAGTGAGGAGCAGGCGGTACTGCGTCGTGAGCTCGCGCACCGTCATGCTGAACAAAGACGACTCGTTCTTCAGCCTGTTTCCATGGGAGATGTCACAACACCAACGCCCACCGCACGAAGGTCACCATCAGATTCGCCGGTGGTAGCAAATAGGCAGGGCAGGACAAAAACAGACGTGAGAACCCGAAAAAATGTACAATGCTGTGGTCAGGACAGGGCTGGTGTCAACAATAAGACCAACTGTTCGTTGTCCGGGATCGTCCGTGTGAGCATGAGCTTCCAAGCCCCCAACGCTCCCTCGAAACCAACCACTACTGCGTCAAGTATACAACAGTGGGTCGTCGTGCGATGAGTTGTCAAGTCAACGCCGCGGCACCTCACGTTGCATGACGAAGACAGGTCGTCACAAATAAAGTACTTGCTGGAACTCGCGATGTGGTGCGGTACAACCTTTGTACTGCTGTAACCTGCTGCATACCGAATAATACTGCCCTGTTAGCCCACCCTCAACAACACTCTTGTGCGCGAGACATATGCAACAACTCATACGCACCAGAGCTCGATGTACAAGAGCGACGAGAACTTGGTGCTCCTACTTGGTTGCGAGAACGATGTAAATCGCACCTGTGCGCCTCGTCGATAATGAGGTACCGCCATCCGATCTTGTTGAGATACGTCTTTTCGATGTTCGCCACCTCGTACGTGGTGACTAGAACGTCCCAGTCTCGCTCGTCCTCCGGGGAACCGGGCTTGAGATCGTTCCGAATGGTGGCGGCACGTTCGTCCTGACAGCGAAGGTTTAAATAGCCCACCCCCCCAAGCAACGGGCAACCATGGTCCCAAGAGAAGAGAAAAGAGTCAAGACAAGACAACAGAAAGATCCAGCATACCGAATCCATAGCGGTCTCGCTTGTTGGTTCAGACTCAAGAGAGGAACTACTTTCTCCGCTGGCGCGGCGGACGCAGCACTGAAAATCCCACCCCCAAGGTCCACAAGAAGCTCGGACGAAAATCAAAACGGGCGTGGTCGATGGAGGCACGAGTATCCTACCAATACTAGGGAGCCGTCAATCGGTGTCTGGAGGCTGCTGCAAGGCCGCTATTACAGTCGTGCTTTCACCTTGGTCCCGCTGAGGCGAAGCACGCGGATGTCGGGACAGAAGCGCTTGAACTCGAGCTGCCAATTGCCTAGCACGCTCTTCGGCAGCAGGATTATGTGAGGCCCCGTCACCTAAAAGTAAGCAAGGGAGGGTCGAAAAGCGAAGAAGGTGCACATGTCAAGGAAACGTTGAGATCCGTTATCGTAGGGACCAGCCAAGCCCTCTCCTGCTCGAAACCCTCCATTGCATGCCACTTACAAGATACAGGTAGATTATTGGTATGCATCTGCCAACAGCAGACTCGAGGATGCAGGTGGACTCTCTTAAGACTTGAGACATGGTAGCAGTTTAAGTTTGTACTTTCGGAATTCTTGGGTGGCAACGAGAGCTACAGCATTGAGCTCACGTTCTGGAAGTCACGCATGTAGGCGAGGATGCTGATGCTCTGAAGAGTTTTGCCGAGCCCCATCTCGTCGGCCAGGATTCCTGTAGCGAAATGAATACGGGCCGGACGCACAGCCGCACAGCAGCAGCACCGGCGATACGATACACGCGCGCTCAAGAGACAGCGTGGGGCCAGAAGAGAAGGTCGCTCCCACGGCATCGAGCGTCATTGACACAGACTATTAGCCTCAAGTCCAAGGAAGAAACGACACATGAACGACAACGCACCTTGGAGACACCGTGCGACACAACTATCCGACAAATTTTGGGCATTTCAGGTGCTGACACAACATGCCTCAAACAGCTAGAAAGGGACGCACCCTAGCTTTCAGAAAAGCGCAACAACGGCACTTGTAGCCAAGGTATGCTATACACAGCGGGGCGCACCGTTGGTTCCCTGGGCCTGCAAGTTGACCATCCAGTTCAACCCCTCCAGCTGGTACGACCGCATCGTGCCGCCCGAAATAGACGGCGGCTGCTTCGTCAGATACGTCGGCGCTGTGTCCTCCCCGTTCACATCGTCCATAGCCTCGTCCGCTGCCCCTCTCCCCGCCTGCCTCCGCTTGGACGGGCTCCCGCCAGCCGCTGCAGCACCCTTGGACGCGTCCTCCTCCTTCTCCTTCTCCTTTTCCTCCTCCTCCTCGTCGGAGTCGCTGAGGGCTACCCCAAAATGAGTCGCGAAAATGTCCGACTGGCGGAGGATGTACTTGATCCTGCGGAGTCGACATACATAGGAAAGGAGAGTTAGGAAAGGGGTGAACCGTAGGTAGGACGTACTGCTGTTGACAGCAGTACCGCTGTATCCATTCGTGGCGACCAACCACGGCGGCCTTGCCGTTCGCGTGCAACATCAACGTCAACATCAACATCGGTAGGAGTGAGGTTTCGATTGTAGTTTCGCTAGATATGGTGCGAGAGCGGACAGAGACGGCGCTATTGTATCGTCAGGCAGTAGATGGAGCAATTGGAGGGAACAAACCAACACCAGGCCCAAAAGCAGACGGGCTTAGAACCGATGTAACGCCTTGCATGTACTGGCACACGTACGAGGTGTAGCCCGCCGCCGACACATCGGGCTGGTGGCGGTAGATGACATTTTCTTGCATGATCAGTCCTCTGGAGGTAAGGCTAAATATAGGTGCTTGTCCATCTGCCTTAGGCAACAGGGGACATAATACGGCTTGCCTTGAATGCATAGGGGCCAAGCAACAGCTACAACGCAACAAGGCGCTAGCCCAATACTGTTGCACTCGATCAATCGATAAGAACGTTGAAGAGGTTTAACCTGCAGGCTAGAGCGAAGTGGCCGTCGCTTGTCGGCGTTTCAGCAGGATCACAAATAGATCCATACGCAGAAGCAAAGCATGGAATAGCGCCAAAATGCTTCTTGCTGCTGTGTGGTAAGTGTTGCAGGTGAACTGCTGTCTCTTTATCTCTCCCAACAACACGTAAGACCTCCAGCAAGTATTCAGCAAGTATGGAACTGCTCCTGTGTGGTTCATTCAGCCACCAGGACCGCCTAAGCCGTTACCTACCTCTTGCGAGCCGTCGCCGCCGCCGCCGCCGCGATGCTACTCTTCTGGCGCTCGCTCTCCGCCTCGGCCGCCAACCTAGCGTCCTTTTGCTTCGCCCGCTTCTCCTTGGCCAACCTCCTCGCCTCCAACCTCTCCTCCGACATGTCCTCCTCGCGGGTCACCTTCCGCTCCTTCTTAGGCTCCACGGAGGCCCGCTCCCGCATATACGTCGAGGACGCCGGATCCGCGTAGCGAGCGGCACGGTTGGCCTCTTGCCGCGCGGCGACCTCAGCGTCCCGGGCCTCTGACTCCTCCTGGAACCTCTTCCGATCCTCGGCGGCAAGGGCGTCAAACCTTGATCTCTCCTCCTGGGGGAGCTCGCGCCACCGGCGGGAGATCTCGGCCCCTTGCTGCCCGAGCGCCAGGCCGGCGAACTCGTCCTTGTGGTTGCTGTACTGGTCGCCCTGGAAGAACATGTACGCCGACGTGGCCGCTTTCACGGGCGCGCCGAAAGCTCCTGCTCCTGACCCCGACATGGCGCTCGCCTTCCAGAAAGCTCAGCAGCGACGGGTGCACCACTCCTCCTACTCCCAAAGCAGCAGCAGTCAAAATTGCCTCGAGCCGTTCGCTGTCTCCAAGCAGCGGACGCCGCCGCGTGGTGCCAATGCCGTAACAGGAACAAGCTCGAAAATTTGAATTCAGGCCCTCCCGGGACGATGAATGGCGCCAATGCTTCGCGCACGCCGAAGGCTTGAAGCGATTGGCAAAAGCAGAAAAGGCGTTGCAGCGTTCGGTGTCGTTGCTTACGAAGGAGAAACGGCGTCCCTGCGAAATAAAAGGCCAAAGCCTTTGGTACCTCGAACCGGAGTTGGTTGGTACGTTGCAACCCACGACCAGGCAGGCTAAGGCTAAGGCTCTATCGAATAAACAGCACTACGACGTGAAGGCGAAAGAGAAATTTGAATTGAGTCCGTCGCTGATCGATAGCCAACTTCGCAATGGCGCCATCCTACTGGCGACATACAGGTCGCGCGCCAATCCACGCTGGAGGGAAAACACGCCGGACAGGGCGGCGGCGTTCGGCAAAAGCTGCAGCCGATTTTTAAAAAGATGGACGACTTTAACCTTTTCGCCAACCGCCGCTCGCCCTGATACAGCGCTCACCAAATGCTGGCGCCAACTCCTACCATACCACCCACCTGCAGATCTTCGCAATGTCAGCGGGCAGCCTGGTTGTTGTCGTCGTGGTAAGGCTGAGCTTAGGATTGCGCTGTGTGTGTGCGGGAGAGGACAGCACACGAGACTCAGCGGCAGAAAGAGGGGAACGGGGATGTACTCTGTAAAAAACCCGGCAGCTCCGCATGTGAAACATGATTGGGGGGGGGGGGGTACATTTCGTATTTTTTTTCTAAACGAACATCTTACGATCCGAGAGGGATGCGAGGGAGCGCCCTCAACATGCCTCGCACACGTCTCACTCTTCATTTCTGTCCCCATCTCATCCCGAGATTGGATATTAGACGCGTCTTGCATGTATAGAAGTACGTACGTGAGAGCTTGGTGGTCGGTGCAACACATGAAGTGTCGACCCTTCAGGCGGTGCGAATATATTTCCGCTTCTTCTCTAAAATCAAGATACCTTATGCGTACAACCAACCGACGTTGAATTTATTACAGAGAGAGGCTCTTGGTCGCCGATCCATCGTATGCATACATACATACACGCGTGCGTACCTGGGTGGGAATCGTGGAGAATGTCTGCGTCAGGTTTCACTTGCTGGGCATGGGGTCATCACGCGAATAAAACTACGTTCGGTTCACAACACCTGCTGGCATTTATACTGAATGAAGTACATAGGTTGCTTACGCTGAGTGTGATAGCATCGACGACGTCGTCAATAATAAATAAATGTGGTGTGTGTAGCGATATTCTACTTACTGTTGACGACCCACACAGGAAGTTGCACATGTTTTTGTGACACCCGGTTTAGAACCCCAGCAGACAACAAGACATTATCGTGGCTTTGATGGCCTGCAGAGGAAGCAAGAAGCAAGCACCTCTTTTGTGGTAAGTGTTATTTACTACTGTGTAGTCTCAGACCATCTACATTGATTGATTGTATGATTCCTTTCATTTCAACCGGGGGGTTGGGAAGTCGATATTTGTTTCCTCAGCGTATCTACTTCGCAGGTAACATGCGCGTTTAACAGTAGAGAGACATATTCCCCTCTGCAGCTGCTGCTGGTGTATGTAGTACTTTGTGTTTCCCGTGGGCCGAAACATTTTCTTCGTCTTCGGTGTGAACGGGTCACCCCGCCACCGTCGGTACACGTTATCTCAGTCTCAAAACCAACGCATACTATCTGCACCCAGAACAGAAGAGAAGAGAAGCAGCCGTGCTCATATCTCCCCTCTCGGTGGCAACCCATCACGCATCACGCATCCTGATGATCAACCTCCCCAACGTGAACGCCCCCCCCCCCCCCCTCCCACGCTGAGTTTGCCACACACACCCGCACTCAACCCCCCACGCACACCTTTCATAGCGTACAGCGGCCCTAACTACCAGTCCGTGTGAAGGTTTGTAACGCCGCATCACATGACCGTTACCTGGTAGCCACTACTGCATACTGCTCAAGCCCACAAGGGAAAAAAAACGAACTATCATGTGTACATTATGTAGTTGTGTACGAACAATCAATACACGAGCAGAACAGTTCCAAGTATGTGCCGAATACCTGGTGTAAAGTCTACCCCCCCCCCTCGCAATGACCCGCAGGTACCGCGTTCACCTGACTGATAGGTCAAGGGTGATTCCGGGATGAACGCGGAAACTACATACATACTACGTCTGCATGCACACCCTCGCATGAACCCCCGGACTCCAAGCTTCCCAGTGTCCTCTGCATGCAACCAACTCAATACTACCGATTCGCGAAGAAATGCATGCAGCATAGGTGGCATCTTTCTCGCGGAATTAATTTACGTCGCCCTTTGGCCAAGCCGGCCCACCTGCACACACACGACAGACTACATGCCGAAATTATGAAACATACTACTGCCCGTACATGGCCGCCCGGCCTTTCAAGTTGGTTTCCTAGGGTCCTAGGGAAGGGTCACCATGTTTTTCGCCAGGTCCCTCACCTGACGTACAATTGGCATGCACGCACGAAGGGCGAAAGAGTGAGAGTGAGAGGAAAGAGTTAGACGTGGAACGCACGAAATGCCACTGCTATACTGTACGTGTGAAAAAACTGAGCAAAGGGTATCAACGTTGGCGATCGGACCCAATCAAACCGAATCAGAGAAGATCTATGCTGCGCAGCGGGTATGCCAATAATTCCTTTGGAAGGGGGGGGGGTTAAGGCAGACCGTGATCTACGTTGCAGAATATCAAAGAAAGCTTAGAAACCATGCAGTACTTGATTCCCCAAGTTGCGAGTGTCGCAGCATATACGTCCAACTTGGTGAGAATGGTTTTGGTCTCCAAGGAACACGCCGTCCAGGGTTCACGCCATAGCCTATCAAGTTCATCCCGTGGTAGTTAACATTTAACAGCTCCAGCCTCTACAAATCGCCAGGCAACGTTAATCATAATCAGACTGTTGTACTTGAAAATGTTCAAGCACTGTCATCCCTCCGGGTTTGAAAGTCAGGTCGTGATCGTTAGTCGAGGAATAATGTTCCTAACAGCAACATGCGGTGCAGCTGTCCGGGTGTACTCTCTCGTCGCAGCCCGAGTAAGGCATAATTAATGCACCTAACGGTAGCGGGTCATTTTCTTTCTGGTTTGGAACGCAACTGAGCACTTACTGCTATCGTATTGAAGTCGGGCATTTATTTGTGACAAACCCAATGCCGGACTTGTCATTGCCAGCCACTATTGGTGCAGCAAGCTGTCGCAAGCATCCCAACAACAAAAAACACGACTGAAACTCAGATGACGGCGAGAGTGCGCAAGACTGGCTGACTGACCATGTTCTTGTGGTGGGCCTCGAGGGTACCCCCCCCGATCTCCAAGAGTTTGGCGTCCCTCCAGAGCCGCTCTATCTGATACTCGTCGCAGTAACCGTACCCACCGAGAACCTGTAGCACACAGAACAAACGTCCCCGAAGTCATGTATCGCAGGTTAGTTCCACATGCACATGCAGGGGTGCATTGCACACACTTGCGTCATGATGAGCAACAACGCCGTCGACCCTCCCGCTCGTTCTGTCGTGGTGGTGTATCGATACACAAGCATACAGACTGCGGGTATGTCGTGACGACCACGATTCAAGACATGGACGTGCCAAGAGAGGGAGACGAGAAGGCGCATTACGGAGGTCCATTCAAAACCCCTTCCTGACCAAGCAACATGAGTTTGCTACCGTGGTATGTTTCTCAGCAACAACGTCGCCCGTGCTCTCCCCTCGCTATGGTCCTGGAAAGGGGACATGACGCACTGCCACGAACGACAACAACCAGGAGGCGGAACACCGGTAAGCGGACGGCTATCTAGACTTCAAGATACCTTCTGGTACAAGACGGAACTCAAAAGAGTAACGCACACGACACTGTGTATTTCGCTGCTTTGCTCGCCTGCTTCTCGCTGCACGTGCTTGTGCTGCCACCGGCTCACCTGCATTGCTCTATCGGCCACGTTCTTGGCCATGGTGGTGCAGTACAGCTTCGTGCCATCGGCATCCAGCCCGTTTCCTGTCGAAGAAAGGTCCAGGTTGGCCGCGACGGCGTACAAGTAGTGCTTTCCCGCCATGTACTCCGCATACGAGTCCGCGATGTGCTTTTGAATCTGCAAAAAGACCGGGACGGGTAACCGGGTAGATATAGCAACATGGAAGACAGGCAGCAGCGACGCCGTAGACAGACAGGGGGCACTCTACTTGTGACTCGACGACCCATTTTCTTGCCGTTCCGTCCCATGCAATGCAACTATTACCGGTGTTGGTGCCACACCGGTAGGAGTAAAAAGGAGGCAGCAGCAGCAGCAGCAGCAGAAGCAGCAAGGGGTGAATCACCCTGGACCTTCTTCTCTCCGTAGATAGCAGTTGCTGTAGACTACACTGCCGATCGTCGAATGGAGTTTGGCGTGCATTCCCAAGCATAAATAGCCGGCCTACCAACGGGGACCACGAGACTATTGCTGAGGCTACACCCGCAGTAGATAATGCATATTGTACCAATTTCGGACAATAGGAGACTTTCCCAGTCTAGCACGGGGGTGCACACAAAAAGACAACATACCGTGAAACTACGCACCTCCAAAAAGCGAACCACGGGTGAAGGTATGTTCTTCGACATGGACAATTTCTGCACATCATTGGGGCACGAACCTGCCCAAAGCTGTTGATGGGGCTGCCAAAAGCTTTCCGCTCCTTTCCGTACGTGTTCATGGCCTCGATGCATCGCCTGCTCCGCGGAGTAAACAACATCAAGGGACAACAATCGTTACCCTAGCGCGACTCGTTCACCAACAGCTACTTAAAACTGAACGCAAGTTTTGTTTGTGTCTGCCGTTTTGTGCCGGATGTTTTTGCTATAATGGCTAGCCGGGCAACCGCGTGCGCCGCGCTATCTCGCATCGACCCCCGCCCCCAAAGCAGCACATCTCTCGCAAACTACGTTTATCAAACCTCGTTCAACTACATCATGGGGTAACCCACACCCCGACACCTGGTACAGTATATATTTCTCCTTCAAGGTAATGCTAACTTCGTACCTCGCGATCCCAACGCCCATGGCGGCCAGCGTAACCCGCTCGATCTCCAGGTTGCGCATCATGCACAACATTGCGCCGTTCTCGTCCCCTACAAGGCTCTCGCGGCCCACCTGTCGGGGGGAGAAGAGCGGAAGCCATCAACGGAGAAACACCCTCAAGATGAAAACAAAAGCACGTGGGCGCTTTGCAGCTAGGAAAACACTTTGGAGAGAGCTGTGCTGGGACAGATGCAAGGCGAATGGATGCATGTTTCAGGAGGCAACCTTGGGACTAGCTTATCTATTTCAATCACCCCCCCCCCAATACCCACGCTTCAAAGAACGCCACACGTCGACAGCAACGGGCCGCTCTCTGGATGGATGTGTTCTACTCTGGGAGACGCGCAGGGCCATGACCAGGCTTTCGTCTACGCTTGGTATGACCGAGTTCAACAGCTCAACTTGCCTCGACACCGTCGAACACTAACTCGGCAGTCATGCTGGCGCGCATGCCGCACTTTCCCTCGATCTTCTGGCCGAGCTCGAAACCTGGCATGCCCTGAACGTTTCACGTTTGTGTGATTTTTCGACAACGTTCGAGCGCAAAAATGCAGGGCCACGTGGTGTAACCGTTTGAATATATATGGTGGAGATCGATCGAAATACTCAGCATTAACGGTGAGCTCCGCTTCACAAAGGTCGGGCGATCGCCCCCCTCAGCCCCGTTCTTTCCCACTATATCCAAAAATTAGGCAAGGCATTCAAGTGATTCGTTATCACAGCACAGCCTCCCTTCTGTCGCTGCTTCTGCTACTGAAACCTACCGTTAGCTCCACTCCATTGTGTAATGTATCTATCTCTTGTGCGTAGCACATCATGCTCTACACACATTAGCAGTATGGCACTGCTTCATGCGTCACAAGTCCCCAAAGTTTACCTTCTCGGTGATGCAAACTAAAAAACGGACATGGTCCATCCTGCACACTTCCTGTTTCTTCTACTACCGGCATAACGCGGCGCGTGATAGCACAGCTTTCTACAGAAAATATAACCGCGCTCCAAGGAACGACACCGGCCTCGTCTTGGTATTGAAGTGCTTCCACGACCTAACCCTAAGCCTTAACCCTTAGAACGACACCGGCCTGGCCATGATGATGAGGTGTTTTTTCTCGCCTTCTCCACGATAAACATGCTGATGTCCTGTCGACCGGGGCCGGTTCTGGCGTACACGAGGAAAACATCCCCGGTGGTGAGACCATCGGTTGTCCCGTTTGTGATCCACATCTTCGCCCCATCGATCTTGAAGGACAATCCATCTGGCGACGGAACCGCCTTCGTTGTCATGCCCAACACGTCGGTGCCTGGACATCGCGGACATCATTTCATGTCACACTATGCACTTCTGTGGGTTCCGCCGAGGGGAAGTGAAAAAGCTTCATGGCAGGGTACTCCTATGACAAGGTGAGGCACACAATGCGCCTATGCGGCTTCCTGTGTCCGTATGCAGACGACAGAATCATTACTCCGAGACACACTGCAACTGCAGACGCCAGGCACGGGCACATGCTGACGAACCTGCCTGATGCTTGTTGGTTACTCAGCCCGTTCTGAAAAGAGGTCGACTGAGTGCAAAACTATCTCAGGTTTTTCTGTAGAAAAATGCAGCCTTTCACGGTCTATTCTCTCACCTGCTCCAGGTTCGCTCATACACATGCCCGCGATCGTGGAGCCCTCGCACGCAGAGGGGAGGAACCTCGACCTCTGCTCGTCTGAGCCGTTCTGTTCCAGGTTGTTGACGAATAGCATGGAGTGAGCTGCGGAAAGAGAATGACGGAGAAAGATATGCGGTTACAGTTGGTTGCTGGATCCGCTTCCGATGGTACAACAACTTCGCCTTGTGATCTCCATGATAACCTACAACTTAAAGGCACATGAGGAGACTGCGTTCCTGCACCATGCCCCATTTCGAACATAAGAAGAACAAAAAAAAAACTCACGTACACACACAGGAGGAGAAGAAACGGGAGGACAAGACAAAGGCCAAGACAGCAGTCGAGGAGGGAATCATGGCGTGGATGAAGAGCAAGAGCTTCGAGCCAGATGACCTTCCCCACCACAAACGACGCAGGGATGGAGAAGAACTGCCGAAAAAATGCTGTAGTAATGCTGATGAGAATGATGGTAGTCAAAACAAGGAGGATGGGGGTGATAGCAATCCAGAGAACAAACTCGAGTGCAAGGTAGCAGCCTTGGTAGACACGTGCAGTTTTCTTCTGTTGCTACCGTTTCTGTCTTTGATCTGGAGAATAGCTTAGCCTCCCCCATGCTGCCCCCTCACGGGGTCCCAGCTAATTGCATTTAGAAGTGTTTTGTGTTTTTTACCGCACTGAGACTGACGTCTTTTCGTTGGTCAGCCGGTTACCGCGGTCGATGCTAGCAAGAAAGACACACACAATTGTGTTATTGCTTCGGTATTTGTCTTCAATCCGGAGAGTAGCATAAACTCCCCCATGATGCCCCTTCACGGGGTTCCAGATCGTGGTCTTTAGGAGCATTTTGTGTTTTCAACCGCACTGAGACGGACGTCTTTTCATTGGTCAGCCGGTTTTGTACCGCGGTCGATGCTATTGACAAACACACACACGCATGACGATGACAGTATCTTGCGTACGGACAAATGATGGTTCGAAGAAGATCGATCGCATGAATGCAACTTGTGCCAACTCACGGGCGCCCAACTTCAACAGCCACCAGGAGAAGGAAGCATGCGTCCAGTCCCCTGTCCCCGTTTGTTGACGGTACTACATATACTTGCCTAGGTATGACAAGCAGAGAGCCGGATCGGCGGCAGAGAGCTCTTCGTGGACGATGCAAGCCGCCGAAGCATCCATCCCCGAGCCCCCGTACTGCGGCGCAACTGTTACTCCAAGGAGTCCCAGCTCGCCCAGCCGTTTGAATGCTTCCGCGTTGAATTTCTCCTCGCTGTTTGATTCAGAATGGCCAAGACGCGTGTGTGTGCGGTCCGGCGTAGGGTGGGCTCAAGGACCCAGCTAACACACTCAATAAGTGAGTGCCACAAGAAAAAGAAGCGCTGTCGAATGGTTATGGCTGTGCTCTCAAAGTTTCAACCGGCTAAAGAGCACGGTCTGCATTTCGTATATGAATAACGGTACCTGGTAGCTAGCTTGTCTGTGAGCACGCGAACGGGAAGGATAGACTAACTCTCGCGGTAATTACCCGTTTAGGCTTACAGCATTCAAACTGTTCTGTGCCCATGGACCGTTGCTCCTTGGCAAGAGAGGCAAGACCGTAGGGTAGGCGGAAACTACGGGCTGTAGTCTATGCCTACTGGAACACAAACAAGTGTACTACATACAGCAGTAGTCTGCGGACTACATCGACGTTCGCAACAACGGGTCAATTTTCCTTCCAAAACGTGTCGCAGTGTCGCAGTGCATATAACCCCCCTTGGGTGCTTCCTTCGTGAAGTCGAGAGCTCTCTGATACCGCAAAGTAGTATAAGCTTCCGTTATGTCGTGCAAACAACATATACACATTAGATACACATGCTGCATGCAAGCCTGGGGTAGGGTAGCACCGCCGTCGCACTGCAGGAAGTGCGGGGTATCTCCGTGAGATGACCTCACTGTTGTAATCACGCCGCATGTTGGCAGAGGCTGACCTTACTTACCGATTGTACTGCAGCGCCTGCGGATCCACCTCGTTTTCAACGAACGAGCGCACCATCTCTCGGAGCTGCTGGTGCTCCTGATGGGGAGAGAAGTATGGGTAGATGGCAGATCACAAACACGAACGACTAAAAATCAACATTGTGAGAGAGAAGAGAGCGTCTCGACAAACTTCAACGGCAAGGGTTACATTTCAAAGCGTTCAACACGTCCGAGATTTCCATACCCCGCGGCATTACACCTCACCAAGGCTCCCACGAAATCGAGGCACAAGGCTCAATAACACCAAACAGACGGGGTGAATGTCTCCTGCGGGGATGGGCAAAACACGAGGAGACCAGGTTTTGACATCCATCTTTACGTCCATCTCTCTCTGCGATCTTCACTGCACCGCTGCACCTCTGTCGGGTTGAAGAAGTCTGAAGCCCCGGTCGTAGATCTTCGCCTAGCACCCGCCGAGCGCAACCTTAAACCTTGATCAACAACATCGGGGACCAGCAGAGAAAGGCACTGCCGTCGGCAGTACGGCGCAAGCGGCAGCTTTGTCGACAACCGGGACAGCATCATGACGTGAGATGCAGTGCGAAGCTGACTGCTGAGTGGCTTGACATGAGGACCGGCATCGACGAAAAAGAGGCACCGCGAAATCAGAGGACTGTACAGACTACACCCGGACCTGATCCCATGCTCCCAGTTGTAGCAGGCTTCAGGCTGTGCCTCCAAGCTCCACCCACCACGACGTTTTCAGCCAGCCTCTGCAGCTGGACCTACGTACTCACTGATCACTCTCGCCGAGAGAAGGAACGTGAGGGGCGAGATGAAAGTTGTCAAGAAAGCGGTACCCAATCGAAAGGCATCCGCCAAGAAAAACGACAAGGCTGGGAGCAAAGCCTCGAAGACCAAGAAGAGCACTACCGCCGGTACCAAACCAAGTCGCAAGAGGGGTGCGGCTGGAGGAGGAGGCGCAGCAGGAGCTGCAGCAGCGGCCAGCGATGAGGAGGATGACTTTGTCAATCGTAGAGCCAAGAAACCCAAGACAGGCCGTATCGGCAGGTGCGATGGAAGATGGAAGGCATTATGACAACCTTTTGGGAATGTTTTGAAAGGGCAAATGCCCCAGCGACGGTTGCCCCTCTCTTGCCCCTCTCTCTCTTTTGGTCTCCCGTCATGTACTCTACTGCTGTAGTACGTGCCTGGGTATGTGCAAACATTACAAAGTACTGCTGTGCAGGATGTTTTCTCGGATAAGCTGAGAACGCGCCCTTATCTCCTCTTGGCTTTCCTTCCCTCTCAGAACTGCTGGCAAGAACTATCCTCCAGAGATTCAAGCCGCGCTGGGCAGAGCTCGTATGCTGTACGTCAAGGGCAAGGTGGTGGAAGCATCGACGGAGCTCTCTGAAGTCGTGATCCAGTGCTCGTCTGTGAGTAGATCGCGGAACAATACACGACGCCATTTCTCATAGTGCTATTAGCACACTTGATAGGGCTGATGCCAGGACCACTACTACTGTCTGCTTTGCACATTTAAAGTATCTGTAGTATAGGTCCTGTAAACATGACTTGATATCAGTGTAAGCCAGCGGCGTTTCACAAAGGCGGCAGTGAGCCGTGAATTGACGAAACACGTTGATAGGGTCGTCTGCCCATGTTTTTGAGTGCTTGCCTCCCGCACACAGCCTATTCTTCTACGTCGGGCTTGATCTTGTGCATCTTGTTTCGGGAGCGCGCGGGGGGGGGTCGGGGGTGGAGTGGGCGATGCCGCCCGGCAGGGCTCCCGTACTGACGAGCGGGGGGAACCAAGGCGGCGAGCAGATGTCGGCCGCCGAGAAGAAGTACCGGCACGGGGGGAGGGTGGTTACCATCTGGGCATTCTCACGGGGGGTGGCAGAGAATCTATCACGGTGAACGATGGATTGCCAGGCGATCCCCGAGGATGGTCATTGGGAGGAGGGTGCGATCCCGCTCCGTGGGCCACTGGTTGAACGTGGTGCCTTGTTGGGTTTCGGCATTTCTTTGTCAGTGCAGCGTGGCATCGTCTCGAGGTGTCACCAGGCCTGGGCAAGTGGTGGTACCAGAGCGGGTGATAGTGGGTGCACCACTCCAACGACACGCCGAAGCCACCTTTGTTCGATTCCCCTATACAGCGCTGAACGTCCTTCTGTATGTTCTGTGGGAGAGTAGCGTTTGCGACGCTGTTGGCTGTCCATTCAGTTCCTGCAGCGGCGTCGGCATCTGATGTATATATTCAATGGATGTACTCTTTTCTCACCTTTTTTCCTCACAGATTCCAGAGCCGTATGCGCTGCTGGCGATGATTTACCAAGACGGCGGGAAACACGAAGAAGCGCTCATGTTCTACAAGCTCGCGTGTGCTCGCGACACGAAAAATTGGGGCAATCATCAGGAGGTCGCTCGAATCGCAGGCATTCTCGGGGACCACACGTCCAGGCTCGAGGCTTTGAAGGTGCTGGCCCGCCTCCGGCCCAACGACCTCAACGTTGCGATCGAAAGGGCGAGATGCTTGCTGGAGCTCCAGAAATCCAAACAGGTTAGTTCTTGGAGATTGGGGGTTTATTTTTCTCGGGCTTGAAACGTGTACGGCCTACAACAGCGAGAAAACGCCTCACTACATGAACGATACCACGACGTAATTTTTCGGACTGAAAGGAGAATCCACGCGCGTTGTGTGACGCTTAGACTTATGGTAAGATACACGTTGTGCGTCTCCATTCCCGCCGAACTTCACGGCTGTACCCCGAGTGAACTTGTGATTACCCATGCTTTCGGTTTACCACAGCGCTGCCGCCCAGCACGAAGGTAGACGCAGGACGTCATGCACAATAGCAAAACCTCAGGTGTACGTCATTCCTTATTTGCGTGACCCTTCGCCTGCCCTCGCCCCCACCGATGTGACCATGGAATGAACACCCTCCAGGCGTTGGACGTTTACGCGAAGGCCGCCAAGCGCTTCCCGAGGAAGCTGGACATCTACCTTGACCTCGCGGAGTGCGTTGAATGCGTGTCTCCTCAGCAGAACATCTTCGTGCATCAGGCCTTGGCATCCTGTCTGCGGCGTGTCGTCGGGAAAAGGTATCTCGGGCCAGACGTCAGGGATCTCGCAGACGGCTTCTCGGCCAGGCTCCGCGAAATCAAGCTCGAGCACCCCAAACCGAAGCGCCTGCCAGCGCGCAGGCCGGGGCTGCCGTCCAAGCGTGAGGGCGAGGTGGCCATGACGGCGACCGCTCTCCTCGTGGGCAAGCTCATGGAGAGCCGCAAGAGACAAGAGCCGCAATACGAGGTCGCTGTGCAGGTAGTTGAAGGCCTCGGCAGCTGGCTCAACTCATGCCACCGGATAGCTTGCCGTGACGACCTCGAGTACGAATCGGGGGAAGGAGGAGAGGAAGATGAGCTGGAGGGCGATGGAGAACTTGATAGCGACAGTGACGTGCGAGACAGCAATGATGACGGCACCGACGACGAGGAGGACGATGGGTCGAATTTAGACCGAGACGGCGGCAGCGAGGATGAGTTGGACGGTAACGACGACGACGGAGAGGAGGACGAACCCATGGACACGTTCGAGCTGGACCCCGAAATTGTGTTGCGCTATGGCATCTGCCAGCTGTATTGTGGCGAAAAGGAGAAGGCGGACAACGCCCTCCTTTTCCTGAAGGATGAGGAAGCCGACGGGCCTCACGGCCATATGATGTTGGAGGTGGCCAAGGTGAGGACATCATTGTTTCTCGGATAGCGTCCAACGTTTGTGGCGCATTCTTGGCCATTCAATCCATAGCCTTGTTCGGAATGGTTTGCGGAGCTCTGTCGCTCGAAAGCTTCGAGAAGGTCTTCCGAATGGTAAAAACGATGATGGGAGATCTCATCTCTGGGTCACTCGTAGTAGTGATTTGAAAAACCTTTTTCGACAATACTTCAGCCATCCGCAACATTTGATGTGACAAGGGGTGCGTGACTTTGCGCATGAATTACCACGTCACTGAGGTACTGCATTTCTTTCACCTTGCGCCCGTTGAAGAAGCGAAAGTTGCTCCTGGTAGGCAGATTATGCGCCGAGAAAGTTTCATTGAAGACTGAGCTTGACGTCACGTGTTCAACAAGTAACCTCTCCCTCCCGCAATCCTCCCTGCTGTGCTCCTTCAATTCATTTCCGTGCATTCCGGTAGGTTTACGCGGAGACGGGTTATCTAGTAGAGTCGCTAGAACTTCTGCGAAACGTGGCACAATCCAAGCACCCTCGCCACCGCCTGGCCAGCGTTCAGCTCGGTGCTGCGTACGCATCCCAGGGAAAGCACGAACTTGCCTCGAATACCTATTCCGTCGTCCTGGCAGAGCGCCCACACCACGCCGCAGCTCTAGCAGGGATAGCGGAAGCTGCGTACTGGCGAGGAAAGGGTACCGTTCCTGCGGCTCTATCGGCGTTGTCGACAGCCGTGGAGAGAGCCACTAAGGCTTGGACGGACGGCGGTCTGGCGGCTTCCCCAGCAGAGGATGATGACGAAGGGGAAGACGCCACCGCTTTCCAGAGACTGCAGCTTCTTATGCAGTGGGCCACGCTCAGCCTCATGGAGAACAACAGGGCAGACTTTGCGTGCGTGGCGGTTCCCCTGGTCAGCGTCGCACTGGGCCAGCTGGTGCAGCGGCAGGAGTTTGAACAGCAGAAGCCGCCACCTGTGCCGCCGGTTCGCTCGCAGGAGACAGCACGAAGCGGTCGGGCAGGACCGACCAAGCCAGGACTACCATCTGGCTCCAAGCAGGGCGAACAGGTGAAAGAGGGTGGAGAGGGCGGGGGGGCTACGAGCGACCAGGCCACCCGTGCAAAGCAGCGAAGTTTATTGTGGAAGCCGACAAAACCAGTGCGCCGGATTCTGGGCAAGCTGGACTGGCAGGTTGGCCTTCGCAGCGAGGTATCCACGTTGACATGGCGGTTGCTTGAAGCCACAGACGTTATCGCGCAGGTCGGGCGACGCGCGGTGTTCTGGCATTTGGTGGAGGTCGTCCGTTCTCTGAAGGCCCTGGGAAGCTCTGCTGAGGTGAAAAAGTTGGTCGATGCAGCATTGCAGCCGAACGGGTTACTCAGGGGATTAGAAAAGGAAGATCTTCAGGCGGTCGTCGCCAACGCTGACACAGCTGTGCTGCGCACTATGCCCGGCGGATCCCCAATTCACGGCCCCGCTTCGCGTGAAGGCTTTCTTTTGGGCCCTGCCATCACCGGGGACCCCTCGGCAAACCCCGACGGCGACGATTCTCCGACCGCGGTTGCTCTCATGTCCGAGCAGTACTATCCCCCGCCTTGGCGGTGTGTCGAAGAAAAGGATGACGATGGGTTGCCCCGTCGGGCCGGGCGCGCGTGGCGTCCTCCCACGCGCTCCTTGCATGGTACCGGTCCGCGCCGAAGCCGCGGTCGCGCTCTGATGGAGCTGGACGAGCGGAAGGACGACGGGGATGCCATTTGTACGACCGTGCGGGCGCTGTCTAGGAGGCCGGGAAACGACGCCGTGTGGAACCTTATGCAGCGAGTTGCGATGGAGCGCGGAGTGGAACAAGCGGATGGGGGTTTCCACGGGGAGCAGGTTGAGGCGCTGGTATCGCGGCACCGTGAGCGGCCCCAGGGACTCCTACATCGGGCCCACGACGCCGCTATCTGGAATCGAGCCAAGCACGCACTGAGGCTGTACAGTCATGCGCACGCCACACGCCCGGAAGAACCGCTCCCGATACTTTGCCTCGCCATGCACATCTGCCGCACGGTGACGGTCATGGAGACGATGGTGGAGAACGATGGCGTGTGCGTACTGCAGGCTCTTGCTTGTCTGCACCGCTACGCCCACTTGCGCAAGGAACAGGCGCAATCTGCTGGCGAAGAAGATCCCACGGTGGGTAGCACCAGCGGTTCGGCTGATGCCACGATTCCGGAGGCTGTTTTGGAGCAAGAAATTATGTACAACCTGGGTCGGGCGTACCACCAGGTGGGACTGCCAGAGCTCGCGATGGAGTACTACAGCAGAGCCCTGCAGGTGAAGGACGAACGCGGGGACGAGTTGCGAAGCTGGCAGGGAAGCGATGATGGGGTCACGAAAGAAACCGCTCACAACATGTGTGCGCTGTACAAGAGAAATGGGCAGACTGCGATGGCTCTTAGCGTTCTCAACAAATATCTTGCCGTGGGTTGATTACCTTACAGAGGGTAGACACCGCTGTTGTTGTGAGGGAGGAAGGGATAATATTGTGAGAAATTGGCGGGGATGAGGGGGACTCGTGCACACCACGAGTACCTCGCTAGTTATATTCGCGATCAATTTTGGTTGCGTCGTTGATGTTTCCGTGTTGCTTCTAGCATTGGCGTTTGTGTGGTACGCGCTGTGTGGAGGCTAACGATATTTAACGTGTAAATACCAGACAGGGGCGAAGGATTAGTCATTGACAAGCAATAGGCGAATACGCCAACGTTGGGCTCGGAGATCATGTTACCAGCATTCACTCTTTTTGTTTTTGTTGCGAATCGCAGCAGGCCTTCACGAGTGCAGAATGTGAGGTGCGCAATGAACGACCTCCGCTCATTTTTCTTCAATTAATTTCATGAGTTTCGGAGGTGTCTTTCGACGTCGTGGAGGTTGTGTGCTTGTTGTGGCAAGGCACCTGGCACTGAAGCTGTTTGGTGCGAGTGCGTCGGCGTAGCACGTGGAGTTAAAATGATGCGCTACCAAAGGTTTACGTGACACGTGTTGTCCAGTCGACAAGCAGCAGCGTAGTTCCGGTTGGGCAAGAGGTGGCGAATACGGTCGGTTTTTAGTAAGAATCAGGGTCTACACGATCTAGTGTCGTCTTAGTTTTAACCACTCGGGCGCAAAGGTGTTCAGCAAAGGTGTTCAACGCGCCCTTCGTGTGTCCTCTGCGGTGTTTGCAGCCCGGTGAGGGGTCTTTTTGCGTAAGTAACGGCGGTGTTGGGATTGGTCCTGCCGTTTCCTATAGTGTGATTGGAACGAATGGTAACCAACGCAGTTCTAGTATTCTTGATGTTTGATTCGATGCTTGGGCGTCACAAAAAAAATAATAGTGGAAGTACGAAAAACAACAGAGTGTAAGAGGAGACAAGAAAAATCCTCGGTGCCCCAAACGCCATCACGTTGGATCCCCGATATTTTGAAGGAGGGAGGGCAAATCGGCAACCCCCCGCCCCTTCCGACGGCGTTGCGTACTTGACCAAGGGAGATGCGTTAAAGGCACACACACGGTGTCGGTCGCCATCAGGGGTCCGCAAGAAACAATTTTGAACATGCGTTCATATGGGGGATGAAATTCCACCACACATTCGTGACATCGCGTTGCATTAGATCCACAGGAAAGTGTTGAACTCCTGGTATTGCAACTCTGTCTGAAGGTCACATTCTCTGGCTGTAGGGCGACTCTCAACTCTTCATAACTAAATTCATTCCACCTGCACTACTAGACACATTTTACTACCGATTCAGTCGTGATCCTGAGCTCGCTTCAAGCTACCTATAACTAGGGCGGGAGGATCCCTCGTGCCAAGTGTTTCTTGGTGCAATATAGGCCGACCAGGTTCATCCCCTTGTTGCCCGCCTTCAGTACGCCGTTGGAGCGAATGGCCAGCGTCCCAAGAATGAACCGGATAAGCCTGTCGAGTCGAGGCGCAACCAGAAATCCCAACCCTCCCGTGGCTCCGGCTACAACGTCGTGCTGGGCTGCAGATGTTTCAACAGAAAAGCTTAGGGCCGACTCGTAGTCCATGATATCCGTCACCTTGATGGCGTTGAGAAGGGAACCACACACGCGGAACGACAGCGGTCAGATGGTGGTTCATCGGTCCTCAGACCACACAGCTGTGTACCCTCGGAAGCGACACGGGGTCTAAGAGTTGCACCGGGGCGGCAAGCTTTTTTTTTTTTTTTTGTCTTCACTTCAAATCAGCGCTCACAGCACTAGTGCCGTTTACTCCAACCCGTGGTCACACAGAAGAGCCCCTCTGTACCCTCCCCTCCTGCGGTACTTTGTCTTCGATTTTTAATGCGAGAAAGTTCAGCACTCTCTTCCCTCTGTGTACACACGAACTAGCGCTATCCACTAGGCCAGGAGCGGAAGCGAGAGAAAAACTCACTTTGCAAAAAAAGCTCGCTAACGCCGGGATTCGAGCCCCTGACCTGACCTCTAGAAGGTGTCGAAGTTACCAACTAGACCACCGGGGCGACCGGTCAAGCAGACTATTCTTTGTACCTGGACATACATGAGACTCCCAAATGAAGTGGTGAGGAGGAAGACATAAAGGTTGGGAATGTTCACGAAACGCCTGTTTTACTCGATGGAGACAAAGAACGACACCCCCCACCAATACTGAGTGCTTGATCCCCACTCGGATCGAAGTCCAACAGCACCACCTACACACCGTTCTTCGGGTTTCATGTCTAATGGTGGGATGTAAAGCACTGTGTTCGGTGTATCCCTGGCAATGGCCACCGTGTGATAACAGTGTGCAGAGGCTCACAGAGTGACTGTAAAAGTCACTTGTTGTGTTGTAGACCAGATACGATGGTTTGAATTCGCGATTAGTTGGCCGAAAGGTAAGAAGAGAAGGGGAGAGTCCTGAGACTCGCAAGAGTCCCGAAGGACCTTGAAGGGGCCATGGGCCTTGGTAGATGTAGGAAAAAAGGAACTATATACATAGAGAGAGAGTGGGGGCGAGCACCACGGGGGCGAGCCATCCATCTCCATCACGGAAAGACAAACGGGCTGCTGCAACGTACCGATCGTGGTAATAGACGGCTAACCCAAGCCATTGCAACAGTCATAGAATATCCCATAGGACAATGGTCCGATGTACCATACTATTAGGGTTCAAAATTAACCCGTAGGCGTGTAAAACAATCTTAGAATCAATTACTGAAAACTATTTCGGTAATGCTTCTTAGGATTATTTACCGATGTATTGGTACTTACAGTATTAGTACAAACACAACCACAACGCCGAGAGCTAGATAATTTGTTGACAAAACTGGCGATCAATATCATCTTGACTGTTTACATATTATCGCGTGTTGTGGTAAGAACGACAGCTCGGGCACAACCTCGAAAATACTTGTGGATTGCATCGCAATGTGTTCACCTCTGCTTCCCGCATGTCCTGGTCTGATGGGATGGGCATTGCAATCGCCAGCCGCGTCAGCGCTTCGAGAAAGTCCACAAAGGTTAGCTGAAGACAACAAAAAAGACAATGCAGGCGTCGGGCGGGTGTGGTATTGTGTTTTTATCGTTCTGGTAGCCAACCTTGTGCTCGATGGCACGAACTGCCACATTAGTCGTGATGCCGGTGATGCAGCGGAGAGCACTAGACTAGACCTATGGTCTAGGCTTACAAGGCAGGAAACACATGACGCAGCTAGCGTGGAGTCAAAGCGATGAGACTCGACAGCACTAACAAAGTTCCGCGAACCAACAAAAAAAGAATGCTCACTCTAGCCACCTTGAAGCAAAACGGTAAACGTGTACAAGACAACAGGCGTCGATTGTCCAGGTTTTAACCTCATCTGGCAGTATGTGCGACATAATGTTGTCGCATTTGATCTCCTTCGATCGTTCGACGGAGAGAACTCGATGGAAATGCTCGACATAGTCGGAATACATTCGTGTTTCGTGCTTGTTTGAATTTTTCCGCCATTCTAACCACTCTTGTTGTTGTGGAACTTGCCTGCGTCATTTTCACACGGCTCTTGATTTCGTCGCTGACCATCATCCGTGCCATGTAGAACGGTTGCTTAATGTCCCGCAGGCCCATCCTCAGCATGTGGATATTGTCGCCAATCAGGCGGGCGTCGTTCGTAAATGTCTGCAACGCGATACAATACATGCAGAGGATGGCGTTACACTTCCGACCAAGAATACCATTTGCAAGGGTTCGTCGGTACGGACAGTAGACGGTATCGGGCGTGTTGAAAAAAATCCCGACTACTAAGCGGTTGTTTTTGGTGACTGGTCAAGGCAATACGTACACTGACGCGTGTGTCTCCGCTGTTTTCCCTTACTGTCGGGCTGGGCGAAGGCTTGCACTCCTCTCCAGACTCTACTTGAATGCTTTAATTTCGAACGTTGATGTTGTCTGACGCCGATTCTGGCTATCGGTGACGCTGTAGCATGGCATTCAGACTCTGGTCTTCACCGACTACGTACCTAGAATATCCCTGAGGGATTCCCATTTCTTTCCGTGGCTTCCATCTACCTGTGGTCTCTACTTGCTCACCTTCCATTCCTCCAGCCCAAAGGAAGGCTTGCCAGCGATCGGGTCGAGCATGCTGTACTTCTGGTATACTATTCCCAAGGCCTTTTGGTGCTCCTGAACATGCGTGAGCATAAAAAAACAAACGCCCCGATTGGTGGCGGGCTCCACATAAAGCACAAGGCAACACGACCAGGGTGACAAAACAAGAACACGGTAGACCACTAGGCAATAGAAAGGGTTTGTAGTCAACAGTTTTGGAAGAGGTTGTAGTCGTCGACGAGCCGAGTTCAGACGCCCAACGCCAACCCCATATTTTGCAGGGTCCGCGCGGTTACGCCCAGGCGTGATCGTCATCTGAGCCGGGCGGGGACAGGCGTGGAATCGTGCATGCGTACTAATGATGACCACGGCCGGCGCTAATAATAATCGGCACGCGCTTGTCAAGGTCGTTCACAAACAACTTGTGACTTGACCATTGGCTAACACGGACTATCTTCAGGTCGCCCCGGTGGTCTGGTGGGTAGCCTCGCAAACCTACCATTAGTAGTAACAGATGGGGATTCGATTATCTCCCGGGGGGGGGGTTCCGCGCAATTTGGAGAGGAAAACGACAAATTTCGCGAGTATTCACAATTCGACGTTACGGCCAAAGAGGAAGAGGGACGGCTGAACGCTGAACGCTTCTCGCCATGAAGACAAAGGCAAACATCGCAGGAGGAGGCAACGAACAAAATAAAATCTCCTGTGTGATCCCGGCTGATACATGAGAAATGCACACCGAGCGGTGTGTGGACTGGCACCAAAACAGATGAGATGGACACACGCAGGTACACATCCTACTATTTATTCATACGTGCCGTCGTGAGGGACTGTGTGGCCATGCGGGCGACTGAAAGCACAACACACCTGAAGAACGCCGTCGCAAGCGTCAGTGTACAACGTTTCGTTTCGGAACGTGTCTGGATCCTCCAGGGCCTCCGGTGGCAGGTTTACTAGCAGTTGCTCTTCGATTACATTGCGCATCTGTAAGGGGGTCCGAGGGCACGGCGCGGGATTTGGAAACAAACAACTCAACGGTACAATCGGTAGCATGTTGGTAGACGGACGGAAACACAGCACTTGTTCATAGGTATTGAAACAGAATTGTAAGGACCCACCCTTTATCATACCCTCCCCGTCCCAGCCGAGCCACTTGTTCCTGTTCGTTAACATAACTCATGCTCTCACGATTCAGTGACCAACCTTGCATCGAATTATCCCCATGTGTGCGAGTCAGCCAACGTGAAATTCTATGGATAATATTTGTCGTTTGGCATGTGTAAGCAAAGGGGCGGACAAGTGCATCAACGTTTGGTGTGACCATTTTATCAGTGGTCAAGTTGCACTAACACCGTACCTTCTCTGCGGGGGATAACTCTTCTTGGCCCTCGTTATCGCGCACGGTGATGGCGACCCTCAGCAGCGCTTCCAGCAGCTCGAACCGCATCAGCGCTCGATCTTCGTTCACGGTGGCTTCAGCGCTCCGCTAATCAAAACCAACCCCGACGGTCAGGGTGTCGACCAAGGTGGGCGCCGAACAGATAGCAAGGAAATAAGAATATTCTTGTCTGTTCTGCTAGGATAGCAAGATAGGAAGGTGCTTGAGCCTCTTGGGTGGTCGGTTATTGCTCTGGCAGGCTGAAGCACGCGGAAACGTGACAGTCGTGGGAGCTTCGAAGATCACGGACCCCGAAAGAACAGCGGCGCACGAGTCGTGTAAAGCACGTGCATTCACTGCTGTGCGGTACCTCGCCTTGTTTACCCTATCCGCACATTCACCGAATGTATCTGCTCGTTGTGTCATGTTCCTTACTGAAAGGATGCCTCGTTGGGACATGGCTACGTTCTACGCGGAGGACGCAAAGAACCCAAAGGTGGGTGTGCAAGATAAGTCGACAAGAAAAGCGATTGCAACTGCCCAACTCACTTTGTCGGACTCGAAGTTCACCATCACAAAAATCTTGCCGATCTCCTCCACAGATATGAAGTTTCCGGCAAGCTCTGTATCCTGCATCATCTTCCCGAACTGGTTGGGCTGGATAGAGAAGGCTCCACGAACGCTCTGGCTAGGCGTGAGGCAATAGTACTTGAAGATGCACAGGATGCTCTTGTAAAACGGGGCGACAGCCTTCTTGACCTGTTCAGACGTCGGAAAAGTAACAGTCGGTCGGGGCGCAGGGTGCGACACGAACGAGTCAAGCAGCTTCGCGTGTACATTACGGTGATGCTATGGATGTGCCACAACACTGTCGTAGAACGAAGTACGAAAGTGGGACAATTCTACGACAATAACTCATGACACACAGAAAGGGGCGGGTTCTTCGGAGCTGATCCTAACAGAGCCTGTCGGTCCCCTTCCTCTGACGTCGACCACCAAACCCGACCTCTTCGTACAAACGACCACTGAATACAAACACCTCCAACGTGGTATTGATGGGCAACATTTTTTCTGCTATTCTTCTCGACAATCAAAGCGCCCATGTACACTGTCCGAAAAAGTCCCTTTCTACATGGCGCGCCCAACAAAAACGCCCCAAAACGATCGAAAAAGTGCAGCGCTCTCCCCTGTTGTTCCACCGATACAGGATCGCCCAGCTCCCAAGTTGTAAGCAACGCTCACAAGCAGATGAACCACCGAGCAAACGTCTCGCAATTCTGGCTTTATAAACGAGCAATGCCCCTGAAATGGCTCATTAATATGCCTGGCCTGAAAATCACCGCGACAGCCTCCCCCTGCAAACGCAGTGGTCCCAAAGAATAACCACTCTGCCTGTTGCACACAGACCTCATCGAGGCTCTCCGCAACAGACTTTTGGCCCTTAGCCACTGCGTTGTCGGACTTGGCCATGAGCTTAACGATCCGGTCTTCCTTGAGCATGCGACCGAAGTCCGCGTCAAGAGCCTTAAGGACCACACGCTCCGTATCCCAGAAGGTGCGGCTCTCGGCCTCCCTCCGTCGAGGGGCGAAGATGCTGCTCGGGGTCGCCATTGTTGTCATAGTCGTCGTTGTGTGCCACGCAAGACGGGTCGAAAAGAACACGTGGCTGGGTGGCGGCTGCTACGGCAGTAGACTTAACAACAATCAGAGTCAGGCTGGTGGGGCGACTCCCGACACTCAAAAGACATGGCAGTGCGGCGGGCGTGTTGTGCCACGGGATGATGACCAATACCATTGTCAGATCACGTGTGTCCCCGTATGTCCTGTGGACGGACTTGCTTTGTTTTCCTGATCAGCAACATGTCATCTAACGTGATCTCAGGCCAAGCCTTAATGTAATCCATGTTGATCTCTGCGTCGCGTTGACTTGCTGTTTTCATCGTTTCAATGAACGCTACCGGTGCCGTTTTCATCCACCTGTGGTTGACATCCCACTTGGTGCTGGCGTCGAGAGTCGACGTCGACTGGTCTTCGTCCTCTTCCTCTTGAGGCTGCTCGCTGACCTCGAAAACCATGAAGTCGGAGGGCATCGCCCCGAACATTTTGCACCTTGTTCCCGGGCACGCCTTCCGAGAAGACACACGTAAGGAATTCGAGACATGGCGGATTACAACTGGCCGAAAAAAATCAACCGCATCAAGATGCGTCAGTGGCATAAAAACACGAACGAACGTCAACACTTGTGAGCACCGTTACAAGTGCAGCTGGAAATCCACGCGGAAGTCCTGTCCAAGGTGACCGGTCCTGATTCGATTTTGATGTACCTTCCACACGAAGGTGTGGTATATACCCTTGGTATTGGCAATCAGTCTGCCTCCGCCTAGTTGCTCATATCGTACGAGAAGCGCTCTCAGTGCATGTTATCAAGAGACCTAAAACGTGTTGACTCACTTCTTTCCCGTGCGCTTGCTGGCACGCAATCTCACACAACGAGATGCAGTGGCAAGATATGGGAGGGCATTGCCTCGGAGGTGGAAGGTAGAGCACGGGCTTCGCGTCCGGCTCCCCTAAGTTCACCACGATGTTGCGCACAGCGGAGGGAAGCCTGAACTGTTGACCCCTAAATATTGTATTCTCTGCGACAAGGCTTGAAGGAAAATGCTTATTCATTCGTGTCCACGTGTCGTTCGCCGTGGCGTTCGCCCTAAAATTACGCTCGTCAACTTATAAGTAACGAGGCTAGCTCATGGTTGCCGCATTCCTTGGCAAAATACGTTCTGTTCACAACATATGATACTTTGGCGTGTATCCGACCATAGATATATCAGCAAACCAAATGCTCCCGCACCTGCAGCCAGTGTAAAAATATGGGTCCTCTCACATTGATAGATTTGAAAAAAGTGATACTGCTACTTAGAAAGAGAGATACGTAGCGACATCGATCCAACGATTGAACTAACACGTGTCATTCCCACGCGAGCTTGGGCCTTAAGGTGAATATAATAATGCATTCCTACCTGAAGGATAGTCTGGAGGTGGTTCCTCTGGCAGAGCCTTGTGGAGCACGTGTCTCAACTCGGTAGGCTCTGATAGAGAAGGGTACCCGCCGGGGTCCAATACTTCGCAGATAACTCTGCTGGTGTGGTATCTGCTTGCACGGTGGGCGGTGTTGCGCGAAGGGGGTCATACGGAGGATGTCGTAGTTGATAACCGACAAGACTCATCCTCAACCCGATGCATTTTCATGTCGACCTTAGGATGGTAGTCCACTAAATGAGGGGTTGGACGGATAGCCGTTCATGCCGGGAGCGCGAAGATACTCAGAACAATGTGGTGTTCGTGCATGTGCCGCACGAGCTCCGCGCACAAAACTGTTTTCGAGCTGCTTCGTGCCACACCCTGAAGCGTGTGAGCTTGTGTTCGTCACTCTTCTCACCTCCCCGTGAAACATGCTTGCCATCTTTTTATGAAACATGTACGTGCGTATCCGCAGGGCGACCAATTTCCCTTAGGGTAAGTAATCACTGTGGGGGACAATCTACCAGGTTCCGTGTAGGACCCCTGTGATAGACCTATGCGTTTCTTCTCACAAATGATAGCAGAGCCCGTCCTCCGCCACGTAATGGTCGTAAATCTCAGCGCAGACAGATGCCCCGCGGACGTGTGGGAACAGAGCCATGGAGGTAGGGTTTACCAAGGGCTTTGCCACGCCACTTCTTGTCGGCCCGTCAAACACCAGCTTGTAGTTCAGGGGCGGCTCCACCACGACCACCGTTTGGTTCTACGATGTGTACACGAAGGAAGTAAAAGGGGGCTGTTAAGGCAACAGCGCGTAGGCAGCTAATAGGGATGCAGTGCTACCGAAAGAAGAACGTGGCGGGTGTGCTGGTGCCGACCTTTGAGATGCCGGCTTCGTACACGGTTTCGAGAGGAGGACCAAGAACAAAACAGGTCCCGAGGGTACGCGTTCTCAGAAAACATTCATCACTTTGAACAGAGGTAGTCCTCCAGAAAAATATGAACGCGAACTATGCTGGTAACTCTTTTGAGTTTACATTATGAGGACAAAGTATCGTTTCGTTGCGATTAAAGAACTAGTAGGGAAGACGAGATACTGAATAACCTTCAGAACGCTTGTTGCATCAAGACAAAAATAACAACAACGTCTTCGGCGACTAAGAAGGAGGGCAGACTGGACAACGGTCAGGCAGACAAGTGTGATATACCATTTCGATGTCAGCCCTATGCTTTTGCCAGACTGCTTGTGCACAAACCAAAGGGGTTCGTGCTATCCAAATGGATCGCTTGAACCTCGGGTGTAACCAGTGGTAATTGACCAGTCGTACAGCCACGCTAGTGCAGGAGTTTTCGTTCATCAGGATGGATACTTTTTTTAATCTGCCCTCGCTACGCCACGAAACAATGCTATCTTATTTTGTTTACCTCTTTGACTGCTTGGTTGAACATATCTTCCCGCTCCTCCTTTGTCGGTTCCAAGCTCACGGGCATCTGCGTAGCGCCGGCTCTATGCGGATTCGGTTGGCAATCACGGCGGCCGAGTCACGAGGCAGGCATCGTACACATACGGTTACATCACGTAACATCACATCACGAGTGTTGAAGAAGAGCGGGGTCGGGGGGGGGGGGGCGTCACGATCGGGACACGCTTTGAGATAGACGAATGCCGAACCTGGAAAAACAGGACGAGGTAGGTAACATCATACCGCGAATCCACCACATCCGTAGGTACCACTCAAAAGGATCGTTTTCTCTTTTCTCCCTGCCTCCGTGTCCACTACTTGTAGAGAAAAATAATGCTACCCTTTATTAGTCACTTCTCCTGCCATTACTTGCACTCTCACCCCTTTGAAGGAGCCGCGTCGGTACTATCAGGGAGGGTCCCATGCTGTTTACGGCGCCAAGCTGGCAATGGGTTCGGCTTGGTGTAGCAGTCGCTCACGAAAGGTCTCCATCGGTACTCTCCGGCAGGAAACGGAGTCGACCCTGCTTGGTTGATGCGGTGGTGCACGAGAAACCCTCGTTGATTAGTAAGTTATGGTCGAGCGATGCCGTCGTGTGGGCTTTTTAGCCGCCCCGGCTTCTATGTAATAAGCTGCGCTTATACCCAGCCGAGAGGGATGGCTCATTCTGCACATCTTCCTTAATCTTGAGAACACTGCCACTGCACCGATGGCATCAGTCGCGCAACCTCCAACCGTGTTGCTATTTGCCTAGCACACGAAGTTCAGCCTCATTGACACGCACTCTCTCAACAGAGCGTAGACGTTTACTAGCATAGGACCAATTGTGCGCCAGGCATGCGCGCATGGGAAGCCTCGCCGCTAATAGTTGGCATGCACCACAAGTAATTTTCTAGTGTTCACCTAAGCTTCCAACAGGTCCCACGCGGTGAGAACTCCGAAGTGGTATCGGTGTTCTTCTCCTTCGTTGTTTTTGTCCATCAGCCTCCCGCCCCCCGGACACACACACTGGAGAAGGAGAAATTGCTGGGGTACTGGTAAGGTCGCTCTCTCTCAACGCCTGTCCTCGGCTGTTGCTCTTTCTCCCTTCACCAGCGCTAGACACAGCGCCCCTCCCACCCGTCTGCGGACGCGCATTCCCCAGCTGGTCGCGTGCGTTGGTCGTCGCACCGGTTGGTGGTGCTGACGTCACCATGCCGTGGGTTCTCGACGCGCCAGCCTGAGACTGTGGTCGGCGGTGCGAGGGGCCGCGGCGGGCGGTGGCGGTGTTGGTGCTGTCAACGATCCCACCGCCTCGAGAGGCTGCCCTCGTCGGAGCGGTCGCCGCCCGTTCAGACGCCGTCTGCCACAACGACGTTACCGGCTGGCGAAAGTCTTGCCGCACTTGCACCATTGCAGCGTGCCCCGTTTTGATCGGTGGTATCGTCGGCTTTCGCTCAGCACCTCTTTCGTGCTCGGGAACTCTTTCTTGTCCTTCTCGCCCGTGCGCACGTGTGGCATCGGCGTCGCCGTCGACTTTCGTCACCGACTTCCCAGTGTCGCTGTCGCTGTCCGCACCGGCACACCGCTCTTTCGGCGTACTAAAATCCCCTCCTTTGACCCCCTGAAGGGTAACGTACAACGGACGAGGCGTGAGTAACACCACGATCCGGCGTGGTCGCAAGCGTGAGCACCACAGACAAGTACGGGTAAGGATAACGACACCTTGTGCCCCCCGTTCGGAACATATCCTTATGCTGAACGCGATACCTGTTCTCGCAGTCTGGGCTGGGCAACCGGCAGGCGTCGTTCGGCGAACGTTTTTCGCCAGGCAAGCGACAAACATCAAGTCTTCAATTCAAGTTCCACATCAAACTTCTATTCGATTCGATCCGACGCGAATCCCACATGTACCTGAACCCAGGCTAGAAATTGCTCCCGAACTATGCGTGCGGTCGGTGAGCCCCCGTTGGTCAGGCGGCCAGCCCAGAGAGAGGCACGAATGGACTCTTCCAAGCTCCGATCCGCACGGGAAGCCGTGACTTGTTTTGATCCCCGAGAAATCTTTCATCAAAGAACGATTGAATGATGGGTCGCCCGGAGAAAAGACAGGAGACGCGTCGGGGGGGGGGGCACGTTGATGGTGTTGCCGCGGATACAGTGTTATCCCGTACCGGTACCGGAGTAGGTCATACTCTGATGACCGTGCAGTTGAAGACCGTGCACTTTTGGTGAAACTCTTGCTGAAGGTAGTCTAACTCCTTGAAACCAAAACAAGTTCTCCGACGTGATCGTGGCCCCGACCCAAGCAAGAGTACCACTAAAACCGACAACATATTCCAACCTTCGACGCAAGCAAATAAACACGGGCACAAACACGAACATCCTACCTGTCCCTCGAACATTATTGCTCGGCAACACGGGTTTTCGGCGCAGTTGCAGAGGATGCTCGAGGCGAACTCTGACTGTGGCGGCGCGCTCGAGACTGTCAACTCAACCAGCGGTTGGAGCGCCCACCGACAGATAGACGGCTGGCAGCTGAACCGAACGGAAAACATCATACGGACATAGAGTACATCAAGACGTGATCGATCGATGGTTGTGAAGGTGTTTGCTGTAATAATCGTCTTTCAATTCGGAATAGGCAAGCACGCTGGTGCAATCGAGTAAAGTAGTTCATACGATGATAACTGTCGAAAACGAGGTCCTTCCGTCTCTCTTGGAAAGAACGGAGCTAGCCCATATAACCCACACGAGTCCGTGATTCATGTTTTCTTTGTTCGTTCGAGGTACTTGCGTGTTTTTCAAAAACTGGTATAAACCTAGCACTCGGTGTCCATACGAAATGTCATTGTCGCATCTTCAAATCGATTGATTCTCTCATGACCCAGGAATGTTTGATGGAAGCTTTGAACACCCCCGACCCCTCATTCAAGGACCCTACCGTCACCTCCCCGTCCCTCATTCAACCAATTCCAGTAAAAAGTCCTTCCCTCTTTTGTTGTGGCCTGCTGTACTCTCACCCTGTTTCTGTGGAGAAGTTCAGGAGCGCGTGCAGGGAACGGACTTTCAAGGGCTCCTTCGTGCTCGTCGCACGGACCAAGCGACACAACGCCTCCACGCCACCGTTATCCTGAAGTCGGCTGCGGGACCTTGCCCCCAATGACAACGACGCCGCCAAGAAAGACCCGCAGGCCTGTTTGGTCGTTCGTTCATAGTGTTATCATTTTTGAGGATAATTCACTTTCAGTCGTGTCCGGAGTGAAGCGGCAATGCTCGCGTAGGGCGGATCAGCGGGCGGGTGTTCTCAGTTGAAGTAGACAATACATGTTGCTGGTGCAGTGGCAGCGGAGAAGAATGAGTCGACCACCTCTGGGTGATCGACTGTTTCTCTTATGAAAGTCGGACCAACGAGGCAGCAAACTGCGGAATTTCAGTCTGTGCATGTGTACACACCATATCACGATTCCGCTGGAGGTCGCGTACCAGCAAGTTGGCTGTGTGTGCACTGTTCTCTCTCAACTCTGCATACTCAGCCAAATCAATCGTCAATCTTCGATGACCAGCTTTGTCTGTGGGGGAGAATTCTGGCGATTTTGACAAATAGGAGCGATCGTTCGGATCGTTCTTTCGGGGCCGTCACACGAGGACAAACAATAACACAGATCCCACGTAACACGACAAACATATTGTTTGTTTTGGACCGAAAGCGTGAAACCATAGCCCGACTTGGACTCGACCAAAGTGCGTGGCCAATGCACCTGGAGCTCGGAGGTACCAGAAGCCAAGAAGCCAGCGCATATATCATCAAGAACAAACGGTCCCCTGCGCAAAAACAACGACGACAAAAAATACAATTGCCACGATGGTTGCGAGGTACATAGCGACGATGGTAGGCACTATATTCCACTTCGGTTTCGAATCAGTGCAAATGATTCCCTGTCACCAAGCTCTAAAGACGTTGGTGCGTCAACTCTAGGTGTTTTAAGGTCGATGTTTCTTGGGTTTGTTCGAAGAGTCATTTCGAGGGTTACTACCGGCTCAGGGCAAGCAGGATAGCACGGCGTACAGTTCATGCGTGTTTATTGTTCTACGCCGAGTCTGGCACACGGCAATTCCACAACGGGAACGGGCCACGATTCCTCCGCCAATATCATCGACGTCTACCCCTGTTCATGTCTATCCGATTCGGTCATTCTCACCCTTCTGTGGCGAACTGTTTCACATAGTCGGCGCGATTTTTCTCGTGTTCAGGATTCCTGCACAGCGTGAACATCAAACCAGCAGACAACACCTGCCGAACAAACAAGGACAGCGGTGCGGGTTCAAAAGTAAGTGGGGTATGAGTGAGCGGAGGACAATGGTCTACGGCACAAATACCTCAAAAGAACAGTAGGGTAAGGACAACCAGTCTCTCATGGTCTTCCCTTGACCCCTTGTCAATGAACCTGATCTCCTTCTCACGCCAACAGCGACATATGGCACCGGCCTTAGCTGACAAGCTTGTTGACTGTGTACGGATGCACAAACTTATTCAAGCAGCTTCTTACCGAGGAATGAGTCGAATCGAAGAACGTCGTGATCTACTCCGCCTTTTCTTCATCTTAATCTTCATTTTCGTATTTCAGCGGATAGTAAAAAACATGCAAAACACACAATACACCTATCTATCTCGTAGAAACCGAACGTCGTCGTTTATTCTGTCGCCCTCTATGTAAAGTTCCAAAACAACTAGTAATGTGCACAGCAGCTCTGCACACACCTCCACCGACGTGGAACTGGGGGTCCCGTGGATGCCAAAAAAATATCGAGACAATTTGATCTTGGTGCATTGGCAGACCTTGAGGTAGACGGTACTAGTACAATCGTACACTGCCTGCAGCAGTGCGGAGGCGAGACTGAGGTGCATCGCGAGCGTGGCCACGTCCGGCTCGGTGTGGCACATGTTGCACAAGGTGCCCACCGCCAGCGACTTGAGCGGCACGTAGCATGCGCTGGACGGAAAGTTCAAAATCCCCTGTGGCAATGGTTAATGGTGTGTGACGGTGGAACCGGAAAGGATGGATCGATCGGCCGGTTGACAGGTTGACAGCAGACGGGCTGAACGGTGAGGTTGGGAATGTAGGACCGGAAACGTAGTGTTCATGTTTCATTCCAGCCTTCGGTGTGCCGAGGCAAATGCTGCAGCGTTCGTCATGGATGGGTGTAGCAACGGTCGTACACCCAGTATTTTTGCTGTGGAAGGGTTGTAGTACTAAGTACACTTTCAAGCAGACAGTATTTTGCGAGTTTCGGTGTCGTGTCGTACTAGGAGATGGGAAGACAGAAGTGATTAGGCAATGAGCTCGCACCCCTGGCAACTGTGCGTGCACAATGTACAACATTGTAATACGGGTCAAGGGTAGACACATGTAGTTGCAAACAAAAGCTGTGCGAGGAGGGGATATCAGAGGAAAGTGGACAAGGAAGACATGGACTCGCATTTACTCTTAGACAGACTAACCACCAAAAGTTGGAGACCACCGTTCATGGCAAGCCTGACCGTGTTGTCCGTGTCGCACGCGAGGAGCCAGATGGCCGCCAGTACCCTGGGTGTCCATTTGTTCGAAATGAACCACAGGGGGGAGGAAAAGTTACACACTGTACCGACGAATACCATCCGCTTCAAAGGCTGTACGAGCTGTACGAGTTAGCTACAGAGCGCAGCGGAACGTCCGGGCAACCAGTACTCCTTTTGAGATTTTCGATTCTGTACATCAACTCCTTCCTTGTCGAGTCATAGCCGAAGCAGGCAGTCCTCCGCACGCGACACGGGTACATATGCTCTCATGTGCTGCTGAAGCAATATTTACTACAGAAATCTTTCGTGACCCTTGCTCAAGGACACAGAACGCCATGTGTGCATGCATAAAACAGGCGCTTTTAGAGGATTCATCCTAGCACGCGTCCAAGGGGGTATGTACTTGGCGTGTTGCTATGATTTGCTCTTGTCTGCTCTTTTGCCATGCTCTCTTGCGTCCTTGTGTATCTTCTCTCACCCTTCCTTGACGTCCAATCTGGCGTTCGATTGCAAGACGTGCACGAGTCCGTCAAGGGCCCAAAGCCGACCGAGTAAGACCCTGTTTTCTCGCCGCCGAGCCAGCAACCAGCTGTCCGGTACCGATAAGATCACGGCCAAGATTAATTCTCAGAATAAGTTCAACCTTGAGTCTAGAACAGGCGGGTGTACAGTGTTCGCCTGGAGTTGTTTGTTGTCTTCAGCTACAAACACTGGCTTGACAGCGGATGTCTCCTCTCGAAACGGACAAAGCATTGATTCTATGCAACATTACCGTTATCTTGTCCTCGTATTTGACCAAGGGAAATCATTCGTCCTCGTAACGATTGCCCCACTGCACTTCGCTGTGTCCACGGAACGACGCATACACTGGCTGCTGTGGATCAACCACGTCAGCCGAAGTTCAACACATGTTCTTAAATGTGTTACAACTCACATTGTCCAGGCGGTGTAGGTCAGGACGTCCTGGTTTGTGTGTCCTAGAGCCCAAACTAGGGAGGTCAGCTGCTTCTCCGACCACAGAGCCCCGTCGGCTTCTTTTGCCTCCTTGGCAGCTTTCGCCGACCGTTTCGCGCGCTTCTGTCTCTTTGGCTTGCTACTGCCCTCAGCCAACCCGGCGTTTTCTACGACGTCCCCAATGCTGTTCTCTTGCTTTGCCGATACCGTCTTGTTGTCGTTGTTGCCGTTTTCCGTTTTGGTGTTGCTATTGTCGCTACTTTTGCTCTGGGCGCCGATGTCACACAAGTACATAATACTGCACGCGATGGTGCTATCGAACTGTGCGCTTCCGAGGCGCCTCATGAGGAGACGCTGGAGGTGGACAAAAACAAGGGCGAGTGCGGGTTGAGTACAAGCGAATGAGATAGAGTGACCAGGCGAGGGAATATTAGTGCCTCTCGGCGGTAGCAACATGATTCCCTTAAAGAGGATCTCAATATGTACACAGCTCAAAGCTCCAATCATCGACCGGCATTCCATAGTCCCCTGCAACGCTAGCTCGGGTGTTTCTGAGTGGATATTGGTATCATCTGTAGCACCCGAGGTGGAGATTCTACCTGCAGCTTGTCGAGAAAGCCGTCTTCGAACGCTTTCCGACGAAGGTTCTCGTTAGCAGACATTAGAGTGCACAAGGTGCGCGCCGCGTGCTCCTGTAACTGCGGGGGTCATTCGGGGTAAGGAGGGATGGAGGGAGAGAAAAGGTGGGAGTGGTGGGAGGAGGTGAGGACGACGCGGAGAGATGGTGAGGACGAGCCTTCCCGTTCCTTGCCTTCCTCATTGGATCGTTGGCCGAGCGCTCATTGCGAGGCGAACAAAAAGGGGTGGGTGCGAGGTAAGAATCATACACGACCATAGCAGTTTCAGACCTCAGGCCTTGTCTCCCTGCGCAGGCGGAACGCGGCACTTCGAGTATTCGCGAGGGGCTCTCTGGGGTGCGGGGCATAGACTTGCTTCGTGTCTCATTAACACGATGTACACAAAGATGTCAAGATTTATGATGGCGGTCGTGGATAGGTCTCCATCGTTCTTACAGTTTCCATTTCGTCATTGACCATGCATCCCTCAGCACTTACCCACTACCCACTGGAGGTGTGCAATGTTGCTGAGGAGGCGCGGTCTTGGTAACGGCGACTATCAAGCCGGAACCACGCACATCCAAGGCACGGTGGCTGTGAGCGTATTTCATATGGCTGCAGCGTTGATAAATCACCGCTTTGGTTGTACTGGGGTTTTAGACGACCAGGCGTCTTTTCGTCTTCACAACCATCGCCACACACCTCTAGGGAGTTGGTCCTCTTGAGTAGAGCCAGCATTTCCCCAGGGAGGGCTTCCATCTGGAGACAACGAAAGGTTGGCGATCAACGGACTAAGTTCATATCAGGTGCATGCCTTTTGATTGGTGACGTTGAGGCTTGCCCTATTATTGTAGATTTGTTGCCCAACTACCGACGATATCGGAAGATATACTGCACGCGTTCTCGGCTACATGGCGCGGTGCTCATGCGCCAAGCACCCCATTCGGTCTGGCTGATAATCTTGTTGCCGGTCCCTCTCTCGCCTGCTCCCAAAGTCCAATACCTTATCCGAGTACCGAACATGGAGTATTCACGTCTTGCCATAGCCTCCGAAGTGTCCAGATTCCAAACACCACGCGAAAAGTCGGTTGGGATGTATCTCTTCTCACCCTCCTCCCTAGGCGAGGACTCATGTACATAATACAACGACGTTGCTGAAATCGAGTTGCCCACCTCCTCACTGCTGTCCGTGTCCACGCTCGCGCCTGTCCCAACCCCGACGCCTATGCACGCCACCGCACAAAACACCACCCATGGAGACAACCATTTCGAACCGGCAAGCTTTGCCACCGAGAGCATGGTGCGGAACCAGCAGGCAGACGAGACCGCTTTCTTTCCAGGCCCTGGTGGGCATCTGGGGTTGTGTAGTGCAGCAGCACCGTCAACATGGGGGTTTTGGGAAGAAATGGGTAAACCTAGGTGGGCAACGATGAACCCAAATCGTGCAGCGCCGGAGACAATTCGACCACATGCATGTCTTCAACCACAAGAACAAAACGCGTTGGGTGGGATTGTATTGGTTTGGTCTAAGGTTACAACATGTACTTGGGTGTTTCTCCATGCACGCACACGCTATTGCATTGAACGGGGTAGACCGAGTTGTAGGTGGTTCGAGGCAACTAGCGAAAGTGACGTGCTGGGCAGGATGCGTTGTACGTGACTATGTGACGGCGAACACGAGAGACGCTATGCCGTGTCACATCGTACGCAAACATTGGATGCACCTGTCAATAACTGCCAACGAGCCCCAGCAAGCAGCGGTCGCCTGCTCCAGGATGCCCATAGAGTCTTGGGTTTCGGCATCCATACTGCGGTCGTGCACAACGCCGGTTGAGGTATATGATAGGTGGAGTAAGGAAGGAGTTCGAGGCGAAAGAACTTCGTAAACCACGCCTGGGAAAGGAAAACAGAGTGTGCCATGCTTGTTTAGTGCTTTCGGGCTGGGATCTCCGTGAGGCGTTCGCTCCGAGTCGACTACGACGCTTTCAAAGTGACGTTCATTCACCAAAAACGGCGTATTTGTGTGTTCTTGCCGATAGGGCCACACCCTATTGTCACAACGAACTCCGGCAGTACACCAGGCATCGGTTGGGTTCAGGCGAGAAGGCGATGTAACACACCAACCTACCTTTGGTGCAGCGGTGAACAAACTCCAGCAAGAGCTCGCGTCCCGCTTGCTGTTGCTGCTGCCGTTGACTTAGGATCGACAGGTAACATTGTGGACTCCAGCTGATCGAGGCATCGTTGACAAGCGGGTGAAGCTTGTTCGAGTACTTTTATTGCCTCAGCAGGGGTCACGGCGATCTGGGAAGGCTCGCCGCGAAGGAATGCGTTGAGAATACTGACGCAGCAGAGAACCACGCGACTCAGAGGCGACCTTTAAGAATAAAAGCCGGAACAGTACAATGAGAGTCGGCAAGGAGGGGCATAAACTCAGGGAAAGCAAGATAGCACGAGATGAGTATATGTGCCGCCGAGTGGCAGCGTTGGGGAGGTATGAAGTATTGAAAAGGTCGGGGTAGGCCCTGGTAAAATACGCTCAGCCCCTCGAGTCAGGCACTGTTGGGTGTGCTGCTTTCTAACGGTGGTATAATAGCCCCCCCAAATTAAGATACTCTTTGCTCTTTTCGTTGCAACGCTTCATCGAACAAGACGACTCGTTTGCTGCAGACCTTCGTGTTGAAGGGGGTACACGTGTTGTTGTGAAAAACGGCCATAAGCGACTTGATCAAATGTCTACCCAGTCCGATCCCGTTCGCAATAATATTCATTGAGTGCGTACCTCATGAGATCCAAGAGGGACAGGAAACTGCCCTGTTCGGCCCACGCAAGTCGGCAGGTGCCATGGCTGATGAGAACGTGAGCTAAAGCTTCCGCCGCCATACATGGCACACTTTCGTCTTCAATGCCACCCCTGGCATGGTGTGACAAGTGGCAGAAACAGATTTTACCATTCGCAAACTCGTGGCATCGAAGAATGGGGGGATGCCCTAACTGCGTCTGTCCTTCGAAGCGAAAGGGGTCTTTGGCGCACACTCGCACGAGCACGTGCATCAACGCATCGACGTGACGAATCAAATTGGCCGAAACATCATGACAGGAGGATGGAGTGTTGCCGTCTCTCACCGCCTCTGCCCTGCAGTCGCCAACTCCAAGAGAATCTCGAGGCCATTGTGGTAGCCTTCCGACCCTGACAAGGAATCTGCAGCCTCCTGGGACCGCAGCATCAGCGAGATTGCCCCTACGCATTTGGCGGCTACCTCGTCCATCTCCTGTCCGGCCTCGAGCACAACGGCTACCCCACCCCCTTCCTCACCCCCCGAGGTGTGTGCCTCGTCTTCATTGCCTCCGGTCACCTCTTGAAGGAGCAGCGGTCCTCCTTCTCCGCCTCGGCTACCGTCCACCCCCGTCGAACCTCCGGCAGTGCCGGCAGCTGCAGCTGCAGCTTCTGCGGCCGCCTTTTGTCGCGCCTTCCGGTGCTCTGGGGTTTCGACTGTCCTAGCGATGCTCTCCGCCAGTGCCCAAAGCTTGTTCTGCAACCCGTGCTCCAGCATACGTCGCCGCATATCTGGACAAGTCAAGCGTGGATGTGCGAAAAAAATCAACGGGAGCGTGACGAAACGAACAAGTCGTAATGCTGTGGGCTAAGAGTCATTCGTGCCTACTAAAAAAAAGCGAAAACTGGAAAACTATATCTTGAAGCAATCGAGGGATGTCGGAGTCCCAAAAAGCACTTGTATTCCCTCAGACAATACCTAGAAGTGCTTGCCATGTATCAGTGGGAACCTTCCAAGCTGTTGTAGCTCGAGAGTACGAGAATTCTGTGCAATCGCCAACCGAGAATTGCATGGTCTCTGAACCTGCTGAAAGAAGCTGGCGAGATTGTTCCGAGGATCTGCTGGTGTTCTTGGACCCTGCATATCGTGGATTCTCATTTCCGTGCATGAATAACACCTGTGGCGCGCTCACCAGTCGAAGTAGCCAGTTTCCACACCACCTGGCATGCCACTGCCACTTGCACAGAAGACGAGCTGTGCCCAATGACGGAACCCACTGCTACAAGGAGCTCGCTAAGGCGTCCCGCGCGATCCACCGTCTCGAGGTTAGCGGGAACCTTGTTCGTGTCCGTGCGAGACAATCCACAGCATTGATTCATATCATTCAGTTTGAAAACCAACAGAGGGGTCTGAAAGAAGGCGTTTCGAAAGAATGATCGAGGATGTAAATAAACCCCTCGGGGGCAACATCGATATCCTGGAGGGAACAAAAATAGGTCGACATATTGCGTAAACCGAGCACGAAGTCGACCAACCATCGTTCTGTACTCGCGAACAGGGAAGGGCTGGCTGCCTTTGACCGCTTAGATGTGATGCATCAACACTGGCCGAAATACTATTAACAGTCTCACTTGCACCAGTTCTAGTAGCTGATTTAAAGCGACGACTATTGCTTCATCCGCATCCAGGTCACCGTGGCTGCCGCCCACCAAGCATCGCGTGATGGGAAAAGTAGCCTTCATGACCTGAGGCCCGAGTAAATTGCAGTTGTAGAGGCATGGACCCTTCAGGCAACGTGTGTTCACAGCTTCCCTCCGCCCACAGTATATCATGGTTCATTTGGCAGAATTAGGGTACATCCCCGTATCTGGTACATTGGCAAGAGCGCCGCCAACCCTATTCAACGACGATGCAAGCAATTTCCACTTGAGCAACTGTTTGTAAGATACCGATTCCCACTATTTCGTGCTGGCTGGCATCCATGCCGGTACCTTAGCATGTTCCGCTTGAGAGACCTAATCGCTCGTCACGAGGTTTCGCCCATCCGAACACTCGTCGGAACTTTCTCACTGAAATCCATGCATAAGAATCTAATCGCCCACAGCGCCTGTACCAACCTTAAGCACACGGCGAGGTGGCTGACGGAGAACGAAGTCATCGATCAAGCCTTGAAGGTGCTTCGTTGAGAGTACGAGCTGCTCCATCTCGTCGAAGAGGCGGTCCTCTGGAAGGGTGATAAGCACGCCTCCTGTCAGGTTGAACGCCTGTGTGCGTGTTTGGGCAGGTGCGGGAGCCAGAAGATGCCAGACCGCACGAACCCCGGGGGTCATGGCTACAGACGAAATCGCTGCCTAGCGGGGAGATACACCGGTTGAAGTGACAACTTAGACATCGCTACTCTCTCGTGTCGGATAAGCCTTGAAGCGCGGGATGCACAGCAACTTGGTGGTTCGGTGATGTGACGCATAGCACATGGCACTTCAGCTTTCACGCCTAGGAAGTCAATACATACATAGCCAAGGGAGCTGATCATACCTCTTGGAGAAAGCCACTGATCCGGCCGAAATCACTGTCCCGTGTGAGCATGATCACCTCTCCCTGTCCTTTGCTAGCACTGCGAGTCTCAGCCACAACCAAGGGCACGGCGAAAAGCTGGCGTCATCAGAGACTGGAGGGAGTGGCCAAAGATACATAGCCCACATGAGCTTGCAACCATGAAAGAGAACAGCAGTGCTTCGCTGTTCGCTACACGTGTCAGGGCTTTTCTGGTGACTGAGAAGGAAGGATCACATTGGTTGATCTAGTAACCATCCCAGCGCTCTTAGGGCTGAAAAGTTCGTCATTTGTCCAAACAATATTGTTGACGATGCTCTCGTACCCAAACGTTGACACACCTGCCCTCCAAGGTGCACACGAACTCGCCATACGTGCGCGCAGCCTGTCTGCTGCATGCCACGGAAGCTCTCGGACTGAAAAGCCCAGCGTCTCGCTCCTGGAGAAAAGCAACGGCACAAGTGCGTATGTCGTTGTGCTTTTCAGCATACTGTACTGCGGCGTTTGTCGGAGGTGAGCATGTGTTCTTCCACCGCGGGCAGCCTACGGTGCTCTGGATCTGAGGCGCTGCATTGCAGGAATCTGTTAAACGCCATCACCACCGACACTAAGGAGAACAGGCCTGACTCACTGACTCATTGATTGCACTATGTGTGCACATGCTGCCATAGACAATGCTCAGAACAACCTCATAACAGCAATGATCAACCTTGGGAAATGTTGCCATTGCTTCATAGCCCACAGTCACCCCACACAATCGACCTAAAACGTAGGAAGGATACCACGCGCTCAACCCTGGAAGTCAATCGGTCACCTTTTCGGCGGCGATGTGATCCAGAATCCCCCGAAGCTCAGCGATATCTTGGTCTGTGCCCTTGCTGGCCAGGCGGCACAAAGCAGCCATCTGGCCAAGCCTTGCCTTCCGTTGTTTCATGCCCATGATGACCGGTACCGTTCTGCTCGACGCCAGCCAATGTTGTTGAGTGCAACATGAGGGTTGCGATGCACAATGAATTCCGAATGTCCAATGCCAGGTAATTTTGCCAGTAAATTGATGACATGATTCGTGTTTTGTTTCGATGCTGGTCTATGCCACAACGTATTTACTAGGAAAAATAAATTCAAACACAGAAAGACAACCCGTTCGAGATAGAACCACAGTCGAACGGTGTGTTGGAGTCCTTGCAGTGAGTGTTTCCGGCAAAATATTTGCCGGAGCTCCGGCGTTATTGCACTGAATAATCCCTCTTCTCGGTGTTTCTTTCGTCGCCGGCACCGCCGTGCCACTCACTGACCACAGAACTGTTCGTTTACTATTCTGCATCTCGATACAAGCACGTTGTTAGATGCAGCCTCTCTTTTGACTTGTTCAAACCTTCAAATGACCTTCAGCAGTCAATGTGTTTCGCGTCATTGTCTCATCTATCTTATGAGCGTCATTCGCGAAAATGACAGTATCCCGTGACGTAAAATCGTGTGTCACTTTCAGGCTCGGTCTACTGCGCCATACAGACTAGAATACAGACCTCCTGTACATGGCGGAGTCTACAATACGCGTACGCTGTTCGTCATAGCATACGCGTACTTGAAGTCACGTAATGACATATAACCCCGCGACATTCAAAACGTGTATCACTGGTGTAGGCTTGGTCTGCTGCGCCATACAGACCTATAGTGGATCGTTTGCTGCTGACTTCAAGAGCGTTAGGGAGATTCCAACTGTACGCCTGCACACGGCAGCACGCCAGGCAGCACGCACAGCAGCAAGTGCGTGGGTCGTTGTGTTCATGTGTGGAGTGTGGAGCCCGCCAAACGTCATCGATCTGGCCGCAAAAGGTTCAATTTATCATGCTCTCGGCTCTCGGGCAAAGCAAACGCGTGCTGGAAACACACATACCATGGAGCAACCCGCCGGAAGTAGTCCTGAAGAAGATTTGCCCAGAGTCTTACATTGAAGAAGACAAGCGGCGCCTTCCCGAGACCGCTGGACACACCGAACGTGTGCAGTAGCAACAAGGCAGGGGTGCGGGGGGGGGATAAAACCATCACGTCCCCTCGTCCCCTCCCTCTTGAACAAACGTTTTGGACCCTTGGGCGGAAACCTTTTTTTTCGAACTCAAACGAACGGGAACTTTTTCAGACGGCCAGCGCAGTGTTGACGCCAACCGGGTTGTTACGCGCCCCAGGGAGGACGCCCTCAAGGAACGCAACGCCCCCCCCCCCCCCCGACCCCTCGTCACGGGAGAACCTGCCGCTTCCGTTGATGTGTCACGCCCCCACGGCCAAAGGCAGCCAGCTCTCGCTAGATCAATGCGACGAGATCCTATCTCCGTTCTTCAAATCAGCACCTTCCGGCCGGGTAGCAGTAGCGGCAGCAGCAGCCGCAGCAACCACCGACGAAGAAGAAGCCACACAACCCCCCGGCCCACAAGGCGACCGACATCGTGACCGACAAGCCATGGCAGACCCTCGGGGTGACTGCAGCCCTGGCGGTGCTCGTGGGGGCGCACCGGCAAAGTCAGGTGAAGTGGATCCTTGTTCCCGGGGCGATACAGCAGCAGCAGCAGCAGCAGCAGATAGCCCAGCCCCCGAGGCCAGCGCGGTCCCTAGCGAGACTCCCCATCGCCCCCCAAGAGGTAGCAAACACTCCCGAAAGAAGATTCGCTTCACCGGGGCAATGGGCCAGTTTTTGGACGGACGGGGGGTTTGGAACGACTTCGCTGTGATGGAGGCCGAGCGAAAGGCGGGCCTAAATATGCCGCAATTTCTGCAGCAGCCAGACCAGCAGCAGCAGCAGCAGCATCAGCAAATCCAAAATATGCAGCACGGAAAGGGGCAGCACGAGGAGGAGGAGGAGGAGGAGGAGGAGGATTCAGGGAAGGAGGGTAGGGGGGGAGGCACGGGTGAGGAGGATCGAAATGCAAAGGATCAGGGGCGAAAGGGAGCGCCGTTGGACGGAGGGGGCACGGGGAGCGGCAGCGAGGAAGCAACACCTTCTGATGACGTTGTTGCTGATGGCATCAGTTGTTGGAAGTCGGCGGGCGCCATCACTACCGCCATCACGGAGGATCTGCACACCGTCGCCACAGTACCGTCTGATACCGCCAACCCCGGCACGAGCGCTGGAGACGCACCCCGTCTGCCCAGTCAAACAGCAGCAGGAGCGAGGCAGCAGCAGCAGCAGCAGCAGAGGGGTCCGTGACGCGGGGGCAGAAGAGACGGTGATGGAATAGCTGCTGTCGGCGCGAGGGCATGCCAGTTGGAGGTTGGAAGGCCTGGCGCCACCAATAAGCTTCTGAAAATAGCAAGGATGGGAACAGGGCTTCAAAAAACACTGGTAGGCTGGCCTGTATGAAAGTTAGTTGCCCTTACGGCACCGGGCGTTGGATGTATGTATAATGGGACGGGAGGGGGCATGTTGATAGGGTGACTGGGTTTCATTGGTATTTTGTCAAGTATGAGTATCCATGCCAGCAGGCATTTTGTAAATGCTAAACCAACCAGCGGGTACGAAAAGTTCCCGAATGTTAGAGAGGAAGCGAAAGAGAGGCTCGAGAGGAGAGTGAGCCGGCAGGAAGAAAACGGTTGAGAATGAGTGTGGAGACTGGGGGCTGGTTGTAAACAGATAAAACTATGGTACTTTATTTTCAATACTGTTCTCGTTCAGTGAAGTGGGTGTTTTGACGATCACAAGAGAGAGACAGAGAGAGTGGAGGTAACCTACTCGCAGTGGTTACAGTAGTCTGTCAAATTCACTTCGAATTCAATTGCGTTGTACAAGTATTCGAGAGTGTGAATTTTTGGGGACTGGGTTTTGATGTAGGGTACCCGAAGAAAGAGTTGGTTGTGTTGACGTCTGCATGTGCGCGCGTGAAAGACACGGGAAGCTAGTATACCAGAAATCTGAGTGAAATGTGGAGGCCAGCTCTTTTCATGACTTGCCACTGGTTGGCTGGCGTAGGTGGCTGTCTTATCGCTGAACGGCTTCTCTTCTCTTCTGCTACGCTCCCTCGTGTGTGTGTGTTTTTTATGTTTTCCGTGGGAAGCCCGAGTAATGCGGCTGCCTGGTTGTCTCTGTCTCACGACGTTTTGGTGGTTGGTTGTATTCGGGGGAAAGGGTGTCACTAGATGTTCCAGCGAAACCTGGGTGGGGGAAGCCACCACCGACACGTGATATACCAAATAGCACGGTCTCACTGCGTGCAAAGTGGTTCAAAACAGTACCGTGTGCCCCTGTGCAGTCGTTCTGCTGTTGTTGCATGGTGTAGTCCCGTAATTGGAGAGCAACACTTTTCGTTCGATAAGCAGGATTGCTTGGTAGGAGGGGGGCGGGCTGCGGGGGGGGGGGTTGGAGAGCAGCATTTTAAATAGCAGGCGTTTTGGGGGGGGTGGGGTAAGGAGGGGAGGGATTATGGATCATGCCAGTGCTGCTGTAAAAAGGGACGGCCTCGTCTTTGAGATGCCAGTGTAGTGTTGCGTCTACAGGTGAGGTCATGTGGTAATTGATCAACATACGAACTTCTTTTGCAAGCACGCTATTAGTACGGGTGGTTCTCGTTTGATAAAAAAAATACGTTACACACGGGTAAAGAGAATGTTGGTGAGGGGATTACCTCGTGCTAGCGTTGGTTGCAGGGATACGTATTGGACAGTGTTTGGTTTCGTTTGGTGTGCAGTAGCGCTGAAGCTCACGATGATGGTGTCTAGTGACCACGACTTGGGGTATGTTTGAGTGCGGCGGATGATTTTCAATGATGCGTGCAGGTCCGATATCCCAATGTTGACGTGGTTCGTTGAGGAGGCCAAGCTGTTGGCCCCTTTGTGTGAAATTTGAGCGCGAGCGGTTGGAAACGGAGTTCATGATAGTCTAAACAATTTTTTCTTGTTAATATTTGTTTTGTTTCGTGTCGTTGTGGAGGGCAGCCGGTTTTTCGGCCCGCCGTGCCCCTGCCCTTGCGAATACCTAGGAGCGCGGCCTTTCGCTCGACGGTTGTGTCCGAGCTTTGTACGGGTGGGGGGCGGCGGCGACGACTTGGTTTGGCCTTTGATGGCATACTTCCGAGGGGTGTTGCTCCTCTGGTGCTTCACAATGCTGTCAGATCACTCGAACGGTTTCAAAAAATATGTCTTTTTTTTTTTTGCTTGTTGGCAAAACCTCGCCACCCTCTGCTACACAGCAATAGAGCTGCCACACGCTCGTTCGTGTGCACTGCAGCGGGACCCTTGGTTTTTTGCAGCATCAACCATTTCGCTCTGAGAGCGCAATTTTCCGCTTGAGTGTGTGGATTCGATGGCGTGGGGCACCAAGCGGACGCAACACGTCCCCCAGCCGGGGTGGGATACTTCCTCTCATTTACCCTCTATCAATTTTTAATTGCTGGGACCCGCACGCAGCCAGCGCGACAACTCCCCTTTCTTTATCGTTTGCGATTTTTGGTGGTTAGCGTTCGTCCGCCCGCTGGAATCTTTTTCGTCTGTTGATCCTCTCGTGCGTGACCGAGCGCATATTACAGTAGTGTTGCATGACCGCGGCGGCTTTAATGCTCGTTTCAAGCCAGCCTTCCTCAGTAAATGACTGTCCGTGCTCGGAATGCTGGGGCAAATGTCACGTACGTATCAACATGCACCGACAAAATTGATTCTGCTTGTTGGTACACAGTTGAGATTCTCCCCCCGCTCCCGCGCTTTCCTCGCCCTCGCCCGCCTCCCCCACATACCCATATAGCACGCGTGACACGCTCTACTCACAGTCTGACAAATCGTGCGAGGAACGCGTCCATCCCCTTTGGCGCACAATGACACCCACAACCCAGCCCGCACAAAAACAGCCGTGTGCAAAGAAAAAGGCCTTGGCCAAAAAAAAAAATCAAAAGGAAAATACTGGTGGACACGACGGATTATGATTCACCTCACCTCGACCAATGCATGGCAGCGAATATTGCCGTCGGCAAAACTTGAACAAAAAAGACGAAAGAACGAAACGCTTCCCGTTATCCACATTGTCTCTTCTCTGCCAAGCACAGACGGGGACGACACCGCCCCAAGCAGCCATGTTCGACTCAAAACTGCTTGCATAACCTCGTGCTGAGATACCCTACCCTAACGCGATTGCCCCACCGGCCGCAGAGAGGAGTAGGACAGCGCTCTTACCTCTCCTTCATTCTCTCGCCCCCTCGCTGTCTATCTACCTATCGCGCCCGGTACAGCAAGAACCCTCTGTTCTTCTCTTGCAGCTCGCCTCTTACCGCCATGATGGCTATTGCTCGTGTTACTGCTGTCGCCGGGTGTCCCTGGCCTGTTGCTTCCTCCCCAACCTGACAACAGCGGAAGGGAAGGTGCCGGACGGGGGGGGAAAGGGACAAGAGAGAAAAAAAATGTTACAAAAGGGAGGTATTTGTATCACATACGGGGAGCACCAAACAGTAGTACCCAGACCCCGATGGTCCACACGATTTAGTAGAAAGTCACGCCACCACGTCCGTGGGGAACGGCCACTACTGCTGTACCGTTGCCGCACGGGTGGGACCCTTACCCTTACTTTCCTCCCCCTTGCATCCCCCAAAACTATTCTATTAATAGCGCGACGACGGACGGCAATTCGTGTGTTCCTAGCCTCCCACCAAACGTCTCCTCAACCCTCCCTCAACGCACAACAAAAACAAACGCGCCTAGCCTTGTCCCACGCGAAGATGGAAGTTCTTTTTCTCACCTTTTTTCGGTTGACGGTGCTGCGGACGGCGATCCTCCTCTTGAGGAAGTCTTCCGCCCTGCGGACCTCCTGCTGAGTCTCCGGGCGGAGGGAGCCCAGGTCCCCGGCGGTGGACCCCGCGGACGCCGCTGCCATGGTCGAAACCTTGAAGAGGCGGAGGGCTTCCTGTACGTCTTGGCTCGACACCTCGGCAGACAGGCGCATCTTGGCCAGAGACTCAGAGAGACGCACCAGGGCCTGTGGGTGTGGTACAAACAAACGACCACAAAATGAGAATGAGGGAGAGGGATGCGAGGGTAGCGGCATGCACTACAGGTGGCATTAATAAAAAATACCGCGTGTTGTCCATGGAATTTAGGCAGGGTGTGCTGATCAAGGAGTAATCTAACATCGACTTGAACAGGTGTCTTGATACATGTGTGTTCACGTACAGTACATGGATGCCGTGTAGTGGAGCGAGCGAGGCATAAAAATGTGCTCATCGTAAGTGCCACCTACCTTCAACATTGCGGAAAGGGTCAGCTTTCTACTATACCTGCCAGACTCCCCGACTCACCTCAAGTTGGCGCACGGTGATGGGGACCGCTTGTGCATCCTCTCCAAGTTCCAGCGTCCGTCGCCTAACGTCCTCGCGGATGGACACGTACTGCTCCGGAAACACGGTATAGCCGTGGCGCGATTCAATCCAAAGGCCGAAAGCGGAAAAAGGCGGGAAAAGAAATAAAGAACGAGCGGTTTCGAAGGGGTTGAGCAGGGACAGCAGTGTCATGGTCGTACCCAGCCAACGTGAGCAACCAAGCAACCACAGCATTCCAATCACCACTCTTTAGCATGCGGATATATGATCGGAATCACCGACAAACATGGAAACCCTGAGCAATATGTATCCCACTTCTAGTCTGGTGGGTCAGCTAAATAGACACATCCGCGACTCTGCTGCCACCGGAGGCAGTAGTGCAACCCATGATTCCAACTAAAGCCCGAAACGAAAACGACCAAATGTAGAATACCAACCACATTTTCTCCAAGCACGACTGCTGCCACCCTATTTCGCCACGAACGACAGCTCGATCCTCACCAGCGGCAGCAGCCTCTGGCTCTGCCCACAACCAACGGGCAAAAACGCTCCCTCCTGTAGACACCATCACGAACGAACGAACGAACCTGGCTGCTCAGCATTGTCGCCGCCGCCTCCGACAGGCGGGGAGCGCACTTGAGGCGGCAGTAGCTAACGAACTTCTTCATAGTGGCGATGTCGATATCCCCTTCCTGGGCACCGGCGTTTACCCCCGAGGCGTTGATGTGCACGCTCATCACGTGCTTGGCGATGCTGCGGTCGCGCTCCTCATCCCTGCCGCGTCAAGACAACCAGTGACAGCCAGGATTGATTTGGTCGATCGAACAATTGCATGAAGGGACTCGAAAAAAAAACACGAGCAACATGCGTCAAAGGCGTTCCGTTGAAAGCAGCTTGACAGCAGTTCTCGTGTATGTGGGGAACACAAAAATGTCTCTAGCGCACTATTCCCGAAAACAAACTATACTTTGCACCGAGCGTCCACAGGAAGGTGAGAGGTCTTCATTCCATACAAGTGATACAAGTGCTTGCGCTTCTTCGAGCAACACCCCCTGTGCGGTTGGAGTATCAGTGAACACCCCAAGGGCTACGTGTACCAGTACTGTACAGGGAGAGCGTGGACGCGAACCGCTGCCTCATGTTTGATTGATTATTGTCATTACCATGTACCCGGCCACTGAAGGCCACGTTTCTCCCAGCATTGTTCTTGCGCCCCACCAATACAAAAAAAAAAAAAAACGAAATTTGAACCTGCCCGCTACTACAGTATGTATCGGGGGTCGTGGGCAGCACCATTCTCTTTGGGTCCAAATCCCACGAGACCTGCCGCAAGCAATCAACACTTTTCCACTCCGTACAATACATACCTGATGTCCCTAACGATGAAGATGAGGTCGAATCGAGACAGGATGGTGGTCATGAGGTCGATGTTCTCCGCGGCACTCTTAAGGTCGTCGTAGCGACCGTAGATAGGGTTGGCGGCGGCTAGCACGGACGTCCGGCTGGTTTTTCATGACGCGTTTGTTGTTGCAGCACGCGAAACAGCAGTACGATAGAAAGCGTTGGCACGAAGAGGAATGAGAGGGAGAGGCCCCCAGTGAAAAATGCAGCAAAGAATTATTAATACAGTGTGCGAGGCACGGCAGCGACCGAGGGGCGCTTCGTAGAAAGCGTAGATAGCGTAGATCGTCGAAATCTAGTAGCAGCAATGCGATACCTAAGCCGAGAGCGGAACTATGGGCCCGGCCCTTCTTTCGTGAATCGAATGAACGTCGTGCGGTTTAAATGGATACACGTAGCATAGTGTCGTATCAAACAGATTGGAACAAACATCAAGAACCATGTACTTATGTATGATGTTAATGCCTATAGGGTGGTTCAGTAAATACTTTCAATCAAGGCCCTAAGTCGTCCTCCGCGTTAGGGTTAGCGAGCGTCACACATACCTGTTGAGGATCGTGGTGATACCCGCTTTGGCCACCGAAATGGTCTGCTGCTCCATCGCCTCGTGAATCGCAACGCGGTCCGACTCCCTCATCTTAGTGTCGCAAGATGAAAGATGAAAGATGAAAGATGATAGATGATGGGGCAACGATGACACCAGGTACGGAGCGGCCGAAAAGTGAGGGTACCGGTGAATATTCTGCGGCAGAAGCACCAGGAGTAAGCATCCAAAGTACGCACAGCAATACAGGCTGCTACATACATGATGGTACTCAGCGCCGGATTGGCTTGGGTTTCAAAAAGCACTACAAGGACGTTTATCTGGCGAATAACTATCGAGAGGATGGGGGCGGGGTGATCAGGATTACGGTTCTACCACAACGAATCGAGGGCGCTTCTTTCGCGTCTAATCTTCATCCTTTGGGGTGGACCAGCGTTTTGCCGCCATTGACACGAGCTAGTCATCTCCATCACTAATCTAGCTTACGCATCACATATCTTCTTCCTTCGCCAAGTGCCGTGGGAAGCAAGCGGGACAAAGCAAAGCATTTTGCTTTCCTCCCCCCCCCCCCCCCTCCGCCCCCTCAAGCTGTGCCAAAGCCCTCTCGCCTTGTCGAATTCGTCGATGCAAACAACTCCTCCATCGGCCAGCACCATGGCACCCCCCTCCAGGTAGAACTCCCCTCTAGAGTCCTTGATTACGGAGGCCGTAAGACCCGCTGCGCTGCTGCCCTTTCCAGACGTATACACCCCAACGGGAGCCACCTTCAAAGAGGAGGAATTCAGGTGCAATCAACGGGACAAGAAGCTTGATCAGCGACCCACATCAAGTCGCTTCCTGTTGCGGCGCGGTGTTGTGGAGTACCGAAAATCACGGTCTGGAGCAGTACACCACTTTACTATGCGGTGGAATAGACGAAAAACATAGCGTGCTTACGAGCAGCTTTGTGACCTGGCGCCATTGCGCGCAATTTTGAGACCGGAATGAAATCAACACACAAGACTAATCAGTCCCTGACCAAACTGATTTGATTTTGAGACGTAAAGCCCCGGCTAGCAGTGCCGCACCGAAGGAACCCACAAAAAAAATAACAATCGACTGTCACATCATATCTATCATACTACCATACTATCATACTGCTGTATCATACGCATATGCATATAGTATGGCCAATACAGCTCCCCCTTTTCGCCGTGTCGACTTGAAGTTTTCTCCCGAGGTTCTTCAGTGTTTCGTGGTGTGAGATTGACGCACCGCGAGACAGCACCGCAACGTCAGGGTACATAAGCATTAAACGCTATGCGTACGTCCATGCTATCAAAAACCGCTCGTGTACATTCCAAGAACTGGGACTATGAACGACACAGAGACAACTGCCCGACCCCTCGCACAACCTGAGGTATAGCACGGTACAGCAGTATGCCGTACACAAATGTGCGTGCATAGGCATCGAGTTTTTATTAAATCGGTTTCACCTTTTCTACGAACTTGAGGAACTGGCTCTTGGCGGTAGACGGGTCTCCCAGCAGGAGCACGTTGATGTCTCCGCGAAGACGAGTGCTGTCCGGCAGGTGCTGAAAATGGCAGCAAGGATAAACGAGGATGAACACGGATAAGCCACGAGTTCGGCGAGCAGCAGAGCAGCTTGGGGATATCACTCAAACAAGACACACGAACATCGCAAGAATGCCTATTGAATGGTCAGAGAGAGAGAGAGAGAGAGAGAGAGAGAGAGAGAGAGAGAGAGAGAGAGAGAGAGAGAGAGAGAGAGATCGGGGGAAGATTTTGGTTGAGCCACAAGATGCCGGAAACGACTGCGAAGAGCGATTCTGGAGCGCTCTGTGTTTGGAGCCCATCTATCTCACGTCCACCCTACAGCATTTCTGGAGTGACGCTTTGTCAGTTCAACATGCAGCTCACAGAAGAGACCATTAAATGAGGATCGATCGATCACAACGACTCCCCGGACACGCCTCTCTCGCTCTACCACACCGCACAACGAGAACACACCCAACACACACACACACCCGGCTGGGCTTCCGCAACACTCCGGATGGAAACTCCCATCAACAGAGTTTGATCGTACCGTACCACGTACCGTGCCACGTACCGTACCACATACCGCACCTTTCGCGACCCCCCGAAGAGCAAGCAAGCCAGCGCTCGCTTGATGTCGACCGTGTAGTCTCCGGAGATGGAGGGAGAGATCGATGACGCCATTTTCTGGTAGATGTCTGGCGTTCGCGACATGGCAAGGAACTTTTCCTCTTCTGCCGGCGTGAAGGAGACCGACGCACGACCAGCCCCCTCGCTTTCCACCGCGATACCCACAACCTGCACTCGTCGTCGCCATCGTCGTTGTGGTCATAGATTTTCATCAGTTCATCAGACGCGCGAAGGTTTGGCGGTGCTTCATACGACCACGAAAGCACGTCGCCCTGAGGGACTTGCCTTGAGACAATAGCATGCCGTTTGGTTTGACACACAAGGGGGGGCTAGACCAAGGCTGCGCACGGCGTGAAAAACGCACTAAATAGTATACTGATGTGCACCAAAGTAGCCTAGACTGCTGTAGCAATCAAGGTGCGACGACGACATCGGTTGAGGTGCTCTTCCAAATCATGCTGGTTCCACAGCACTCGCAAAGGTGGCAAAGTCTACTCTAATCTCCCCGCAAACTGCCAGCAAACAAATTTCTTGCGGGAATTAGCCCCATGTACGGTACCCACCTGCATGAAGGGAGTGCGAATGGCCACACCTCCGACCTGCTTCTTCGCAGCGGCGGAGTTGTACAACGAGGCGATTCCCATGATGGAGACGCGGGTACCAGGGGACACCTTGTCCACGAGGTTTCGGTCGAGAACCACGATGATGTTGCGAGGCATCTCGCCGGTCGGGACGACTTCCGGGCTCTCCTGCAGCACGCGATAAAACGGCCAGCGACAAGAGATGAGCGATGCGATATGTTGTGCGCGGAGGGGAGTGCATGGCAAGGCGCCGACGGTGATACGGTGTTATGAAAGCTGTAGACGGCAGGGAGCGCTGCCTACGTCACACAGAACGATGCCACAAGAGTTGAAACGCTTCGACTAAAGACGTGCTTATCATGCCCTCCATCTCAAGTACACGCGTAGGCATACACACACATACCTGAAGCTTGAGCGTCTGCTGGTCGACGTAGATGCATTCATCTGGTACAATCACGAACGGTGCCTGACCTGTTGTCGCGTTTCACGAAGAAAGGGAAGAAAGGAGGCGACGGTCACAGGAAACAGGAAACATGAGACGGGGAATTCGGGCGCAGGTTGCGCGCTACAGCATGAACTGCCGGCGCACTTGCACGTGACTGAAAAAAGAGTCTAGCGACCGCTCAGCCGCTCTTGCCGAGTTCACATCTCCGAATTCCTTTGCGCCCAGCACCATCACCTGGCACGACATCAGGGCGACGCTTTGCCAGCTTTACCATCACCACCACCCAAGCGCCCTTAACCTTGACGAACTCATGTCTCCAGGAAATGGGCACGTCTGAAAATGCCTCTGCGCCCACCATATTATACTGTGGGGCCAACGAACGAATGGACACAGTCATGCGACCAACGCGGTCGCTGCACGCAAGGAGAACATGTGTGGAAGCACACGCACACCCACCGCAATCTTCTTCTCCCCCATCGGCTGCTTGTTGCCCGTTCTTGTCGCATCTCATGGGCAGGGCGGCACCGCCGAAAGGCCCCACACAAGGGAGCTGCTTCAGGCACCCGCAGCTCTTGCACTTGGCCGCCACGCTCGTGGCCTTCGCACGGATGCGGGTGGCGCTGATGATGATACCGGGGACCTTCGAAAACAGCGTACGGGTTGGGTGAGCGGGTGCGAGGTATCAACCGCGAGTTTTGGACAAGAGTGCCTACTGCTCGGTGGTGGGCGTAGGCACGTGCAGTACTGCTGTGTCTGACGCTCTCATGCGCGCGCAGCATGCCAGGCGATGCGCGACAAACGGTCGACCCGTACAAGGACATCACAAGGACGCCAGGGTGCCAAGCAAAGACGGGCTACGTCTACCTATCCTATCCGGGACTGGCGGGATATGCTGCGCCAAGGGTCGTCCTTGTTCAAGAATTACTTGTTCCAGAGAGGTAAGAGAGAGTGATGGCATACACTACCTTGAGCAGCTTGTTGACGTGGTCGGCGGCGATGCTCCTCAGCCCGGTCGGCATCTGCTCCGATTTGATCACGATCTGTGACAGAAAGCACGCGATAACATGACAACATCACAAAAAAACACTGTGAGAGTCGAGTTCGAACCCTTTAGGCGGCACGAAGTACACCATCCATCCCTGGTAGACAGGCAGAAGGGCGCCACACCGCACGTCGGCACACTCAGGCATCTGCCGTTGCCAGGGTCGACGCTACTGTACCCCCTCGGCGACTCTTGATGTCATGCAGAGCTAGGTGATCATTGGGTCTGGTTTGGTCTTCCTGGCGTGTATTAGTGTTGGACTCCCGTTAAACGATTGTTGATTCTTGTACGGGGCACGGTTTGGAGGCATCACACAAGTAACGCCAAGCATCAGGAGACTGCGATACATCTACAGGGTTGGTTCGTAGTTCGATGACGTCATGAAAGAACACGTGTTGACAACACACGCCCATGTAGGCTACGGTTGAGCTATCGCATGCTGCTGATGGCAAGGTGGTGGACCTCACCTGTATCTCAGGCAGTGGTTCTCCCTCCACTCGCTCCGTGGTGAGCTGCTTGAGAGCTTCTTGGGCCGCCTATGTCGTTGGCGCCAACGACGATCCGAATGCGACAGACCAAACGTAATCCCCCCGAAGAAAACCGTGAAAGGAAAGGACAAACAAAAGGGGGACCAATCACACACAGTCGCTTGGGAATCCACTGAGGATGCACGGAGATGTATTGCGCGCTACTTTGGCGAATGAACAAAGTTGGTGATTGAAGTGGAAAATCGTTCGTGAAATCGCTACTGCTGCAAAACCTATCATCAACCACCTGTTGTCGATGGAAACAAGGGTAAAATGCCGCAGACGAACAGAACAGAACATAACACTGTGGATTCAGGGAAGTACGGGCGATGGCGGCAAGTGGCGCGAGCTGTGTCGAGAGGCAAACACAGCAGTATCCATTACACCACCAATAGCCGACAGACCGAAACAAACATGTTGCCGATGCTGCAACAGGATCCAGCACTCCCAGTGTGGCCAATTAGTGCGGCACCGTACTGTTTTGTTGAGCATCGGCAAAGGCTGGAGACACGAACCTGCTCGAAGAGAGGCAGGTATTCCACCGGCCGGAGCGTGAGCATGTCCAGCAAGTCCGGCCGAAACTCGTTGACGTGGCCGAGGTTTACCTCCAGGTAAGTCTCGCGTTTGCGGTATCGCTGCAGGAGCTGCATACGTTGGCGGGAAATCAACGGCAGGAGGCGGCGTCGGGGAACGTGCCACCGTATGGTTGGTTTTGGGCGGCGTACGTGAGCATTTTCAGGTAGAAGAGGGTAGATAGATCTTGTTACCCGAAGAGAGGGACGCAAAAACTTCCCGTGTTCATGCATCTCACGGACCGCTGTTGGTTCAGCAGCGACACCTTGCGATTCTTCCAGAGGCTCACAACCTCGTCTTGGTGGGTACCACGTCCGAATCTCAAGTCTTATCGAGGAGGGATGTCTCGCCAAAGCATGAGAATGCACGTGTATACGCTTAAGCTACGTCCTTGGAATTGGCGGGATGCATGCACATGTATAGCCCCACACAGGCAAAAGGCGTTGTATTGTAGTAGACACAGCAGTACGCTGCCGTACAGTTACGCCTAGATGAAAAACATTTCCATGCGGTTTTCGTTCAAACTGTGCGCCGCATCGCTCGCGCGGTGATGATACCGACCAGTAGCTCTACAGAGTAGCCAACGATTGGACGGTTGCCGGATACCATAGGTGACTTGCTGCACAGGGCGTTGCCGGAATGTGGGCCGGTTTGATCTCACCAAAATGGACTACATGGAGGCAAGTTGTGTGTACGACATCGCAGAGTGCGCCTCGTGCTCCTTGCTCGACGTTCGTCACAAAATAGATGAGATACATATGCACCCCGTAAGCTCTTGAGAATCGTCGAGTTGAAGGGTTACAGCGTTATAACGTTAAACAGGCAGCAAGGCACCACGGCGCGAGACTGTCACAAACGGAAATGTACAGCAAGTACTGCTGTTAATTCACCTGATCGCGGTAAGGGAAGAGATTCCCCTCGCGGTAGCTGCGAATGAACTCGCGAAACTGCCGCTTCGCCTCCATGGCCGACATGTTTCCGTCATCAAGCCCATCGTCTTGCCCGGGGCCCGCGAGATTTTGGTTGGTGAACGTGATGCGATCCGCATCGTAGTCCATGCTGCTGCCGCCGCCGCCGCCGCCTTTTCAGATTTGAATTTGAAATGCGAAGAAAAACACAATCGCCTTTCGTCTTCGTTTTTTGCCACACGCGAGCCCGAGAGAGAACTAATCCTCAACAACCCGTGCGTGCACAACGAGGGAGATCGACAGGCGTGTGATTTGCTCTCTCGCTCGCTCGCTGTCCCTCTCTGCGTTTGATATCAAGCAGCAAGCCCTCGGTCAACTCCAAGTCAACTCTGGGCAGGGGGAACACGACAAAGATTAGAGATGGACCGACACACGCGGCCTCATCTTGGGATGGATTCCACGGAGCCTCTTGCGCAAGAAAAAAAAAAGACCAACTTATTGCCACACCACCAAAGCATTTCAACACACCATCACGGACAACGCTGCTCACCATACAGCCTACAGCCCATGTGAATGATAGCCAAGGACCCTGAGCTAGAGATGATGCGAGACGAGCTGGAGGATGTACGACGAGAGATCGGTTCGGTAATTGCCCAAATCGATACCGTCAGAGCAGATCTGAACGGCGAAGACAGGTGAGTTTTGTTTGCTTTGTTTCCCCTTTGGTTTGGTCGTTTTAGTTTGTGATGCGATGCAAAACCAACAGGTCAGCAGCAGTCGATGGCATTGCATCGTTAGGAAGCGGGCAGATGAACGCGTACATAACCAGGCGTTGATGCTCGTATGAGCAAACCACCCAACCAAGATAGAGGAGGACGTGCTGTACTTTATGCCTCAGGTGTTGAACATTAGCGGCGATGTACTACATGTACATGGCATTGCAGAGGCAGTGCCCGAGGACACAAGAAGGATTCGTATACGCATACATACAACTCTCGCTGTTGCTCGCTGTTGCTGACATTAATGAAAAGAAGAGTTTATTTCGTTGGCGGTATGACGGAACATCCGAAAGCAGCACAAGCCCCGTAGTTCCAGAGGGAGCGCTTGCCCGAGCGCACAGCACAGGAAAAGCAATCAATTGTTGCCTGTGCGCACTTTCTGAAGGAGATGGACAGGCCAGCCGCCGTCCCGCATTTTTTTCCGAGCAGCAAGAGCAGAAGGGTTGTAATGTTGTAACACGCAAGTGTTTTTTTTCCCGCCGCGGTTCAACCGTTCATTCATTATTCATCCCGTGCGAAAGTCCCTGTTGACTGTTGACCAGCCAATCGAACACGTTGTTGAATGCAACCTACCGGTGGTCATGACAAACTATCATAGGAACCCTTCACACAAGCGTAGCGTAATAGTAGCTAGCGTTGCCCAAGCGACCGCCGTGTCGGGCCGTTGCCGCTGGCGGTGTATGCAGTTAAATGTTTTAACTTCATTCATCATGTTTTCTCTGTGTTTTTCGCATTTGTATGAAGTGACAACGCTGAGGACCCCGCGGGTGACCGTTGCGCCCGGTAAACGACGCGCACCGTCGCTCCTACATGCGGACATGTATGTGCGGCTGGCTTCTGGTTCCCGAAAAGTAAACTTGGAATCTGTGCGACCCTGCCTCCCCAACGTCTCGTTAGATTATTGCGGCAGTACCGATTCTGTTCTTGACACTATTTAGGTCTCGCCCGTGTGTATGATACAATATTGTTCGTTTTGTATTTTTGATCGTTTGCGCGTAAACTCTGCTGTGGAATGGTCTGCAATGGTTGATCTTGCTGGGTGTCCCCATGGGCAGGACGGTTGGTGGCGTCTTTATCCTATGATACCATCATACAGCAGCGGTGCAGCAGTAGTGTCTTGGTTATTTTTTTTCATTGCTTCTGGGTGCATACAAGCAGATATCATCTTTCCAACCTTTCATCCACGCACATCCTCAACTCAACAGCCAAAACTTTCGGGCAAATGTCGTGCGTTGTTTTCTGGTGCTCTTTCACCCCCACAACTCCTGTGGGTGGTGGGTATTCTAGTGCATATGCATACCGAGGCCTAACCGAGGTGCGCCGCCGGACCACGTGCGAAGTGTGCGTTGCGCCAATGTTTGTCCCACGTGTCTGTAAGAAGAATGTGCTGCTGAATTCTCCCGCGGCTACACATGCAACCCTGTTGCAAGCTTACAAATCAACAAATCTTAAAGCTTACGAGTAGAGGGACCCACGGCTTGGCTGTCCCGCTCTTTCTCGGTGAACTCTCTGTCCTTCCCGCGAAAAGCACGACACCGCTGCCGCTGTATGCTTTCAATACATTTCAACATGAAAGCACTTCTGACAAAGTATGCTGTGCCGCCCGCGCATCATGTTCAATACATGCGCATCCGCGATCGATGATGATACTGCTTCAACGGACGACTACTGCTGTAGCAGCTGTGGTATCGAGTCCATGTGTTGCTGCTGTAAGCGGCGAGATCTCCGAAGGCTGGAGGACAGGCTGTGGCTCCGTCTCCACCAGCTGCAGGAAAAGGAGAACGAGCTCCACCGCCAGAGGACCGCCATCCTATCACAGCCACTCCTGCCAGGTGCGAACCGTTGAGCGTTGAATCATCTGTCCCGGCAAGAATTCCTACCTTGGTGCATACGCCACACTTGCCATGCCTACATGTATCTTGGATACAGCAGTGTCCGGGATGCCGTTTTCCGTTCTGTGGTTGGAAACAAAGGCCGAGCTGAGACGTGATCGCTCCGGAGACACCCATGTCTGACACAAACACGGGAGTATGCTAATGCCACGTGGGAATTCCAGCTCGCTCTGTTCGTGGCATCTTGAGAAACATATTGTAGGCGTTTCGTGGAACCGTCGGAACCAGCTCTTGTTGGACTTGAATTGAAGCCAAGGAATAAGAATAAGACGGGTGGTGTTGACGTGGACCCGTGTACGGTTGGTTGGTTGTATCGAAAGCACACTTGACTCGGCTCGTCTTCAGCCTCTCTTCCCGTAAGGACATGGCAACATGTGCTGCCGTGCCGTGCGCGGCAATGAACACTTTTTACACAGACTCGGATGACAAACAACAACTGCTGGGAGTGTCCTACAGCAGGATATATGCACACTCAGCAGTAGCAGTATTGTAGCAGTACTGCCCCGTTGTTGAGAAAGATGTGCTATCTGTTGCGATTAGTCGACTCTAACAACTTTCTGAAACAAATGCAAAGAAATTGCGGTTACAAAGACACGCGGTTCAATGTTGGATCCTGCACAACTTGTCCCTCAGGAAGTTACAGAGTTGGTGTACACTACTGCTGTACCAGTACATCCGCTAGACGGTGGCGACGAAATAACGAATTACAAACTGAACCTCGACCCCGAAATTGGCGATTACTGCTGGATGCATATGCGTACGTGTTTCCGTTTCTTCATCAACGGTCCGGTGGACACAACATGAGGGTCGGTCCAACGGTGCATATTTATGAACAGTACAGCAGTACGTTTCAACCGCCGATAACGCACCAGTCACCGACGCACTGGGTGTCATGCGTGACCTGTGTTGGCAATTTCGGTATCCTGCAACTGGCCAAGATGGCATCGAGACGGCTGCAATACATACATACAACATACCGCGATACCAGCACCTGCCCACCTCCAGCCTTGATACAAGTACTCCTTACCTCTTCCCGTGGTCTCTGTCGAGCGCTTGTTGTGTGCGTTCAGTTTGCAGCATCAGATATATTGTAGAATATATACGCGTTCATCAACTTGGGTACCGCCAGTGTGCTCAAGGGTTGTCGCCTCCAATATGGCATCCCACCGGTACACCGCCCCTGCCTGTTTTCCAGTCCCAGCCACTGGGGCAAATACTTGGCACAGAAACATTTTTGAGAGATTACCGAAAGGGCAAGTATGCATACGTAAGATCTGCCATGTAGGATACCTATAGTGTGTAGACTGCTGTGGCTTCTTCGTCCTCCGCCCTCCCGGAGCCATTGATCAGCAAATTGTTTTCCCGGTCATTGAAGGCTAGGGCCCTTGACTCTATTTTGGGAACCTGTTGGCGCGGTTAGCGCAGATGATACGTGCAACGAACAAGGGCCGCGGACGGGGGAGGCGAAACATATTACTACTGCTGCTTGACCCTACAGCCATAGCTACTGCTGTAAGTTTAGCCAAAGTTACACACGGACAGGCTATGGCACACGCACTTGAGATGTCTTGTGAATGTAAATGTATGCACCCGGCTTCAACGCTTTGTGCAGAAAGTTCAAACGTCAGCGCTTTCCGACTTGAACCTTAATCTACGTTTTTCTTTTCTGCTGTACACCAGCTAAAGAGCTCTTGGTATGCGTTTTACGCCTGCAGCTTTTCCTCTCATTTACCCGTTGCGGAGGTTGAGTAAGACCAAAACATCGGATGTATGCTGTACGTAAAAAAGTGACTTCCAACTTTCCCCCACCGCCGGGTATGTGTATGTTACAGCCCGCGACGTTCTCCTCCCGAGCGCTCTATTGTTCTCGAGCGCAACGCACGCAGAAGCTCCTCGCCATCTGACTTGTACATGTCTTGGAAGACACCGGCATCGCATGCCGCTGCAAACCAAGCCTACAGCAAAGGACCGTAGTGCCTGCAAAGTTTTCCCGCGATCCGTGCCCGGGACGTGGGTGTGCTCCGAACAGCAATGCCGCTTGATGTGTTCCGCGAGTTGTTTTCTGTCTCCCTCTGCCAAGCACACGGCAGAGGTACAATATGTAGCAGCACACAGCCAGAAAACATAAACTCATGGCTTGGCTACGCGGGCACGTGACCGTTGTGCCGAATCGATATTGATCGCCGAGGTTTCCGTTCTCTCGCGGTTAAATCGTTTGTCAGATGTCCTGGGGAAAGGGAACATCCAACAACGTGTTGGTGACACAAGCACACAGCAGTTCTCCAACTAACCTCTTGTCTCTTGATTGCCGAAGTGTGTGTACTCCGGAAGTACCCACCGACCGTACCACGTACAGTACGTACAGATGTTCAGACCTACGGTTGAATGGTACAAGTACCTTTACGAAGCCGGGATTGATCGTGCCTACTGTTTGAGTGTTCGCCAAACCAGGCAGGCATTGCTACTGTATGCAGAGTAGCGCGGAGCACGGCCAGGCTGGGAGGAGAGGATTAAAATTGATGTATGCATACCATGCGGGCCGCGACCTGGTGTTCGATCCGTGCTTCTGAAATGTATCTTATGTATGCATGCATACGTCTATCCTCCCCCTCCCTCTAACTTGTTGGGACTTTCACAAGCGTACAGGGAACCCCGATTCGACCCGTCGAACCAACCGCTTCCCTCTGTTCTTCTCCCGGCATAACTTGTAGGTGTAGGTGTGTCATGCCCGACAGGCAGAGGCACCTCCGGAGGCGACCCGCTATCACCATCACCATCGCTACTGCGACAGCAACCTCCCCCGGTATCACCAGAGGCTCCAGATTCTCCACCCTGGCAGCAGCAGCAGCAGCAGCAGTGCCCCCTGCTTCCGGACCGACGTCGGTTGGTGTCTACCTCAACGGCAGAGAATCACGTGGCGTTGCCCCCGCGAGGCAGTGCTTCAGAAGCGGGGGCGGCTCCTGCTCCGCGGATGGTTCAGGCGTCCAGCCAGCGGCAACCCGTTCCGGCCACACGGCCGACAAGTCTTCGGAGAAGACCCTGCAGGCCGGGCTCTGCAGAGGACACGGGTTCTGGTGCAGAGTGATTCAACGGTTAGAGACATGCTGGAATTCCGGCGTTGATTTGATGGAGCTGCTGTCTTCTCTTTGAGGTATCATACCCTACACTGTGTGGCATTGCCTCCTGTGTATGTTGTCCTCGCCGCCGTTTTACAGGACAAAATTGATGTTGAAATGAGTGCTCTCGACGGTGGATTCAAAATGACATGGCTGTTGACGCGTGGGCTAGACATAGTAATGCTGTATACTGTACACACAGACGATGGGAAAACGAAACAGGGGGTGGGTGTCGCGGTGAGGTACTAAAGTACATACGGCGAAGAGAGTTTGGCCGTTGACTTGCTCACGATGAGGAAGACCTTAGATTTGTGGATTTTTTTTTTTTTGTGGTTCGGAAATTTAGATTTGTCTTCGTGCGGAGCGCTGAAGGTCGAGTGGGTGGCGGTCGACTATCGAGCCACGATATTCAATGCGGTGCTGTTTTAGCGCCTGTGCGCACCTGGCCTGGTGTATCGCTGCACAATTGTTGTATCGAGGGCTTGTCCCGGTTGGGGGGGGAGTATTCTGTTTGCTCCACCGGCGTTTCTTGAGGCTAATTGTCCTCGTGTAGTTGGTTTGCGTGTTTGGCGTTAGGTGTGTATGTGCCTCGTGCCTCGTCTTGTGTGCCCCGTCGTGTGTTCGATGGCCTCGTGTACATGTGCTCAGCCGTTTTTTGTTTTTTGTTTTTTGGCGTGTTGTATTGTTGTCTTCAAGAATGTTTCGTGATGTACAATATAACGGCAGCTTGGCGTCCGGTGGGCGCTCTCTCCTACCAAGTCGATCTACGTCCGCTTGGAGATATCATCGTGGTTGGTTTGCCATCGCTCTATTGTTTGGTAGATGAGCCTCCGGATCGCTCCGAAGACCACCACGTTTGTTGTCCGGCTTGAGGTTTATTTCGTAACAGTTAAGCATAGCTCAAGATGTTTATGGTGCGTGTGTACAAATAATATTTGGTCCGGCCTGCCTGACTCGTGTATATTTTAGGTTGGGATGTTGCTTCTGTTGTATTAGTGTCATGTCACAAGATTTTTGTTTCGAGCATCTGGTGTTATCTATACAATACAGCTTGGTCAGTCGAGCTTTGAACAAGGCCTCCCACTAATAGTCGTCTGAAGGAGGCGTCGAGCTGACAATGATGGATGGAAGTTCAGTCTGCCCACCACGCATGGAGAAACACCCCCGATCTTTTAGCGAAATGCAGCTCTATTTTAGTGGAGCACCAACAGCTGTAGACGTCGAGTTCACTTGACAAAATCGTTCAATCTGCCCAGAGATGTTGCGTGCAAAGCGGCCAGGCAGAATTCTACAACCGTCTCCCCGAGGTTCGCGTGACGCCTACTTAAAAAACGTCTCTTCATTAATCACGCATTCACTTCATTAGAGAGTAGAAAACAACAACAACGTGTGGCTCTCGACTCGAAAAATAGTACCACCGAAAAAAAAAAACGTCCTGTTATTGCGGCGCCTGCTGCTACCACGTGCTGTAATGGAAAGGAGTCACCCACTCGTGGAACGGCACTCTACTCTACTTGAAATAGCATCCGAGGAGCAAAGAAATAGCGAACGAATGCTTGCTGTGCTGCTGCTGCACGCAGTGGAATGTCACCCGTTGCTAGGGTGATTCGTCGCATGTGTTGAGAACCGTTAGTCCTGTCTAGACTCCCCCCCACTATCTGTAAGCTGCAGTACATTGGCATTACCCCCCCGCCCCCCCCCCCCCTCAACCGTCAACCGCACACACACATGCACTGCTCGCTCTCTTCACACTTGTCTTTCATGTGGACGGTGTTGGATAGCTTTCCAACCGCAACGTGTTCAGGTGGAGACGAAAGGATGCTCGCTGCTCGACGTGACCACACCCGCCAAGAAACATCATCCCAAGATCATTATCATCCCTTCTTTCCTACACTACCCACTCTCCAGGCGGCAGGCACCCTGTGGCATTCCTGCAAAAGCAACCCCATATCCGTCTACGCACGAACCGAACGAGCATACGCTCCGAAACTCCTGCACAAAAAGGCTACCCTCCGTCTACAACTGCTGTAGATGGTACCCAAGATGGTGTTGCATCCCGCATCGCGGCAACGCCTGTCATGTCAGTCATGAGAGTGACTTTCATCAGTCACACCACAAAGGGTCGAGCCCGTGTCCGTCTACGCTACCCTCCAGAAGCTGTCTACCCGATGCGATATGAGCTCTTAGCTTAGTCGTCTTCCTCGTCGCTGGAAAGAAACAAGAGCAACAAGAACAAGGGTAGGTGGACAACGGGGCGAAGCATACGTGCGTGAACGGCGGGAGCAGGGAAGAGAAGCAAAGAGAGCTTCACACTTGTATGCTCAACAGTTTGGGCCTGACCGATATCAGTATTGGCGGGACGAGCTTCACCATGGTATATTTCTTCCGCACACCCGAAACCGTGCAAAATCGTCAACCTAAATGCAGAAACAAGCACTTTTACTCGATTCGGATCTTCGACGTCATGGGTATCGGCGCTTCGTTTAACAAGATTGATCACGGACTTGGCTTGCCGGAGGGCACCGATGTTCGTCACCGGGTTGTTGGTTAGCCAGAGCCACCAGGATCGGGGGCGTCACGGCAGTGCTATACATACCTCTAGGCACCACAAGAGGCCCTGGACAGGAGCGCTATGAACCACGTGTTTGCGGCAAGGGTGGAAAAGGAGACGTTTATCTAACTACCATACCACCGAAGAGGCTCTACGGCAACTCAAATTTGTCCCGCAATCGAACCATAACAGAGGCAGCCGCAGCACACGACGACGAATAAATAAGCAGCATGGTGGGAGGGTCGACATACCCCTGCCCGTGCGCGTACAGGTCGACCCTCCGACCACGTGCACGCCACGCACCTCTCGTCTTCGCTGTCACTGCCGCTGCCACTGCTGTCGCCTTCCTCCCCGTCCCCGATCGTTTTTTGTGCTCCCCCGTCCTGGCAACGGATCGAGTACACGATACAGCAGACAAAGACACCGCCCGGATGGTCATACGAAGCGAGGGCAGACGGGTGTGAATCAGAGATAAATCCAAGGGAGGCCAAGGCAAGCAGGTACATGGCATCACGGCATACTCAGTAGTCGGCATCGATGCAGCGCGGTGTAGCCGAACACGAGGCGAAACTGAGGACGTGACAAGGGTGGCAAGATTTAGTCAAGGAGAGCAGACGAAAAATCTTCCTCGCAACGCACACAAATGTCTTCCTCGCACGTGTGTGTTTTTCAGTCTCAGATGTTCGCGCAGTCCGTTGTGCCCCTCTGCCCCTTTTCGCGCGCAGAAGCAACGTGTGAATTCCTTCGCATACCGTATCCCCACGCCCGTGTTTCGCTACACGTTGCCTCTCCGATGTCCGCTCCAACCCTACCTAGAACATAGATGAGGTAGCGACGTTCTACTCATCGACTCATGCCCATCCCATCATTCCACATGGCGGGCAACACAACGAGAACTGGCCGAGTCAGATAGAAAAATGGTTGAAGTTCCTACAACAAAAAAACACGCCCTGGGAGCAAAGTGAGTATTGACAATGAGCATGTAGCCTCGGAAAGTTTTCAAGCGTTGCAACCAACACTCGCCATGTCCTCTCTTGCTCTTGCTCTTCTCTTTTCTTCTGTTCTCACCTCATCCTCGCTGTCAGTCTCGTCGTCGTACGCCTGCATGACCTGCTCGAACAGCGTCGGCTCGTTGTCCAGCTCAAGGTCGTCCGGGTGGGGCTCGTACTGCGGGAGGTTGGCGGCGCTAACCACCTCGAACTTCACGGCGTGCTCCTGGTCCAGGCCTACGTAGCTGTCGCTCTTCACGAACACGTCCAGCTTCACGGTGCCCGGCTTGTTCGGCGCCATCATCTTTACCTGTCGTTTTTTATTACGGACGGTGGATTGAACGGGTCGCAGTATAATATAGGTAGCACCGTCCATCCAGAGTCAGGCTCCAACTATACCAGCAAAAACGGATTGGGCAACAAGCACTTGTTGCATGGCCAGCACTGGTATCATGCTCGTCACGGGTCGAGAACCGACCTCATGTCACACACACGGCCACACAATGCCCCTACCCCATGTAGTACACACGCAATGCACAGCAGTAACTCTGACACGCACCTCCTTGGATACAACGCGGCCGTTGTCTGCGATGCGCTCGAAGCTGAAGATGGTCTTGCGGTTGATGTCCCCGACCAACACCCACCACCCCTCATCGGCGAAGACAGGGTACTTAGGGGCGTACACCGGCGGCACCTTGCTTCCGTCTTCCACGTTGTTGCGGGTGAGAGTCACCTTCATGTTTCGTTTCGTTTCGTTTCGTTTCGTTACCAACCGAGGAGGAGGGAGGGGCACGGAGAGTGTGAATGCGACAGAGGTTGGTTTTACACGCAACAGAGGAAGAGATCGACAGATCCAGAGAGAGAGAGAGAGAGAAAGGCAGGTTTCTATGGAAGGGAAGGGAAGGGAAGGGAAGGGAATGAAGTCACTATTATACCCATTTCGTGCCGTCAGCTAGCCAAAAGCCCGTGTCATAGTAGGCTTGCTGCTCTCTGCAACGACAAAAAACGATACTTTTGGTATTCGTGATACACCCCCCACCACCGTCGCCCGTGTCCCCTGCACTACGTCTCTCTCTCGCGACTCCGTTCAGGTCAAAAACGTCCATGCAAATATCGTTCGTGGTTCCTCTTGACCATCTTACGTAAAAACTCAGGTTAACGATAGGGCAGTACAAAATCTGAGTTCCACAGACTATCTGGCACCCGTTGAACCTCTCCCTATAGGGGTTCGTGTACGGTACATATTGCTCAAGCTTGAGCACTTGGGCTCTCACACCTTGATGGTAACCAAGTCGTTCTCCGCAATCTCCGACTCGTCCTCGACGAAGATGTCGACCTGCACGGTTACGTCCGGGATGATGGAACACACGCGGTGCACCTCCTCCTGCTGCTCCGGCGTAAGCTCGTCCAAACCCTAAATACACCACAACACAGCAAGACACCAGGGTGGCAGCGGCACCGTAGGGTGGGATGAGTAGAGTCTTGGGGGGTAGGGCGGCCATAGATGCAGTGAAGGTGGCGGGTAGCCCTACTAGGCCCATTCTGGTCCTGTTCTTCTTAAGTATGCTCGTTGGTTCTGCTACTTGTTGGCCGTCATGCCCTCAAATATGCTCGTTATTTTGGGCCAGTTTCGCTCTTCTATGCTACTTTCGGGTGGTTAATTTATGCACTCACGCCTCACGTCTTACGTCTGCTTGTTTTCCCGTCAACGGCCAGGTGTGCTCATAAATGCCATTCTTGGGTGAGTATATCCTCACTTATGCCTCTTTTGGCCAAATGCACTTTTTCCTCCTTTGCTTCCTAGATGTCTGCTCGGTGCCTTATCGACCCCCCACTTAATCCCCCAGTGCATTGAAGTGTCTCAAAGCCCCAAGTCATGCCCACATATTCCCTTATTGAGCGACCTCCTGCACATCTTGGAGCCTAAACGCTAGTAGCAAAGTAGCATATGGCATATCTGCTCTTTTCCATGCTTGTTGTGCTCCAGGAACAGGCTGTTGTGCTCGAGCAGATGTTTGAAGTGGTTCTGCTTATGCCTATGCTGCTTATGGCCAAATCTGCTCTTTCTTCTGAAAGCAGAATGGGCCTAGGCCTAAATGGCGGGACAGCAGCATGGCCAATAGTGGTCTCTTATTCTACTATTGGTATGTTAGTAGTAGTACATTTCAGAAGCATGCCTCAAGCAGATCTGATGATCGGCGACGGCCCCAGGATACACACGTGAGCATACCAAACCAACCCTTTGGCGAGCGCAGCCGTCGCGGGATGAAAGGAAAAAGTAAAAGGCGATTCCAAAAAAGTTGGAGGAGGGGGTTGTGCCGAATATGGATACCGAAGCGCTGGCAAAAGCTCGCGCAGAGATAACGTATGACCTACCAAGATGACCCATGTTCTATGTGGATAAGTCTTGTTTGTGTATTACTACCTTGCGCTCCTCTCGCGGCAGCTTGATGTACTGCGCGATCCCCTTGACGGCGGGCTTGCCAGGCACGCTGGTGGTACAGATGGTCCTCGCCTCCGCTTCCCCGATGTGCGGTAGCTGCAAGCGGGACACGGCATATCCGGAACCGAATCAAGAACAAGGTAAAAACAGACAACGGGCAACAAAACCGGCATGATGAGGGCGAACAGACGGCAGCCGGGATCACAGCAAACGTGATAGACCTTAACCAACAGCAGACCGAACAGCTGACCAATAACGGTTGGTGTTAACTGGGTGAGAGCAACATAAAGCAGCGCGGGGCGATAAAAAGGCCGACATCGCCGGGACGAGGGTCAAACCTCACCCTCATATACCCATATCAACGCCTTCAGAAAATGCTTGTGACTACGAAACTTTCGATTCGTATTCTACGTTTAGCATCAACCGTGTTGGCCAGTTTTGCCTCGTGACTCGTGACGCGAGAATACTGTACTATACAATCCCACAACTCTTTTCGACGTCGGTGGGAGATGTAACGTTTTGCCGGCAACTCTCAGCTTCATGCTGCATGATGACTTCACGCTCGCGGACAGCAACACACCCTTCCGCAAAGCTACACATCGCCAGTCGAGCATGCGCGTGGGCGCGATCACCAGTAGCGTACATGGCGCGAGGATTGGCGCCAAGGAGACGCAAGCAAGCATCAACCAGCACCAAATAACGGTCACCCCCAAGGGTTGCTTGCCCCCAGGCGAGAAGATGAAACAACTCGCTCAGCACAGTTCACCTCTGCACCTTCAGCCCTCTGCACCTATCCGCCTACTCCATGCATACAAATCTGTACCTGGAGCAATGTGTTGTCAGAGAGCCAGAGGCCTTGGTGGATGTACTGGCTGAAGTTGATCACGTAGATCGTAGTGTTCAACCATCGGCGGCTGCAAGCTAGCTCGATCATAGCCTCGATCAGGTCTGGAGTCTTGATCAGCATAGTGTCCAGGTTCTGATAAAACGAAAAAACGAGGAACAGGTAACAAAAAGTTCAATCATCATGAAAAAAAAAGACGAAATATTTGTGTCTAAATAGTGGTTGTGTCATCCCCATCCCCTCGTCGCCTTGGGGGGGAAACCTGATGCGCCTCCTCCTGGCTATGTGCAGCTTAGCGAGAGCCTTACGATAATCTGCAGCGTCTCACCGTCTTCGTGTTACGGATGGAGAACCATTGTAGGAGTAGCACAAGAATCTTCATCGCATCAAATACGCGGTAAAACTTTGGTTCTCCCGACCGATACCCTCCCACTATCCAATCTCAACACACGGCACCTAAACGCCGGTGTCAAGTACAACACTGAAGAGGTACCAGCATACGTCTCACTTCATGCCCATATTGCTGTCACACGGCGATACTTTTCGATGCCTCAACTCCAAACAAGTAGATCACTGGGATCTACCGTCTGTACCAAGTGCTGAACGCTCTATTCTATATGCATCCAATTCATCCTCACCTTCTTGAGCTCAGGGCTCATCGGCTTCTGCGCGAGGTGCGCGAAGACTTGAACGGCTCCCTTTTGGATGACGGGATGGTCGTACTTAGGCTTGGGCATCAACGTGCTTTCCTGCTCGTGTGGGTGATCGTTGCAGAGTGTCGAGGTCAAAACAAGGGAGGATGGGGCAGAGAGCTCAACTTCAGATGGTTGCTCTCCGTGGATTTACGTAACAATAGTAATACATACTGGTAGTGGTTACAAAACATCAAAGCAACGATCCAAAGGCTAAAAGAAAGAAGTCTATCGATAAGGTATGCGCACAATTGGGACCGATCCACGACAGGCGAAAAAACAAACAATACGGCAAAGAGCGATCGACCCGCTTAATCCGGCAAAAAAAAACAAACGAAAGTGATGGCGATGGTGAGAAAGCACAGCCATGACGGAGAACATGCCTAGTCGTCGAGAACGAGGGACAGAGGCAGTGAGAACAGCACGCGGGGACAGGACACAAGGCCAGAGGCGATGCACTCACTACTAACCGCGATGCAGCAGCTCAACATTACGGAAACCAGAGGTGCGCGCACAAAACAAAACCAAATCAATGGCTGGCAAGGGTAGCGAGTGGTATGCATACGGTACAAGATGGTTGCCGAGGGACGAGTCATGCCATCATACCATGCCATGCCACGTCCAACGAGATACGAGATGGTGTCGCGCCTCAACCCCTAACCCCACCAGGTCAACCTTACACGAATCCCTCCACGAAATAAAACACAATACAGTACAATGTACCACATCGCAAGAACCAGCAAACGACACAGCAGAAGCCCGTACGGTCAGCAGCGACCACTACTGCAGCTGCAGCTCCCGCGTCGAGTTCCGATAAACACCCCCCCCACAGGTTCCGGCGTGTCAAGTAGCTTCGTACGAAGAGTGCTTACCCTGTAGAGCTGTCGGTACAGCTTAGCCACTTCCTTCGTCTCCATAGGGCGGTCCTTGTCCGGGGTGTTGAGAGCGCGGAACTCAGCCGAACCAGCCAACACCTACAAATAGACGGCAGGCACGACCCACACGCACCAAAGCAAGAGAAAAAGGGTCAAAAGCTTGAGATCGGAAGAAACAACGCGTGGGATTGTCCGACAACTGGACGATCTTCTTCCTGCAGACAAGGGTATATGTACCGAAAAGTAGGAGTACACGGCAACGTCAACGTCGAGCCAGCATCGTGACCACAGGGGCACAACCAAAACCGTCAGGCAGGTTCGGCCAAAAACGAAGCAGCCAAGCGCGCTACACCAGCAGATGGGCGCCACCATCACGCGACAAGCTACCAAAAGCTAGGCAGTCCCCAATGCTGCTTGCACTACATACATGCGCCGGGCTAGAGGCGACTAGCTTCTAAGCTGACCCGACACAGTCAGCCAGTCAGCCGGTCATTCCCTCCTGTGTTCGCGAAAAGCCTATATTTCGCCCGCCCATCGCAACTGGGTCGGTTTCCTCCTGGCACACCATGTCCGCGGCAACAGGTGAAACACAAGCACACAACACATGGTGGTATTAATGCGTCGTCGAACGGGTGAAATCAGTTACGCGCATGTACCTACCTCCGGCATGTTCTTCATCACGGATGAGTCGCTGAGCATGTGGTTGTACCAGGCGTAGCTGTCGTACATGACGTTCTTCTCGCCGTACTTCTTGGACCGCGCGTACCACATGGCCACGATGGCTGACGGCCGTTCGTGCAAGCAAGCAAAGGGGAGACGAATGGGTGCACATCAAAATGACTGAGGCAGGGGCAGTGGAAGGGTGCTTCAAGAGGAAAGGGTCAAACAGGGAGCCGCCCGGGGGGGTGTTTCGCGTTATTGCCTTGCCGTGGACGAGTCTTGCGTGCACGTGTCTAGGGAAAAGCACCACGATGGCGATGTACACACCAAAATGTACATCACGATTGACCAAGACCAAGCACGGTTAGTCCATACAAGTGGTCCCACCCACACAAAAACGGATGTACTTGCAGAAATGTTCAACGCGAATCTGCACGCAAGCGCAAGTACAACCCTGAGTGGAATAAAAAATGACACCGAAGGTGTTGTGCGCTAAACTCATCATGAATCCGTCTATGTCCAACATGGGCGCCAGACGGCACCTGTAGGCAATTGCAAAATGGCATACTGAACGCAGCAGCCGGGGTTACACAGCAGGAAGGCCACACAAGCTGTTCGTCATTTCTCCGCTGCTTGCCTCAATTCGTTCATTATCGCGAGATTGTAATGACTTCCAATACATGCCTTCGAACAGCGTACTGCAAAACCGTGGTGCTTGTCACGGCGCCTTGCTTGCTCACATGGAATGATCACCACCATGGCGATGAGGTAGATGATGAGGATGGTGTTGTGGTGCTCCTTCTCCAGCAAGAAGGTCGGTAGAGCGATTGACACCTCCATGGGCTGCTTGCCGTCGGGGTTGCCGAACTTTCGCCAGTTGTCCATTGCCTGTCGATCCAAATTTCAAGCGTACATCCCACGCAATGTTTTTTTTTTCTTGGTAACAGATCGGCAGCCAGTCAAAACGTCAGAAACGAAGGCGGGCGCCAATTGGTTGGGTGCCATCGGTCTGTACGGCGGGCTATAACTATTAGTTTCAGAATCACGAAATCACAGCAGGGATCAATGGGCACGTGGCTGGCAATCCTGAGCAAGCATCATCCAACAAAACTCAGGATCCGCCAAGCGATGAATTCACGCTTGGCTGCCGCCGTTTGTATAAAATCAATGAAAGCAGCGAGTCTTGACGTTTTCGAAGGAAAGGGTGTCTGTGAACCGCATCAAGGGTCAACATCCAGTCGACGCGATGTATAGAGTAGAGGGCGAAAGAGATGCTCGCCGGCACCTCCACGGCTCCGCGGCCGAACAGAATAATATCAACAGTGGCAGCACGAGGAGTCTCTCATCACCCGCCGTCCTTATTTTGCCTCACCGTCTGGTCGGTGAGTGCCTCGTAAGCCTTGGCGATCTTCATGAACATGTCCTCTGCCACCTTGTTGTCAGGGTTCTGTTGCCGAGAGAAGAAGCACGTTCAACATCATCGAAACGATACAAAAAGTAAGAAAGTCACCGTCAGATCGATCGCCATCAGACGTGAGCTCGGCAGAGCTTACTGTCAGCACAGCGCGTGCACTTCCCATTTCGACATACACATCCTCTGGAGAAAAAACATGTATGGTCCTCGTGTGCTTTTCACCATGGCAGCTGGCAGAAACCGCACAGCCGTGTGGCATGGCCGCACGCATAGCCGACATCATCTTCTCTGGTACCCAAGAACTACCGCTGAAACGCCCACAGAAAGCACGCCAAATTTGGCTTGTCAACGTCCTGATGTTGCTGGCGCATCATCTGTAGCCGTCAAGCGGCAATAGCGCAGCCAGCCACTTTTGACGCACCGATCTCTCAAGCAACCACAAAACAAGCGCGACGTTTGCACACGAATGGAATTGCCGAGTATTCGCGAGCGATGGAGTGACCGGAGTGATGTGAACGACAAGCACTCACCTTGTCCGGGTGATAGATGAGCGACAGCGCCCTGTACTGCTTCTTGATCTCCCGCGCCTCCGTGGAAGGCGTAACCCCCAAAATCGCGAAAGGATCGAATCCCTTGATCTCCGCGTCATCAGTCATGGAGTACAGGAGGTAGAAGAAGCAAGCCCACCCTGGGATCAGGGTCAATACCTGATCGGTTCCCGATACATAGATACACATCCGGTAACCACACGGAACGAATGGGCGTGAAGTGTGATTTTGGGAGTGCGAAGCGCAGCAGCTTACGGTGTTCCACGGGGCACATGTGATATTCGGTGACTGCTGATTATTGACCGGTGCGAGGTGAGATTTACCATCACCAGAGAACATGGTACTTCTATACCATGATCACTGACCTCAGCATGACGTACAGACACGCGCAAGTCACAAAGAAATGGTGGTTGATATGCATATGACCACTTCGCACAGAACACCCTCCCACAAACGACTATGTGGTTTACTCCATCCTGACATGAAACTGTTCAAATAATAACTCTGGTTCTGCCTCTGTCTGTCCTCTTTCGTCATCTGCCTTGTGGACGCCTCTCCGAGAGCCCAATACAGCACCGGACAAGGCGGCATTGTTCTTCCCGTTTTGCTGTACCTTGGTGACGAAAGACCATCGCCACAGCACCGACAGCCCCGCTTTGTCCTTCTTCATGCGTGTGCACTTGGTCTTCTCCGCGCCGGTGCGGGCATCGACAGCTCCCCGCGCCGGGATGATCGCGCGCAAGATCTGGCCAACACCCCCGGTAACAGCGAAGGTAGTAGATGTCAAGGTTGACCAATTACATTCATTCGCACACGTGCAATCTCTTGGCCGGCCTTACTTACGGCCTTAATTAAGACTGGGGGAATAAACAACGGGATCATGGTATCCCTAGCACGGGCACTGCTGCACCTCTAGACTACTACTGTCTCTGTCTCCAGGGAAGCAACCGGCATCGATCCAACGGCGTTTTAGACGGCTGTCATGATCAACATTGTATCATGCAGCAGTGTAGGGAACATCTCCAACACGTGGATCAAAAACTACTAAATTGTACAAAATAGTAAACAAAAATGCCAACGAAACTATCTCGCTCTAAAGCGCACCTGCTTCAGCGACACGAGTGTCACCGGGACCAGGTAGATGCTAATGAGGCTCAGGGTGAAGTAGTAGAACGCGCTGTTGTCATACTCTAACATGGTTGCCCTCGCCGAGCGGGCCGCCTCCCCAAAGTCTCTTCACGTAGGAGCTGCTGCTCGATCCAGGACTCCTAGAGTAGATCCAAGTATCCGCAAAGGTCGGGGTATGTAGCAGCGCGTCGACAAGTGGCGTACAAGCGAAGCATGGCCGTAAGGAGGGTGGTGGTGTGTGTGGTGAAACAGAGGAAACAGCCAAGCGCGGCGTGATGTGCACGGAGGAAAGCCAGCAGCCGTTGCTTTGGTTTTTTTGGGGGTCTTCGCACACACACATACATCGAGACGGCAGCAACATCAGCAGGTACGGTAGTCAGTGTATTCTTATTCCATGCTGAGGTGCGCCATTTCTCGTGGTGATGCAGAAAGTACATGGGAGAGCAGTAGGTCTTCGCTGGCAAAGAGATGGGCGCGGGCAGCACAGGGGTGCACCCTGTTCGCGTCGCGTCGCTACCGGCATGCACAGGCCTGCACACACCGTCCTGCTCTTCTCGATTGTAACAGCAACAAACGCCGATCGCAGTAACACCCTGAGCATGCTCGGCCAACAGCAACCTACCCATACCAACTGCAGTGTAATTGGCGGGCAACACCAGACGACACCTTCGTCCCTCGGCCCTACTTGTAGTCTCAAACCACCGACTGCGTGAGTAGTGCACCTCATCACCCCGAGTTGCGTCAAATCGCTGACGGCCTCACACATGCTCTCTCACCTCGGGCTCCAGAATTTGCTGCCGACTGACCTCTCCAGGAGGGCTACGCTACAGGCGCGTTTCTCTCCCACGCTCACGTGGTATTCTCGGCTCTCCAGCGCTCGGGAGACGATCCCTCAACTAACTCACTAGCTCTCGGATAGAGAGCTGTACGACACGCGTCCCAATAATCTCCGCGACCGGGGGGGGGCACGCAGAACATCATGTAAATGGTGTTTGGGTAGGGTGGGGGTACCGGGTAGAGAATCCTGGACAATTTGCTTGTTGATGGTCTTGCATACACCACTACTGCTGTGCTTCTCGTTTGGTACTTAGCCGCGTAGGTTCTTTTCAGCCCTCTAAGACAAAGACAGTGTTTTGGTGTGTTGGATTGATTAGCATTTGCAGCAACAGACCGTAAGGGTAAATGTTACATATGACCACCGTAGAAGACAGTTACTTATATATATGAGTGGTTCTCATGAAAACACGTGCCGTCCGCGGAGAAACTAAATAAAGCAAAGATCCTCCGTCTTCCATCGATCTCTCCGGGAGGTTCAATTTCACAATACCAAACAGAGATTTCCTCTGAGGGGGACCTCAAAGAACTGCTGTAGTTAATATTGTTGAAAGCAAGCCGACGAATATCGTCGGCGTTGCTAGTCCCAAGCTTTTTATTTTTATTTTAGTCGCGTGTTGCGCGTGTGTGTGCTGACACCATGAACGAACGGGAAGGACCTTAATTAGCCGACACACTACGCAATAATGGTCGTGATGGACGCGGGTACGCAATAAAAAAACAACACATACATCCGATCCTCGGGAAACACGAAATGCAACGTCTACATACAAACTGTCTGTCCCTTGTACACACGGTAGGCACTCTGTCTGTCCCTTTAACACGGTACGTACTGCTTTTGCCTACCACTCTCGTCCTCTCGCCCGCATCAACAACAAACAACGCAACTTGCCGCACACCAAGAGCCATCCCTGCAGGAAAAGCTGTACAAACAAGCAAAAAGCAGCTCCTGCTGCTGTAAGCTGCTGCTGTATGTACCATTTTTCAGCACGCACGAACAACAGATACAGCACAGGCGAAGGAGCTGAGTCTGCCTGTCTGTGTCTGCGTCGGCGTGGTGAGTAGGGGTGGGTGTGAGGTATCGATAGAGTAACGACAGGATGCTTTGTTTTTTTTTTTCTTCTTACTATGACACAACGAATCCATCTCCATCATAGAAAAGAGTCTGAGACAGATTAGCAATGAATTCATTGTGTATGGCATCTCGACGAGTATCGTCGTCAACAACAACAACAACAACATTTAAAACTGAACTAATGGGTGGTGGGCGGATGACCGGCGGACCCCAAAAAGCAAGCTGAAAAAAAAATAAAATATTGACTGTGTGAAGAAAAAAAAGAAAAAAAGAAGGGACGACAAAGACAAGTGAGCCAGACGCGACAGGCTTCAGGGAGGTGGCAAAAGATAGCATACGAAAACCACCGTCGCCGCTCTGAACCGCTGGAAGCTGTCACATAGCACAGCATGCAGCAAACAGTATAGGGGCCATGCCCCCGTTGCTTCAAGTAAAGAGGCAGCGCCCATCGCCTCACATACAGCAGCCGGGTACGTACTACACAAATAATAATAGCCTCTTACTCAGCAAGAAGCAAAAAACGATTGCGGTTGACGTTCGATGTTGTTGGGACCCCAACGGCGATAATAGGCGAGAGAGAGACAGGTGCTACTACTACTACTACGTAGACCAACAGAAGAAAGAAAGCGTAGAGAAGGCATTAATTAACTCTCGAGACCCTACTAACCCTAACCCTAACCCTAACCCTAACCCTAACCGAAGACACTCACTCTCGTCCCTGTGGCCCACCGCAGGCTGTAACGAACGGCGACATCCGATGTGCGCTCAGCAACAACAAACGCAACAAACCAAATATAGTCGCCGTTTCCGAACTAACTGCTGTGGAGACTCTCTTTCATCACTTGTGGTATGAAGTATGAAGTGACAACGAAATAGAAAATGATGACGAGAAGCACCACGGACGAACTATTTTCTCAATACGCTTGCCGCCACGATAGACGCGCACCGTTCCAAGAACGACCAGTTGTCAAACCTCACCACGCAAATAAGATTGTCCTGCCATCTACCCCTTATCGCTCAAATTACGACTACGCAGCACACTAAAGGTAAGGCAGCAACACGCTTGCGATGCTTTACCACCCATCCATGCATGTAAGGGAAGAACAAAAAAAACTATGGCGGACCGTCTCTGTTGTCTGTATCTTCAACTGTGCTGCCGTTGCTTTTCTTCATGGATATCGGCACAGAGAAAAAATGAGGAATGCGCATCTCCTACGCGAGCACGACGTGCAGCCCAAGCGACAGAGACGATAACCTTATGACCTTTGCAGCATCTTCCGAGCATAACAGCAGCCACCGCATGTGCACAACGGTCACTATAGACTAAGGAAGAAAATCACAAAAGAAAAAAATGAAGACGACTCTTACACAAAAATATCTATAAAAAGAGGACCCTCAACGACAAATCAACCAATCTGGTCGTTCCGATGTGACGATGTAACGCAGATCTTCTTGTCGACGGAGAAACTGGTTATCGCCCCACAGCAAGCGATAGCTGCTCAAACGACTGTGAGAGGTCTTGAAATCGTCTCAGCTACCCAGAACTGCTGGTAGTTCTCGGAGGTTCGCAGTGTGGGCTGAGATCGGCCTTTTCGACCCGGTCGGGCAAGGGGTCGGCTATGCTACTGAAAACTCCACAGACGGAAAAAAAAGACTTTTGATCGACTGAGACCCAAGCTAGAGCTTGGGAATTTCTCGACGTTGGACGCAGATGCGGAAGAACAGCTGCGATCTCCTCTCCAAAACCTACAGTACGCCTGGAACGAGCTTTGCGCACTCCGTCCGGTTGCCTACAAACCCTGCCGAGCCCATCTGGCACGCCTCTGGATGATGCATTGCCGGTGACCACAAATACTTCTTTCTGTTCGATCTGTCTCCTGGAGGACCAACTGTCTCGGGTGCAGCACAGCCTTGTCCTCCTTCGTGTTGTCCAACAAAAATGATGGAGATGTTATTTGTTGTTGTGTTGTCTTCCACATAAAAAAATCTCTGCTCACTTGCCTTCCAACAATCGTGTTGGCCCAACTGACAACAAGCCGACATCGGAGAGAAAAATCGTGCCCGCAACGAGGCTCTTTCATTGTTGAAAACAGCACCATAATCACCGCTACTCTTTACGCTGAATCAAACAAAAAACAAAAAGTACTACAAAGCAGTACAGGCGGCAGAGCGCAGTCGTTTTCCTCCGCTCTTTCTATCAGTTTACGGACATCGAACCGCGATCCACCAACAACACTAGTACCCTCGAAGACGTTACATCTAAAAGTACTTCGCGGGATTTCCTTCAAACCCAGCCTCAGCAACTTTATTCGTGAGTTCCATGCTCTCCACTCTTGCATTCTTAGCAGCTAATTCTTAGGCGGCCTTCTTCGAGCTTGTGCTGGATGTGGGTTCCTTCCCAAGGCCGTACACCAGCGCCGCCATGACCCCTGTTCCCAACAACAACGCTACCCAGGGGCCATACAAGCCCATCCCCACTGGTATGCTTCCCAGAATGATGGACAGAGCGGCCACAATAAACGTGTAGGGGCTGGTCGTGCGGACGTGCTCTCCCAGTCCACAACCTGGCGAGGAAGGGGAGACGAGTGAACTTTAACTTTAACGCTACCACATGTTGTTGCTTGCGTTTTCGCCATTTGACCTCAACATTTCAACCTTTCACGGAGCACAGCTGGTACTGCCACAAAAACATACGATCTACGCACACATCCACCCCATTGGTAAAGGCATTGTCATCTCGTGTACCGGCGTGCGCAAGAGTAAACCTCATTCCGCGTATCATACATATCCATCAAGAACATCTGGTTGCGGTACTGTGGCCACTGGCTACCCCACGGACACGCTTCTCTAAGCTCTTCAGTGGTGCCTACAGCACATGCGGAACCTCCGTTAAAGCGTTTCTGAATGGCACGGTGGCATGATATATATTGGTATGGAGGAGAGCTGTGACCGGTAGGTACACTTTGGTGGCGTACTGCTTGCAGCGACCATCGATTCGATTCGATTCGCCGCAAAGCGCCAAAAGTATTTCATACAATTGCAACAGGATATCATATGCATTTGGAAATCAAATGCAGAGCAGTGCACACAAGGCAACCGCTGTTTCTCCACATAAATGCCAACCATGGCAGACCTCCTCCTCAACACAAATATTTAGCTCCCGTACCAATGGTTCGGGCTAAGGGAAGGATACTTCACTCCTGGGACAATTCAACTCGGACATATCCAACTATTCAGGCTCACCGGTTGCAAGAGAGGTGAGAATAGTTGTGTCCGATATGGGCGAGCACACGTTGCCGAATATGGACGCGCCGAGGATGCAGGCAAAGCAGTGGTGAAGAAACTCGATGTCACCGTTCCCCAATCGCCACGCCAAGGGACCCACGAGGGGGAACACGATGCCCATCGTCCCGAACGTGCTCCCACACGCGTACGAGATCACGTAGCACAGAGCCTGGCACAAAGGAGGTGGTCAACAGGAACATGGTAAGTGGCGGCGCCGGCGGGACAGAAGCACACGTGACTGGAGGGGCAAGATAAAGGTTCGGACGCATCCCACGGGAAGGCTGGTGTTCTCAACGCCTGTCGAAACAATGACGCCAACGCTATCATACATCCTGTGGTATAACCGCATTGCTCCATGGCTTGGATTCGTAACGCGGTTTTCCAAGCCCAGGCAACGAAAAAAATCATGTTGAAGCCATCGCTTGCCGAACACATATTGTAGCGCTCTCCGGGGATAGTAAAGGCCCACTCACCGAGATGAGTGCCGGGAGCATGTAGGGAGGGATGCCTGTTTCCAAGGCGCCAGAGAGGTACTCAGCGGTCTGTACGTCCTTCACCACCTGTCCCAGGGCCCACGCTAGCACCAACACAAATTGCGGTTCTAACACCTCCTGCCAATCAAAAGCGAGGGTTCGGAGCGTGTAAGGGTTAGGGCTACAGTAGGGACAGAACGGCCAACGACGAATCATGTGTGGTCGGGGAACACCTCCACACGTCTTGTGTAGGTATCTCCTATGCTCAGGTTTTCTGACAGAGAAAAAAACAGCAAGCGGTGACACAGGAGAAACCCATGCGCGAGTGCACTCCTCACACAGGGAGACGTCGATCTCGACATGATCAACCGGGAAGCATTGTGTACACCTGCAGGACGCGAGTCTAAGGAAAACACCAACAAAAAAAGAGAGAAGCGGACAACGTGTTCCCTACTACTGGCTGGTGCTTATCAGAGGTATTTTTTTTTAACCGCTGCTGTACGTTAGGTGCACATGTACACCTTCATGCCCTCCATCCAGGTCTCCATGGCTTCTGGAAGAGTGAGGATGCCTTGGCCACACACCAACACCAAGGAAGTCAGCCAGCCGGCCGCGCTCGCCCAGATGAGCACCGACACGCTGTCGCAGCTGCTCAGAATGTTTACCATCGTTTTGGGGACCTGCACATGCCACGCGAGCAGAGAGCAGTTTAGACCCCCTCGCATGACGATGAAGGACAATAGGGAGGCGAGAGACCTACAGTAGTATCCATCTGTCTCAACACCGATCAACGATACGCTAAGAAGCGAGCGGAACTCTAGGGTAGGCTAGAGAAAGAGGCGGCATACATGGCAGGAACTCGCCGCCATTCTCCAATAATATATAGTATCAATAAGGACATGATGAACGTCTCAAAACATGCCGAGTATCCCATCGACCCGGCCAGTACTCGCTGCTCTACAGACGCTGTCTTCCCCGACCCAATTCCTTCACAAGAGGCTGCGTGTTCCACGACCCAAACTGCTCGGTACACCGTACCGTACCACATTGGGTGCTGATACTGGCCCACCTCACCTCATTCCCGGCAGCTTCGATCTTCGAGATGCCATCCAGGATCATGCCCAAGAAGGTCACGCCAATCACAGCCGCAAAAGGAACCAGAGCGTTTCTGGATCGCAGCGGGGTCCCCGCCTTCGGGGTAATACCCCCCCCCCCGCCTCCGGCAGCAGAATCACCCTCGAGCTGGGAACCCGATGCTGGGGACTCGGTATTTTGATCGCCGCTGACAGCGTCGCTACTACCGCTGTCTTCCGCACTGGCCATCGGCCCGAAATCCTTGCCGCTGACAAGCACGATGATGATGAGCAGGAGGTAGAAGAGGGGGAAGAAGCGGAAGGGCAGGGAGCGGAGCACGACGAGGAAGCCGTCCAGCGGCGCCCCGAGCGAGTCCAAGACCGCGGCGGTGTAGCCGATCTGGAGCCCTACCCATGACGAGATTGGAGACAGTGAAGCCAGCGCGACGCCCACGCTGTGCACCAGCCACGCGAACTTTTCAGGACTGACCTGATGAAAGAAAGAGAAAAAAGAGGGCGGAGGAACGAGCGCAAAGCGAACCCTTAGCGAGAACCAACGAGATTCTTGTTTCCTGGTAAATATCAAAATATCGCGCGCCGAACCATCCGCCTAAAACGCTCGCCAGGGTCACGCCGCATCTCAAACGGCGGCGACCTATGTATCCATTTCAGCAACGATTACCTCGACAACGCATATCCAAGTCACACGAGAAAATATTCAACAGGGCAACAAGGCAGCAAGAGCTGTCTGTGCGTGTCCCTTACCCCGACAGTTCTCACGACATCCCGAAGGCTGTTCCCCACGATAAGAATGCTGGAGTAGTCGTCGAAGAAAATCAGGCAGCCCAAGGTCACTGTGCAGACTTGCCCCCGTGTTCTCGTACCTGCAACGAAAATAATGGGGCATGGGGCATGTGGGCGCAATAGCAAAGAGGGAGAGGAGGGAGATCAAGACCTTGGTGGCATGAAACCCGCACATTACATCGACGGTAGGGGCACAAGCAAAGAAGCACAACCACGCCTTCCAAAGCATCTTCACTGGAACACCATAGAAACCGGAATATTGCACCCCGCCCACCTATGTTCAAGAACGACAGAAGCATGTCTACCACAGCAGCGCTGCCAATAGGACAAGGTACAAACGCTTCCTTTCCTCTCCTCCTCTCACCCATGAACCCCTTGAGCGCGTTCGCGAGGCCCAGCGCACCGCCGCTTCTCTGCACCAATCCGATCGTGCCCCCGAGCAGGAAGGTAAACAGCAGCACTTCAGCGTTACCCTCCCCGACAAAGGCGCCTACGAAGTACGTGTCGAAAGTGCGAAGGAACGCCCCCAGGGGGTTGAAGCCGGACACCAGCAGAGCTCCCGCCCAGATGCCCACGAGCAGCGCCACCAGCACCTATCGGAGAGTAAAATCGCCACGTGCAACAAAAGTGTGTGCTTGAGCATGCAAGCTCTGAGCGTGTTATTCATGGTGCCGGTTAAACGCGCGAGCTTGTGGTTGCCCGGATCGAAAATTGTGCGAGGAACGCGTCCCTTTTTGCGCACAAGGAACCCCACGACCCGGCCCGCACAGAGACAGACATGCACTGTACAACAGAAAAGCCTTGGTAAAAAACAAAAATAGAAGTAGTATGACACTGACTGGTGGAACGACGGACGTTGCTACACACAACCCCCGTCTACTGTACGAGTAGTCTACAACAGAGTATCGTACATACGGATCATCTCTCTCACCTGTCGGTACAAGATAGAGATGGCCAGAGTAACCAGAGGAGGCAACAACGACACCAACCCAGGCACACACGTCACTCGCACGTCCTGTGTTTCTCCACCAACGCGAACACGTATGGTGCTTGTTCCGATCGACCTGCGCGGTTCGGAGGTGTTTGTTGCTCATGAGCATTGTAGCGTTCCTGGTGGACTGGAGAACAAGTTCCCTCAATACGCCGCTTCAACCAAATCGTTCTCTATTGAGCAAGTGGGGCATAAAAGTCAACCTAAAATAAACACAGCGGTGCGATTGCATGTCCTCCTCCTCACCTCTTACTATATCTAACCTCTACTGGTGTAGTATCTGTTGTAGAATACTGGTACACAACATCGTCCACTTGGGTATGAGATCCGGTCTGGGAAGTATGTGGGTGTGGGGGGTATGCTGTTGGTGGTCCAAGTGCGGAGCCCCTCGATCGATCGATCGATCGAGAGAGAGAGAGAGAGCACGCTCCTGTGTTCAGTGTCGTTGGTTGTCTTGGTTTCTGTATGTACTGGAAGGACTATGCATGCGCTGTGTATTGATCAAGCAATATGGTTTCTGTCAACATCGTTCGGTCCTGGGATAACAGAAATACTCAACAACTTGACCTGTAACCTCTTCGGGAAGGCGCAGAGGCGCACCCAGCAGAAGTCGTTGATCGCAAGTTGGGATGGTACTGATGTTGGATGATATTGGCCTATGCATACGGCAGTCAAGCACCTGACGGTTGACATCCTCGCATCTCAAACTCTCAAACATGTGGGTACAATGTATGCATGTGTGTGTGCTGCACAGTTTTGTTCCTGTCGTTCTGATCATCTGCGTGCCGCGTGCGGCAGCAGAAATAGATGCTGATCGATCTATTCTACAGCAACACAGCAGTGATAGTGCTGTACAGCTAAGTACAATATTGATATCTAGCTGAATAGCGGTCGCCGAGGACAGATTTCGGCACGTGCTCATGCTGACAAGCTGCGTAGGTTGCTCAAGATACCACAACCGCAGGACCTATCTAGGTCTCGATTACTCTGCAGCTGGATGGTTCCGGAATGGTGGCGTCGGAACAGTCTCATCGAGAGCTTGCCTAAAACGCGCCGTTTGACTCGTGGGGTCCTGTTCGTCGTGGATGTATTCGAGCTTTAGAAACGGTCCAGGGGGTGTGGTATCTTATGCAACCCATAGATCTGCTACCTACAGCTCGTGCGCGCAGACAGTAGACTACTCCTTTTTAGCGGTCAACACGACGTCGACCGCGCCCATGCAGTAGACGGGCTTGGTGGGGAGTATTTGTAGAAGGTAGGGTGAACCACAGACGAGCCCGACACCTACGATCACACGCGACGTGGAGATGTCCCACATGTGTCATCGCAAGGTAGACTAGTTGATCTGCAGACCGAAGTCCACCACAATCCAACTTTACAACTTTACACACCGCACCCGACAAGCAGCCCCTCCAGCTTATGCTCCAAGAACACCTCTCCACCGGCAGAGACTTTCAGCTTTTGTTTCGCCAACTCCTTCTCCCCTCCCTGGGCGTCAACAAGGCTTGCCTTGGCCTCGGTACGGCCGGTGGCAGCGTAGGACGGCGGTAGCCGCACCAGCGCCGAGAAGGGGGCTGCGACATGTACCACCGGCGATACTTCAACCACGACAGCGGCGGACTGGGCGGACACCAGCGTGAAGTACGCCGCAAGGATCCCGCACAATCTCGCGACGATTGTCATCGTGGGTCCTGGAAACAGCCAGTTTGTGGCAATGTCTCGCACGTACACGTATCCAGCAATAGGGGCCCCGCTAACTGCTCAATATGCGTAGACGCGGTATGCCACCATGACATCGACACACCTTGCTGCATGGGCTGTACTCGTACTACAGAGCACCATCAACACTACGGAATAGATAGATGTGCTATGGAGTACCTGGGGCCTGGGAACGAGGGTGTGACTCCCCAGGCCGCAGCAGGCATCCTAGTGGAGCGACTGAAAAATGCAGGTGACATGGGCGACAGGAGAAATGCTCTGGACGCGCTGCTCAAGCTGTCGCAGGACCATCCTACCGATGTTGGCCATGCCGGCATGCCAATCTTCACCGACATCCTGCAAGCGGGCATTGCAGACCGGTCCATGACGCAGACTATCATGGGCATCATGCTGAACCTGGTCAAGGAGCAAGGCGCCAACGTGTCGTCGTTCCTGAAGGACGTTCAAAACGTCCAGAATTTGCTGGACTTGCTCGAGAGCACCGATGCCCTCACCGCCCTCTCAGCCGTTCAGGTGTGTTTGGCTGTGTTCTATGCGTGTATGCTGGTGCACACCAAACGACCGAAAGAGTCGTTTAGGATTGCAGTGATTGCAATAGAGGGGGCTCATGTTGCTTTGCCATTGTCGTTGAGATGCAGATCGGAATCCGTGCTTCGATGGGTGGAGAGATTTGGGTATTTGACGATTGTGCGGAGCAATTCTCGCAGTTTGTGTTCCAAGTTTACGGGCACATGCATAGACTGTAGGGGGACTAAAGTACACATACCCCTCATACCGACAGTAGTGCGCATGTACAACGCCAGCCAGAGCGTGACATAGGTCCCCTGTTGAAAGACACCACCGGTCGGTGTATGCTGGAGGACGTTCGCCCTTCCGATCCTGTCATCGCTTTCCATTTTTACATATTTACTACTTGATGCTTCCTGCCGTTGGCGGTACCACACGTTGACTGATGGACTGATGGCCACAAGCATTGGTCCTTTGGTGTGGCCTTGTTGCATTCCTGACTCCTGACGAACAAAGCGAGTCGAAGCAGTACACCCAAGCAGGTTGTGGTTTCTTCCGCCCGGCAGCAGCAGTGACCGTCTTCCGTATAAACAAAGTCCAGGTTTGTGAGGCGCCGGGCGGGCAGCCCTGTGTGAAACAACATTCCCTCACATGGGTTTGGTCCTGATGAATTATATCATTTGCATGATGCTGGTACACTTCAGGTGCTGCAAGCGCTGCAAAAGTCTTCGGGGGAATCCTTGGAAGCTTGCATCTTGGAGTGCCCTGCGGGCCTTCAGGCCCTGGTGGAGGTTTTGAGAGATCCTAGGGAAGAGGTTCGAAACGAGGTCATCTTACTCTTGGGGCAGGTCAGTCGGTACTGCTGTACTGCTGGAAATGCCATCAATACTGCTGTACGGCTTGGTACGGCTGGAAATGCGACTTGGTTGGGACAGCGGCGTGCCTTTCGACGATGGGGGTGCTGACCTCCGAATATAGACTCGACGCTTGCGTGTTCTCGTACCCTCACCGATTGTTGCTAATCTCGTACCACTACTTGGAGCCTCCCTGTCACGGCGTATGAACCCAAGTAGCCTGAGGTATGCTAGAACGCTTACGGCCGGCCCTGCTTGCTCTGATCATCTTTGGTTGTCTGTCCTGGTCCTCGGTGTTGTAAATTAGCTGACCACAAGCAACTTGGAGGTGAAGAAGTTCGTGGCTTTTCAAGAGGGCTTCGAGCGGCTGTTCGACATTATGTCCGGCGAAGGCATGCTCGAAGGGGGAAGCGTTATCGTCAAGGACTGTCTTCACGTGTGCAACAACCTCCTCTCCGGCTCTTCTCTGACCAAGGTGACCCTTTGCCTTTGCCTTTGCAGGACACGGTACACGGCCTGTGGGTGATGCACGGTTTTGTTTTCGTGTGACGTGTCATAGTCGAGCGAAGCAGAAGCGCTGTGATATGATAGCATCAAATTTAGCCCACCCTGAGCGTCGCACTCTGGCAAGCCTGCAAGCTTATTCTGACGGTCGTCAACGCCAATGGTCACATGGTACTCTACTGCTGTCGTCGCGCCACTTCCCTCGTGTACTATTATGCTGGCACTTGTACACTGCTGTGTCTCAGGCCCTGTTTTGTCAGAGCGGCTGCCTGAAGCGCTTCCACCAGCTGATCGATGTTCGAACGTCCGACGGGGAGGACCCAGCGGCGGTGGCTGCTCAAAACGGCCCGGGGACGGAGGTCGTCGGCGCTGAAAAGGGCGAGGAAGGAAGTGGAGAGGAAGAGAAGGCTCCTTCGCATGTGAGTGGACGAGGTACAGCAGTATCCTGCAGCATCATCACCTGTACTGCTGTACGTGTCTTGATGCCATTCCCCGCGGCGTTGGAAGTATCTTTAGTGGGGCAACTTTCTCAGCAAGTCGCCTGCTATCAGACAACTTGCTGTCCCCCCGCAACCGCTTCCCCGCAACAAGAATAAGGTTGTACATTCTTGTGCTAGTGTACCTGCATCGGTTCTGACAATCTTTTACATTCCACCAGGACGGAGCGCCTCCGATGGGAGCCATGTCCGGTATGCAGAACGAGATCGCGTGCAAGGCGCTCGACGTGCTGATGCTGCTTCTAGCTCGCGACGGTGGAGGCGACGCCGACGAGAGGGAAGGCGGAGGCGGCGGGGATGGGGGCGGCGGCAACGATGACGATGATGGGAAAAGACCCGAAAGGCAGACCCTTGTGGCCGAAGTGTCAGAGGGGATGCTGAGCGAGATGTTGGCGCACGTTGCGTTCTCGAGGGCAGACGCCTTTTCGCACGCGCCAGTCGCCTGCCGAGAGCGGGCGATGAGGGTGACCGGAGCTTTGGTGGATGGACACCCTACCAACCAGTACAACATGGGAGAGGTGGGTCTGACCAGAGGGGTCAGGGTATCGGCGCGTGGAACAGGGATGGATGAAGGGGCGAGGGGAGGTTTTGCCCACAGAGCATATTGAGACCTTACGAATACGGCGTCAAAGCGGTGACGCATGGCGATCCTGTGTACATGCTGGGTTTGAGGCATGACCAACTCCGCTCCACGTGCTCTTGGAACTGGCGCAGCCTAACAATCGTTGTTGCTCCTTCCTGCTGTAAGGGACCCCCCCGAACCTTATGGAGGCGTGTTTCTTACCACTTTCGCTTGTCGTTATCCTGCCGCCGCCGTTTTCCTCCCGCCACAGCTGTTGATTCAAGACGTGGGACTTGATTCCGTGGCTCTTGCGACGCTTGTCATGGAGGGGGCGTTGGGGAAAGGCGGAGCTGACCGAAACAGAACTGAGGCGTGCCAATGGTACGCAGAGGTGGTTGGTTGGTTTTATTAACGTTCATTCCCTTGCGAGGAGCCTGGCCGTGGCGTCGTCGGCGCTCTCCGTCTATCTACATAGAGGGCTAGTGCGACCATGGTGTTGTGCCTGCATGATGGTTGTTGCGAACCGATGTAAATGAATTCGCCGATGAATAGTATGCCATGAGGTACCGCACCATCTGTTGTTGTGGTAATAGATTTGTCACGTGTCGCCATGATGGCGTTTCGGGTTTTTCTTTAGAAGGGAGGCGTACGGTACTCCCCTGCACAGCGGCCACTGCTCGTCCGACATTACCCCCGAGAGACTGCATCAAGGCTAATGTGCTCCTCGACTTGGACCCTTCCATATCCGATATCCCAACATGCCCTCCCTGGTGCCTTACCTTATTGTTTGCCAACCCGGAAGAATGACGCAAGCCTGCCTTGGCATCTCCCTATCGATTTTTCCCTCGCCTTGGTCAGGGTTCTGGGGTGTCTGTTCCACGGGAATGAGCTCGTCTGCACCCAGGTGGTTTCTCACATCATCGCGCCTCCGCCGCCGCCCCTTGAGCTTGAGGTGCGCACCACCGAGCTTGAACTTTCTAAATAGCGTCTTTCTGTTTCGTTAATAGTCGACCGATCGGTGGTGGCCCTTGTTGGCCTATATATTTTGTAGTTGGCCTTGCTCGAGTCCGAAAATCGGTCCGGTTTGTTTCCGAACAAACGCTACAGCCTGCTCTGTGTGTTACGGGTTTCCATGTGGGCGTGGCGGGGATGAATTTCCCTGCTCCTGTCTTCCAAAATCACTTGCTGCTATCGTTAAACTTACCCCGCTTCCCTTCTGGTGCGTGACTCGGTTTCCAGGATATCGAGGCTTGGATCCCTCCAACTCCGCCTGGAAAAGTCCTTTTGGATAGTTTGGCAGCAGCGGCGAAGACTCTCTTCGAGGGCCGTGGTGACAACAATGATAACGGCGATGGCGAAGGACGAAGAGTAGCCGCAACCCAAGCCGCTGACGTGATATCCAGAGGGTGAGCGTTGTTCTAGACTAGCTATGTAGAGAGCTGCATACCCGCTGTGGGGGCTGTTGGGGGCCGAATCAGATTCGCATACCTCGAGTTATTGCAGGTGAAGTCATGCTCTATCTCTGCATCGGTAGTCCCCCGCCTGCTACATGCTGTTCAGCTTACCCGCACCTCTCTCTCTCTCCCCCCTCTTCTCTGCTGTTTGCGAAGCTGCATGATCATATCGATGTTGTTCACGCACGGAGGCGCTCTAGCCAAGGAGCTTTCTCTGCGGGTACCCTTGGCAGCAGCAACGGGCGCCCACCCGACCACCCTCCTGCACGTCCTCCTGCACTGGCTGGAGCTCGCAACATCCCACCCCCCCCCTTCGACCGCGACGGACCGCGGAGCCCCCAGCTCAAGCAGAAGCGGCGACGGCCCCCTCGGGAGGCCCACCGTCGACGGGCACGCGGCTGCTGACGCCGGTATTTCTCTGGAGCGGCTCTTGTGCGGGTGGATGTACGGTTGCCCGGCGGCGGTGGTTGAGATGTTGGACAACCCGGCGAATCTGTTCGTGGTAGACGTGGCCGCGGGACGGTGTTCCGTGCTGGTGGAAGGCGGGGAAGGGGGCGCGACCGCGGTGCAGTGCGTCGCGCTGAAAGGGCTGGC